CATAATATTATAATATTTTAAGTTTAACCTTTAAGATAATATTAACTTTAATTATAAGATTATTATAAATATTATATATTTACTTAATTTGCTTATTTTGCAAGTTATTAATTTAGCAACCTTTTTTTAAGTTAAGCAATTTCTTATCTTTCTTTTTATAAAGGATATATAAGAGGTTATTTAATAATGCTAAATAAATACTTATTTAAAACCTTTTAACTATATTATTTATAACGCTAAAATTAATTTTATCTTAATAAAATTTTAAAGCATTATATAAATCATAAGCATTACTTATAAGCAAGTGTTAATAAAGGTATATTAATTTATTAATAAGGTTAAAAAGTATTATGCTCTGCTTTAATAAGCTTTTAATATTCTTTATATTAAACTCTTAAAAACTTATATTAAAAAAGCTATCTTATAAATAGCTATTAAGGCAATAAATAATATAATTAGCCTTAACAGCATTATTTTAATACTCCTTATTTTTAACGCATATTTAAAACTTATAAAAGATTTTGCATTAACTCCCTTAACTTTTAAGAAAGCAGCAGTTATTTAAAAAGCTATAAAGGAGCTATACAAGGTTTATGCTAAACGATAAGTTAATATAGCTTTAAATACTTATAATGGCTTAAATATTATAAAAGTATTAAGTTTTTTATTATAAAGTAATGTATAAGTATAGCGAGAAAAGCATGGTTGGCAAGGATTATATAAGTTGCTTAATATTAATAAACATAACCTTATATTAAACCTTTTAAATAACTTAATAATCTTTTAATTAATATTAATTTAGCTATATTATTAAGATAAAAATGGCAAAAATAATATTTAGCCAGTTTTTAACTTAAATAATGCTCTTAATAAGCTTATTTAATTTAAACTAAATTTAATCTTAATAATATTAAAACAGCCATAACCTTAATAATATAAATAGCTTAAGGGATTAAAGAATAAGTTAAAAGAAATATATCTTACTTAACGAAAAGTTAAGAATTATAATTTCTTTTTAAAGCTTTAATGTAATGGTATAATTAATACCTTAGGTAATTTATTTAAGGAGTTTAATTATAAGGAAATTATAAAGTTAATTAATAATAATGTTTTTTACTTTAAATGCTTTAATCCTAAGATATATAAAGGTATTTAACTCTTTAAGTTATGTATTATTTATAAAATTAAGGGCAAGATTAAGAAGCTATATAAGAAATTATAGCTTATTATCACTAAATATAGTAATAAGGATAAGCATAATATCCTTATATAGTTTTTAATTATTTAAAAAGCTAGCTAAAGGCTTTTAATTACTTTAGCTTTATTCCTTTTAGCATAAGGCTTTTAAATAAAGCTTTAAAATATTACTTAAGCATATCCTTAATTAAAGTTTAAGCTTAAGCAACTTATTTTATATTACTTACCCTTTAAGATTTAAGATAAATACTCTTTTAAGATTATTATATAAGTTATTAAATTATTATATAACATTATTAAATTTAATATATATTAATAGGCAACTTATTATAAATTTTATTATAATAATATAAGCATGGTTATCTTAATATACAATTCATATCTTTTAATTATAAATTAAGGAAAAAATGCATTTATTATTATTATTATATAAATTAATAATACATTATCCCTTAATACTTTAGCATTTTTAAAACTAGAAAAGCAAAAGATTAATAAGGCGGGCATTTAATGCAAGCCAAAGAATATACTTATTATAAATAAATTACTTATCTTTAATAATATAATAATAAGTATTTTTAATAAAGGTACTTTATATCTTTATTAAAAGGGCTAAGGTAAGAAGATTATATTTATTAATAATAAGGCTAATAATTATGCTTAACAATATATGAAATAATATGCATAAAAAGCATATTTCGCTTTTATTTATTAACTTAAGGTAATATTTAACTTATTAGTGGCAGCTTAAATTTAAGAGCCTTTTCATAAGGATTATAATAAGCTAAATTGCTAGTTGTAATAGCAAGCTAATAACTTAAAGCGTGGACTTTAATATATACCCCTAAATTTATCTCAAGCTAAATTAATGGTTTTTATTAATAGCTTATTTGCTAATAATAAGAACCTTAGCTTATAAATTAGCTTTATTATTATACTTATAAATAAGATATAAACCTAATAAGCTTTTAAATAAAATATTAAAGGTAATATTATTTATTAATCCTTAATAAAGTGTTAAAGAATAACTTAAAGCGTTTTAACTTTAGAAATTTATAATATAATTAATAGCTTTAATATAGCTATAGTGCTAGCCGTTACTTTACGCTAAATTATTATATATTTAAATATTATAATAATTTCTCTTATAATATGCATTAATTTATATTTCTTATATAAGTGCCTAATTAAGCTTAACATAATAAAAAAAAAGCGCCTTATAATTAATATTATGGTTTTTTAGTAATTATATAAGAAGCGTAAGATCTTTAAAATTTATTAAATTGCTAAAAATTGCAACTTAGCTAATGCCTTTATAAAGAATACCCTTAATAATACTTTTTAACGCTTTATAAGTATAAATAACATTATAATTAAGATATAAGGTTATATAAATTGCAACTAAGAAGATAAGGTAATTATTTAAATATAGTAAAAAGTTAAGAAAATTACAATATATTAAGGCTTAAACTTAAATCGCTAAAGTATAGTTTAATAACTTATTAGCAAATTGCATTAATATAACCCTAAATATTATTATTATACTATATATTATAAGGTTATTATATTAATATTAATGCAATTAATTTAAATATGCATATTATGTAAATATAAAGATAAGATTGCTAAAGGTTTTTAATAAGGGGTAATAAAATAACTTTTTTAATTAAAGGTAATGCATAGTAAAAGTGTAAAAGTTTAGTTTATATTTATTAATTGCTTGCAAATTACCTTATAATGCAATATAATTAGCTAACTTTAAATTATATTCCTTTTAAAGGTAAACCTTATATTTAAGATTTTTATAATAGTGCTTATGCATTAAGGGTTTAAGTAATAAGGGTTATTATTATTTCATAAGCACTTAAGTTGCTAGCTTATATTTAATAAGCGTCCTTAATTAAATTTTACGGTTTAATATTTATATATTAATCTTATATATGTTTTTATTTATTAACTTAATTAATATTAAATAATCTCTTAATAATCCCTTATACTTAACTTCTTTCCTTTATTTAAATACCTTATTTATTAATCTTTATAACTTATTTTGCCCATCTTTTTTTTATAATTAATTAATTTTTATTTAATTATAGAAATTAAGCATAATTAAGCTTAAGCTAAATTAAATTAAGGCATATTATAAGCTAAAGATTAAATAATAATATTATTAATTTAGGGGTTTAGTTTAATTCTTATTTAACTTAGGCGCTATAAGTAATGAAAGCATGAGTTTATAAAATGCATTGTAAATAAAATGTTTATATAGCAATTACAACCCTTTAAGCTTTTTAATTTTATATAATTAGGACGTTTTAATATATATATATACTTAATTAACTTTTACTTATTAATTGCATATTTTAATGAATTAATTAACTTTTAACCCCTTAATAATAACTTAAGCTTTCTTATATACCTGCCTTTTATAATAATATAATATAGCGGAATAATAGCGTATTTATAATTTAACTTATATATGTAATTAATTAATTGCCTCTTAATTTTAAGTTTAATTTAACTTAATATCTTCCTTTCTTTTATACTTTTTAAAAATAGCATGTATTTATAAAATAAAGACTATTAGTGTGGGAATAATGGGTGTCGTTTATATGGAGGACTGTTTAGGATTAAGCAGCTTTAACCCGTTGGGATGCCTGGCAGGCAGCAGCCTTAGCACTGCATATAAAATAGCTAGCATAATTAAGCCTTTTACCTTCTTCCCTTTTATAGTTAACAACGATAAACCACTATACCAACCAAACATTATATTGCAATACGTAACCCAGCCAACAGCTAGCTTTAATATTTATTAAATTTAAAGCTAACTTGCCATATAATTAATTATTACATTAATTAATTAAAAGAGTTAAAAGGTTAGTTAAAGAAGTAATTAACAAGAAATTACTTAAAACAACATTATATATAGCGATTCTTATTAAAAAAAAACATTAATAAGGTAAATTAATAGTAATAATTGTAAATAACGCTTTAAAAAAGGGAAATAATAATGCATTATAATATTATATAATATAAAAGGGTTAGTTATGTAATAAAGGGTATATAAGGTAAGCAAAGGGTTTGCAGCTTTATAATTATAAGGCTTAAGTGCTATAAATCAACCCTAACCCTAAAAAACAAGGGGGGAAATAAGGGGTTTAACAGCAATAAGGTCCCCAGGGCATAAAAGCATAGAAAAACGCTTTAACGAGGCGATTAACACCATGATTACATTTAAAAAAGAAGAAATAAGGGTCTTTGATTAGTGGGAATAGCGTTGCATCGTCAAAGGGGGTTGTAGCGACATGGATAAAGATTAAGGGAAGACCCTGTACGGAGTAACGGAGATAGCAGTAGGCTCGTAGCCACAATTGATTATGTCACCGAAACTGCTCGTCCTCTTTTGCCGATGTCGGCTCCGACTGTTTGCCTGCCCCCACGGAGCCGAACAGCAACGCCTCGGGGAAAGATGACGATAGCAGATCTGCCTGCGTGTTAGGCCGTCTGGCACTGGAGATGGATGAGATTCGAGAAACGTCTATTTGTCTGTCCAACAAAGCTGACCGAGCACACAATCCATTCCAACCTTATTTGCTCTCGGACGTTATCTCGAAAAATGGCATAACTCGTCTGCACAACGTTTCTTCGACCTAACTCGGCCATGTTTGCCGTCCACAACCGCCTCGACCCCTTGCCACCGAATTCGACCTCTTCTAACGTCACTCCATCTGCGCCTCCAGAAACACCACAACCTCAGCTGCAGAGCATTCCTCCTACCTCTTCCTCTACACATACCGCACGCAATGGCAGACCAACCAATCAGCCTCCAGTGGTCAGCATCCTACAATGTTGCCTCTCCATCCGAGCGCACGTCAAGAGGCCTTGAGGGCGACAAGATCCGCCTCCCCCAGTCCGCCCTCGAAAACCTCCTTTCCGAGTCAACCAAACAGGCCAGCAACCTTGGCTCGGCATACGATCCTTCGAATCCCTACGCACGCGCCGCAAGACCAGAGTACTCGGACTCTTTGGCAGGTTTCACTGGGCAGTTACCGAATCCTCTCATGTTCCGCCTCGTCAATCCGGCCAACGGGAACACGGTCTACGCCGGAATACGCGAATTCTCAGCTGAGGAAGGCCAAGTCGCCCTGAGTCCATACTTGCTGGAAGCATTGGACATCAATGCGGCAGACGTGAAGGATGGAAACGAGGTGGAAAATGGAATAGACTTGACGGGCACGAATGGTAATTCTGGAGGGCCGCAGATCAGGGCCGAGGCCAAAGTGCTCCCAAAAGGCACTTACGTCCGGCTGCGGCCATTGGAAGCCGGCTACAACCCAGATGACTGGAAAGCATTGTTGGAACGTCACATGCGAGGAGCGTTCACGACCTTGACCAAGGATGCCATATTATCAGTCCGCGGCGTAAAAGGCGAGACATTCCAATTTCTGGTGGATAAGTTTGAGCCCGAAGGAAACGGCATATGCGTCGTCGATACCGACCTGCAAGTCGATATCGAGGCTCTGAATGAGGAGCAAGCTCGCGAGACGGTGCGTCAGATCATGGCAAAGGCACAAAGAGCTCCTGGGACTGCCGATGGCAGCTCGATCGGTGGAACGATCGATATTTGGAAACCGGTTCAAGGCCATGTTGTTGAGGGAGACTACGTTGATTACGAGTTGGATTCCTGGGATAAGAGCCGTGATTTGGAGATAGGATTGAGTGGGATACAGGACGGACATGAGATTGATCTGTTTGTCAGTCCTCGGTCCGCTCGCTCCCGTGTTCCACCTCGCGACTCCGAGCACATTTTCGGGGAATTTTCAACGCCGGAACAAGGATCTAAGAAGATTGTATTGTCTTCAAGAAACGCAGAGCTGGACGGCGCAGATGGGTTGCGAATATCAGTCCATGGGTATACGCCTAATGACCAAGCAACTCCAAACACGAGCCCAAGGCCTTTCACCTTGAGAGTTCGGGCTGCCCCGGAAGAGCCACCTTCAAAATCGACCGAAACTTCGCAAGAGCACTCAGCAGAAGACGAGCAGTGCAAGAACTGTCTCCAGTGGGTACCGAAACGAACCATGTTCATGCATGAGAACTTCTGCCTGCGGAACAACGTGGCCTGCCCACACTGCAAGAACGTTTTCCAGAAGCGATCGTTAGAATGGCAGAGTCATTGGCACTGCGATCGCGACGATAGCTACGGCAGCTCCGTGGAAAGCAAATCCAAGCACGACTCCATCTTCCACACACCGCATTCTTGCTCAAGCTGTGGGCCCGACCAGACTTTCCCGTCCCTCCCACTCCTCGCTCGCCACCACACCACGGTCTGCCCATCCAAGCTCATCCTCTGCCAATTCTGCCACCTCGAAGTCCCACAGGAAGGCGACCCGACAGACCCCGCCTCCGAGGCCGAAACAGCCATCTCGGGGCTTACGCCGCACGAGCGGGCTGACGGCGCCCGTACGACGGACTGCCACCTCTGCGGCAAGATAATACGGCTCAGGGACATGGCGGCGCACACGGCGAACCACGAACTCGACAAGAAGTACCGCGAGGCCCCGCAGACGTGCCGCGACAAGCTCTGCGGGCGCACGCTGCATGGCGTGGGCCCCAGGGGCCAGATCGGCGCGGGCACGCGGATGGGCCAGGGCCCCGGTAACGACCTGGGCTTGTGCTCGATCTGCTTTAGCCCGCTGTACGCGTCCATGCACGACCCGGACGGTAAGGCGCTCCGCCGCCGCATCGAGCGGCGCTACCTGACCCAGCTCATGGCCGGGTGCAACAAGCCCTGGTGTGCCAACGAGTGGTGCAAGACGGGGAGGAAGAACCTCGGCGCGCAGCCAAAGGCCCCGGCCGGCGGCGCGGCTGGGCTGATACAGGAGGTCAAGCCGCTGGTTGCCGAGGTGGACGATCGGAGCAAGCCGATGTACTTCTGTGTGGATGAGGGTGGTCAGAAGCGCCGCATGGTTGCTGAGGTGCTGGCCTCGGAGGGTATCTGGGATCTGGAGTGGTGTATTGCTGCTGCTGAGGCGAGGGCCCGAATATGGACAAGGGGAGAGAGTGGCTGAGGAACTGGGCCCCTGCTAAAGGCAGCGCCGTTTCTTGATGGTCTGATTTACACATACAAGCAAAATAGAACGATTTGATACCCGAAAGCTATTAGAAAGTGCTGGCTGAGGTAGAAGGGCAACCCTCCTTGGGTTAACTTTAGGAATACAAGCCAAGGTTCAATGGATGATTTTTGTCGTCTTCTCCACTTGCCATGAGTTGGCCAGGGGAGCTTGAGCGTCACAGCTTTGCCTCTTCGACTCCTTTGAGCGAATTCGGTGGGTTTTGTTTGTGTGCTGGGAGGCTCTTGGACGGAGACTGTGGAAGTGTCCAGGCAAATAGAAGTCACTTGTCTTGTGTGAATCGTTATCCTATCTTTGCTGACCATTCCTATCGAAGAGTATGGAAACGGACTAGATTTAGAGTGAAGAGATTCGTTTGATCCAGATGTGAAAGGTAGTCATGAAGTCACCTGGAAGTGAAGAACGCAGCAAAGCAGGGTGAAGAGTGCCCAATGTCAGAAGTCTTTCACTGCTGCATTCCATGGATGCACGTAACCTACAAGGCCAACATCCATCCTTCTGGCAGTGGCTCTGACTTCCCAAAGTTTGCACAGTGTCACTCAACATTCACTCCAGAAACCAATGCACTGAGCCACCCGCGACCTCAGGCTTCTAAGACCTGGGGTCACGAACAACTTTCGACTTACTTATCAAAGTCTTGCAATCTCCACACAACAACCTCGTCCACAAAAGTGCAGAGTTCCCACAAACCAAGGACAACCTCAATCACCATATACTCTGCCGTCACACAAAGGAGGAACTACTTTGAACATGTCTAGTCCCAGACCGCCAAAGCGCTCGCTTGACGATGCTGCTCTTGTTGAGGCAACGCCTCGTCCTTCCAAACGAAGCCTTTCCTTCCCTGGCGTCATTCCCATTTCGCAGCATCACGATCGTCAGATTTCAGAGGGAGGTCTCGTCAATTCCTCCAGCGAGCTTCGTCATGATATTCCACCCATCGAAAACTTGCCACAAGAGCTGCTCCTCCAGGTGTTTAGCCACCTGGTTCATCCGTCCTTGCTCACTGCGGGATTCCCAGACAAGCGAGTCAAGCACTACAGCGATCAATCCAACGGCGAGGACGGTCTCGACAACGATGGCTTCGGCAGTGCCGTCGATCGCAAAGACTTGCGCAACGTCTGTCTCGTCTCGCGCACTTTCAAGACGGTCGCCACGACCGTCCTTTACCGTTGCGCACACCTCGCGACGGTCAAATCGCCAGAGAGCCTCCTACTCACCCTTACGGCACACCCAGACCTGCAACCTCTCGTCAAGCATATCTCGATCCCTACGTATGCAGGTCGATCCACTGTGCGATTCGATTACGCCTTCACCCATGACTGGTTGAAGTACGAGAAGCTGGACGACGAGGTCGAGGAGTTTCCACATGGGAATATGTTTGCCGAATGCTCAGAAGCCATTGAGGGTAGTGTGCTCAAGCACCTCATGCCTCTTTTGCCAAACCTGAAAACCCTCATCATCCCACAGATCAGCTTCTACGAGGGACCGATCATCGATGACCTCGTCTTACCGAATCTGACAACGCTGCGCATCACCCTTATGTCGCCACCTGAGGACATTTTCAAGAGGTTTAGCTTCTGTGATTCCCTTCGCACGGTCATCGGGCTGCGGCCAGAAGTCCTCGGCCATGCCTTCCCTGCCCTACAGCGCCTCGAGGTCTGCACGGCAACCGGTACCTGGGAGGCCGATCTCGTCTCTGGGGAAGGCGAGGCGGACAAGTGCGGATGCCCGATGAAGTACTTCGAGTCTCTCAAGACGGCGGCGACGTCCCAGATTGCCCCCGCAGAGTGGCACCTGATAACCCTAGAACGACCCATCTTCGACTCATCCTATCTCCAGTCCCTGGTATTCGACGGTCCGGGCAGCGAATGCAGCATGCCCTGCGAAGTTGCTCGCATGGTTGACTGGGACCTCAACCGCTTTCTGTCGGAGACGGGCAGCGGCCTCCGCACCCTGTCGCTGGACTGGGAGGTTCACCACCGCAACCACCGCATGGGAGACGACACCCAACAAAGCTACTTCGGCCCCTCGAGGCATCTCATAAAGCTCCCTCAGCTTACCAACCTGACGCACCTGACCGTCTCCCTGCAAGCCCTCTTCGGCCACGCGAACATGTTCTGGGACTGGGTGGACGACATGGAAGCCAGCCCCGACACCGAGCTCGCAAAGCTGCTCCCGCCGTCGCTGCGAGTCCTCCGCATCGCCGAGTACATCCTGGGCATGTACGAGTACGGGTACGGGGCGGACGTCCCAGAGGATGATGGCGAGCCCGACTACGTCTATCACGGCCGCTGCGTCCTAAGCTTCCTGCAGGCCCTCCGCGCTTGGTGGCTGACGCGTGACGAGGGCAGGGAGTTGTGGCTCCGGCGCCGCGCTGATCTGGACGTTCTCGCGGTCAATTGGGGAGACTCCCTGAGTTGGGACGGGCTCGGATACATCCTGGACTTCGGTGTGTGGGATGAGGGATTCCAGCGGATACTGCGGCCATTCGAGGACAACGGGTGGGATCCAGAGGGGGATGATGGTGGTGTTGATCGGGAGGACGAGGAGACGACTGAGAATGAGGACGACGATCCGGATGGAGGTTCGGACTAGGAATCAGACGGAGAGAAGGTCGGGTTGTATCAGGATGGCAAGTCGGTCCTTGTGTGATCTAAAGGCAAACGCTCCCGTGACGGACTGCCGTCGCCTTCGATCGACATGGACGGGCGGGGGTTGCACGGGAACATGAGACGCAACCTCACGGCCGCAGGACACACAAGCAACTTGGCACGAACGAGAGCGAGGTGGCGAGTTCGGACAACATCTCATGGGTCAACGAATGCCCGAGTACCTGGGCACCCTGAGGGCTCTGTCGTGAGCTTAATTATTAGGCACCTGCTGCCTGAAGAAAGCAGGTTTTAAGGGATTGTCGGTCATCTCCGCGGAAAGCGTGGGAGGAAATGGATGCGGATAGCCTTGCCAATGACTAGAGCACTTTGTACTGATGATTATGTGAGGTCAGGGTTCCTGGAAGGCAAACCAGGAGGATGAAAGATGTAAAACCAGCACTTGAGCTTGACAGAACCGCGGTCCGCATCAGCTCCCGAGTATTCGTATTTCTCGTGTTCAGCCCGGAGATCTCGCATCTGACTACCTTGTGAATATGCCGTCTGCCCCCTACTTATCAACGCCTCAAAAGATATACAAACGTGCCTCTCAGACCTGTTCGGCAAGGCAAAACAACCATAGAAAGTATAAGCGTGCATTGACTCTCTGGTCTGCTAAAAGCAAGTCGTCTCTGTGTAATGTACTCTATCGCCTGGTTCATACCCAGCAAGTGTAATGTATATGCCGCTGAGTAAAAAATACACGTGTTGTCGTGAATGCCCGAAAATCCAGCACCGTCCGTGTATATCGTACGCACGCTTGACTGTTCCGGAAGTTCCACCACCATCCCGCCATTATGGCGCGAAGCTATCTCCTCGCCTCGTAATCGGCGATAATTCCATCGTCCAGAGGCACCTTCCCGAGGTCCTCGGGCCTCCTCTCGTTCCGGAATCCCTCCTCCTCCAGGCCCGAGGGCCAGCTGTGGTTCCGCCACTCGCCCAGCAGCGGCCACAGATCGTCCCTGACCAGGCCGCGCACCTGGTCGCACCGCTTCAACGATGCGGTCTGCAGGTCCCTGTCGCCGTTGACGACCACGACGTCTTGCGACGCCTCCCGCGCGACGTCGTCCTCCTCGCCACCGCTCCCGCCGAGCTTCACGTCCGGCACGCTCTCGGCCAGTACCGACAGCCACACGCTCCACGTCTCCTCGAGCTCCGCGAGAGTGGTGATGCCCATGACGCTGCCGCCGATGCTGTTGCTGTCGCTGAGGCTCTCGTGCTTCCCCTTGCCCTTGAGGCTGACGCCCAGCCCGGACCGCGCCCCGGCCCTCGCCCACGTGTCCAAGCTCCAGCGGATCGACAGCCGCTCCAGCCTCTCGCCCTCGGCGGTGGCGCGGACCGCCATGTCGGCACAGGCCTTGCGCAGCGGCGGCGGCGAAGGATGCCAGGCGGACTGCGGGCCGTGGTCCACGCCGCGCGTGGTCAGGAGGCCCATCCCGAGCATGGAGGCGTTGAGAACGGTGGATACGCCTGCGTTCTTGAGCCGCACGAGCGGCGGGAGGTTGCTGTGGCCCGCGTCACCGTTCGTGGCGGGCTGGCCCTCGTCGTCCTCGTCCTCCAAGAAGCCCTCCACCAGGCGGTGGTTCTGGACGGAGCAGTGGCAGTAGCTCATGACGGCGTCGACGCCCTCGCCCGTCTCGCGGTAGATCATCTCGGCCAGGTCGCAGAGCACGTCGACGGGGTAGCCGCTGATGCCGACGTAGCGGATGACGCCATCCTCATCGCGGAGGCGCCGGAGCTCCTTGACGGCTGCGAGGACCTCGGCCGGGGAGACAAACTCGACGTCGTGGCAGTAGACCAGGTCCAGGTACGGTGTGTGCAGCCTCTTCAAGCTGCGCAGGACGCTGTAGCGGATCCACGGGGGGCTGTAGTCGAAGCTGTTACCTGATATTCGGCCAGCCTTTGTCAGGATCATGTAGCTGTCGCGGGGGTGTTTTTGGGTGTCTGAGTCGAGAATCTTGGTGTTGGCGCTGTTGGGGAGAGTGGCATGGTGGAGAGCATCGCCCAGAAGAATCTCCGATGGGCCGTAGTAAGGCGAAGTGTCGAATGCGTTAATGCCTAGCTCCAGAGCGCGGGATACAATGGATTTGTATGGCATCTGTGCAGGGTCATCGACATATTGGGTGTTGAATGTTGCAGTGCCGAGTATCAAGGGAGGCAGGACAGAGGAGATGGGCGGGCGCGTGGGCGCCGGCGAGCCGGTTGACCCCATGTGGACTTTGGCTGATGCTATCACGACAAGCGAACGGGTAGACGGGCAGACGTTTGTGGCTTTGGTCAGAGTCTTCTTGGAGTGATTTATGTGCAGGACGTCGCTCTTATGAGTTTGGCAGGCTGCGAGATGGGCAGATTCCGCGGAATAGACGAGGCAGGGCGAGACCAGCGAACAAAGAGAGGCAGAGGTAGAGGCAGAGGCAGATATGAGTGGTTGGCAGCTGTGTTACTGTGTAACACGATGGCATCCGAAGGATATTTCTCGGAAGGGGGGACCAGGGAGGACAAGTCTGGGGCAGATGCGACGGGCCATGTGGGGGGGGGGGGGGGATTATGAGCCAGTATCTGCGTATATTGGGTACGCTGTAGTGTAAACGGTGGCCAAGGTAGGGAATTCTTGACTCGATGGGATCACAAGGGCGGTGGTGTGGGCTCTGGTGCGTTCTGCGCTGTCTCGTCTCGCACCCTTGAGGTGGGCCCGCCGATGGAAGTTTTACCGCATTCTCTCGGCACAAGGGAACAGGGTGAGACGGGGCGCAGACGGGGAAGTATGCACAGGGACGACTGACAGGGAGAGGGACCTGGCCTGACCAGGGGGGGAGGAGCGGGAGATGGGCCCAGTGCCGTGTAAAAAATTATTAGGACGAACGATTAATACCATACAGGAGGTGATGAGCGGTAGAGTTCCTTCCCAGACGGGGGTACATGACAGCCTGCCCAGACCATGTACTCTGGCAGGTCTGCTCGGTTCACCTGTACATTATGACGTGCACTGCGGCCGAGCACAACCATGTACCGGGGCTGGCTAGGCCGGGCTGGACTGGGGCCTGGCGGGAATTCGGCGGGAGTTCGGAGCGGGACAACAGGACAAAATGGGCCCTCTCGGTGCAATGCAGGCTGGGCAGGGAACACAGTAACTCATCCATAATCCCATGTCCATATCAAACGGAACGCGCGAGGGGAGGCAGGGGAGGGGACGACGACGACTGATGTTAATTCCGATGCAGGGTGGTCGTCAGAGTTCAGAGATCTATGGTGGGACATCTTAAACCCGAGCACTTGGCTCTTGGGCCTTCCTTCCGTCGGTAGATATGATGCAGGAGGCACGAGGCCACAAGGGCGGACGATCTACGTCAATCACTTTGCCCGTGCTTTGTGGGTACGTACTGCCTCAGCAGGCAAAATCGGCCCAGTGTACCGAGGTTCCTTCCCTGCCCAGCTCCTGCCCAGGTGTCGCTTCGCTGATGGTCGCAGGGATGCCCGATAAGATAAGACGGCCCGATCAAACCTTGCTAGCCGAAAGCAGCCGCGTTTGCAGGAGGGGCAGCGAGGGGCAGGCGAGGGGCAGGCACAGCAGGCACGGCGGACAGGGCGGACATGCACAAGACGGGGAACCACACAGCCGACCAATCACCAGCCCCGTCGCCCTTCCGGGTATGATGTTCTATTCTTGTTCCAGACTCTTCATACCCTCCTCTCCTTCCCTTACACAGTTCGCCCCACAGTAAGCCTCCCCGTCTTACTCCCTTCGGATGAATGAGTTGAGCCTCCTTCCTGCCCGTCCACTCACGTCCACTTCGTCCAGTCCAGTCCTGTGACTCTTGTCGTCTGGACATGCTCACAGACCATGTGTCATTTCACAGTCTGGGGTACCACCATGTTTGCAGCTGATGTCACTGCGGCTCTACCACGTTGCAGTCCGCTCTGCTCGGTATCATTATTCATTGCAGGGCCCAGGGCCCAGGGCCGGCCCAGGCAACCGGTTGTGATGCATCAACCGGACGACACCAGTCAAGCCTACAGGGCCATTCCAAATACCCGGGTTCTCTCAGTTTATTTCAGCTCCCCCTTAGCCCCTCTGCACACTAATGTGGTCTACTTCGTACTAGAAACCATCACAAAACTCAATCCAGGGTCGGGGCCACATCTGGGGCCCTACCGACTTGTGTTGTTTCGAATCTTTGGAAACCAACTCGTCCGCCCCCGTCTTGGCATGGCCCCCACCCCATAACCCGACCGCATATCAAGGACACGCGCATATCCCTTCTGTCTAAGGCCTACCTCACGATGCACCCCCTATGACAAAGCACACAGTAATCTCTAATGTCGCAGGGTCAGGTTGCAGGTGCCCCGGAATGGCGAGAGGGTGGAAGTGAGTCGATGCATAAACTGACGATAGTTGAAATCCCGGGCGCAGTTTTCAGCCAGCTTATGTGGCGGCCTCGGGATAACAGGTTGTGATGTTGCTTGCAGTCTGCTTACTGGCTCCTTCTCGTGATCCCTTTATTGTAAGAGAGAGATGTTTTGGGCGTTGTATACGCTGACCTGCTAGCTGCAACGCGCCTGTGGACCTCCGTTCCCCCCGGGACGCAAGGAAGCTGTGTAGGCATGGGCACTGCGCACTCATGTATTTCCACTCAGTCCTTAGAAAGAAAATTGAATGCCGCTCTTGAAAGTTTGTCTGACGACATCATGCTCGGAGGTTCACGTGCATTTCTCCTGCGTGACTAGGGGTGATAAACTTGCTGATGGTTCCGGCTTGAGTTGCTCCGAAGATCACTGCATCGGCCTTCTCTGCGTGTCAGATTATTAGGTCGTGGGCCCTAGAGTGGACAGAAATCCACATCTGCCGTTGGAGAAGGACGAGCACCAAAAAAGCCAGTCGTGAGTCATGATTCGGGAGTTGGGAGTCGCTCTTTATTAGGGTGTCTCCAACATTCTAGCAATGACACTGTGAGGTATCTAGCACGGTAGACAGAGACGCAGCTTCCAAGGTCGGTGATGCTGTAGATAATGCTTCTGTAGACGCAACCATACACTTTGAGACACAGGACTTCTCAACAATGCGGTTGAGACCGTTGACACAACGCAATGGATTCTTGGGACGTTCGCTGACAGGACAGGTTTAAAAATCCGTAATGTCCCATTGATAGTTAATCATCTTATCAAGATGATCACAGGACGACTGCAGTGGACTCTCTTGCTCCAGATTCTCAGCCAGGCCTTCTCCGAGTTTGCCAATGGAGTTTTCTCATCCGGTCTTTTGCCAGAACTGCCAGGGCTCGCTCGGGATCGTACCACATCAGGACCTGTCCCTAGTGCTTTGATTTCACCAAAACCAGAGTTAAAGATACTGCTGGCATGTTTCATCATTATCATCTTCGTTGGAGTTTGTTTAGCGTCGGAAATTGGCGGTGCTGGATCGTCGGACCCACCAGGAGGCTAGCTGGGCGACTCTTCAATGGCGTGCTTGGTGCAAAATACCTGTCTGCCAGTTCATTGATTTCTCAGAAAACCCTCTCATGTACCTTTCTGCTTTAACTAGCAGCTGGGGGCCAGGAGCTTGTTCTTATACAAATCGAGATCAAGCTGAGTGTTGTCCACAAGGGTTTCCAGCGACCTTTGGCCAGTCACATTGTAGGATGTGACGTACACCGTGGATGCCCGGGCGCCGCTGATGCTTTGTAGCGGCAACTGAAAGTTATGTGTCCTCCATGTAGGCTTTTTCAACTCCCATCCCCTCCAGAGGAAAGACAAGCATTTCTTGATCTTGCCTCCTGTAGTCATCTCCCACGCATGTCCTGTGGTGTTCAACTTAAAGAGACACGTCGAGGATTAAATCACTCGGATGGAATGTCTTTCCCAAGTATTCACACTGCAGGTACGTAGATGGATTAAATAGTAATAGGCGGCGTTCCTGTGCTGGATTCACCTGTCTGTACGATGATGGAATGCGGAAACTGCCGAGACCAGCAAGAATATGTGCAGCCACACTCTAGCGTCAACAGTCAAAACCATGTACTCACGGGTTTTCTAATTCGCAGGCTTGAGAGTTTCCAGTCTCAGCGGCACCAGCCACACACTTTCTGTACATCTATGTAAAAGTGTGACTTGAGCCTACCGTTCAAGCTTGCACTTACCACAATGTTCTAGGTTGGTTTTGTGTGCCTAGCTGCGCCGAACAGAACAGCTATTTTTGCATACTCTTATATGCCGAAGTGCTAATAACCCTAAGTTTGATACCCCCTGAATCCCCTGTACCGCATGCGGTACCGATCTAGGTAGTCTCTTGCTTTCCTTGGTCGTCATCCCTCCTCAAGCCTTCCAAGAAACCGCTTGGCTGCTCCGCGAGGCGACTAGGTGGGCAGGGGAGTAGGCAGACCGGAGTGTCGCCGAAACCTTATATATTCTTCAGCATTTTTCAGCATTTCTTTTTTTCAGCCTGCACGTTTGACGTCTCCAAAATCGGGGACTGGTCGCAGACATGGCATGTTATGGCCAGGATGCCCCTTCTGAAACCTGCTAAACCTTGTACCCACCCACTCACGGCCTTCCCTGGCTGGGCAGCCTTAGACTCATAACAGGGCGGCTTAATCCTGGTCAGGACGCCGGTCAGAAGCGGCCTCAATTCAATCTTCTCCGACAACTAGACGGGTTGGAATCTCGGTGGTAGTAGCCTATGGTGGTGATTTATGCTAAACACGTGCAGTAGACGCTTGATTACCAGAGCCAAACACATGGAGCATTTGGGGTCAAGAGGATCAATTGAGCTCCAAATTCAGGGGGCGATCTCGGCCAGTCGTTGTGAGGTCGCTTGCAACGTGCCATTCATGCATGTCGGACGATCCGCAGCGGGCGATCCCCGGCCTGGGCGGGAGCTCCCTCCCTCCCAGCTCGGCTCCGACCTCCTTCAAGTAGGCACACACCGAGGGAACTGATGTACGTACCAATAAGACAGATGCTCAGCTACACGAATTAGCTCTGCTTCAACGCGCAGTCTACGTCTCACCAACATGATCAGAGGTGCTTTGGAACAGTCCGACCCGGGGGCATGTCGAAGTGCGTGTGTAGGCCTAACGAGACAGGTTGTACGAGAGCCGACATATCCGGGTCAAATGCGGGCAGAACGTCGGGGGCGCTCGTATGGGGAATTCATATAGGCCTCTGCAGAGTCGCACCTCAGCATTTCATTTCGACTGCCACCTCCAGCGTCGGCCCAGAATGCAGGTCCGTCGCGGGACGCCCATGCATGCAAAATCCTTCACTGCAACCATGCGGAGCACTGCCGCGCTGATTGGTGGACGGCGTTGCAGATTCTACTCGGGCAGAACAGACTATCGATCGGGGCAAATGAACACAAGGTGATGGGCATACGACTGTCCCTACCGTGGTACGCCGGCGCAGCTCCAGCTTTTACCCAGAAAGAGCAGCGAGATTACTATTGTATGACCCAGTGAACCGCGAGATGCCTCGCGGAGCCGAGCGGCCGGGGTAGCCTTCGACCCCCAGAGAGGAACTGGTCCTAGGTATGCGGAGCAGAGAAAATGTTCGCGTCTGGCCACTCTCCCCTCGGCTTGGCGCATCTCCTCCTTTATCCGGAAGGTGCTCATAACATGAATACGAGATGGCAAAGTCGCGCCGTGAGGACAGAAGTGGTGATGCCCAGGTATTTAAACAAGCCCCCCGCGATGCGAAGCAATAGAGCGGCCGGTGGGTATGTGCCTTGCGTGACAGTCCTACGACCAGTCCTCCTTCCCCTGCCAAGTCCCTGCACGCCAAACTCGCATCAAGATGCTGTTCAAGTACATCGCGGCCGTGGCCCCCTTCCTCGCGGGTACATGCCTCGCGCAGACCACCACGACGACGGCGCCCCCGACTGCTCCCACCTGCGCGTACAAGGGCTGGGGCACCGGCGTGGACATCGGCTTTTACGGTGACCCCCTGTCGGCCACCAACGCGGCCTGCAACTCCCTCTGCAATGCCAACACGGCCTGCCTGAGTTTCTCCTACAACACTGCCGGGCCCAATTGTATTCTGTACGAATATGCCGTTGAGGGCAATGTCGTGTACGACCCGAACTCCCCCAACAACTTCTTCAACCGGGGCAATGTGTGCCCTGAAGTGCCCACCCCAACCACCATCAGCACCACCACGCGCCCGATTCCCACCGCGGCGCCGACGTGTACCGGCTTCGTCGGCTGGGACACGGGCACCAACATCGGTACGTCGACCCGGCCAAGCGTTACAGTTTAATTTCTCCGTGCTGACTCTGCCCCAGGTTTCTACCCGGACGCGTACTCGTCCTCGTACGGCGGCTGTCTGGAGCTCTGCGGAGCCAACGAGGCCTGCCTGAGCTTTGGCCTCACCTCCGCGCCGGCGTGCATCCTGTACGACCACGCCGTCGAGGGCGTCAACGTCTACGACCCGAACTCGGGCAACACCTTCTACAACAAGGACGGCAGCTGCCCCGCCACGCCCACGTCCACCGCTCCCCCGGTGCCGACGCAGACGGGGCTCTTCCCGAACGTGAGTAGTACCACCGCCCCGGGAGCGCTTATCTCCCGCCTGATACATAGTTGACTCCCGCGAAAAGCTTTTCTAACGAGCCGTCTCTCTTTTTCCGATCAAAAGTGCCCAGCGGGTATTGTGCCGTACAATATCAACACGGGTGCGACGCCGTACAGCCCCTGCAACTCGGCATCGCCCTACTCGTCGTGCCAGTCAGACGTCGACGGCACCGAGTACTGCAACATGTGTCTCAGCTGCACCGAGCAGACTTGCACCAGTGACGCAGACTGTGGCGAGGGCTTCGCCTGTATTGAGAACTCGGCGTGTGCTGTCAGCGGGGCCGCGGTTGGCACGCCTGTGTGTCTTTACATGCTGGCTGGGGGAGCGGCGCAGGGCTGCTACGCTTGAGGGTGTATTGTTGAGAGGAAGAAAAGCTAGGTGTAGTCTAATCATAGTGTCTAAATTGTACTAGGAGCTATTCCAGTGTCTGATACTTGCGAAAGTGCCGTGTTTCTGCTTGTATTCCTAGTACTACCTGTCATTCGCGTCCTATTTGGCATTTCTCGTGCTGTAGAACGCCACGATCACAATTATTGAAAGCTTGCAGGCAGCGAAAAAAGGTGTCGTCAGCATTAACCGCCGGCCACAATGCATTTCGGGCTGCACGTTTGATTGGAAGGAAGTGGGTACGCCACGCTGACAAGACGAAGACCATGGCCCGTGGGCCAGATGGTGAGGAACCCCTCTTCAATCCAACTCATCCAAGAAATGGCCTCCGAATATGACAGCGAGATAGATGAAGCCGCAAACCACGGCTCAATCCCATTTTGGAAGCGCTGTCTCCTCTGCGGCACCGACCTGGAGCTGGACTGGCCATACCTGCCCGAAATAAATCCCTCAGATATCAAGAACCACGCACATGGTGAATGGAGACGGGGTGCTGAATTGGGTTGCTCCTTCTGCAATATCGTGGTCTCTGTCGTCGACGATGCTAGGAAGCAACACGGATGTTCGATTTCAGATGGTTATGGTAGGATTCTTTCAGCTTTGCCAGATCGCAAGTACACGTTAAAGGGCTTTCAAGTGTTCCTGGGACTCAATGAGTCAACGGACCGATATCTTTTAGCCCTCGAGTTTGTCTGGATGCCGCTGCTGGTAGACCCTGAAGAGCAGAACGAGTTCTGGGGCACCATAACTATTTATCTTGACGGTACGCTGCCTCGTTAGCTTGATTACATTTTCACCTTCGCCGCTGGCTGGGTCTCCCGTCCTGGTTTTCTCACTTAGCCAGCGTGACCTCAAAGCTCACATTTCTCACAGGGCCGGACATATTCAATACGCAACTAGAGCCCTTCTTTGAGATTCCAAGACATAGTGGTTCAGCAGAGGCGCTGGATAATGCGCGCCATTGGCTCACTGCATGCCAAAATGATCATCCAGACTGCTCCGGAGACCTCAAAAAGGATCAACACATATTAGAACCACCCTCTGATTCATGGATCCGCATACTCGAGATATGCGAGGAGAAGTTGAGGCTCACATCCGTGAAGCTCGGTGAGGCTCTCCCGCCGTATGTGGCATTGAGCTATTGCTGGGGTTCGTGCCCGACTTTGAAGACGCTATCCACGAATATCGAGAGGTTCTGGGTTGGTATTGAACATCGGGATCTCCCATCTACTTTTGTAGATGCAATAAAAGTGACGAAGTTGCTCGGGTTTGACCACATATGGATTGACTCTCTTTGCATTATCCAAGACAACGCCACTGACTGGGAGGAGCAATCGAGTCTGATGGCCTTCGTTTACGGAAATGCGGACCTGGTTCTAGCAGCCTCGGGGGCTTCGTCAACAGAAGATGGCTTTCTCAAGGAACGAAAATGCTACAGAGAAACGTCTCTACGACTTGCCTGCGTTCAGAACAAGGACAGTTCTTTGAATTTGAGGTACAGGCTTCTGCAACCCAAGGATATGGAACCGATGCTCGATCCGTTAGACCGCCGGGCCTGGGCCCTCCAGGAGCGCCTCTTGGCTCGCCGATATCTGGCAATTGGATCACACGACACGTCCTGGACATGCATGACTTCGTCGGCATGTGAATGTGAATGGTGGAGGGTTGCATCGATATGGCGAAACGAGATCATTAACATCAAGAAGCTCATACAAGATATGACAGCTGAGGATCTGGGCGTCTTCTGGAGGGGACGCGTCCTTCGTCATTATCTCGGACGTGACCTTACAGTTCCCTCCGATAACTTGGTCGCACTATCCGCAATAGCCTCAATCTTCCAGAAGAAATCAAGGTCGAAATATTGTGCAGGTATCTGGCAAGATGATCTCATCCTTGGCCTCCTGTGGATATGTCCTAGTGGAAGGATCGGCTACGCTTCGGACAATTCTGCTCCGAGCTGGAGTTGGGCTTCTCTCCCGTTCTCGTGCGTGAGTGGGAACATAATAACCTGTGCAGACTCACAAATCGAAGCACAAGTGAGAGTTCTGGACGTCAACACAGTTGTCCCGACACTAAATCAATTTGGATCTGTGTGTTCCGGATTCGTCAAGCTCTCAGGGAGATTGTGGACAGCTGAGGTTACGGCCCGTGAACTTGCTTCAGAAAGTGCAATCAAGTATCCCACGCTGAGGGTGAAGGGCTACCTCGAAAACGACTTTGCCCTTTACTTTGACACGTCCCTGATAGTGGTGGAGATGTGTCCTCTCGACACGGATGAGGGAAGCTCGCTGCGACGAGTCCGACGTGAAGAGTTGGAGGATAGCTTTTATATCAGGAGTGTCCAAGAAAGCGAAAAGATTAACTTGTTCATGGTACCGCTACTGAAAGGGGTCTTTATGTCACAGATACGCGACACTCATGGGCTGATACTGGGAAGGTCACCCAAGGATCCCACGAAGTTCGAAAGAGTCGGCGTGTTCTCCACTAGTCATCTGACTGCTGTTGACCCGTGTCAGCATCATGGTAGTAGTCTGGACGACTGTGATGGGCAGGAATTGGTCATTATTTGAGGTCTCAGTTGAGTTTGTGATAAGAGATCGACTGTCTGTGGCTAGCTTGCTCTACTGTCCTGTATCTGCTTATGTTCCTGTCCTCCAGCATGACCTGGCAAGAGTAATCGTATATACAGTTATGCTATCAGGCATACCAGTGGTAGACGCAAATGACTCCCACTTCCACCCAATTCGTAGACTTGTTTCATCGTGTGTCAGCCTCTCGCGTGAGCCAGCTAGTAAGCGAACACAAGCTTGCGAATGAAGGCAATTTGTCGGGATATAGCCAAAAGTCCCAGGAGCGCAAGTTCATTTGACTGTCAAGACGACTGCCTATACTCAATTCCCATCCAGCAGAAAAGTTACTGCCAGTTCTCCTTGATAACCTCAACAATAACCCCATGATCCTCATGCTGCTTCAACCCACTAACAACAACAACAGCAACCACCCCCTCGACCCCCTTGACACGGATGGGCACCGCCCCGCCGTGGATGGCATACCGCGACGCGACCTCCTCGCTCATGCCGAACTTGGCCCTGAACGCGGCCTCGTCGCCGTCGTACTTGCAGTGCTGCAGCCACGTGCTGCTCCCCCACCGCAGCACCGTGTTGCGCTTCCGCTGCACCCAGATCTCGTTGTCCGGCATCACCCCGGACCCCGTCACGGTCTGGAACAGCACCTGCCCGCTGTTGGCGAGCGCGATCGAGATGACCGTCGCCGTCGGGACGGGCAGCAGGCGCCGCCGGAGCAGGTTGCCGAGCACCCAGGCGTCGTCGAAGGTGAAGGACTCGAGCGTGAATGAGTCGCCGTCCTGCTTGAGCGCCTCGAGCTGTGCGGTGTGTCAGCTGTGGTGTGCGTGGCTGAAAAGGGAGGGGGTCTGTAGTGGGCTGTGAGCCGGTGGCCTTGGCTTGGGGGGATATCATACATCGCTTGGCGGAGCGGCGATGGGCCTAGCCGGCGCGGGCGGCTGCCGAGCCTTCTCCTCGGCGTCGGGGCGTCGGCTCCAGACTTTGGTGGCTGACATTGTAGCAGGCTGATTTTGGTGGTTGGACGGTAATGATGTTGGTCGATGAATCCCCTCACCGGTGAAACGAAGGCTTGCCTTGTTGACCGAAGCCCCATAAATGATTCCCAACGTGCTCCGGTCGTTGCATTACTAAGTCCGCCCCTTGGCGCTCCGAATAACGGCATTTCGTGACTGGAGACGGGCGCGAGGCATCTCGGACGATTGCAACGCTAGACGGTACCCACAGACTGGGGCTCAATGCTTATCCAGCTACCTAGGCAGATACCTACAGCAGGTCGATGTGCCACTGAGACAACGGCGAGCACCTTCGGAATTCGTAAGCTCATTGCAACGTAAGCTACCACACAGAGAGCAGATATCTTTCAAACAGGAATATCAAAGCCGTCTGTCCATATTTGTCTGTTCCACAGGAGCTACAACAACAAATGGAGCAGCTCAATCTTGAGCATAAGCGTACCCAAGTAGCCGTGAAAGGCACCATGTTGCGAGCCAAGGACCACATGAGTGGGGATCCATATTCCATTCTAGAAGCAAATTGACCATGATATGACAGTGACAAAAGTAGACAATGCGATCTATTGCCAAATGCCTCAAAGCGCTTCTCTCCATCAGGTTCAGACACCCGGGCAATTGCCCGCTCGAGGACCGACGCCACCAACGACCCGTCCGCCAGGAGAAGACCACCGCTACCTCGCAGACACACGAGGTGGTGCCACCGAAAATGAACGAAAGGAATGCGTGAAACGCGAGTTTCAAAAATCAGGTTGTATAATATATGCATTGAAAAAGATGAAGTAAACCATCGCTTGCTTGGTGGTCACAGTCAGTCTATCCCATGGGTGCCTTCCTCCGTCATCATGATCTATTCCACGTATCCTCCCATCCACCCATTCATCCAGTCGTCCATGACATGCCCCGACATCTCCAGGCTTCAAAGCCCGCTGCTGTCAATATTGAATCAATGGGTCATCTCCCCCGGTATCTCCACCGTCCTCGTACCCTGGAAGCCCAGCTGTTTCGACTCGGCCGCGTCGTCGTCGTCCGGTACGGGGGTCTCGGGCGTGACCATGAGTTGCGGCGTGTTCACGGGCCCGCTCGACTGGGTTGCCACTGCGCCATTTGCGTCCTGGGTACCGTCGTGGCCGGCATTCATCATTTCTTGTGTCAGCGTCGCAACGCTCTTGGACATTTTGTCGTTATCATCCTCTTCTGTCTTTGGCTGTGGTGATACATCTTCCGCGTGCTCCGCGCTGGCCTCGTGAATCGAGTCGCGCTTGTCCTCGGTTGGAACAGCCGCACTAGCCTCGTCTTCGGCATGGCTTTCACCTATCTGGCTCAGCCGGCGGCCTGCGTTGATGCCGTCCATCTCGACTCCCACCATCTGCGCTAAGCTTCGGTAGTTGAACATGGGCTCTGTGCTGGTGGTCTCGTCGTGCTCATTCTCTCCGGATCGTCCTGCGCCGCCTTCATCGCTCACGTCGCTTTTGCCAGCAAGAGACACGCCACTAGCATGAGGGTCCTCCTGTAGGTAGGACTGGTTCTGGTAGCTTCCTGGCTGGGAATCGGGCTGGGATGACCCGGAGGATGCATTGCTCATCTGGCGAAGGTGGGACGGCCCGGCGTGCTGGTGCGGTGAAGGAACGGGACGCGGTGCAGATGTAGGTGGCGGAGCTGGAGTAGAAGTCGGTGCCTTGTCGGGATGAACAGCATCCACGTTGGCCCTTCCCACCTCAGTCTCAGGCGATGTTTGCGCCGGACCACGGTCAACACCCTTTCCCTTGTCGCCCGTCTCTGTGGCTGACGTGGCGTTGACTGCGCTACTTGAGTTCCCGGATGATGCCATTGCATTGGCTGTCGTGGCCTCCATTCTTAGGTTAGATGCAGCGCTGTTGCCTCTTCGTCGTCCAATGGCCCCAAGGCCCGGCAAGCTAAGCGTACTTCCGTTCGTAGAGCTCTGGCCGCTGCCCGAGTACGGATGCCCCTTAGCAGCTGCCTTAGCAGCCTTGCGCTCTTCCTTTTCTTTCCGCTTTGCATCTTTTTTCTCCTCCTTTTCAGCCTTGCGCTTTCGGTCTTCCTCGGCCGCCAGCGAAAGTCTGATAGCCTCGGCAAGCATCATGTTCTCGAGGTTCTCCATATGGCTTTGGCGCCGGTCGTTCGTAGGCCCAGACAGTAGGCCACGGCCGGAACTGTGTCTTGGGCCAGGCTCTGGGCCTGAGGGAGTCCCCGACGCCGCCCCCGACGCCGCTGCAGCTCCGGCATTGCCGTCGGCCGCGTTGTTGGATTCGTTATTGGTGTTCCTCCTACTAAATCGGCTCATCCTACTGAAAGGCCTTGATCCAGAATCCCCCATAAGGAACGCAGCAGTGTGCAATGCCGTTGCCGCGGCAGCGCGGCGCGCTTGATGGTTCCGTTGCGCGGCAAGCTTGGTTGCCCAGTCAGGGCGCACACGGTCGGTTGTGATGACATTCGGCGCATTGGCGGATAGTGACTGTGTACGTCTTCTCGCCCTGCCAGCACCAGATGGAGGTGGCGAGGTCATTGGAGTCGGCGACAAGGCTGCTGAGTTCAGGGAGCTACTAGAACTCATTGCAGTGTTCATGGTGCCGAGGCCTGCAGGTGATATTGCATAGGTAAGACCCCGGCGGAAAGGTGGAGGGTCGTATGTGACACCAAACTCAGTCTGCTGACAGTACGGACATTGTGCGGGTTCCGAGATCAAGAGGCCGCTCTGTTCCTCCGGGTTTGGAGTTGGTTCCTCCTGTTCGCCATCACCATGACCTTCGGGAAAGTGCGGGTCGGGGCGCTTGATTTGTACGAAACACTCGCTGCAGATAGCCTGGTCGCAGCATCGAGTGTGGTTGAGGTATGGGGGGTAGTAGAGGAAGCAGATGGGACATTCAGTGCCCTCTTTGTACAGGAACACCTCGAGTGGCTGTCCATTCACAAATGGATCGTTAGGCAGATTTATTTCTCTTGGAGCTAGCTCTGCACTCGAGCCATTCCGTGACCCGAGGCTCAGAGCCGCAGCGAGTGCCTTGGTACGGGGCTTGAACGGAGATGCAGATGACTTGGTGGTCGGACCGGTCGGCGACGGCAGTGCAGAGCCCACATTGGAAGCGCTCCTGTCGGATGCCACGGACTGTGTCCTGGGGCCCATTGGGACGGTGAGGCTGTTCAAGTTCTGGGTGGAGGTGGAGGGAGATGCGGATGAGGACAGTGGCCGAGGGATCAACTCGTCAGGCGGTGTTTGGCCGGCAGGAGGGATGGGAAGGCCGCGGGCAGCAGCGATGATTTGGTGTTCAGCCCACTGGTCGTCGAAATCATTAAGGCCTCTCCAGAAAGGAGCTACTTTCCTTTCAATCTGCAGCAGGTCATGTTTGTCAGCAACGAGCTCGGCTGGTAGGTGATGTTGGCCTCAGTTGGGCGATGAAGGGAGGGGCGTCGCACCTGTAGCTGGCGGACCATCTGTTTGCTGTAGTCTTCGGGGCCAACGTAGACCCCCATTGTCACTAGATATCCGCCGTCAACATGCTCCTCCCTGATGCTCCTCTCGCGTTCCTTGACACGCTGGATCCTCTCCCGCTCGAGACGACGTGCCTCGCGTTCCTGCTTAGTCTCGCGGCGTTCGTAGGAAGGGTCGGGACGGGAGCTCGAGGAGGAGGTCTGGCCGATGCCCAGCAGAGTGCCGAGGTCATTGCGGCTTGCCCTGTTCCTGGACCTGTGACTTGACGATGGCCGATCGTTGGATGTGGCCGAGGGGTCGAAGGCGGGGGCAAGGGAGGTTCGGTGATGGCGATGGCTCGTGGAAGCGCCGGCGTCGCCAGAGCGCGACTCTTTGGCGTTGGTGTTACCCATTCTCGCACCAAGAGGCAAGCTCTAAGAGCGCCCAGGTGGTTGTGGCGGAGTGGTCGGGTTCTATCAGAACCCGTGGAAGAAACGCTCCCTTGTCGGATGCGAGGTGGGCCTCTCTCTGTGATGATGAGCTGGGCGGTGGTTGTTCCGAAGGGCAGCCGATGCGACGACCCGCTCGAAGTCGTAGACAGCTGATGGATGAACAAGCGCGCGTGCGGTAAAGCAACAATGTCCACACGGCAGCTCTGGAAGGCCGCGGTGAATGACGATAATGCTAGTAGCTGCTGTGTGTTTGTGGGAGTGCTGGTGGAGTATGTTTGGGAGGACAAAGTTCGGATGTTTCTTGGGTCGTGACGTCGGCGTCTGCGGCAATGTGCCCAGCCAGTTGTGATTGACGGAGGAAGCTTTTGAGGGGGAGGAGACGGTGGGGAGCAGGGTGGAGCGGGTTGGAGTCCACCGCAAATGCAACAGCAACTGTTACTGACTGGACTTGCACTGACAGGTCAGCCACTAGCAACCCTCAGATCTGGGGCTGGTCCTTGCGCTCCTCCAAGCAAGCTGTCTTGGGTTCTCTTGGTCTCTCCTTTTCCTGGGGTAAGAGAGATGGGGATTGCAATTGAGACTGAGACCGAGACTGAGATTCTGAATCCCATGTGCTGGACACAGGATTCCCAGGGGCAAGTATCCTACCAACTATCCAGCCCAAGCAGCAGCTCCTTTCATGCTACCAGCCAAGAGCACTCATGCGACCAGGGAACCGGGGCCCAGCTTCAGGTGTCAGACTGTCAGGCCGAAAAGAGGCCTCTTGCTTGAAGCCGTTACTGTTAGTGCGGGTGCGTTGGCGCTGTCAGCTGCCAGCGTGTGAACCGGACTGTCTGCCAAGCTGCGCTCCGCATCAAGCAAGATGGGTCGATCATCGCTTTCATTTCAACCTCATCACCACCACCACCATCACCATGCTGTGAACACGCATCTGTCCACGCTTCAGATGACTCTCCCTTCTTATCGTAAACCAACCCCACCAAGATGCCTATAAAGTGTGCCACCTCCCTGCACAGAAGACAGCATCTCTTGCTACCAAGCTCAACCACACAGTAGTACATGATTAATTACCCCTTGCTGTTCCCCGCCATCAATGCATCTCCAGTTCCGCTACTGATGGAACCAGCGACATGACCCCGCCAGCACGGACAAAGAATGCGTAGTCAACAAATTTGTGGATCAACTGGCAGTCTAGGAAGCGACATGCTCGGACAGCTGGGCTCGATTAAGTTGGCATCCGTGTTCAATAAAGAGCTTCAGGTCGCGTCACATCACATCACATCACGCTGGGTCTCGAAGCTCGAGCAGCACATTCCAGTAGATGATATCTCTTGCAGCCATGTTGATTCCGTATCTCGTATCCCAGATGACGGATATGCCAACATCACACGCGTGACCGTCGCCCAGCAACCATCACTGCCGGCAGCAGACCTGCGTCTCTGGAACATCACCAATGGGAGCTGGCGCCGTATCACGGCCCGCAACCTTGTCTTGATAGCCATGTTCTAGTCTACCTCGCACACGTACTCAACCATCTCCTTTCGGCATGTCGATCTCATTGTGAAATCTCTCACACCAGCACGTGTCTTCGTCCTGACCCGAGTTGTGCATGTGAACCCCATACCTGCATTGCAAATGGAGTATGCGTACAAAAAACCAGTCTCATCGTCACATTGTAGCACTGAAGGGAGCGCAAGGATATCTTGAATTGTTAGGATCGCACTGCGCAATCAAAACCTGCCGACTATCGCACACCAAGGAAACCGGTCTCAACTACTTAGTCCAGGAGAAAGTTGAGTTGGGTATCAGAACAATCATGCCGCTTCCGTCCATCCATCCAACCAAAAGAAAAGGAGAGCATCATCGAGCATCGTGTAGACATCTCGGGCAAGAAGGAACCACCAACGCCAAAACCATCAAGGTTGCCTGCCCCCCGCATGCTCTCCTCCACGCCTCAAGCGTATCACATCATGGCTTGATTAGCCATGCGCAACGCGAGGCCTCTCATGTTTGCTACAGTTGAATCACGTTAGCTATCCACTTTTAACATGTCGAGAAACGGGACAAGCATACCTGATGATCCACCAAGCATGAATCAGGCCGGGAATCCAGCCCAGGATGGTCAGGCCGATGTTGATGAGCAGATCGGCGCCGCATCCGCGCTTGAGGAAGACGGCCAGCTGCAAGAAGCGTTAGCTACTCAGGTTTTACGCGCGAGGCGATGCAAAGGAGGCGACTAACAGGAGGGATGAAGATGGCGATGAAGTAGTCGATGACATCGGTCGTTGATGACGCTGGACGAGCCATGTTTGCTGCTGTCGATGGGTATGTTCTGGGAAGGTCTGGCTGGTTTGTGTGACTCAGGAGGGCGTTTGTTTCAGAGGTCCGCCGAGCGATGCTGTCAAGAGATTTGGAAGTTTAACTGTAGGTGCAGGTGTGAGACGATGGGGTGAAGCTCGTAGGTAATGGGCGCATGGCTTACAAGAGTGAGGGATTCCCACATGCGGTCTCGGTGGAGTTTATATATGTCTTGGCACAGATCGTGGCTGTGCCGGCTCGCTCCTCTGGGATGGGGATTAGCGAGCAGGCGAGGCCCGCGAGAAATACTGTAGGACGATGACGTCGACGTTGTGGCTTCGCAGGAGGCGCACCCATGCCTTTTTGACGACGTCAAATGGCCATCAGACCTATCAAAGCCAGGGTTCCCACCCAGAATGCCACCGGAGAATTACAGGGACACAGCCCTACAGATGGCAATCAGGGCAAGTTGCCAGGTTTAACGGCTCTGACGGACTGCCCAGGTGGGCTGCACGGCTAAACGGCAGAGGCACAGTGGTGAGAAGCGACTTCGGAAAGGCGACCCGAGGCCCCTAACCCTTCAGCTTCCTCACCTTTACCGGCGAGTCACTCCTTGGGAGCGACGAGGGATGGAATCATTTTTCAGCGCCCATCCTTGCGGCCAAGCCCCGGCAGCAACAAGAGATTGGGTATATTTAGCATCACGGAATAATTTCGCAAGTCGTGAATAATGAACATGTCTGGGTGTCCCATGCCAATGTAAAATGTTCTAGAACAACCCCATCCACATTCCTCAACATGTGAGCTGAGCTCAGGGCAAGGCACATGCAGGATAAATAAAAGTTTATCGTCTCTCGGCACCCTCCACCCAAGACGGACGAGCCGGTGCACTGTATTGTGCTGCAATTTAACCGATTCTATCTGTGATTAGCCGCGCAGACAAGTATACTACTTGAGGACAAGGTGAATCTTGTGAACATGTCGGGGCTAAACGTTGCATTGCTCGGTGGGCAAAATACCTATGTAAACCACACTCACCTCACCGGCCCATGGTTTCCAGCTGCCTTAGGAGGGTTAGAAAGACGGTTTTCGGTGATCAACATCTTGAATACTATGGAGACTATCCTTCAATGCCTATCGCAAAAATGTATGGACGCGCTGCACTTGGTTCAGAACTGTAAGCGGATTGCTCATCCGCAAAAGGCTCGGTGTGAGTGAACATTACAATGTGAAAATCTGGTGGCAGCACTGTCCCTCACAGTTTTGGTAGACTCAAGAAATACCATGGTAATCAAACCAACAACACCATTCTCATGCTTATATTTTTTGTCGGGAACAACACCGCCATCGCTTGCACTGTAGAGAAATGCGAAGCACGCCTTGACATGTGCCATTCCTCAGTTACCCATATTCTCATGATGTTTGGCCTCAACAAAGACTCGGAAAGTCAGTCAATAGATTTCTATCGTACGTGGTTTGGACTAGTTGCAAAGTCTTACAGGTGAAGCGGCCGTGGGCATTCACGGTAGTATACCAAGCCAGATGGTGGCTTCTCCCCGGTTGACTCACGCCAAGCATCCCTAGCTTCTTCAATATTCGAAGCCGACACCGAAGACCATCTTCACACGAAAGCGTCAGCTATTCGTCCCAATCCATTCACGTTGCCCCCCGCTTCGTCGAACGAGATCTTCCGCTTCCAGACCAAGATACTGGCGAGAAAGATCCACCTCAACATGACTTCATCAGCTCCTAACGTGCTGGTTACCGGCTCTTCGGGTCACCTAGGGCATGCTCTCATGCTAGCACTCCAGTCATACGGGTACACCCCGCTCGGAATAGACATCAAGCCCTCGACCAGGGCAGACACTCTGCAGGGCTCCATCACCGACCGCTCCTTCATCCGCGAGCTCCTCACCTTCCGGCCGACCATAGAGCACATCATCCACACTGCAACCCTCCACAAACCACACATCGGCAGCCACACGAAAGAAGACTTCATATCAACAAACATAACAGGGACCCTCATCCTCCTCGAGGCAGCCGCCCGTCACCCACACCAGGTCAAGTCCTTCGTCTTCATCAGCACGACGTCGACCTTCGGCGCCGCCCTGAGCCCCGCGCCAGGCGAGCCCGCGGCCTGGATCGACGAGGACGTGGCCCCCGTACCGAAGAACATCTACGGCGCGACAAAGGTCGCCGCCGAGGACATCTGCCGCCTCATTCACGTGCAGACAGGCCTCCCAGCCATCGTGCTCCGCACCAGCCGCTTCTTCCCTGAGGAAGATGACGATGACGCGCGAAGGGCCGCCATGGATGGTGATAACCTCAAGGTCTGCGAGCTGGCGTACCGGCGCGTCGATGTCGCCGACGTGGTGGCAGCGTGCGTGTGCGCCCTAAGCAAGGCGGCCGAGGGCGAGGTGCGCTGGGGGAGGTATATCATCAGCGCACCGACGCCGTTCCAGAGGGACGAGGAGACGCTGGGGTTGCTGAACGGTGACGGTGGCGAGGAGGCCATAGCGGCGCTGGTGGAGAGGTGTGTGTCCGGATGCGGTGATGTTTTTGCGCAAAAGGGTTGGAAACACCTGAGCAGGATCGATAGGGTATATGACTCTTCGAAGGCTGTGAAGGAGCTGGGTTGGGAGCCCCAATTCACTTTTCAGGCGGTAATTGAGAGGCTCTCTCGGGGCGAAGATTGGCGTAGTGAACTTACATATGCGGTTGGCCAAAGAGGGTATCACGATGTTCCCACTGGAGTCTATACGGTTGAGTAAGCATGCATCACCATTTTCTGATTCCAGAGAATTCAAAGACTTCACTGTACTTTACTTGATCAAGTCAGCCTCTGTACATACACAGCATTCGACATGAATGATGACACGGCCCGACCTCGGAAGGTTCTTATATGGGCCCCACAACATGTACCTGGCGTAATTTCTTTTCTTTGTTTTGAAAAAAAAAAAAAAAAAAAAAATCCTCTTGCAGTCCTCCAGTATAAGCAAGAGTGCAAATTGCTGGCCAAACCAGCCCAGAATCGCAAGCCGCAGCGGTCCCTCAAAGCTCGTGATGTAGGTGTGATATCTGGTCGGGATGTCTCACGTGCGTAGTCACGGAAACAGTTCCTGAAGTTTCGATATCCACCGACCGAACGGAGCATCCTGTTATCTTTGTATCCATTATACACGCTGCTCACCTACTTACTAATTGCCCCTAGGATCGTAGCTCTAGTCAAATCTTAAGCAGCTCGCTGACCAGCTCTCTTAGTCTTCTTCGACATGGATTAGGTCCATGGCTTGTCTCATCCTGCAACTAGTTCGTAGGCGTTTGTTCCTTCAACCTACGGAAACAATGGCGAGGTTCTCATTGGGTACAGTCTCAGTCGTTGGCTTTGTTGCAGATTCCAGGCGCGTCTTACACAGTATTTACCATACAGTGCACTTGAAATTGGGCGCCTGATGGGTCCCGAGCATCCGCAGTATGACAGCGCCTAATAAATATTTTCCAACACCGTCACGTCTTGAGGAATAAACGTTCCAGATCTCAAGCTGTTTCCAATCCAGTAGCTGAACAGACCGTGGCACCACAGAGAAAAATCCTCGGAAGTCCAGGTAATACCCAATGGCTACTTCAGCAAAGCGTAAGTGAGGCCATCCCTATATTCTCTGGTATCCTTCAGGCCAGCGCTTCAGGGTACAACAGGTGCAGCATGTAACATCGTCATTCTGAACTAGTGATCAACCGCGAGGAATGGAGCACGTTTGCCCCCTCGTTTTTGCAGCTTGCAGCTCAAGGACCGGGAGTCGCTCCTGCTCATACCATGGTCGAGCACATCAACAAATTGCTGCCTTTCTCGACGGCGACGCTGGTTGTTGATATGGGTTGCGGACCCGGACAAGTCACCGACGCTATACTGCGAGAACATTCCACAGAGATCCCGACCGCGGCAAGCGTCATCGGTGCCGACAACAATCCCCAAATGCTTGCGGTGTATACCGCTCGCAAGACGAACGAGCTCAAAGAAGGGAAAGAGTACTGGGTGCGTGCGGGGACAGCCACAACAGACATACACGACTGCGACGCATTCTCCGACGACTCTGTCACCCACATGTTGGCGGGATTTGTCGTGTTCCTGGTACCGGAGCCTGCTAGGGCCGTCGAGGCTATGAGACGAAAGCTCGCTCCAGGTGGCGCGCTTGCATTTTCTTCATGGGCGAGCAGCGACTGGCAGGATCTCATGTACTACCCGAAGAAAGTGAGGCCGGACCTGGTGATGCCCACGCCACCCACCGACTGGACGCAACCTGACGGCGTGCGCACGCAGCTGCAACAGATCGGGTTTCGGGATATCCAAGTAGAGCAAACGAAGGGCTAGGGCATTCACGGACTACGACGAGGTCTGTCGGTTTATCATCACCAAGATGCCACTGGCTGCACGTGTCATATCTCAGATGTCGGACGAGGAGGTTCTCCAGACTCATGCGCTCATGGTGTCAGACCTCAAGGCCAAATACCCTACGGTCCCGGCTGAGATGGTGGGCACGGCTACGGTGGCGTACTGCCTGAAGTAGAGTTGGCTTACAAACACGCCCAGGGGAAAAGGTATTGTGAGATAGCATACAGGACTCATGGTCAATTCCGCTCCATATATACGTCTTCAGTAAGAGTTGATCCAGAAAAAAGGCGACATCGCAATAGAAAATATCGTACTGAGGAGCCCTGAACATCTCATTTCCGGTTTAGAATAGATTCATCATCTGTTATTGTTTGGTCAGGGAAATGGGCCCGATGCCGCTGTTGAAGAGGCACTCATGAAGTCCTGAAGACATTAGCTCCGTACTTGCTCTTCAAAGCGCTCGTTATGAAGTCATTGTATGTGAGTGGTACCAAACTCTTTTATTTCAAGTCTACGTATCCCCTGTCCGCCAGAGTACTCTGCTGCCTGCTGCTCGTCTGTTCCAAAGCCGAGTGATCCCAGGCCGCAAAAAGTCCCGAGAAACCTTTGACTTGCTTGTCACACCGGCCCAAATGGTGGACACACTTAGCAAGCGTTGACGCAGCCGGGGAACCTGTCCATGCATATCGTGTTGCAGCACTCCTCACGACCACCGCAGCCATTGACGCAGCAGTTGATAATGCGGTTGCAGTCACATTGGCGGCGGAACAGGTAGTTGCCGGATGTGTCACGGACTTCTGTTAGAAAACAATTAGTCAGAATGGTTTCGCCAAAGATGAGCGAGTAGGTGGAGAGTGCATACCGGTGGTGCGCTCCCTGGGTCTGGCAGCAGCGAAACCCATCAGAGTGACGGCGACGGAGACGATGGCGGAGAAACGCATTTTGACAGATTTAACCTTTTAGATTTATTTGGTCGGTAATGATTGAGATAGGGAAAGCTGATAGCTCTGATGATGATGATGCGATGTTTGTAAGAATTCAGGACGATAATAGAGTACATTCAAGCTATTTGAAGGAGGGAGATTTGACCCATACATATATAGACGAACATTCGGCTAAGGTTTGGTCTCCCGATTCTCACTAAAATAGCTAGCAAAATAGAGTCCTCGTGTTGATTATTAGTTTATGGCTTAAAGGTAACTAAATAACGGCGTATAAGCCGCGTATAATCTATTATATAGACCGTCTGTTTTAGAATGTTGAACAGATATTGCAACAGACATTGCGTGGCTGTTGTATTCCCTTTTATATTGCTTTCTGCCCTTGGAAGAATCACTATTATTTCTCTCATTTGAAGCTCATTGACTAAGTCGTCGATGCGTGGTCCGATCCTCATAGCCTGTAACTATCCGAAGAGCGAGGCTTGATGCGCTTGGCTTTGTACGTAAGCTGACCAACCGTCAGCAGAACCCTCGTGGGACAAATACAATACCAACGACAGACCTGCTGCGGCTTTCAGCTATTCGGACTCAGCTCTTCGGACTTTTCTCGAGGATTCAATGTGACATACTAATGCGCCATGCTGCCGCTACCACCATATGTACTACGTAAGGCATTTACATAGCCCTCTCAGAATCGTAGGCTAAGTCCAGCGAGGCTCCACATGGGCTCTCAACTGGTCTCGAGGCTATGAAACGAGGGGATCATGAGTGTTGACAAGTGATCAATTTCTCTGGGTGATCTGCAATAAGACAATCCTTTGCCAATCTTACGGACGAGACCGATTCGAAGGCAGGGCCCCGTTCTACAGGCACTGGTTGATGAGATCCCAGAATGCGGTGGACCGAAAGTAATGGCATTGCGACGAGGAGAGACCGGTGAGGGAATCAGCGTCATTGATCATAGAAGTGCACTATTCTTGTCGACTAACCTCATCTTCGCACAAATAAGCTCGAGTTTCGGTGCTCGGTCTTCGCCTGGTCCGAAGGGATGCTGATCGTCGTCCCTCATTCCGAGCGTTCTCGAACAGGCTTAACTATTCTATGACTTTGCGCGCATCTTGAGAATCGACCGGCACCGGACTGTTACCCTCTGAGGCTCCGAGCTCCGAGGAGGATGTTGTAGAATGCGCGATGTGCTGGCGTCAGGTCGATCTTCAGGATAGACACTTCAACCATCCTGCTCGACCGTAATGAAACCTAATGATCAATTTGAGCTACAAGACCCAGCAAAAACACACTGGTTGGTTGTCTTGCCGGTGTGAGTCGTCCCCTGAAGTGAGGGGACGAGATCAAAGGGCTCTCCATCGGATCCCCTGCCTTGGTTCCTCCAACAAGGTCAGATTCTTGTGGTTCAAAATGTTACTTTGGAACGTTCAGTATGATCCTTCCGTTTCCCAATAACAACAGGGATGAGAAGCCGCCCCTGTGGCATGTAGTAGAGCTACTCACATTTTTCGCAGCTTTCTTTGCTTCCCATGACCCACAACCGCTACTGGGCGTCATCATGACTTCCGGGCCTGGTGTTGACCGTCGCAAGATGGCCTGAGCCACACCCGCAGCAATTCTGAGAAGGATCCGCTGGAGTCGAATCTCTCTCGCGGCCAGCCAAAGCTGTTGAGATAAGCACTATGAGGAAGGCACTCAACCTTCCCGGGATTCAACCAGGCTGGACTGCGTCTACAGATTCGCAGATCTTAACTGTTTAACATGGTGGTCAAAAGCACTATGCTGACATGAACAGATCCTCTGAACACGGACCAAGGTAAACGCTGGCGCGCACAACCACGTCGACGGCTACTTCAATGAGATTCACATCACCTTGTCATTGGGGACCAAAGTTGGTGGAATGTCCATGTTCAAGAAGGCATTCGAGAACGACGCACAAGACGCAGACGAAGCGGAGAAGCTCCCTGATGACAAATGGATACACATGCCTCAGCCGCCGCTATACGAACATGGCTCCATCTGGCACCGAGATCCATCTGGGAACGCCCGTCGCGGAAGGAATAACGTCGTCTCGTACCCCTGGCACAAATGGAATGCAGGCAGCGGCGAAAACATTGGCGTGTGGCTGGCGCTAAAGTTCAACCCCGACTTGGCTTTGTGAGGCACAACTTGCTCCTCCGGCCATTCGGGGACTCTTTTATGGACGGCAAGTGTGTTAGATGCGAAATGTGCCTTGGCGTGCTATTTAGTCACTCATTATCGAATCAACCTATGAGATGCTTATTTTCCAAGGGATTTCTCTTTTCAAGTACATCACAAATCGGTGCAGTAGTGGAATGGCTCTATTCCTGATGTATCGGAAGTAAAATCACAGAGCTCTGGGCTGGAGAAATTCTTCAGCTTCCGGACTGGAAGAATTGTGCGTTTGAGCCCCTCCAACCACACCACTTGCTGGAGGTATATGTAAGGAACAAGTCAGACACTCAATATGACATTGACCATGGTTCGGAAACGCTACATGGGTTGGCCTTGTACCGACTGTGGCTCACAATTTGCTCGCTGTGGAGTTTGGCTCATTGGTCCAATATGAAGGCATACGCTTGGCCAGCTCGAGCTCCGCATTAGCCCGCATGGCGCAAGATAAACATGCAAAGAGACCATTTTAAGCTCATCAGTGAAGCAAGGGCCTATGTTTCGGTGTTACGTGTGTGGGGAATCGAAGGTACGGCAGTATCTCCAATCCGATACGATATCCAAGGCATTTGGCATGTACTTGGTCCCCAGCCCACTTCAGTGTCGCCTCATACCGCCGCAGACAATATTCTCGCAGACCTTTGTCTCACTGACAAAGACCAAGAAAGGCCCACATCAATTGATTTCCACTTTGCCGAAGCCAATATGTCTGGCATATCTGCATCTGAGCTGGCCCAGGAGGAGACCTTGAAGACGTCAGTGACGAGGTCAGATCCGGAGAACCGACTCAACGCGCCATTCATTCTCTACGAACCTCTGCCTATCATAAAGAAGAAGTCACTGGGAGCTGGCGTATGTCAACATTTCACCATCAGGGCGAAGATCTGAATTGACCTCGACGCAGTCCATATTGCCGATCGGCGCTTTCGCTACCACTCTGACGACCCTGTCGCTTTCTTTGATGGAATGGCGAGGTGTCACGACTACCAATGTTTACATAGCGAACTTCTTTTTCATCGCGGCATTTGGACTCGTGGTCACAGCCCAGTGGGAGTTGGCCATCGGGAACGGGCTCGCATACTCGATCTATAGCGCTTTCGGTATGATTCCCTCTTGACAAGATTCCACCTTGTTCAAAGCACAAACGCTAAATTAACATTGAAAAGGGCTGTTCTATGCGGGATATGCAGCAATGATCACCCCATCCTTCGGAGTCGCAGATGCATACGGCGACGACATTCAGCAGTGTAATAATGCTGTTGGGTTCTTCATGATATGTATGGTTTTGCCTGATTTCTGAGAGCAGAAGACTCGCTGACAAGGTGTGTGTAGTATGGACCGTCTTCGTTTTCGCTCTCTTGGTCGCGGTCATCCCCACTAACCTCACTTTTATTGTAATCTTCATCTTCCTGGTTCTGGGTTTCCTGTTTGTGGCAAGCAGCTACTTTGCCGCGGCGGACGGTCATGCTACTGCCTCAGTCAATCTTAGAAAGGCCGGTGGAGTATTTTGCTTTCTGGCTGGACTAGGAGGCTGGTATGTTTCTGCCTGTTCATTGGGTTGGGAGAACCACTTTGAGACCGAAAGGCATGCTGATACGTACACAGGTACTTGACTTTCCATCGTTTAACGGCGGAGTCGTTGTTGGACATTCCACTCGGTGACACGTCCCGATATTTCGGCAAGAAAACCAAATAGTCCGGTGGTTATGTGTTCTCGACACTTGGAAGGGCTTCTAGTTACATGCATGAGTCTGCGAAAGACGTGAGCAGATAGGTAGAGCGTGTGCACTCAAGGCAGAAGAGATGTGTCGTCACGCCCAGGATATACTCGGCGCAGTAGCAGACTCACCGGATTGCGTGTACCAAGTCATGCAATCATAATTACTTCGTGTGGACTTGCTAAAGGTTGATATTCAGAGTGAAGTGTTGTGTGATAATAAAGCTCATGGATCAATCATGATTGCCGCGCTGACTGATCCTGAGAATCAATGAAAATCATCGCATACACTGACCAGGGTTGTTAGTAAATATCTAGCAAACGCCTTTAGATTTGTAATTTTATTGCATATACATACAACAGAAAGCCTGTTGGTAGAAACACTTGCAACGATGGTCAAACGAGTCCACTTTCTGAAGTTATTTGAAAGCCAATATTTGCGTTATTTGTTTTTGAAACTGAATAAAAATCTCCAAGTTTTACCATGAGAGGGATCACAAACATGGCAGCTGGCCTTAAAACACGTTAATTCAAGGTAAGTGGGCGCTATCTCTCTCAGCAAAAAAGGAGAGCATTCAGAGGGCCTCGGCGCACTGCAGAAGGAAGCACCGAGAGGGCGAGTAGTGGGGGCTCAATCAGCCGCCATCTACACGCTAATGTACCTACTCTTAGACGCCACGTCTAGTGCTAGGGCCGCCAACGACAAGCTCTGCATGATGTTGAAGATGGACACTTCGGCGCCGGCTTGCAGCACCAGCATGTTCCGCAGCTCGACGGCGACAAGTGAGTCGACGCCGTACTGGGCCGGCGGCTGTGTCAGATCGATCTCGTCGGCAGGAAGCATGAAGATGGCGGCGAGCTTGGCGGTGATGGCTTGCCCCAGGAGCTCGGCCGCGGCTTCGCGCGACGGTGCGCCAGCCAGCCTGTCTGCGAGAGTCTGCGTCTGAGCCTGGCGCCGATCAGCACCAATGCCATCCTTTTGCATGCCAGCCCCGGTGCCAAGAGGCTCCCGCCACTTGAGCGCAGTAAAGCGTGGATCACGGGCCATCTGTGATTTCCCGTCGGGGTCCCACTGCGGGCCCGGGCCGGTGTTGAGCCCAAGCAAGATCTGTGGGTGCTGCGTCGGATGAGCAATGGCGGCCTGAAGCGCGTTGTGCAAGGCTGTCTCGGTCAGCATCAGCGTCTCGCCCGTCGTGCGCATTCGGCCGGCCACGCCTGCTGTCTCGGCCACGTACCCGACGCCCCTGACAGCGCCCAGGTCGATGGCCACTCCCGGCAACCCGCGCGACGACCGCCAATGGGCGAGCGCGTCCTGGTACGCGCCTCCCGCTGCGTAGTTGGCCTGACTGACGATCCCCAGGTTTCCCGAGAAGGACGAAAGCATGACGAAGAAGTCGACTTGCGAGCTGGGGCCGCGACGGCCGCAGTACTGCACGTGCAGGTTGCGCGTGCCGCACACCTTTGGCCTAACGCACGTCTGCCAGTCCTCGAGCGTCATGTGCTCCAGAACCGAGTCCTGCAGGACCATGGCGCCTTGGATGACGCCTCGCACAGGCGGCAGGCCCTGGTCCTCGCAGGAACGAAGCGCCTGGGCTAGGTGGCCGGCAATCGAGACGTCACAGCTGATGGCCACCACCCGGCAGCCCGCCTCGCGCAGCTCGGCCACGACGGCACCGTTCTTTTTCTCGTCCCCGGCGCTTCGCGACAAGAGGATCAGATTCTTGGCTCCACGGCCAATCATCCAGTGGGCGATGGAGCGCCCGAGCCCACCTGTGCCGCCCACCACCAGATATGAGGCATCGGGTCTGAGTCGGGCAGCGGGGGCCGCCTGGCGTGGGCGCACCTTGACTTTCTCGTCAGGTTTGGTTGATAGCACAATCTTGCCAGTGTGCTTCCCTGTCTGCAAGAGGCGGAAAGCCTTGGCTGTCTCGCCCATCGAGTGCACACTAACTGGCCGGACTGGTGTCAGTTTCCGCCCCCGGACCAACCGGGCAACTTCAGACAGGACGCGATGTGTGTGCTTTCCACGATGCCGCAGTAGCGACATCATGTCCAATGAGCTGTAGGAAGCGACTCGAGAAAAGGTGCCCATGTCAAGGAGGCTATTACCTTCGAGATCCTTCTTGCCGATCTCAACAAGATGGCCAAAGGGCGCGAGGACCTCAAAGCTCGCCTGTAGCAGGGATCCGGCCAGCGAATTCAACACAACGTCCACCCCACGGCCGCCGGTAGCTGCCAACACGGCTGGGGCAAACGACGCACTGCGACTGCTGAATATGTCTCTTCCGGAATCCCATACTCGCGCGCGAGTAGGTCTCGCTTTTCTTGGGAACCAACGGTGGCATAGATGTTCCCGGCACCCAACTGCTTGGCAAGCATAATAGCCGCCTGTCCAACACCTCCTGCGGCTGCGTGGATGAGGACCGACTGGCCCTCTCGAAGCCGCGCGTCATCGACGAGCGCGACGAAGGCAGTGCTGAAGACCATAGGCAAGGACGCCGCATCCTCAAAGCTCATGCCCTCGGGCATGTGCACGACGCCGTGCCATGAGATCTGGGCGCGACTGGCAAATGGCCCTAGCAGGAGGGCCATGACGCGATCACCAACCTCAAGGCCTTGTTTCTGAGCCTCGGGACCCAGGCGCGTGATGATGCCAGAGCACTCGAGACCCATGACGCGCTCCCTCAGCTGGCCCATGGCGACCATGACATCGCGGAAATTGAGTCCGTACGCCCGTGGTTCAATCTCCACCATGTCCGCGGCCAGAGGCGATGAGGCTGCTTCAACCGCCTTCTCATCATCGCCAAATGCCAGCGTGTCCAGAAGGCCGGGGATGCCCACCTCCAAGAGCAGCGAGCGCTCCTGCTGAAACAAAGGCTCCACCTTGAGAATTGCGTCGGGATTTTGCCAGTCCAGAGCCGGCCGAGCCCCCAGCATGTCGTTGAGCACCGCGTCCTTGTACAGCCGCGGGACGAGCAGCACCCCGTCCCGCACGGCCCATTCGAGGTCGACAGGTGAGAAGCCCGCATCAGGGTGAGCGCCAGGACCGAAGGCCAATTCAATGATCTTGGTGATGGCCTCCACATTCGACACTGACCACTCATCATGGGAAGTCAGCGGACCCTGAAGGTCGAGAGAGATATACCGCCGGCCCATGTACTCGTTCCGCATGGTACGCAGCAAGCCTCGACTCAAGCTGGCGTCCGGGTTCTCGCACTCAACAGCACCACCGGCAGTGACCCAGACGACGTCCTTGCAGCTGGTGGTCATGGTCTTAATGGACTGGAAATAGAGCTCATCCATGTTGTGCAGAATCGGCTGCACAGCCTCACCCAGGAAGACGCAGACCTTACCGCTGTATGCAATACCCTGGGTGTTCGTGTCCTCGAGAGAGACGACGGATGGTGAGGGGCTGCCGGTAGCTACCATTATACTGTCCTTGATCATATCTATGGTTACGGCGGGAGGCGGTGCCTTCTTGCTGATGACAAGGACCGGATCGGTGGAGACTTGCTGGGCAGGTGTTGGAGCTTGAACCCTCGACATGATGACACTAATCGAGTACATGTCGTGGCTGTCACAGTCGGGTACGTCGAACTCGACCCCGGTAAATCCGGCACCCTTGAGCACATGGTCGCAGAACGGCAGGGTGAGAGACGGGCTCGACTGGCGGGCTGGCTCCTCGCTCAGCCACCACCCAGCCAGCAAGCCAAACGTAAACTGGATATCGACCTGGTCCTGTGTCGTCTCCATCAGCAACAGCGTACCTCCTGGCTTCATCAGGCTATGCACGTGGGCCATGGTGCGAGCCATGCTCTTGGTCGCATGCAGCACCTCGCAAGCAACCACGATATCATAGCTCGCCAGCTCGAACCCTTGAGATGCTGGATCCTTCTCAATGTCCAGCCTATCGAATTGCAGTACATCACTCCACCCAGAAAACTCGGCGCGGGCCGCCTCGAAGAATCCCGAGGAGATGTCGGTGTGCCAGCTCGCCGCTCGGAAACCGCCATCCTCTGAGCTGCCGAGCGCCTTGAGCATGTGCCGGGTCGCACCACCAGTGCCTCCGCCAATCTCGAGGATGCGGGCTCTGGGAGTCTTGTGCACGACCGCCCGCAGCAGACTTGCCAGCTGCACCAGCGACGGCCCCATACGGAGAGCGTCGGCGTAGTATCTGTACAGCAAGCGATCCTCCATCATCACTTCAAGCGGTGGTCGCTCCTTGCGCAGCATGCTGACGAGATGCGGTCCGAGATGACACACCATCTCGCCCTCGACGCTCTGCGTGGCTGCCAGAGAAATCTCACGCTCACGCTCCTGCTGCTTGTCCCCCGCCCATCCTTGGCTGCCTGGGCCCTGTCCCCCCGAGGCCGCAAGGGAGACCTGATCCTGCATCCAGCGGTGAAATCTGACGTGGTGGGGCTCGAGGTTGGCTACGTCTTCGGTAGTGAGGCGCTGTAGGGCGTCCTGGCAGAAGTACACGCACACACGCCGCAGCCGGATGACGACCTCTCTGCTCATGGCCATTTCTGATTCCGCAACGCCGCCGAGCCTTTTCTTGAGCTGGTCGAGCGCCTTGGGCTGGGCAATGGACAAGTCCGGCGCCCATTCGATCCTGGTGCACAGCTCCTTTTGCCACTTCTCACTCGTTACGCCACTGCGCCTGCTGCCTCCGCCCATGGACTGACAGACGAGACCGTGGAGCTCAAGAACGTGTCCTGTCGTCTGCTTATTCCCGTCATCTTCGACAACGACAGCGTCGGACTGGAAGTTCTGTGAGTCTGCGTGTGATATGGACGTGTGGGACTTCATGACGTGCCCCGCCTCGCGGCTTATGCTGCTCGACACCCACAGCTCCTGGATCGAGTACGGCAACTTTGCGTCTCCGTCGCCACCATCAGGGTTTCCTACTCCCGGGAGAGCGCTGTAGCACGAGAGGATGATCGAGTCTAGCGTCGTCGGGTGCAGCACGTGTTGCTGGGGCAGGCTCTCGGCCACGGACGACGTGTCAGCTATTCCCAGAGAAGAGACAGATCGCGAGTCCCTGCCGTCTTGCTCGATAGCCGTTATGTTCTGAAAAAAAGGCCCGTGGTAGATACCCTTAGATCGCAGGCTAGCAAACATGTCCTCGGGATCAACTTTCCGGGTGTACTGCGACAGTGGGCGTATCGTCAGATTACGGGTCGTTGTGCCCGGCAAACTCGACCCGACAACGTCGGCCATGACCAAGCCCTTAGCGTGGAGGGTCCACCGCCCTTCGATTGTTACGGATGAGACCTCCCAGTGTTTCCAGCCGCGGGCGCCGATCGTCTTGTCGCTGACGGGCCGCAGTGACGTCTGGATCTCGAGACCGTCGGCATCGTCCGGCACCACCAGGGCCGCCAGCAGCTTCACGTCTCGCAGCCTATATCCTGCCGTTTCGATGTTGTTGATGCCGGAAGCATCATGAATGCCCATGTGCACGAGCTGCTTTGCAGCCTCGATGGCTGAACAGACGTAGCCGGCGCCCGGATACACAATGTTTCCCTGCACGGCATGGTCCCGAAGCCACGGGACCTCGGCAACCCGCAACACGTTCTTCCACACGGCAACGGCCTCTGGATTGGTCCCCGGGACGAGAGTTCCCAACAGCTCGTGAGGCTCCTGGTCGCGCGCGCGGATCGACCGACTGATGCGCGACTCCTGCCAGTGCCTTTTACTGTGGTTCCACGGATACGAGGGCAGGTCTGTGAGCACTCGTACGGCTTCTGCCTGGCTAGCCGGGAAGTTGATCTGATGCATGTCGAGCGGGAGGCCTTGGCGCAGCAGATTGACGGCCACGGACCGCATCGTATCCACGGCGTGCTCGTTGCGCACCAGACAGCCATGGTAGGGGATATCGTCCATCCCCTCAAACTCGGCCAGGGACAGGATTTCGCGGATCGGGCTTGCCAGGCCTGTGTGGGGCCCTACCTCGAGAAGAAAGTCTATGTTTGCTTGAACAGGTCCGCCCAGGACCATGTCGGTGAATGCCCTCACAAACTCCACCGGCTGCGTCAGGCTGTCGACCCAGTGCTCCGGGGCCGCAATGTTGCGCAGGCTGGTCATTCGACCGCCCGTCACGGCCGATGAGAAAATGACAGCCGGCGTGTCGTCGTTATTCTCGTCATCAGAGCCGGTCTGCTCGTCCCACGAACGCTTCACTTCCTTGCGCAACAGGTTAAGATAGGGCTCTGCGATGGGCAACATATGGTGCGAGTGATAGCCCGTATCGACCTTGAGGCGGCGCGAGAAGACGCTTGCCTGCTTGCACATGTTCTCCATTTCCTCCACTGCACTCACGTCCCCGGCGATGGTGACGCTTTCCGGGCTATTGATACACGCCACCGCAGCCTTCCCGGGGGAACAGGTAAGCCCATCGAGAAACTCTTGCGCCGCGGCGGCCCCAAGGCCCACGGCCAACATCCCACCCTTCTCCTGGGTCGTCGTCGTTGTCTGCAGATCCGCAGCCAAAACAGCCCGGTGATAGGCTACCGCCAGCGCCTGCCCGTGTGTCAACGCACCAGCCGCATACGCAGCGGCGATCTCGCCCGACGAGTGTGCTGTGACGGCGGTGGGTGTAATACCCCACGAATCGAGCAGCCGCACGAGGGCGATCTGCAAGGCGACGCATACGGGGATACTGAGTGCCGTGGTATTGACCCTAGTCGTCTGCGCGTCCCGGAGCAGTTCCTCCAGCAGGGACCACTCGGCCCCGAGGGTCCGGAGTTGGCGGTCCGCCTCTTCGATCGACGAACGGAACCCTGGGTAGGTTTGAAGCAGCTCCCGGCCCATGGCGTGCCACTGTGCCCCCTGACCTGTGAAGACCATGCCGATGCGTGGGCGACGATTAGAGGGGATGCGGACGGGCATGAAGCTAGGCGAGTCGAGTTCCTGGACGATTTGCTGCATGCCCTCGTCTCCTCCGAAATTAACCTGACTTGCGGCTACCCAGGAGAAGAGCGTGCGGCGTGAGCAGAGCGTGTAGCTCAGGTCCTGCATGAGATTTACCGCTGTGTCAGGCGCTGCGCTGCGGGCCTGCAGGTACTCCTTGAGGTCTGCGACCATGCGGCGGCATGACTTCTCGTCGCGGGCGCTGAGGACGAGGACAGTGCTCTTATCACGCTCACAGCCGTGCGTCTGCTCGATGGCCACACCATTGGTCCGATGCGACGCTGAAGGCAGGGCTTCCAATATGACGCTGTTTTGAATGTTAGCATATACCAACGTCGCAGAATTACGAACAGAAGAGAAGGGAAGAACCATGAAAATGACTCACTGGGCGTTGCTGCCTCCGTAGCCAAAGTTGTTGACGGACGCGCGGCGCGGCTGTTGTGGTCTGTGAGTCGTAGGCCACTGCTCGAGGGTTGTCGGCACCTTGAGGTGCCACTCGTCGAGTTCCAGCTTTGGATTAGGCGTGTTAAAGTTGATGCTGGGAGGAATCAGGCCCTTCTCCAGCGCCAGCACTACCTTGATCACGCTGGACAGCCCTGAGGCTGCCTCTGTATGTCCGATGTTTGTTTTGAGAGATCCGATGCGCAGGGGCTGCTTCTCAGGAGACGAACATGTATGCTGTCCCTGGCCAAAAACAGCGGCGACGGCACGAGCTTCTATGGGATCTGCATGCATCGACCGCTGTCAGAAAGGTATCTTACGGATCGTCGTGGAAACATTTTGGGGACTCGAATCCAGCCCGTCATTCATTACTCACCACCTGTCGGTGTGCCCGTGCCGTGGGCCTCAAAATACTGCGTATCGCGCGGGTCGAGGCCGGCACGTCGGTAGCACTCATACATAAGCTCCTCCTGGGCAGACTGCGACGGCGTTGTGATGGTCTCTGTCCGTCCGTCTTGGTTCAGGCACGTCTCGCGAATCACAGCACGGACGGGATCGCCGCACGCCAATGCATCATCCAGGCGCTTGATCACGATAGTCGCCACCCCCTCGCCTCTGCCATACCCATTCGCCCGCGAGTCGAAAGCATACGAGCGCCCATCAGGACTAAGCATACCCATCGACCCAAAGACTTTGAACATATCCGGACCCAGGAGCAGGTTGGCGCCGCTGACGATGGAGCAGTCGGCTTCCCTCGAGCGGAGGGAGGCCACGGCCTGGTGTAGCGCCACAAGCGTCGTGCTGCAGCCCGTGTCGACCGTCATGCTCGCTCCCCGGAGGTCGAAGAAGTGCGAGATGCGGTTAGACGACATGGCCGAGAAGGTGCCGATGGGCAGCAACCGGGGAAGCTGCTCCTCGTCCCGCAGGATTCCCTCGTGGTAGTCGTGCGAGAATACGCCCGCGAATACGGACGTGTTAGAACCCGCAATCTTGGAGAGGGGCAGACCGGCTGTGGTTTGCTTTCATCAGCACTCTCCTTCAAACCGTGAGGTGAGATGGCTCAAATAAGGTGAGTTATGTACCATTCTCCAGTGCTTCGTATGCGGACTCTAGCTGCAGCCGGAACTGAGGGTCGATCGCCGATGCTGTTTCGGCCGAGAAGTTGAAAAAGGCAGCATCGAACAGTCCGATGTCCTCTTCTATGAAATGTGCCCCTTTGATGTTTGTCTAGACCCCCATCTGTCAGCAGATCCAGGTCAAAACTCGTGTTCACCTGACGGGAGGGACAAGTCACCGTGTTGATCTTCTCATGATTTGGATGATGCGTGCCCTTGACGTTGAATCGGGACGACGGAATCTCGGACCAGGCGCTCCTGCCCTCGGCTAGCATCTCCCACAGCTTCTCAGGGCTGCGAGCGCTGCCGGCAAGCTTGCAGCTCAGTCCGACGATGGCTATGGGCTCACTTGTTGGCTCATTGCTTAAGCTTCCCATCGTGGTGATTAACAACTCGATGAATTTGAATACAATTTAGCTGGTCTTGCTGTGAATTCGATCACTTATCAAGAGCTGACAGTAATGATATCAATCTCCAAAGGCGAAAAGACCACGCATGGGAATTGGGTCATGGTGCGAGACATGCTCCTCATAGAACTCATATTGATCTACAGATATATTCAGGATGCTAGACGAGATGATGCTTTGTGAACAGCCTCCCGACTTGCAGCCTGATCCGCATCATTGCAGTTGCCGGTAAGCATTAGGTTTTGTCGAAAAGGCTCCGGGCTGAATTGAGAGGACAATCTCAAAGGCATCTCGCGGTCTCGTGCCACCTTAGCCTCGCTCTCAGACATGCTTCACCCCTGGGTGCAAATCCGTGCCCCTAATGGGAAGAAAGGCCGACTCGAACCGAGCTTGCTGACTTGATAGATGGGTAGGATGATAGAAGACGCGCGGACATGAATGCCGGAAGATGGAACTTCCGTCAAAATCACCCCGGACACATTCTAATCCTGCCACATGCAATGCTGTGGGGAGGGGCCCTTTGAAAAGCCTGTCCTCACGTTTGCAGGTACTTGCAGGAAAAGCAAATGACCTAAGCCAGGCGACTTCCGGTGTACATGTCACCGTACCAGTGTGACAGAGGGATCACTAGTGCCTGGAGCTGTTGGTCTAGTTGAGGCACAATTCGTATCTATGCCCGATGTACTGTAGTACAAGAATGTCTCCATTGTGCATTTGTTACTTGTCATTTTGGTACGAAATTGGGGGCCGGGACTAGGAGGCACTGAGGGTTGAACGGCATTCACATTCCGGACTTACCGTACGTCAAAAGGACACTGCATGCGTAGCTCAATTACTTACCATGGGTTACTTACAGACTTGTGCAGTACGACTTGCGAGAATACTCCGGACCGGAAACTGGTATGGAGGCATCGAGTTATTCGTAGGCGTTGCTTCATTGTTTCACTGCATCACCCGTCGGTGTTTTGCTTTGTTCTTTTCTGTGTCAGAGGCTTCACCTCTAAGTCAACACTACCATCCACAGCGGCTCATTTTATCCTTGTTTTCACCCTGAGTTGTCCGGTATCTGGCAACGCTAGGAGGCACATCACCAATGCTGTCTCTCCGTCTCAACTCAACACAACGACAAACATGAGCGACAACGATCACCCTAAAAATGAGGCAGCTTGGCTCCCTGCCAAGCAGGTCAAGCCTCTCGAGGTCGGCCCGGCCCCCTACACTGCTCCCGGGCCAGGCGAGATAGTGGTCAAGAACGCCGCGGTGGCCATCAACCCCATCGACTGGCAGAAACAGATCCTGGGCGACATCCTGCTGGGTTACATCAAATACCCTTTCGTCCTCGGCGGCGATGTAGCTGGAACAGTTACCGAGGTTGGCCCAGGGGTCCAGCGCTTCAAAGTCAACGACCGAGTTGTTGCTGCCGCCCTCGCCATCGCCCCGGTCTCGGGAAATGCGGCCGAGGGTGCATTCCAGCGGTACACCCTCATCCGTGAGCACATGGCCTCACCGCTGCCCGATCATATCAGCTACGAGCAGGCCTGCGTCATGCCTCTCACGCTCTCCACGGCCGTGTACGGCCTCTTCCACCCCAGCTTTCTCGCTCTCGACATGCCGAATGTGCCGTCAATTAGCACCAGCAGAAAGTCGGCTCCCCGGGCGGTCATAATCACGGGTGGTTCCTCCAGCGTCGGCGCCAACGCGATCCAGCTCGCTGTCGCCGCGGGCTACGAGGTGTTGTCTACTAGCTCTCCCAAGAACTTTGACTTTGTGAAGAAACTCGGAGCTGCCCAAGTCTTCGACTACAACAGCAAGACGCTGGCTGCTGATGTTCTCGTCGCGCTCGAGGGCCGCTCGCTGGCTGGGGCTTACGCCATCGGCGACGGCGCTGTGGAGGTGTGCACCCTCGTCATGACGCGCCACAAGAACACGACGCACAAGTTCGTCGCCATGGCGGGCGGGTCGCCCCTGGGAGACAAGCTGCAGACCTTGACCGGTAAGGTGTTCCTCATAATCAGCATGCTATGGAAGATTCTTAAACAAGCTTTTGCGTCGCGCATAACAGGGGTCAAGGTCCAATTCATCGACCTCAAAGATGCAGCAGAGCCCGAGGGGCATGTGGCACGCATCTATAAGGAGTACCTGCCACGGGCGTTGGCCGAGGGCCAGCATGTGCCGGCTCCAGACCCGGTGGTCGTTGGCACAGGCTTGGAAAAGATTCAGGAGGCGATGGATATCCAGATGAAGGGTGTGTCGGCACAAAAGATTGTTGTTTCACTTTAGCTGTAGTCACCCGATGTTTTACTTGGCCAACATCGAGTCTTTGAGAGCTGTGGTCTTGTTCCTTTCCTGAATGTGAACAATAATAAAACGACATCTGGGTTCTCTCGTTGAACTATGTTGTTGATTCTTTGGTAGCGAGAGCTTATTTACACACACACACACACACACATTTGGTTGAATTAATACAGCTATCCATATTTTATAATCAAGAAATACGTATATTACATTACCCATCATCCTCTTCCATCTACAGTCTCAACCAAGGTCTTCGCATGGATATGGTTTTAAATGTTTTCAGTAATCACTACGAGAGGTTTCATTCGACAGGGAATATAACTCTCCGATGCAAAACCCAGGCACAATATATAATTTCAGTCTATTCTCGATTTCAACTCAAACTGGACTTACAAGGTTAGTCTATATATCAATGGTTCGCTTAATGTATCTACTGATGCATAGGCTGTGGGAAGAGTATGTATAGCTGGCTGCTGTGTGTAGCTGATGAGCAATTGCTTGGCGACTTCAAGGAAAATGGACCAAGATGGAGGAAAATATCGAGACACCAGAGTACCCAATGATTGGGATTGTCTGGTGTCGTTACATTAATATGTTGAATACTCTTATCATATAAGCTTTGTGATGATACTACAGTCTAATTTCCATAAGCCGCCTTCTTCTTCGACAAACAACCAAATCTCTCTGCTTCTGGTCTTTGTGGTGACTGAACTGCAAAGCAAATCGTCGCACAGAGAAACTCGCCAATATGCTCACCAGTCATCCGAGTCCGACGATCGTAACTCCTGAAGCTTCTTCTCCTTTCGAATATCCTTGAAACCCAGACCCCAGCCGAAAGCAAACGCGGCAATGGCAACAGCGATGCCAAGATACATTACAGCATCGATGCTCTCGCTGTAGGCTTCCAACGTAGCAGCAAGCTCTTGACTCCGCACAAAATCACGGATACCGCGAACACCGGCGTCGATGATGACCTCGGGGTCGATTCCGATCTCTCCTCTTCTGTCCTGAAGCTGGCTACGCAGGGTGTTGCTGAAGATGGCGTTCGCGGCGGGCAGCGCCACGGCTGCACCAATATTCTGGCAGAAGAGGACAATTGACATTGCGGTCGAGATCTGGGTCGCTGGGACGCAGTTTTGTACGGCTATGAAGGCCTATCATGTGCGAAAAACAAGAAAACGTGTCAACGACGCGTAATTGAAGATCCGAGCAAGAGAGGTGTCACTTACGCCTGCAGCCATGGAGCCACCCCCAACACCGTAAAGGACCTGGTACCCGATCCACTGGGCTGTAGTCGTTGTGGCACTCAGCAAGGAAAACAAACCGTACCCAATGGCTGAGATCGCAGCTCCCGAGAGAACCCAAGGAAGGTAGTACCCAAATGCCTCGACTATGGTTACGCCATTCTGGTTAGTGAAGGGGACCATGATGAGGATGGGGAAGAACACCTACTCGCAGTTCCGGAAATCATGGTAAACATTACTATGGCTAAGGTTGTCGGCAGCATATGTACACCGCTCATGAGGGGCGTATCATCGTGTATAGCCTGAAAGTAGATGGCGAGGTAGAAGTCGGCCACGAGGACGGTGGCTAGTAGGAAGAACATGTTGCCTGCGGCAGACCAGATGATGCGGTGCTTGAGCATGGCGAACGGCACCATGGCTTCGTCTCCCGTGCGGTACTCGTGCACCAGGAACAAGACGAAAGTGACCAGCCCCCCAACCATGAGCCCGATGACGGTCGCGCTGTTCCAGGGGTACTCGTTGCCACCATACTGGATACCTAGGAGGAACATGATAGCCGCCGGGCCGATGAGTGCGAACCCGGGCAAATCTAGGGACTTGATGGCTGTCTTCAGGACCTGACGCGCTGATGGCTTGGGTGCCGGCTCGGGAATCTTGAAGAGCAGCAACAGTACGCCTACGACGGCGCCGATAGGGAGATTGACGTAAAAGCACCACCTCCAAGTGGTGTACTCGGTGAACAAACCGCCAACAATTGGCCCCAGTGCGAGTCCCAGCTGGCCGAGACCCATGTTGACACCCATGGCCTGTGCCTGCGCCCGAGGTGGCAGGATGGCCGAGATGATGGTCAATGCTCCATTGCCGATGCCCGAAGATCCCACGCCTGCGATGGCGCGTCCGACGATGAACATCGACGACGATTGAGCGGCTCCGCATATGGCAGATCCAACGACAAAGACGAAGAAGAAAGAGAGAAATGTCCACTATATTTTTTGGTCAGCAATTGTACATCTCGTACTTGACCATTCTGTCTGGAAGCTTCCGCCCATGGCCTTGGGGTTGAAGTTTAAGAAGGCCCACTCACCTTGATTGAGAAGTAACGAAAAAGCTTTCCGGTCATCTACAACATCCAGAGTCAGTCAAACCTTTGCGAGGCATATGTGGTTCCAGGCTCTATTTCAAGCTTGTCTCAGAAGAGTCTGTGTGATCGTTTCGGAAATAATCTCAATATTAGGTGCAACAGGCAGTATTTCACGAGCTCTGAAAGCCACCTACAGGCTGGAAAGCTGCACTGCCAAGCTGGTATGCACCTCCATACCTGTATTTCAATATCCCGGTAAGCAATAAGGCAGGATGAGCTTGATGTAAGAGGCAGTTCTGGCAGGGCGAGGCTAACTTACCACCCAATATCTATCAAGGAGTTAAATTCAGTCGTGATTGCAGGTGCTGCCGTGGACAAGACGGCTAGGTCGAGGAAAAAGGTGAAGTAGGTCAGAGTCACGGGGCCAAGAATGAGCCATCTTGCAATGCCGGTCACATAGTGCCTCTCGTAGTCTTCGGTCTCGCCGTTTTGATCACTTTGCTTTGGATCTCCGGCGTTCTTTTCCACGTCTTCGGCCGGGTTTCCACTCCTCCTGGGGGCTCGCGTCTCGCTCATGATGGTTGCCCTCAACTCGTGCTGCGGCTTGTTGTATGCTCGATCTTATTACCCAAGGCATCAAGAACACCGAGTGAGTCGGACGATCAATCGATGCTGGGCTTAAAAGATTGTTGAAACTCTCAGGTTCAATCCGACATAGCTTTGGCCCTTGGGTAAAGGCTGAAGGGCTCTTGTCCGCAAAGACCGGATGTTTACATGTAACTGGCTGAGTTCTGTAAGGCATCCACGGGATGTCTCGGGATTTTTTTGAGGTACATACGGAATGTGAACGGAATGTTGCACCGTGAAATTGGGCGTGTGGGCACGGCTTCAAAGACAAGCCGACCGTCGGCCCATGTGCGGAATCCAAACCCGCTCGCGCATATTGGCGAGTCTGAAGGACAGAAGGAAAGAAAAAAAAAAAAAAAAAAAAAAAAACACCAAGGGTGAAGGCACAGTGGCACAAATCATCTCTGCACAATGTAGTATCTACGCATGTAGAAATATTAAATACATGCCAGTGATGTTTTGAAACGCTCAGGCCCCCGGCCATTGCAGTGGGCCGTTTCCTTTCTCTTCTTCTGGGGGTTCCGCACGTCTCATGCTAAATGTTTTCACTCATTGGAACCATCGGAGATCATTCTTCGTCCCATCTGCCTACACACCACCTCGAAGGGCTAAGTGCATCCACCACCTACGAACCCCATCATCCAGCCACGGCCGACCCACCCAGATCGCCTACCTAGTATATCTTGTCCTCAGCAAATTGCCAAGAGAACTAAGCTTCTTGTTTCCCTTAGTTCTTCTACTGTGCTTTGCACCCTCTGCACCCTCTGCACCCTCTGCACCCTCTGCACCCTCTAAAGCCCTCTGGGCTCCTAGGGCGCTTTCCACCCCCTCTCGCCTTTTATAATCTCAAAATATTACTTCAATCCAAACAATATTTCAGTTTTCAAAATACGGTGTAGCTTTTCAGGATCTCGGTACCGTTTCTGCTGATTAAGAGAACAGGTATTTCAGAATCTTAGCGGTGTACTTAACATTAGAGTTGGGGCGTCCTGAAGGAGCCGGTTAAGCCGAGTGTGGCTGCCCAACAGCCGCAGCTCTAATTTAATAGCGCTTACAGGACGGGCCGAGAGCCTTACTTCTACGCCACGGGCAGACAGCCAGACTCCTTTCCGGCTTTTTATTACCTGAAATGGAAACACCCCCGCTCAGTGGCTGCTGGGCGTAATCCCCGATTTTGCTGCTGGTGGTAGCCGAAGAAGCTGTGTGCCGCGAAAATGCATTCAAGAAGACTCAGACGCTGGGAAGATGGGGGTGGGGGGTGGCGAGAGCAGGGCCGGTGAGGTCCTTTTACTGTGGCAACGTTTCAAATGTTGTGGCTGGATCCTTGAAATCCTTAACGCAACCGAGGCGTGGAGCTACGAGGAGACCAGTCCAGATGTTTCTCCGCGGTAATGTTCATGACGCGACTTCCGGATGTGGCTATATGCAGATCAGAGCGCAGATGCAAGCCTTCCTTGTCGGTAAATGGTGGAAAATGGCATGATCGAGAAGGGTTGGAACGTTTTCCCGTTACAAATGACAATGAAAATAATCGAGAATCCACAAATGCTTGGGTGCATATATAAACATAGGTCACATCATGTTAATGCGATTTTAGGAATCTTGGTTCGACACCTGTCTACCGTCAGATCCTGATTCATCCGCAAATCAAGATAACTTGAGTATTATTACACCACCGCCTCGTCGGGCAATGATTCCAATGCCAGCGACACAAAGTCTGAAGCCTTCTGGTTTCGCATGCGAAGAATGCCGACGACGCAAAGCCCGGTGCGATCGCCAACAGCCGCGTTGCGGCTCTTGCGAAGAGAACGATGTGACCTGCATCACCGTGTACCAGAGACCCCCAAGAGGTCCCAAAAAGGGCCAACTCCAAATCATGAGATCACGAATCGGTGAGTACTATATGCCTTGATACGCGCGAGCTGGAACTTTCTTCCCACAAATTCTCCGTTCTCTACACCTCGGTGTGTTGGCCCGCTCCCGGGGGCCTGGGAGACCTGGGCTACGTCATACGGTGTGTATACGTGTATTTCTGGTGTTGCTGACGGAGTGTTGCCACAATAGCGGCTCTTGAGTGGGAAATAAGCAGGAAGGAGGCCGAGTCGAGTGCCCGGGCTGTGTCAGTGTCACCAACTGATGTCGATGTCGCCGTGCCAGCAGTGCCAGCCTTGCCGAGCCCGCATGGATCTTCAGTCACTGGACTTGGACTTGACCACTCGTTCTATGCAGATATTAACATGGCTTCTGAAACCTTTATGACACGAATGGCGGAGCCGACGGAGTCACACTTTGACTGGCCAGCCCCCACGGCAAACTTGAATGTCGATGGTGCGATCCTTCCAGCAAGTGGAAGGCTGGATCACGGGGCTTGCGGCGTACCGTCAGCAGGTGTATTAACAGAGGATCTCGTTGACCTCGGGGAAGGGAGCACAGCCTCAACGTGTAGTAACTCTGAGATTTCAGATCTAATGCTGGTTGACTTGTGCGCTGATTTCCACCGTACCCAATTTTCGGACTTTATGATCAAATGTGCTGACCAAAATGAGCCCCTTCAGGGACGATTTATATTTCGATAGGGCCCATGACATCTGTCCTATGGTGAATGAACAACGCTATTTTTCCTGGGCAAGTCAGGACAACATCTCGCACGCGCAGGAGTGCCTTCGGTCAGCAATGCGCACCTTAGCAGCAGCCATGTCGGCCCATTACCGCAGCATCTTCAACATGCTCTATTCTCAGACATGCTGCCTGCTTCAAGAATCCATGCAGAAATCATCAAAATATCCAGACAACGTACAAATTGAGTACATCCAAGCTTGGCTGCTGCTGGCCCATTATGAGTCCTTGCGGATGAACGAGTCACAGGCCATGCTGACGTCCGGCCGCGCGTTCCGCCTTGTCCAAATGGCGCGGCTGTACGAAATGGATGCGAATGAGCAGAACTTTTGTGCGCTCAAAAGACCGAATGCCAATCAGGATGATAGCTTCGCTGTCTCGGAGGAGAGGAGGCGCACGTTTTGGGTGGCCTACAACCTCGATTACTTTCTGTCTTGGCGCAAAGAGCAGCCACTGACTCTATATGAAGATATGGCATGTTCATCTACCGCGAAAACCCATTATGGAGGTTGATTAGTATAATAACTCATTTTCCCAGGTCAGCACACGTCTTCCGGCCCCTGAAGTCAACTTCCAGAACAGCCAGCCGATCAGCACCGACTTTCTCTCCGAAGCCCTGACCAAAGGCGTATCGACCACGCTGTCACCCTTTGCCGAGTGCGTTGTACTCGTCACGCTCCACGGCCGCTGTATGGCCCATCGTCGGGCGTCTTGCAAGGAGAGTGGCAAGGAGCCACGTGGAGTCTGGGCCCGCCACGAACGGCTGGCCTCAGCCGTCGAGCGCCGCGTGGCTACACTCGCACAGATACCCGCAGCCCCTACTGTCGAGCGCGACCCAATGCTCTTCTTCACCCGAATGCTGGCGCACAGCGCCATCGTCTATCTCGGCACCACGTTGCTCCAGATGCCTTGGCAGGCGGCCGAGCATCAGCACAGCACCAGGGGTGTTGTGCTGGTGTACGAGCAGCACGCCTCTCGTGCCGCCCTTGAGATGGCGCGCCTCGTCAAGGCATCGCCCTCGCTCAGCCGCTTCAAGGCTCACCCTTTCTTGCCCAATTTGCTTGGTTCTGCTTTGGCATATCTGAATACCCAGACTGTTGTCAGTGACGGTCAGCCTGGAGCCGAGGTCCTACTCCAACTGCTCAGAGACCTGCGGGATGTGAACAGCCTGGCATTTGACATTTGCTCGACTTTAGACGAGACTTGGCATTGATATGCGATGATAAGCAAAGGCAACCATTGATAGACAGTTTGAAGATCTCAAGTATTAAGATTAAATATGAGACTCTAGATGTATGATATCTGAACAGTTATTAGTATATCGCTTGAGGGATTTCACTGTTGACTTTGGAAGTGTTTTGCTGCGAGGACACTATATGTTGGTCGCTGTTGAAGCAATAATTCGCACTCCAATATTCAGACTAGAATTTGAGAAGACATTGAGTCGTATATGTTCTCTCCATTGCTTCCTGGTTTTCTCACATCGACAGTTGCATCAGCAGATTCAAAATTTCATTCAGTTCTTTGAAGGTCTTTACTCCATAGGTTACGGTGTTCCTTTGTAGCGTATTACGCCGCCATACTGCTACTCAAATACCTAGGAATAAAACGACAGAAGCCATCCTAGAGGTAGCTTCGAAATGTTGAAAATGAGTCACGGCAGATGAGTCTAACTTTTCGACGCTAAGGGATGATACAATAGGTGAAAGCCAGTATAGAATCAGCCAACCAGTCTTGCCAAGCAAGCTAAGTATAAAGATCAGCATGAAAGCTATTATAACCTAAATCTATAAGTGTATGCAAGATAAATTCAATTTGCAGGTCAGGTAGCATTTCGCTTCAGACAGTACACATTGTCATACACCCAGTAGGATCCGAGATCCAAGGACAAGGGTTAGGATTGAAATCTTGCATAGCCAATGACAACATAATACCTACGAGCCTCGTGCCACGACCGTAAGCCTAGAAAGTTAGACGTCACTGGGAAATTCGACAAAGCATAGGCGTATACTAAGGCGGCCGGCGTGCGTTGATGTGTTGTTGTAGCTGGACCTGGGATCTCCTCTCCTGGTCTCTGGATCGCACCGGTCGGCGGAGAAATCCATTTCAGCCTGCGCCTCGGCGATTCAAATCCTCCGCGTTGGTTGGTTACGAACGGCATCCCGCAAGTCGGCGATAATCTCTTGGCACTGCAATATGTCTTACTGGGAGTATCCATGGGATGATGTTGGCCCGTCGCCCTGAACGGAGAGTGACCGTGCGAGACATTCCGTCTTACGCCAAGCTTTCACTGTGAACCGCTTGAAGCATAGCGTGCGCCCGCCTCTTTGTACCGCCATGAAGAACAGCGGTTGCATATGCAGGAGCGGATTTGAATTCCGTTCAGAGACGATGTGCTATGCAACTCGAATCTCATTGCTTCCGTCGCGGCCCCCTGCTCGAATCAGTGGTGCCAAATCCCAAACTCCAACAGACTGCTTTATTAGTGTTGGAGCTTATATCAAGCTCGCCTAGCTTCTCAATTACGGCACCAAGCCTCATAGAGACCACGCAGAGACGATACACGAAATTATACAATGTCTCCCCTCAAGAAATTTGCCCTCGTTACCGGCTGTTCGGCCGGAGGCATCGGTGCGGGTCTGGCCGAAGTTTTCCGGGAAAAGGGATATCACGTTTTCGCAACTCTACGGAACCCAGCAAAACTTCCTGCAAGTCTCAACAATGTATCTCATGTCACGCCCCTGACACTCGACGTGCTGTCCTCGGAATCCATCGCCGCCGCAGTCAAGAGTGTGACCAAAGAGACTGGCGGTCGACTTGATGTCCTCGTCAACAACAGCGGCCAAAACTTCATCTTGCCCGCCCTGGATATCGACATTGAGAACGGCCGCAAGCTTTTCGACCTCAATTTCTTCGCTCCGCTGGCAATGATCCAGGCCTTCATTCCTCTAATCATTGAGGCCAAGGGCTACATTGTCAACCAGTCGTCTGCTGCTGGCTATGTGCCGATGCCTTTCGGAAGTCAGTCCAGCAATGATGTGTCTACTTTCCTGCCCCGTAACTATCTGCAACCTAGAAGCATCAAACTGACGAGATTTGTGTTCTCCACTCACAGGCATGTACAACAGCTCCAAAGCTGCCTTGACCATGGCAAGTGGCATCTGGGCCCGTGAGCTCGAGCCCCTGGGCGTCCGGACCCTGACACTCGTCACAACCAGTGTTAAGACCCCGGCCTTCGACAACATTCCCAAGCCCAAGATCCCCGAACAGTCACGTTATTACGTAATCCATGACTACCTTGAGCGCCTCGCCGACGGCCGCCTCCAGGAGGGCGCCCCCGACACGAGGACATATGGCCTTAAGGTGGTGGGGGAGATCACCAAGGGAACGACGGGGGAGATATGGGTGGGTAAGGATGCTGGAATGAACCGCTGGGCGTCGAAGTGGTTGCCACAGTCGATATTTGTAAGTTTTGTCCACAATGGCATTGAACTTGGAGGATATCTGACTGACCATAATGAACAAAGAACATGGCCCTTGACGGTTTTCTCAAGGTCTCTGGAGAGTTGGCCAAGGTCGCAGAATTGCAAAAGACCAGGAACGCATAAGGCGTCCCTCTGTGGACATCGTTTAGGGCCATGGGTTGCTTGGAGTCCCTTTGGTTGGCGTATAAGTTTATTGTTAGAACTTACATTAGGTACAGCTATCTGAAATGCTATCTCCCATACGTCACTATGTATGTCCGTGCCACTTATCATTAACATAATGTTCCCTACACTACATTTAACACATACCTTAATAATTTATATTACTTTCTAAATATTAATATATTTTAAAACTTATATATTTTAAGAATATTAAATTAATTAAAATTTAATTTAAATATATTAATAAATAAAGGTTATTAATATTTTTATTTTTTAAATTTTTTTATTCATTATTTTTAACTTTTTTTAGATTTCTCTAGTTTGTTTTATTTTATTTTAGATATTATAATAATATAATTTCCTTTGAAACTCCTTAGTAGTAATATAGAAATTGTCTTAATGATTTATTTATTATTATCAGAGAATAATAAGACCACGTTATTTTAATCTGAGACAAGACACCGAGCCTGTGTGACTGCCCCTCCATCCCCTCCATTCCTCCGGCGACCGACTAGCTGAACAGCAAGGAATACGACATGCAATGTAAGTTGCTGACAAATTTTGTGCGCCCATCAGCGAGAGGCTGGCTGACTCCTTTGTCCAGCAGCTGACGGCGGACGGCGGACTAGCTGCGGCTTTGTAGACTACTCCATCCGCAACATCCTCCCAGGCTCCAGCCCACCTGACTTGACTTGTTGAGCACCGTCCACATCCCGGTTGACGTCAACATCTGCATGGACCATGAGACGAAGGGCTGTACCTCGTTCGGCTCAGTATGGCCAGGCGTGCATGCTCTGTGTAAAGGCAAAATGCCGCTGTGTGGGTCGATCCGACGGCAAGGGCTGTGAGAGATGTAACCGCCTCAGCAAACAGTGTCGCCCGCACGAAACTGCCAGCCAGCGTGCTGCCAACAACAGCCAAGACTCGGACGACCGATTTGCCCAGTTGGAGGGCAGACTCGACACTCTTGTCTCGCTTTTGAAGGCCCGCGCTGATGGGAACGGCAGCCACGACCTTGTTCCCGACGATGAGCAGTCTCGACACATCCCCTTCACGCCCGATTCACCATCGTCGAATAGCCACATTCTGGTTGGGCCTGCCGATGCAAATACCGAATCCGATACCGACGTCGAATTTGGTGTCGATCATGGCCGTGACAGCAATGGCCTGCCGCAAATCGAGACCACCGTCTTATCCGGTTCTGTTGCTGTGCAAACAATTCCTAACCACCACAACCCCCTCCCGGTGTCCACTTCTGTCTCACTCGAGCCGACTGACGACGTGCATGTGGCGTGTCTCGACACCTTCCGCACGCTCATGCTGCTTCACTTCCCTGTCGTATACCTCGCGCAAACCCTGACAGCCGAGCAGCTTCATCGCGACAGGCCCCTACTCTTCCAGGCCATTGTCTGCGTCACATGGCCATATCCCGAGGAGAAAGAAGCGCGCGCGGTCGAGCTGAAACGAACCCTTTGCGAGGCCGCTTTTCTGCGGCAGAGGCGCGCTGACATGAACCAGTCTTGCGGCGTCGACCCCGTGCTCGACTTGTTGTTGGGCCTCATGACCTACGTTGCCTGGGGCTGGGATCACGTGCACAACCGCGGCAGCCTTTCGCACCTGGTCATGTTGTGCATGTCGCTGGTTGGCGAGATGCGACTCGACAGGCCCGCCCTTGACGGCCACTACGCGGACAGCCTTTTGGCTCCCGTGGCGTCTCGGGGCTCACTCAGCCCTCCACAGCCCTCCGCCGAGGCCCAGCGCGCTGTGCTGGGCTGTTTTGTGCTCAGCTCCGTCGTCTCTGAATACCTTGGCAATATGGATCCCCTGGCATGGACGCCGCAATTGGACAAAATTCTCAATGACACAAGTACGGCAAAGGCGTGCCCATCTGACACAGACCTAGTCTGTCAAGTCCGCCTCCAGCTGCTCTTCACCAAGGCTGTACATCTTCGTCGAGTGCTCCAGCAGCAGCCAAATCATGACGCCCAACCAAAAACATCGGCAGCCACAATTTTCGCGGATGCTGAGGTGCTCCATAGCCAGCTACAGGAACTTCGTAGACAACCCTCCTGGTCTTGTCGGCATCACCAGCGTGAGTACTCCACCCGCCAAGGTCTCGCCGATTATCTGTGCAGACGCAGGATCATTTGCTGACCCAAATTAACTCGGAAAATCATAGTTCAGCTAGCGCACACCCATTACGTGGAACTGCTTATTCTAGAGGCCATACGTGCATCCACCTTGATCCTTTCGCGTCTCGACGCTCCTGAGACCACCAACGCCGCCACCGTCCGCTCCAGTCCCATGCAGGAGCCCACTACGCCTGGCTACAGCGACCTATCATACATGTGGCAATCCGTGCTTGCCATCAGCGCCTGCACCTCGGGCCTGCTGAGCCTCCAGGCGTCCGACTTTCTCGGTATCGCCTTCCTGCAGTGGGGACAACTGGCAGGCTGCGTTGTGGTGCTGAGCCAGCTTGAGGGTCTGGAGGACTCGCGCATCAACCGTGCACACGCCCGCAGCGTCATCGACCTTCCGTTGCTCCTGGATCGCATCGCTGAGAAGCTCGAACTGACGGCGGCCCACGCGGGCGAACAAGGCTTAGGCCCGCCCGGTGGCGTATTCACGCAGCTCGCGGCGGGCATGCGGGCATTCCGCTCACGCATACAGGGCTCCCTGGTCGAGCTTTCGCGGCCGAGCCCGAACGAGGTGTCGGGCTGCGGTGGCAGCAATGAGGTTCAGCCTCTGCAGGGGCACCTGAATACTCAGGGTCCTTCCAGCAGGTTCTGGATGGACCAGTTGTTTCAAGGGTGATTCCGGTAACTGAGGCTACAAATTGAAGGCATATCTACTACACTATCCGACTGTGAATTGGCAACCTTGCAAATCGAAAGCAGCGATCTATAAACCGTGAAGAGGACTTCGTGTGCAAGGATATGGCCAGTCACGCAAATCAAGTGTGCAAGGTTTCTTCCGAGCTTGAGCGCACTCACACTCAATGAATGTCGTGAATTTGTTGACTTGAAAATTTGAGAGGCCGGCCCGTCGTCCGAAAATGAGGTTTTTTTTGGGTTTTTTTTTTTTTTTGGAATTCAACTGTAACTTACAACAATTCCCTGTAGCGCTGATTCTGGTTTCCATCGAGCCGTAATCCCGATTCACTGGGATAAAAATGCGCCGGTCTCCTGCCTACAGCTCCTACCGGCCAACATCTGTTCCATCAGGCGAGGGGCGTAATTTCGGAATTAATTCTGTGCAACCCAGAGGATAGGGCCCGGTGGAAGTAAATATGTGCGCCATCCAACCGGAACTTTAAACTTTTGGCTAGCCTTGCGTGCAACCTGGAATGACATAAGCGGGCGGAGGATGTAATGAGCCGCAGGAATATGATATGCATTAGCCGGCTTGTCACGCTGTTCCTGCTGACGTGTGGTAGTCTTCCCGGATCGACGTGGGCAAATGCAACGATCGCCATGCCCAAATATTTAGTCACTCAAGCCAGAGATCTCCAATCGAGTTACGTCCTTACGATAAGCGGCAGCCATCCTTCCTGGGGAGGCTTGATCCGTTGCACGAACGTGTTTCTTCTCAGTGGTCATTCGTCCCGTTTTACTAGTTGAAATGATGCTATTGCAACTTTCGCCTGTCCTGGCTCTGGCCTACGCCGCCGCCACCCATGCATCCTGCGGAGGAAACCGGAGTCTCGAGGCTCTATTCGGCCCTCATGTGTCACCTGGTACCGAGATAGCATCGTCATACGAGGCCGAATTTTCGACCATAGTCGGCCCCCGATGGTCGACCTGGGAATCTCCTGCTTGGTCTGGCGCAATCAAACCCGCCCTGGTATCCGATCTCAAGCAGATTGTTAGTAGAGCTTCTCCGAAGACAGGGGAAATGATGCTAAAGATGCCAAAATAGGTGCAAATTGCGGCAAGGAATAATATCCCCTTCATTGCAACCAATGGCGGACACGGAGCCAAAGCTGGCCTCAGCGCGTTTGACGGTCTCAACATCAACCTCCAAAACTTCAACACGGCCAGTGTCGACACAGTCAGCAACCGTTTGACACTGGGGCCCGGAGCTACTTTGGGGGACATGGTGACTGAGGTGTTCTCTGCTGGAAAGGAGATACGTATGCAATTCCCGCCGCATCGACTCAAATGCCATATTTTGTTGCTGACCCGGCAAAAATGTAGAAACAGGAAATTCGTGGTGCCCAGGTGGGATCGGTGTGACCCTCGGTGGCGGCATCGGCATGCTGATGGGCCTACACGGGCTCATGATCGACAATCTACAGTCCGTCGAGCTGCTCACCGCTTCGGGCGATACGGTGACGGCTTCCAAGGACGAGAATGCGGACCTGTTCTGGGGGATCCGCGGCGCGGGCCAGAACTTTGGCATCGTCACCGAGGCGACCTACACCGTGCACGACCAGACCAACGGGGGGTTCGTCACCGAGGCGAACTTCTATTACACGGCGGCCCAGAACCGATCGCTGTGGGAGCTGATTACGACCTTCGATGACGTGCTGCCTGCCAAGCTGTCGCTGCAAACCGCCATGCTATACAATGCCACGACCGGCACGGCCAGTATCTGGTTGGCGGCCTGGTACATTGGTAGCCTCGACGAGGCACAGCCGTACCTGGACCAGTTCACCGCTCTAGAGCCGTTCGCGACGGAGATGCTTAACTTGACGCAGGTTGAAGTGTACTACCAGTCCGTCACAAGGGGTGTCTGTGAGACAGGCCACACGCTCACTGCCTACACGATGGGCGTTGGGCGCACCGACCCCGACACCCTCGAGTCCCATTTCGCTGACTATGTGGCCTTCTCCCGGGCCAATCCCTACTACTTTGGCCAGTCATTCATGCAGTGGTACAGTAACGGCGTCAACTTGCAGACCCCGAACGACGCGACTGTTTTCCCCTGGCGAGACGTTCAAGCATGGTGGTGAGTGGCGTTTCTTTCTCCAGCCACATGAAGTAAAGAATTGTATGCTAATTCACGACGCATTGGCGCTCTTAGGCTCCTCGAGAATATCATCCTGGACGATTCCCTATTGACTGCCGTCGACGACTGGTCCGTGTCCCAACGCGACAAGTTTCATGCCACCAGCGGCTTCACTGATGAGCACATCTATGTCAACTATGCCATTGGCGACGAGGGTCCAGCGGCTTGGTGGTCCGAGGCGAACTTGCCGAAGCTACGAGAACTCAAGGCTAAGTGGGACCCCGAGAACCTGTTCGGAAAGGGCTATGCTCTGCAGTGAGAAGCCTTCGCAAAAACAAGGTTTCCAGTCAGTCGTCAAGATGAGACGCTCGAGGGCTATGTAGTGAACATTACGCGCCATATAGATATTTGGAGGTACTGCTTTGAAGTCCTTGTACATTTCGAGGTGACTAGATTGCAATAGGTGATTACTAGAGACTGAACAGATAAAAGCAGTCACCTCATACATCCCTGTAATCTATAAGGGTTTGTTTAAAAGCCATGCGCTGGTAAGTTGTGATACTCAAAGTGGTATTTAGAATGTTTCGATTGAAAAGACAAATTTAAATTTAAGAGGCCTTCAATAAACACATCGAATCAAAGCGTATCATACCCCGGAAAACAATTTTTGTTCACAAGAAGCCTGCATAATCTATACTTTCTGAATTCTAGAAAAGCTTGAACCCACCTGGGACGTTTTTTTGAAATACTCCCTTTGGATCATAAGTCCGGCTGACTTTCTCCAGTTTAGCCACATTTTCGGCGCCGTAGCTTGCAATAACATCCTGCCAATCCATGGCGTAGTTCAAATATTTGAATTCAAAGTGCTCGCCGAGCTCCTTTGCCTGCGCGTCGATTTCGGCAATGATCTCTTGTGCGACTTCAGTCACAAGGGTATCGTCGTCCTCATTCAACCACCCCACGGCCAAACCCAAGACCACCAAGCCTCCTTGTTCGTCATCGAGGCCGAGGACGTTTGTTCTCGGCGCTGCGGCTTGGTATGCAATTTTTGGAATGGGCTCGATCAAGAGCTCGCTGGCGAGGCCAACTACTCCATCAAAGGATGCAACACTGTGGTTCCATGCCGCGAATGCTGCGCTCAGCATCTCTAGGCTGGAGCCGATCGAAGTTGTGGCAAGAAGCGATCTGAAAAGCCAAGGAGACCGGGCCGACGTTAGCCTTCGATCTGGTCTCAAGTGTATGGAGTGCACAAAAATCATAGAAATTGAGGGTCACGTACCGATACCCATTCGGATTGTTGGCTGTGCCCTCATCTGCAAAGTTGGAAAAGCTCGCTGTGCGCAGCGTGTCGCTCACTCTAGGGATGTCTGTAAAGGGCTTAAAAAAATCCGGATACTCGAAAGCCTTGGTATAATGCAGAGTGTTAACGACACTGCGGCCCGCGCCCGTGACATAGAGAAAGCCCTGGACCAAGTTCGCGTACTCGTCGTACGGGTCTGCGGAGGCCAGGCCCGAGGACGCGGCCAGCTGTTGGGGCACTGTATCGAAGTTGTAGTTGACCACGCCGCCCCAGATGTCGCCTTGCTCGTGGGCCCGGAAATCTATGCGGGTGACAACGCCGAAGTTGTTGGAGCCGCCGCGGAAGGCGTGTAGCAGGTCTTTGTGGTGCGTCTCGTTGGCATTGATCACCGCACCGTTGGCGAGAACGAGCTCCAAGTTGACCACCGAGTCGCAGGTCCAGCCGTATCGGGGCCCGAAGGACGAGATACCACCCCCGAGCGTGAGCCCTCCGACCCCCACAGTACCAACCCGACCGCCTGCGACGATCAGGTTGTGAGGGGCAAGTGCCTTGTAAACCTCGCCCCATCTGGCACCTGGGCTGACGGAGACAACTGACCTGTCGTCGCTGACGCTGATGGCATCTAAGGCTTGCATGTCTATCGTGACACCATTGGCAATGTTGGCATTGCCGGCCCAAGTGGAATGACCGCCAGATCGAATGGCGAAGCTGCAGTTCAACTCTGTCAAAGTTGTAACAGCTCCTGACACATCTATGGATGAGGTGGGCGAGACGATACAAGAGGGATACACGGCAGCCTCCTGTGCCGAATAATACGAAGTCAGTGAGTCATTGTACCCATGGCTTCCAGGAAAAGATATCTTGCTGGCTAAATCAACCACAAGGGCAAAGCACTATCCAGAATGGATGTTAGTCTGATTAGATTTGATACTCATCATGTTTCCAATGTCAGAGGCAGTCTTACACAGGTTGTAGTATTGCCCATAATGACTGGAAATGATCTGGGTGATAATACAGGCCACGATTTGGGAGCAGAGCAACGACAATGTGGTTTTGAGTCAGCCGATTGAAGATTGTGCTGATGAGGCAGAGCTCTCTCTGGGCTAGAAATCACACTATATACAGATTCATTCTCGTGTTGGGCTGGGACCTGGGAGCCATTGTGTTTGTTTTGCGAGTTTCTGCAGAGTATACAAGTGGCGTTGCTGACAGCGGCATCGCTTCCGCCAAATCGAATTTGCGGAGGATTTGTTGGGCCGATACATTCAAGGCTCTTGTGCAGGAATCGGAGTGTATTAGTCCCGGAGGCCCAGCCCAAATCCCCCCGGAACTTTGATTGTCCCATCCTGGTAATAAGTACATAGGTACTCATTGGGTCCCGTAAGCGACCAGGGAATCTTCCGAGCGTGTCCCGCGCGGTATGTTATGAGTTCTATTTACCTCCGATCTATCTAGGAATAATAATGAGAGGACGCCCAGCGCGCAAATATCGTGTCCCTCCACTCTCGGAGATGTCAGATTGACACACACCGATGGCGTTCTTTGTATCACAAAACCTTTGTCACTGAAGTCAGCAGCAGACCCACCCGCGAATCCATTGTGATCTCACTTACCTGGAACAGTTGAGCCGTAATATTGTTGTCCCCGACTTGAATTGATCCAACGCCAACAACTGCGTTCAACCAGCCATATTCCTTGCTGCCCGTCTCAAAGTCAAATGTGATGTACGGTGACCTTCCGCGGCCGGAAATGAGGATATTGGCGCCATCGTTGGTCTCCAAGACGATTTTCGCATCGGGAGAGAAAACGGTACCGGTAGTATCGTAGTTGCCCCAGTCTCCTCCGGCACCAATGACCCTGCCTGTTATGTCCCCAATCAGAAGTGCTTGTCATGGACCATGTGTATGACGCAGTCACCTACCTTCTAGCTTGGGCCCTGAAAACGACCCGCCTGTGATTGGAATAAAAATCCGGTTTCCATATCCAGAGTTGCCAATAATTATTGGTGGTGTCTCTGTAGCGAAGACTGTGAGGAGATACGCTAAACTGGGTGGATGTGGCTCAACATCGCAGCTAGTGTCGTTAGCCACTGTCAGGACCGTGGTGGCGAGCATAGCGGGTGCAATAGTGGAAGCACGCATGCTGGGCGAAAGTTCCGTAGACTGGTCAACTTCGTGCGTTGTGTTCTCCAAGTCACCTCTTAAAGATTTCGGTTTGTTTCTGGAGGGATGCGCAAAATGGATTGGCATGTATCGTACTTATACAATTTGGGCCACTCCAAGCGACGTGCCGCCTAGTTACTCTCTCAAGCGAGCGACCATCGACAGTCAGAAGCGGACTATGAATAACACGGGGCTCTAGAACTTTTGACCACCAATGAACACTCCGTATACTCTTGTCTTGGGAACGGAACATCTTTTCCTCTGTCTTAAGAGTCCCTAAAAGAACTTTACTCCGCACATACGCCAGGAAAGATCCTACGTAAAAATCTCGTACACTGCTAATTCCGATAAACCTATAGTAAACAGGCCAAGTCAACGGGCCTCAGTGATCGCGTTGCAAAGGCCGCCTTTTAAAGAGACAGTTGCTAGCCATTCTACTAAGAAATCTGCTCCTTAAACCGCTCTGAAATTTATATAAATATTAAATGTGTTTAGTTAGAAGTATTACAGATTTACGTAAACAAATATAAAAGAGATTTTAAAAATAGGAATCATATTACTTATTACGAGCTGTTAAAGCTGATAAAGATAAGTTGGTTATTAATAAGCAGATTAATAAGCAGATTAATAAGCAGATTGACATGATAAGGACACTGCACTGCCAACGGCCTCGCTGGCAATCCTTGTGTTATTAAATTAGTGAGAGCGTTTGCAAAGTTGAGGGTCCCTCGGATCATCGTCTAGATCGTCTGTCTACCTATACACTATGGTGCTAGGCAGCGGCAGCGGCGTCCTCCTTGGCCCCAGCCACCATTGCATCAACACTGAAATCCCAGAGCTTCCGCGAGGCCTGATCCAGCTTGGAGTGGCATCGGTCGGGGTCCCTGCCCGTCGACCCAAGCCGCCACTGGTACATGTCGCCCATCTCCCGCGAGCTGCTCACCAGCCACTGGCTGCGATCCTTCCTCGACCGAGAGAAGGCACGCAATGCTCTCTCGACCGTCAGCCGCCGCGCGCCTGCGACCTTGCCCTGGCCCTGACCCTCGTCCTTGTGCTCCCGGTCGCCTACGTGCAGAGCAATCTCGGTCTGTGCCGTGTCGAGCACCTCACACAGCACGAGCGCGTCCTCCACGCCCATGCAGGCTCCCACACCCTGGTGCGGGCTGCTGGCGTGCGCCGCGTCCCCCGCGATGCACACCAGCCCCCGCGCGTATGTCGGCGCCGGATGCTCGTACATGTCGAAGATCCCCCACTTGACCATCTCCGCCGGGAACAGCTTGGCAATCTCACCCACGTGCGGGCCCAGCGCTGAAACGGCGCTTTCGACCTCGTCGCGCGTGGCCGGTGCTGTCATACCGCTTGCTTCGGGGAAGTAACGCGGCTCGTGGGCAAAGATGGCCACGTTTAGGAGTGCGCCGTTCATGACCTGCGCGCGCCGTCACTCATCAGCTATCGCGACATGTAGCGTGCTGTTGGCTTCTGCCGAATAACGTGTAGACATCAGGTATGTTTACGAACCGGGTACGACATCATGTTGACATCTGGCCCGCAGTGCATGCACGCGCTCGTGGCCTTGTCCTCTCCCAAAGCTGCGATGCCCGCCGCCATCGGCACCATGGTCCGGTAGGCCACGACATGGCTGAAGATTGGGCGAGCCGCCGGATGGGTGGACCCAAGCAGCAGCTCTCGCGTCGTCGAGTGGATCCCATCGCATCCGATGAGCACATGGGCACGGGCAACGCTCCCATCCGCGAAGCGTAGCGCCACACCTTCGTCACTCCCTCCAGGCTTATCCTCGTAATCCACGAGCGGCTTCCCAAACTCCACTACGCCCTCGGGTAGCAGTGCCGCCATTCCCAGCAGGAGATGGGACCGCACCGCGCCCCAAAAGTTCAGGCTACTTTCCGGCATCTGGAACAGCAGCGAGACTGCCTCGTCCGCCGCTTCGTGCTTGGTCCGCGGGTTGAACGCGTCCCAGTACCGTGTGTGCGAGCTGGAGCTCGTCTTCTGGGCGATGGCGCTCAGCGTCTCGAGGAGTCGGGGGTCGAGACGCTGCATGCACTCGCGCGCGACCCCCGTGAAGCCGAACCCAGCCCCGATCTCGTGCCACGCTGCAGCTCGCTCGTAGATCTTGACGTGCATTCCCCGGCGCAGGAGGCCCAAGGCTGTCATTAAACCAATTATCCCACCGCCCACGATGGCCACCTCCAGGCGCGGTTTGTTGACGTCTGGCGCGGCAGTCATCTCTCAACCTGACCTGGGCACAAGATGACGAGATAAGTAAGTAGATGTAGAACTCCCTGTGTTATTTGCCTCGTATATCCCCTGTGCGGTGGCTCGCTGAGAAGTTTGTGACTATGAAGTCGTACTAATTTCGCAAGACGACCTTGTCTCTGCGCTTCTCATTTCCAGGTCTTGTACCCACAACATAGCACTGAACTCATCGCACCCTTTCGCGTATGCATTGTGCATAACCGGAGATGGATGATCTCAGCAAGTCTCGTGCTTAGCCATCCCGTCCCCGGCGACCGGAACATTAAATCCCCATATGGCTAGACTGCAGGCAATCCAGAAGGGTTCCACGGAAGTAAAGCTGGATAATAGATCCTATCTTGGATTTGCGGCCGGGGTAATCTTGCTGACATAGCAGGCGAAAGATTCTAATGGTGTTACCTCAGCGGCTCAACAAGGATGGCCGAGGTTCTGTACTTGTCACTTGTCATTTTTTACAGATGAGCAGTTGCCCATACGGAAGATGAAGCTTGGTCGCTGACGAAGCGTAGGATGAAGTGCATTTTCCTCTAAGAACGTCCGTCTATGCTAGGTTTATCCTGTCGGAACAAGAAACAACCGGCACGCACACGGTGAAAGAGAGAATTGGGAACGCTTGCACATCCACACGATGTGGAAGAAGCGTCCTTCGTGGATAGAGCGTGCCACCCATGCAGGAGGGATTCCGCTCCGACCACCAACAAGAGGTAATAAGGCAGGCTTGAAAACGCGAGAGTGCTGTCTGGAAATGATACGTGTTGATACTCGTCTTGGTATAACTTGTGCTCACTTTACTCTCAGGTTTGACTCGAACAAAACATCACCTGTTTCTTTGATTGCTCGTCCCATGTCCTCTTACCCCCAATATTAGATCCTCCTTCGAAACTCATTCGTACCAGGCATGGACGGGACAACTAAGACCGAAGAAACGACAATATTTGTCTTCGGTGGGCATGTATTGTCACAGACCAAGCGAACACTAGACAAGCTCGTGCGGGCACTGGTGGATGGCCCAAATTCAAAGTGGATCAATGACACGGTGGCTGAGCTTCCGGGCTACTGGGACATTATGGCCAGTGAGATATCCGAGGTTGGCAGCACGATTCCAGGCAGCCAGCACCTTGCCGACCTCGGTTCGTGGCTTAAGCATCTCGACCGCAGCTCGGACCAGGCTGGGCAAGACGAGAGCATGCCCAACATAGTGGTTGGCCCGCTGTTGGTGGCCATCCAACTCGACCAGTACTGGCGCTACCTTCAACATGACAGATCCAGCAAAGGCTTGTCATGCCAGGAAGACCTGCAAGCCGAGCTGGTGGCCCGGCAGAAGGAGCAGAAGGAGCAACGCTCGTCACGTGGCCCTAGAGTCGAGGTGCTAGGGTTTTGCGTGGGCCTACTCGGGGCCGTAGCCGTGGCGAGCTCATCCAATCGGCAGGAATTCGAGAAGTATGGAGCCGTGGCGATGCGCTTAGCCATGCTGATCGGGGCCATGATCGACGCGCGGGAGGCGTGGGACAAGGGCCTCGGCAAGGGAAAGTCAGTGTCGTACGCGACCGCGTGGCGCGATGGGAAGCAACACGAGGACCTAACCCGTATCGTCTCGTCGCTGTTTCCCGAGGCGTATATCTCTGTGTTGTTTGACAAGGCCCGGGCGACGGTGACGACCTCGGAGCGCACGGCACCCTCGCTTGTGCGCCAACTCCGGGGGGCAGGGCTCACGGTGGCCGAGATTGGCATCGAGGGCCACATCCACGCGCCCGGGCCGGAGCGGAAGCGCCACACCAACTCCCTGGTCGAGCTGTGCTGTCGGAGCCCGGGACTGCAGTTTCCAGAGGCGGCGTTGATGGCACTGCCGACGTATGATAACCACGGCGACGGGGTCCCCATCTCGTTGGACCGTGGCGATATGACCAAGGTGGTCTTGAGCTCGATTCTGATGCTTCAGTGCAACTGGTACGGTACATTGTCTACGATTGTCGTGGACAAGGCCGAGGCGCGATTGGTGGCTTTCGGACTGGATCGTTGCATCCCGCCCACATTGGCGCGCCGTCTTGGCTCGAGACAGCAGCATTGGGAGGACATTGAGAAGAGTACTGCTCCCGGTATCCCTCATGTGCGTCATCTGAATATGGAGGTGCAGCAGCACCAGCATCAGCAGCGATCGCTTCCAGGCGAACCTCAGCCGACTGGAGCACATCCTGCTACCAATGGCACTTCGCGGTCCACAGTCAATCCAGACGAGCCTCGGCCGACCGCACAGCCTTCTAATGGTACTTCAAGATCCACAATCACCGCAACCTCGAATTATCCTGACCTCAAAATGGACAGAATCGCGGTAGTAGGCATGTCAATCAAGGTCGCTGGTGCGGACGACCTGGATGAGTTCGTGGACATGCTCAAGATGGGCCACTCGCAGCATGAGCTCATCACGCGCGACAGGCTCCAGCACGAAATCCTGCACCGGGAGAACGCAGATGCCAATCCAGACCGCAGGTTCTACGCCAACTTCGTGCGAAACTCGGATGCCTTTGACCACAAGTTCTTCAAGAAGAGCCCGCGTGAGTCCCAGGCCATGGATCCACAGAGCCGGCTCTGTCTCGAGGGTGCCTACCAGGCAGTTGAGCAGTCGGGGTACTTTGGAGAAAGCATAACCACCGCTGGGGGCTCTGCCCGGGACAAATGGAACGTCGGGGTGTACCTGGGCAACTGCGGCGTCGATTATGAACACAATATAGCTTGCCACCCGCCCACACCCTTCACAGCGACCGGGGGGCTTAAAAGCTTCATCGTGGGGCGGCTGTCGCACTATTTCGGCTGGACTGGCCCCTCTATAACCATTGATACAGCGTGCTCATCCTCAACAGTAGCCATCGACATGGCATGCCGTAACCTACTTTCAGGCGAGTGCACTGCGGCGCTGTGCGGTGGTGTTAATATCATCACCAACATGCTATGGATGCAGAACCTTGCTGCGGGCAGCTTTATTAGCCACACGGGCCAATGCAAGCCGTTTGATGATGAGGCCGACGGTTACTGTCGAGCCGAGGGCATGGCCTTTGTTTTTCTCAAAAAGATGGCAGATGCCGTCGCCGATGGCAACCCGATTCTAGCAACTATCCCCGCAACGGCCGTATATCAAAACCTGAACATTACTCCACTGTTTGTCCCTAACGAGCCCTCCCTCTCGTTTCTATTCAGAGATGTCATACGGCAGGCCAATTTAACGGCCAGGGACATCTCGCTGGTCGAGGCGCATGGGACTGGCACACCTGTGGGGGACCCAGCTGAATATGACAGCATTCGCTCGGCCATAGGTGGACCCATTCGTGACAAGCCGCTGCCATTCGGCTCAGTCAAAGGTGAAGCTCCTTGCTCATTGCCCTAGCCGTGTACGAAGTAAACTGACAAAGATATATCTGACGCCCAGGTCATGTCGGACACACCGAAGGAGCATCAGGAATCATCGCGCTGGTCAAGGTGATCATGATGATGCGCCACAGCTTTATTCCAGCCCAGGCAAGCTTCAAAACGCTCAACAGTGCAATCAAGGCACACCCAGACGACATGATGGAGATTGTGACGTCGCTGCGGCCCTGGTTTGACAATTGCAAGATCGCCCTTATCAACAACTATGGCGCCTGCGGGTCTAACGCAAGCATGGTGGTAATGCAGCCACCCTCAAATTTGGCAGGCAGAAGACCGGAGCATACGATTCAAGCCGACGGATCATGGTCGAGGCTGCCTTTATGGATCACGGGTCTGGATGTGAGAAGTATTGCTGCGTACAGCGCCAAATTGGCATCGTGGCTGCAGCTGCGTGGTGGCGACCATGAGGCCACGCTGGCGGACTTGTCGTTCACAATGAGCCGGCAGTCGAACCGGGCCCTACCTCAGGGGCTTGTCTTTAGCTGTGATTCTCTGACGGATCTAAAGCACAAGCTGCTGCAGACGGCATCCGCCACGAAGGAGACCGCTGAATCCATAGGGATCGTGGCCACCAAGGCCGGACGCCCCGTCGTTCTGTGCTTCGGCGGCCAGGTGTCGACGTTTGTGGGGCTAGACCGCAGCCTCCATGACAGGGTGGTCATCTTGCGATGGCACTTGGCCGAGTGTGATGCCGCCATCACGTCCGCCGGCCTGGGTCTGGGTAGCATCTACCCGGATATATTTTCACGGGAGCCCCAGCGGGACACGGTCAAGTTGCAACTTATGCTCTTCGCTATGCAATATGCTTGTGCCAAGTCCTGGATGGACTGTGGCCTGCAAGGACAGGTTTCAGCCGTTGTAGGCCACAGTTTCGGTGAGATTACGGCGCTCTGCATTTCTGGCGTTCTGAGCCTTGCGGATACCATCAAGTTGGTGGCTGGTCGGGCCAGATTGGTATATGATGCTTGGGGTGCAGATCCAGGCGCTATGATGGCAGTCGAGGCGGATGCGACACTGGTACGGGCACTCTTGCAAGAGTCGAATCGCCTGTCCGACGGCTCAGCCGCTGTTGCGTGCTACAACGGCCCTTCCAGCTTCACACTCGCCGGGTCGACCAAAGCCATCGAAGTGACCGCCGAGGTGCTGGCTGTGGATCCCAAGTTCTCAGGCATCAAGTACAAGCATCTCAATGTCACAAATGCTTTCCATTCAGCCCTGGTGGATCCGCTCGTGGGTGGACTCGGCGATCTCGGCAAGAAGCTGAAGTTCTGCAAGCCTGCCATCCACCTGGAGCACGCGACCGAGAGCAGTATCGCCTCCGAGTTGGACTGCAACTTTGTGTCATCGCACATGCGCAAGCCGGTCTTCTTCGACCACGCCGTCCACCGGCTAGCCGAGCGGTACCCGCAAGCTATCTTCCTCGAGGCCGGTTCATCTTCGACCATCACAGTCATGGCGGCGCGTGCACTCGCTCAAGATCAACTCTCCACGAGCCCGCCATATTTACACCACTTCCAGGCCATTTCTATCGTGAATAGCAAGAAGAGCGGGTTGGACGCTTTAACCGATGCCACAATCAGTCTGTGGAGACAGGGATTACGCGTCACATTCTGGCCGCACCATGCTAGGCAGGCGCAGGAGTATGCCCAGCTGCTTCTGCCGCCTTACCAGTTCGACAAGTCGGGCCGCCACTGGCTCGAAATGAAGTCGCCGAGCGTGGAGATCAACAAGGCTGCGGAAGAAATCGTGGCAGCCCGTGCTCTGGCGACAGACTACAAAGTCGTTCCAGATCAACGAGATCCCCGTCTCCTGGATCTGTTTAGCTTCGTCGAATATCGTGACAAGAAAAGCAGGAAACCGCGATTCCGCGTGAACACGGCATCGGAAAAGTACCAGTACTATTTCTCAGGCCATATCATCGCCCAAACGGCGCCCATTTGCCCGGCCACGCTGGAGAGCGACATGGCCATCGAGGCGCTCTTTAGCCTGCATCCAGAGTGGAGGGCCGCCGGTCTCTCCCCTGTTGTCCGTGATCTGGTCAACCACTCGCCCATTTGTGCTAATCACTCCCGCGTTGTCTACATAGACATGGACGCGCTTGACGAGGAAAAGGTGCAGTGGAGCTTGAAGATGCTCAGCGTTAGCTCTTCTTTAGGAAACGACACACAGCTGCACGTCGAGGGGCGGCTGCACTTCCGCTCGCTTAGCGACCCAGCCTTCACCCAGGAGTTCGCGCAGTACCAGCGGCTCGTCAGCCACGCACGATGCCAGGCGCTCTTAGGGCTCAATGCACTGGCGAACGACCAAGCTGACGATATTGATGTGCTGCGTGGGTCGCGGAATGTGTACCGCGCCTTCGCCGACATTGTTGACTACCCGGAGCTGTACCGCGGCGTCAGGACCGTGGTGGGCCACGGAAATGAGAGCGCCGGGATCGTGGCCAAGCGCCACCAAGGGCAGACCTGGCTGGACGTGCCCCTGAGCGATTCGTTCAGCCAGGTCGGTGGCTTGTGGGTCAACCTGATGACCAACGCGCCAGCCGGCGACATGTACATCGCCTCAGGGGCCGAGATGTCGATGCGCTCACCAGTGGTGCAGACGGTAACGGATGGGCACGAGAACGGCCCCGCGCTGTGGCACGTCTTTGCGCAGCACCACCGCAGGTCCGACAGGGAATTCACTACGGATTTGTTTGTGTTTGATGCCGCGACAGGGACCATGCACGAGGTCATGCTGGGTATACAGTACTCCCGGGTGAGCAAGGAGTCCATGAGCAGGATGCTTATGCGCTTGACGGCGGACGAGTCTGTTCTGCTGAAGGTGGCCAAACGGCAGAATGCCTCAGCACCAGCTACCGCAGCCACCAAGAGTGTCAGTGCAAGTGCGAATGAGATCATGGCAGCTGGTTATCCCGTTTCAAGCGCTCGGCACGTGGCTGATGGAGTCTCATCCAAGCCTCCAAGGAAGAAACGCAGCACCAACGAGGAGAGACCACCACGGCCGACGGATATCACCGATCAAGTACGCGATCTGGTAGCGGCCGTATCGGGAATAGATGCTACCGAATTCACACTTGATACGGAGATGGCCGACCTGGGGATCGACTCCCTTATGGGCATGGAACTGGCACGTGAAGTTGACATTGTATTCAAGTGCACCATCGACCAGGCGGAGCAGATGGAGGCCACGACCCTTCGCAAGTTTGTCGTTTGCGTGTCCAACGCTCTGGAGAGGGCCGGAAATGGCGTCAAGATGGGTAGCAATACCGACGACGAGAGTGATGAAGACGACGAATCCTCTTCCTCAGCCGACGAAGGGGTTCCAAAGTCCAGATCCCGCCTCGAAAATGTGAGCACTGATGTATCCACTCCGGAAGACACGGAAAACCTGCCTCCCAACGGTAAGCCCGCCACTCCTAGCCCAAAATCAGTGGTGGCAGTGGAGCCTATTTGCGCCACCGTCAGCAACCTGACATTGTCCCGATCTGATATCCTGGAGTCCTTCCATGAGGTCAAGATGTTGACCGATGAGCTCATTCGCGCGCACCATCTCGACACGCTTCACAAGACTGAAATCGCAGGCAGCAACCGCCTCTGCGTCGCTCTCGTTGTCGAGGCGATGGAAAAGCTTGGGATGCCCCTGAGTAACTCTGCCCCGGGCCAGGAGCTCGAGCGCGTGGCATTCCTCCCACAGCACCGCCGCCTCATAGAGTGCGTCTACAGGTTCCTCGAGGAAGATGCGCGGCTTATCGACCACGACGTTGTCAGTGGACAGCTATTGCGCTCGCACATTGCGACGCCACGACAATCAAGCCAGGAAATACTCGAGGGACTGCTCGACGCACAACCTGGATTTGCTGTGCCGAACCGGATGACTTACTACGCCGGACAGAGCCTGGCCGACGTCATGAGCGGCCAGACGGACGGGATCCGTGTCATCTTCGGCACGCCTGAAGGCCGCAGGCTTGTCCAGGCTATGTATTGCGAGCACACTTTCAACTATATGAATTACTTGCAGATGCGCGATGTTATCGGCCGTCTGGTGGACCGCATTAAGAGAAGGAGGCCAGACGAGCAGGAGGCTCTTAAAATCCTCGAGATGGGCGCTGGCACAGGTGGGACCACAATGGTCCTGGCCCCCTTTCTAGCATCCTTAGCTATTCCCGTCGAGTACACTTTCACTGATCTCTCCCCATCTATGGTCGCAAACGCTCGGCGTTCATTCGGCAAGGAATACCCATTTATGCGGTTTGCAGTACATGATATCGAGAACCCGCCAAGAGATGAGCACAAGGGCCAGCATATCATCCTGGCTAGTAACGCCGTCCACGCAACCCGCGATTTAGTTATATCAGCGCGTAATATCCGTCAGGCTTTACGTCTAGACGGGTTTGTCATGATCCTGGAGATGACTGAGGTGGTACCGTTCGTGGATCTAGTCTTCGGCCTACTTGAGGGCTGGTGGCTGTTCGACGACGGGCGCAACCACGCTGTTGTTACTGCTGAGCACTGGGAGCGCGAGCTACACTCTGCGGGTTTTGGCCATGTCGACTGGACCGACGGCAGCTTGCCCGAGAATTCCTTCCAGAAAGTTATCATGGCCCTGGCTTCAGGACCGCCTGAAGCTGCTCGCTTGCCCAAGGATGATGGGGGAGCCACGGGGCCTGGAGAGGTGAGGAATATCATAGGACTGGACAGCGGCGATGTCAAAGCGCGCGAGGCTGAGGCCGAGGCTCTTGTGGCCCTCTATACGAGTGGGTGGGCCACTCCAGAGCTAGACGCCGCCCGCAGCCAGTTAGTTGATTCCGCGACCCGCGACAGTCCTGCCGTGGTCGTGGTCACAGGTGCCACCGGGAGTCTCGGTGCCCACATCGTGCAAAGTCTCGTGGAGCACGAGGGCGTTGGAACGGTCGTTTGCGTCAATCGTCCCAGCAGCAAGCCTGTTGATGAACGGCAGGCTGACGCCTTCTCCTACCGCGGCATCGAATTGTACCCTTCCGCGCGAGCAAAGCTGCGCGTGCTCGAGGCCGACACCTCCAGGCCACAGCTTGGCCTGGCATCTCAGGAGTATAACTGGTTGCTAGAGAACGGCACCCACATCATTCACAACGCGTGGCCGATGAGCGGCACCCGGCCCCTGAAGGCGTTCGAGCCACAGCTCCAGGCGCTGAGGAACCTACTCAGCCTGGCGGGGGGCATGGCCCTCCGCCCCCGCAACAAAACCCGGATCGGTTTTCAGTTCGTGTCTTCCATCGGCGTCGTCGGGAACGTGGGCGTGCCGTGCGCCTTGGAGCAGCGAGTCCCCATGTCGAGCGTGCTGCCGGGAGGTTACCCTGAGGCCAAGTGGGCCTGCGAGCGCATGCTCTACGAGACGCTGCATCAGTACCCAGAGCTGTTTCGCGTCTTCGTCGCGCGCCCCGGCCAGATCGCGGGCTCGACCGCGAGTGGGTTCTGGAACCCCCGTGGAGCACTTTGCGTTCCTTGTCAAGAGCGCCCAGGCGCTTCGCGTCTGGCCCGATCTGGACGGGACGCTCATGTGGATTCCCGTCGACAGGTGCGCGCGTGTCATGGTCGACCTCCTCAAGATCGGAGACCCAAAGGCGGGTGCACATTCCGTCTACCACATCGATAACCCCATCGGCCAGCCGTGGAAAGCCATGACGCCAGTGCTCGCTGCTGCTCTCGATATACCCCCACACAGTATCATTCCATTCAAGGAATGGATTAAGCGCGTTCGCCGGTCACCCCTGTCGGCTGATACCGACAACCCAGCTGCACGCCTGGTGGACTTTTTTGAATTCCACTTCCAGCGCATGTCTTGTGGGGGACTGATCCTTGATACACAACATGCAAAGGAGCATTCCGAGATTATGGCTAAGGAAGGGCCGGTCAGTGCTGAGATAGCGAGGTCATATGTTGCTAAGTGGAAAGAGATAGGCTTCTTGCAAACATAGACGCATTAGGTAGCGTCACCAGAGGGACGTAGAGATATTCAAGTCTTGCTCGAGTTTATAGAGTTCTAAATAGATTGTCTTCTCGCTGAGAATAGGAAGAGGGAGTCGAGGAAGCTCGCCAGTCCCTTCAGAGAAAGGGGTCAGCGTGACATTCAAGTTGCTTGGGAATGACCCAATGTAGCCAGTCCATGGGCACCTTGCCTACCATTACTGGAGCATGATCCTCACTCGCATTGTTGGAGGTATATTAATAGCACCTCACTGTATGTTTGCGGCCACGTGCGCTGGAGCAAAATTTATAGAGCCTTAATTTAATCCGGGCTTAAAGTGACCGATTCTCGTACCTTGTGTTCTCTGGATTGACTTCCTTGAGGACCTTTAAGGAAACATGGTACCACGCCATCATACTAGGGATCCTAGACCATCAGTCTCACATGAGACCCGTAAGCAGAACAACACCAAACTCCTCAACAAATGGACCCACTGGCGATCGCACAACTGCCTGTCAACCGAGACCCCCTGCGACCGCGAGTATTGATACCTGAGCACCGCTTTTGCCCGTTCCGCACGATCGACCTTGGCAAACCTGACGCCATGGTCAAAGTTGCGTGCAAATCTTAGTGTGAACCTTAGGCTGCAACCACGTGGGGGACGCATCACTGGGCCCAGAACTTCGGTATCAAGTGTACATGAAAGTTGCAGCTGGTGAGGACACGACGTTCCTGGGCCCGATTGCGCAATCCATCACACCATTCGGGTCGGGGGTGGAGAAAGGATGCACAATCGTGCGCTATCACCAGCTTCAAAACTTGGTAAAAGCCAGCGCCTGCCGTCCGCTCATGTTTCATCTCATCGAGTCTCACTTCAACTTGCCCTTGGTTTGTTGTTGATCAGTCCGGCTGCGCTTAAATTCAAAATCGCCAGCCTCGACTTTCATACACTCTTGGTGACATTAAGGTCAACCGATTCCACCTCTGTGATCTTGTATCAATTCGGGCCTCTATCTTGAGGGTACACGCTCAGTATGGCCGAAAACGGTACCTACCCATCCACAGACCCGGTCGTGTACGAAGAGTACGCCGGCAAATGGGCAGACCAGCCGCAGGATGCAGACAGTTGGGTCAAGCGTGCGCAAGACATAGCCTCTGTATTGGAGAAAGACGCCAGCGCGCGTGAACGGGAGAATAAGTCTCCACGAGCAGAAGTATCTCTATTGAAGCACTCAGGCCTGACCAAGATCCTCGGCCCAAAGAAGTATGGAGGTGGCGAGCAGCCCTGGAGTGTCGGATATAAAGCAATCCGGGAGGTCGCAAAAGCTGACGGGTCAGTTCAATGCTTTGCAAATGCCACCACGTCTGCCCAACATGCAGAAAATACTAATATTTGATATTTAGTTCCATTGGAATGCTCCTCGGATACCATCTCCTCTGGAGCACGACTGCCAATGTCGTCGGAAGCTTGGAACAAGCGGATCGCTTGCAGAAGCTCATCCTCTCCAACAACTACTTCATCGGAGGGGCAGTGAATCCCAGGGACAATGACCTGAGAATCACAGACAGCGGCGACAAGATCACTTTCGGCCGCAAGCACTTCAACACCGGCGGTGTTGTCTCGGACTTGACTGTCCTCGAGGGCGTGCTAGGGACCGAGGACCACATCTTCGCGATTGTACCAACTGTACAGGCGGGAATCAAGTTCGCTCACAACTGGGACAATGTCGGTCTTCGCTTGACCGAAAGCGGTGGTGTCTCGATTGAGGATGTGGCTGCCCCATGGGAGGATGCCCTCGGCTGGGACGTGAAGACTAAGCGCCCCGACCCAGCAGTCCTGGGAATTCCTTTCGCCAGTTTGCTTCTTCCAACCCAAGTCAATAATGAGGCCTGAGGTAGCTTGAGAGAAAGTGCGCCGGCTGATTTTGTATGGCAGCATCCAACTCGTGTTCAGCAACTTCTACTTGGGCATCGCGCTGGGTGCACTTCAGTACGCTTCAAAGTACACTGTCTCAAGCAGTCGAGCCTGGCCATTTGGTGGGGATGTAAGTGAATTCCTACCCCAGCGGTATTACACCTGCTGAAAGTTGGAACAAGAATTGACACTTTGAGCAGAATAAGGAAAAAGCCACGGATGAGTTTTATATTCTCTCTACCTATGTGCGTCCCCTTCTCCTTTCTCGTTCCAACGCCCCGTTGAGCACTTGGAGCAACTCACTCCCAAGCTTGCCTCGGGATGCTTTCAAGCACACTGCTCACTGCGGCACTTGAACGCCCGACTATGCAAGACCACCGCTCTCGAAGAAGCAGCGCCACTGAATTAATCTGCTGACACGCATCCCACCTAGGGAAACTTCCTGGCCCATCTCCGTGCCGCAGAGGCTCTCGCAGATAAAGCTGGTCAAGCTGCAGACGCTGTGTACACCAAGTACCCCTCAAACAAGGCCGATGTCACAGCTCGTGAACGCGGCGAGCTCGCCGAGTGGGTCGCCAGCATCAAGGTGGTCGCGACAGACACGGGGCTCAAGGTCACGTCAGGCCTCTTCGAGGCGACCGGAGCCAAGGCTACAGCCACGAAGGTTGGCCTGGACCGGTTCTGGCGTGACATCCGAACGCACACCCTTCACGACCCGGTGTCGTACAAGAATAGAGAACTGGGACGCTACCAGCTCCTTGATGAGGTACCTGAGCCCACGTGGTACGCATGATCTTCCACGAAGAGATTCTGGGTTAGATTGGTTGGATATTTCTTAAATACTAGTTACTGCTAATTCAAACGCCTTGTGCCTTATGCTGTTCCCGCCACGGAGCCACAAATCCTCCACCGTGCTTGGAAGAACGCCGTCAAATCGTATGTCGATTTAATAGGAATCTCGAAATAAGACCCCCATGCCACTAACTCTCCCTACTCATGCCCTTTTTCATATATACCTGATCGAAGTCACAGATGAAATGAGGCCCTTGATGTATAATATTTTCGTTCTCTGTCGTGCTACCGAGTCTCCGTAGCCTCGGCGCTAAAGTTGAGGTCCAGGCGAGGTACATATTTCACTGCAAGCCGCCATGAACTCGCCAGACAATGCCAATTGCTTGATTGCAGATAATGTCCTTGTTTGCTTTCTTTTTCAATACCAATTTAATCCATTTCAGTGTTGTCCGAGTAAATTGTCCGAGGTCTCTGCGCTGATCTGTGCCAATGGTGACGTAGTCTAGACGTTCTGCGACAAAACGGTGATACATTAGTTGCTAAGTAGTCCCCCGGGCGATCTAAAGTCACAACGTCACTGACTCCAGTCTAAGTAAGGGTTCACAAGAGGGCTGCAGGAGCGGTCTTCTCAGGGTCCTTCATTAGTATTGTGAAAGCCAACTGTGGCAAAGTTGCACTTTCAGCATGAGATATCTCGCGACGCTTGCGCTCCCACTACGGTCAACATTTTCACTGAGAAGCGCCCGGTTCGCAGCTTGTCGACATTATCAAACCCACAAGATGTCTTCGAATGGAGACCATGTGGAAAAGGTCAGCGAGCCTCAGCCCGCGTGTGAGGCACACCAGCACCAAGCCGGCTCGACCACCCACCGCGACCTGGACGAGTGGAAGCACCGCGAGCCGTACAAAATCCACGAAACCGGCGAAGACTTCCCCGTGAGGTGGCGAGGAGGGTGCCACTGCGGGCGCGTGAAGTACCAGCTCAGCCGTGAGCGGCCCCTGGTTTCAAAATACTGTCACTGCACCACGTGCCAGCGGCTTCACGGCGCCCCGTTCCAGTGGGCCACCATCTTTCACAAGAAGGACATCAACTTCACGCACGGCCATCACGACCTGGGCTGGTACGACCCGACTGCAAAGACGCAGACGCATCACCTCCCTTGCAAGGTGCAGTGCGCCTTCTGCCGGACGCCCATCATGGACGAGGGGAGGAACATGATCCTGCTCTACCCCACTCTCATCGAGGGCATTGAGACGCCCGAGGCGAGGAAGGCATTTGAGTCTAAATGCCACATGTTCTACCACCAGAGAGTGGTAGACTTCAAAGGAGACGGGATTGCAAAGTGGTCTGGGCTGGAAGGTGAGAGCGACTTGCTGGACGATGATGGGAACGTGGTCAAGAAAAGGAAGCAAGAAAAGGGAAAAGCTTGATGGACGGCATTCCGGAGAAACCTGCTGCATGTTGAAATCCCCGCGTGATCTTGACCAAAAGGGTCAACTTGCTTATACATTAGCACATGCAACACGGCTCTGGAATTCATGCATATGGACAAGAACGGAAACCCGCATGGGGTGATTTTTGATGCGCATGTGAGCGCCTAGCACTGCGAAGCAACTGTGAGTAAATGTCGAATTAGGAGATTAAACTAGCTGCATTGATAAACATGCACATGTATCTACTGTACATCATGGTTCTTCTGCCGCCCCAGAAGGCGGATAATTCCTCCGCACGATCGCCCGCAGGGGCTCGTACGCAGCCCTCGAGACCCCGAGCTCGTGCATCATGGCCGCAAACCGCGCGTCGAGCGGCCAGTGCGCGGGCATGTCCAGCAGCAGCACGACCATGTCGTAGAACTCCCAGTCCTCGATATGGTCCGCGGCGAGCTTGGCCAGCGCGACGCAGACGTGCACCCACCCGGACACGACGGCCTCGTCGACGGTGCCCTCGAGGAAGCGGAACTCGACCGTCCGCGGGCTCGCCCTCGCGCGCGCGTCCTCGGCCCCCAGCGCGTGGAAGTTGAACCCCAGCCGCCGGTACTTCCTGCCCGTGCCGCAGAGCATCCTGCCCAGCTCCGCGTGCGTCGACGCCCGCCAGATGGCCCGCAGCGCTTGGCGGTGCGCCCCGACGAATCGGAGCGTGTCGCCGTCGTCCCCGCCGTGCGAGCTGCCGACGCCGCTGCCGGTCCCCGTCAGCCGCGCGTTGTTCGTCCTGACGAGGAAGGTGTCGAACTCGTCCTCCGGGCCGGTGGCGAGGTCGTCGGGCGTCTGCCCGCCCGGCAGCCTGCCCTGCAGGGCCAGCGCGATGCGGCTGTGCTGTCGCCAGGGGAAGCTCCACGTGTACGTGTGGTCAAAGTTGCGGGACCGTGGGTCCTTGAGGCCGCGGAGGATGGGCTCGGACAGCCACAGCACCGTGGCCAGCTTCTTCATGCTCTTGAGGGAGTAGAAGAGCCCGTCGTGCCGCCCGACGTGGACGTGGACCTCGGTGGAGTGGTTGGCGACGGTGTTGAAGCTGTGCTGCAGCGTCCTGCAGACCGAGCCTATGCCGGCTACTGCCTCTCTCCTTCCGGTCCACCGTAGCTTTGGCGAGCACAACTCTACTGGGATCCACACAAATTTATTATAGTCTGGTGCTGTCACGTCGATCAAGGGCCGCTCGTCGTCTCCTTCCTCATAGCTTACAAACGTTGGAACGGCAGAGTTGGCTTTGTACACTATCCAATGCGTTCTCCAGTAGTCACTTCGTTCTAGTCTATCTCCCTGTATTTGATGGTATGTTGTTGCCTTTATTCCGGGGAGGGAATGGAGGGCAGTGGCTATCGCTTCGTATGTGCTCCTTTGGATCTGCTTCTCAGACTCGGTCATGGACTCCAGGCTCTCTTTCGGTCGATGAGGGACAAATGGTCTTATCTCCTCGTTCAAAAAGTTGGTCTTGCTAAGCTTTTGCGGCACGATGGACTTGATCTCCACGGCGAAAGTGATGTCTTCAGCTCTATCTCTAGTCGAAGACAAGGGTTGGATTGTTGTGTCCGCGGTCATTACTGAGCTTCGTAGGACTTGAGTGTCGTGTCCAAGTGCTGAGAAACAGGTGCTGCAAATCGGGCGTCGAAATGCTCTTTGCCTCGTTTTATTCCAAGTTCGCTCGTGTGTGACAAAGATTCCAACCCACAAACGCCACAGTCGTGACTAGGAAGCCTGGACAGTGACTCCGCACAATCTGACGCCAACAGGTGCCAAGTTTCTGAGATGCTCCACAAGGTTATACTCAATAGGGCCAGTCCTGGTACGAATTGAGTTCGAGCACTCCATGCCGTTTATTCAGGCCTGCTGATCGGGTAGACGCAATGCTCCGTTTCTGCGAGTCACAGCATGAGAATCTCTTGAGTATTTGCTTGTGACGGAAAAAGGAAGCGAATGCTTTATATGCTGCAGACGGCTTGTGCTCCCCCAGGATGACAGGTAGCATTCGAAGCCGGCCGGCCGGCCGTTGCCCAAGTCTGCCGGCGGTCCCCTTGGACCCCTGCCTCAATCAGAAGGAAACGATTCTTGTCACCTCATGTAGTGAAGGATTAAACTAGCCAAATACGCCAAGCAAATGACAAGTGATACGATGTTATAATTTGAACGGCGGGTGGGCCGATCCATTCTTGTAAAGGACATAGACGTCAGGCCTCTTCTACGGTGGACATATTTGTCTCATTAGCCTTGCATTGTGAGTTTTCAAGAGAAAATCGTTGGGCCTTACCCCAAAAGTGAGGTCAATAAATCCTTAGCATCCGCTCATCCTGGTCACTCCTCGAAGTGAGCCCAACGAGCCACTTGTGCCTGACATATGGCGAAAGTTCTGCCGATCCCACCTAGCCAGACAAGTACCTAAATGAGATCGAGGCGCCTGCGGCCAGAATTGCTGCACCTATGATCTCATACATGAACTCTAATGCAAGGCAGACGTTCATGCGCACCCTGTGGGCAGGCAACGGTGGTTCCAACCGGCAAGACAACTAGTGACCAAGGCTGGCGTCTCGGTCACCGTTCCGTGAAAGGAGCCAATCACGGAAGCCAATGCACAACCCCATTGCTTCAATGTTCGAGGCGACCACAGATTGCAACCATCTTCACAGGCCAGTGTACTGCCTAATATCCCACGGCCGCGACCCTGTTGACGGAAACTGCCGCTAGGGCCCCAAGGATTCTTCCCACTCGACGGTCCCGTGTGATATCAACTTCCAATTCCGGCACAAATCTGGGTATTGCCAAGATGACTACAACTCAGTAGATCGAGTGGCGGATGGCACAATTCGCTGACAAACAACTAATTATAGCCCAAGACGGCTTGATATCTCCATAAGAGGTTGGCAGCTTCTTGGGCACATGACGACGCCGTCCATGTCAGGTATCTAGTGCTGAATAAGCCGACCTCGACGCCCGCGGTTGGACTGACAGCAAATCGACACAGCGGAGACAGGCGGAGACAGGCGGAGACAGGCGGAGACAGGCGGAGACAGGCGGAGACAGCCGAGGAGCAACATGCTAGACGATAGCAAAGCACCGGTTGAAGATGGCGTGCATGACGGACCGGATGTCAACCCTCTCCTTGGCCGCGTCCTGCCGCGCCTGGACCTCCTCCAGCACCTGCGCCGTGATCTTCGCGTTGCCCGCGACCCTCTCCATGCGCAGGATCTGGCTCATGACCCACGCGCGCTCCTCCGCGTCCGGCTCCTGCTCGGACCCGAGCATCAGCAGCGGCCACAGCATGTTGACGGGCAGCGCGTCGTCCTCGCGGTCGAGGCCCTCCGCCAGCAGGCCCGCGAGGCGCCGGATGTGCGCGAGCGCGTCGCCCGCCTCGGCCGTCAGCGGGAAGGCCTTGTATGCCACGCGGTGGAGATGTACTTTGCTCGCGTAGTAGTTGGACAGATACGTGCGGAAGGCCCGCGTCACCACGGACGCGAGGTGTGCGGAGACGTGCGGCGGCGTTAGGCGCCCTGCGACGGCGATATCCATCAAAGGTGGTCGCTGCTCGTATAGTGCCCGCAGGTCCGCCGCGATTGCCTGCCCCGTGTTCATAACCTCCGTCTCGTCCTCAACTGTGCCGCGGGGCCGGTGCCATGGATCGATTTTAGAAATTCTGCCCATAAATGACTGTACCTTCTGAAAGAAGAGAATACCCGGCTGGTAGAGGACCTGGAAGAGGGTGTCCTCAATGTCGTCGTCGGCGAGCTCGTCTTCTCTGGTCTCGGGGCCGGTGGCGGTCTTGAGGATGTTGGGAGACGAGACATCGACGAGGAGAGGCTCCTCGTCTTTCTCGAGGAAGAGGCCGTCGCCGCCGGCGCTCACAGCTCGGCCATCGAGGAGCCGTATCCAGAGGAGGAACTGTTTCTCGATCGGGGTGAAAGACGCCTTGTCTCCGTGCTGGAAGATGTTGTAGGCCCTCTTGAGATGGGTGTGAGCAGTCTTTATCCTGGCTTCTAGGATGTCAACGTAGCTTAGGAAGAATAGGGTTGCCAGCAGGTTTGTACGGTCAATGCTCTGCTTGAGAAATGACTCAGCCGGGTGCTCATCGTACGCTGCCACCTCGGCGGCGGCGTTGTCGTAGTGGTTCTGCTGACTTGCCAGCCAGTTCCCATCGCGACGGCAGAGCATCAGATTAGAGAAGGCCAGGATGGCCCATCGTATCATGCGAGATGCGTTGGACATCCCGACCAAGACCTGCCGCATAGCAAACCAGTTTTTCTGCGTCTCTACTTCAGCCAGGATGGGAGGCGTAACAGCGTGGGCGAAATAATCCATGAGACGATGGTTCTCCACCGCTACCGTCTCGGAAGGCACGAGCAGGTCGTCTTGGTCGGCGTAGCCGGTGCAGCTGGTATCTGGAACTGTTGACGGCTCCGAGTTGTCATAACTGTTGGGTACCAATCTACCCTGCATCGAGACATTGATGCTGGCCTGGGGCGATGAGTTGATCGTGGCCGCGGGGACAACGGGATTATGCCCGTTTTGAGCCAGCGCGTCGAACGTCACACCCTGCCCAGCAGTGACGGCTGGGCTCATCTGTTGCCAGATGTCACCCGTGCCAGTACCGGAATCCCACAGGAAGGAGGCGTAGTCGAAGAGCTGGTTGACGGCATGGAGAGGCGGGGTCTGGAACAGTGGCCCGCTGGGTGCCGGCTCCATTTCTGGCATGGGAGTGCGTGACACTTCGGCATTGCTTGGGGCTGCGGTGCTCCCAGCATTCTGCCTTGAGCGCCGCTTATGGCTGCTGGTTGGGAAGGAGAGCGGCCACTTGCATTCGAGGTTGAGACGCTCGCAGTGGCTGCAGCGAGGTCTCAGCTCGTCGCATTTGACTTTCCGCCGTCTGCCGAATGGTCAGTGATCGGTCCTTTGCCTCTGTGGGCCCATCGCCGGCGGGTTTTCCGATCGCCTACTTGCACGTGAGACAGCCGTGTCTTGAGCGGGCCGAGGACTTGTTCGACGAGCGTGCCGGACCACCAGTGGAGTTTGGTGTTCCGAGGTCGTTCTCTGGACTCGGCGACATGATCGCGGCCGTGAGCCTGCAGTCGAGTCACCGGCGGAGAGGGCTATAGACGGGTTCGGGGCGACAATCGATGGTCGGCCCACGAAGCTGCAGCTCGCCTCGATTTGACAGGAAGCTAAACAGCCCTAGGCTTGCGAAAGAGACGGGAATCCGGACGCCCCGGGAGCGGGTCCATGTAAGTAGGCACTGCAGTTGCTGGCGACAGTCCAGAGTAGCCCGTTCCCGCTTGCCAGGCTTCCTTCCACATGTGTCCCGGAGATTATCCGTTGGCGTGTACATCACAGTTGACTTGTGGAGAACTGGCCGGTCTCTCCTTAATTGAGCTCGCTTTTGTTGGCCAGTTCGTGCGCTGCTGTCTGGAGAAGTGATGTTTTCTCCACTCCCCACAACCTCCGCGAGTGGGCCTGCTCAACTTGGGGGGGTCTCCAGCTGGAGGTGGGCTGGTGCGTGGGGGCGCGCATTGACTCGGCTGGAAGCTGTCGCGGTGCTTCGTATCCCGTGGGCGGCTCAGATGGAAACCTTGCACACATCAGGTGCACCCTACTGTGTAGGAAGCACAAGCCAAGCCTCTGAGATATCCACCAACATGATTCAGACATTTATTTTGAGAACTTGTATGCATTGGTTGGGTTGTTGCTGGTTTCAAGTCACTCAGCGTACAAATCAAAAAGCCACCTTCATGAAGCCCAGGGATGCCCGTCCTGGATCCTAGCCCTAGATGATATCACAGCAGATGCTTCCAATGCGCCAAAAGAAAACCATTCCACAGGTCTAATTGTAGCGCCAGAGTCAAGGTCAGCACATTTGTGTCCTCCGAGCGCAGCGCGGCTCAAACAAAGAGTCCGTCCCAGTGCTGCTGTTTGAACATTCATATACATAAGTGGCTGCCATATCCAGGTATCCTTGCCAAGTCAGTGATTCAAGAGAAAATTCAAAGATAATAGAGAGTAAAACGAAACGCTGAAGACCCAGCCAACCCTACCAAGACGCCGACGCATATGATTGATGGACTATGAGGACGTGTGTTGGAAAATTCGCGATGGTTGTTGTCCCCTCTCCGTCTGCTGACGGCTGCCATTACAGCCATTCGGGGGTTGTGAAATCGAACTGCCACCATGCTGCACGATGATTCAGAGTGAGCTCCCTGGGTTGATGAGGAGTATGCACTTGTGCGGTCCAATTTCAAGGCCATGGTGTCGTCCAGAGCCTATTGTTTTTAGATGTCGTCCTCGTCCTCATCAAAATTCAGCACACCTAACATATCGTCGTCGTCCTCATCCTGGACTATCGTAGGTGAGGACGCAAAATGCCTGTCGTCACCTGGGCCCAAGAAGTCGCTGTCCGACACACGGGGATCGGCTGCCGTGGGTGAGAGGACCGCAGCTGCAGATCTGTCCTTCTTCATGATCCCAAGCCCCTGCATCGTGTATCGAAATGGCGCAGCTCTGAATGCAGTGACATTATCCGACACCGTGGTCACGACTCCGCCGATGGGAGTGTTGTTCATGATGACGTTCCCGGCCGAGGATGCAACTGCGCCCCCGATGTCCAACATTCGGCGCGCGGCAGCTCTCCGCCGCTTCTGCATCTCTGAACTCAGCCACCACTGAGCGGTCGCCTGGCCGACCATGTAGACCACCTTGCCGTTCTGCTTTATGGTTTTCAGAACCTCGGACTGAAATTTCTGAGCTGTGACCCGGTCCGCCTCGTTGCCGTTAAACATGGCTTGGACACCGTCGGCGTCAATTTCGACGAAGCCGTTCTCCCTGAGCTCGTCTCTAGTAGGCTCATCTTCAGTCATCATGTCCTGGTCGTGGGTCCGCTCTTCAACATCATCACTGGCAAGGCCATCATCATCAACCTGATACTGGCCAGGAGGTTGATGTGCATAGCGCATCGTGTGAGGGTCAAGCTGCTGGAGATCCTCATGGTGCACACTTTTAGGAACTGTCGGTGGGCGGTGAGCATGCTGGCCGAGACTTTGATCTGAGCCCTGATGGGACAGCTGGGATTGTCGTGAGCGACGTGACGAAAGCCGGCGCCGGTCTGCAGGGTGATAATGTGTAGCTGGCGTAGTGCTAGGTGAAGGCGAGTACGACAGAGACGGGGGCGGCGGCGACGCAGGCTCCGGGTGTTGCCAAGCGTTGACAGAGGAGAAGTTGTTGTTGTTGTTGCTATTATTGTGGGGCCTTCCAGATGCGGCGGCGGCGGCGGAGTGGTGGAGTGCGGCTGGGGCGATGACGGGCTCAGCCGATCCGATCGGTGTCAGAGGCTCCATCAATTCGTCCTCGTTCAGGCCGCTGAGAAAGGCAGCCTCTTCTTCCTCGTTATCGAAGCGAAAGAGGCCCTCGTCGTCTTCGGCATAGTCTCGACCCTCCATCATGGTGGGCGAGGGAGGGCGCTGCCTCATAAGATATGTGGTGCGGCTCACTGCTGTGTGTGGCGTGTGTGTTGACAAGGCAGCAGAAGACGAGCGGGTTTGAGTTGGGGGAAAAGGTGAGGGTGAGGGTTGAGGGTTGAGTTGAGGATGAGTGTGAAAGTGAGTTGGGACGGGACGAGTGCGTAGTGCAGTGCAACCAAGCGAGTTGTCGGGTCGGAGTCAAGACCAGTCAGGCGCAGGGTGGGGGAGGGCTGGCCCAGGCAAAGTCATCCAGCGTGTTGCCGCCGATGGCCCTCCAGTCGGGGTTGGGAAAGCCAGTCGCAGGTGGTCGGGGTTGTCGAGCACGATGAAAGAAAGGCGTCTCCGTGCCCGTGCGAGCCAAAATGCGAGATGAAATGTCGGGGTGGGAGGGCGAAATTGATGGAAGTGGTCGAGTGTCTCTGCCTGAGGCGAATGCCCTCAAAGTGGCGGGTGGGAGACTGGGAATGGAAACGGCAGATGGGAAGCAGCAGCAGGGACTAGGACTGGGACTGGGCCAGGAACAGGGAGGAAAAGTACGGGTGCGGATGGTGTTAAGCGGCTAACGAGCACGAGGTAAAGGCGGCAGGTGGATGAATGGGGCACGAGCGCGGGACTACCTTGCACTACTCGGATAATGCATTGTATGTATGCCAGCCAGAGGACCCATGTCCTCATGACTGCATCAGTACCTGGTTATGCCAGCGGCAGCGCAGGCATTACCTTTGAAGACCTGCTCGGGGAGCAGTCACCTAGTTGTCGGACACAGTCATCCGGATGAGGCGAACCTGTTCCCACGATCCGTCGTCGTCACGAGACAATTCTAGCCCCTGCAGAACACATGAGACTGAAGGCAGCTACGTGTAGGGTTAGATAAGATGGATCTTGACGTCCTGAGCATTACATTATTTCTACGGAAAGTTCTAGGTCCCTATCCTGGAGCACGATCTCAAGAGAGCGGGGCTGAAATGATTGTATTTCAAGCAGACCCGAGGGTCGTCAACACTCAGACACATGTTGGGACAGGAGAGCCAGGGACAGGACTAAGTCCTCCTTGAAAGTGCCTCTGGGCCCTTTTCACATCCGTGAAAATAGCCCTGGAAAGACAAGACTGCGACGATTCAGAAAAGATAGACAGGCCTGTAACTTGGTTGACTGCCTAAGCAGATCCTGAACAGGCTGACCGGCCTGCACATTTTCCAACAGCCCGGACGTAGGCTCGGTCGTGAGGAAGTAGCAAACCGATGCTATTTCTGGCCGGTTGATCCAAGGAACCTCGCAATAGTATTGACACAAGTTATGTACACCCCACCTTGCGCATAACGCCTATTTCTTGGGCTCCTCCTTCTTCTCCTCCGGCTTGGGCGTCGGGAGCTTGAAGCTCTCGGGCTTTCTGTCAATACCCGTCCCCACCGGCTCCCACACGCTCGAGCCGCCCTCAAAGTCCCGGAATGCTTGTGTCAGCTCCAGAGGCTCCGTCACGATTCTCTTCTTCTCCTCGTCATACCGGATCTCCGTGTATCCCGTCACCGGGAAATCCTTCCTCAGCGGGTGACCCTCGAATCCGTAGTCGGTCATGATGCGCCGCAGATCAGGATGGCCGACAAAGAAGACCCCCATAAGATCGTATGCCTCGCGCTCGTACCAGTTGGCGCCCTCGTACAGGCTCGTGATGGACGGCACGGGGGAAGCCTCGTCGGCATACGTCTTGACGCGGATCCGGCTGTTGTGGCGGATCGAGAGCAGATTGTACACGACCTCGAAGCGCTGGTCTCGCGTGGGGAAATCGACGGCGGTGATATCGCTGACTTGCGTGAACTCGGCGGCGGTGTTGTCTGCAGAGGCAAGGAAGAGAATGTTAGCAATGGGCCGCGACGCCGCCGACAGACTAGCAGTAAGCACTTGAGCATGACGACATACACTTGAGGAAAGAGAAGACTGGAATGACGCCGGACGGTGAGATGTAGATAGTCAACTCATCCTTCCAGACGGAGAACTGTTGGATGTACTTGGGCAGGACGCCCATCAGCCAGGCGCCGTATCTGTGCAGGTTGTCGGCCTTGGACTGGTATTTGTCGGCAGGGTTGACGATGGGCGCCTCGAGGGAGCCGAGCTTCTCTCGTTCTGCTGTCCGGAAGTTCTTGGCATCTTTGGGGAGCTTGACGGCGTAGGAGCCGACGCCGGCGCGCGCGGTGGCGGAGAAGCATCGCGCAGCAGCAGCTTCGCTCTGGACGGATGGCTTTGCCGGTCGCAGGGCTTGGGCCAACGCCCGGCTCCTGCAGAGCTTGCTGGCCATTCTGGACGGTGTTCGGGGGTTGTTGGGAGGTCAATTGACGGCTGGAGGACCTTCCCGGCTTGGTCAAATGTGCCCCTCGGTGTCGAGCGGCTGGGCTGGGGTTGGCTGGAGCTTGGGGAGTGGTGATGTCGTTCACGGGCCGAGACTGGGAGAATGGGAGCGATGATTAAAGCAACGCCGCCAATTCGCTGCAGCCGGAGAGACGCTCGAGCGAGTCAGGTGATCTCTCACGTGCGGCCTATGCTTGGACTGTATCACCCAGCAAGGCGTTGAATGTCTCTGTTGCTGCGTCGTTGATGTGGATTAAGGTAACGAAGACAAAATCCACTGTTAAAATCTCGATAGTCGAAGCTACGAAGGCTACTGCAAAGGCGTAGGGAACCTGTTCGTCAGAAGGGAGGCAGGATGTACAGTACAGCAGGTTCGCCGAGTCGCTCCTGCAGCAGCCAGCGGTTTCCAGGCAGGGGATCGGTCCTGGCTGGGCACCGAAACGTTGCTGACTGTACCGTGCCGCACCGTACCGTCCCCTGGGACTGTGCCACAACACTGTACTCTGGCCTCTCGTCTCCGGTGCAACCTGCTCATTGGTTCCTTGGAACTGGGGTGAGGCTAGTCCTGGCTGGGCACTAGCGCCCTTCCGACCGTCTGTGCTCCTTCCACCTTGGCCCGTGGCGTGGAAGGCTTTGATGCCAACCACGACTGAACTTCCTGCTACTGCTTTTCCTCTTCATCAGCCATCCCATCAGTATCAACCCGCCCCCTCCCTCTCTTCCTCTCCAGGCGCGTCGTTGCAGCTGCCACACTCGACATTTACACACGGTCCATCTGACCCGTCTTAATCATTGCATTTAATCGTCTGATTTGGACTGCCTCTCGAGACCTGGCTTAGGCAACCCCCTGCCGACCTTTACCCGAGTTGCGTTGCGTTCTGTCTCGTCACTGTGACAGCCCTGGCATCCTCGCCTTCACTACAAACGACCCTTTCGTCGCGCAACGCCGTCGTCTTGCAATCCCAGCAACGATCGACACAGCCAAACACTTGCTGTGGCTCTGATTATCAGTCATGGCACCTCAAGATCAGTACCTCGATGATGAGGAGGAGACCTGGTAAGCACCTTTTCGCCAGACATCCCATCCCATTCGCCCTTCCCTCCAACCTGTGCTGCAAGATACTGTCCACCAAGCTGGGCCCATCTTCTTGCACTTATTAACATGCCTTAGCCCTCTCTGCATCGAGGAGTTTGACCTCTCTGACAAGAACTTTCGACCTTGTCCCTGTGGATACCAGGTGAGCTTTAGCTGTCAGGTCCTCACGGCGTTGGGTTCCTCTGGCTGACTCAACTTCTCCGCATCTAGGTGTGCCAGTTCTGCTTTCACAACATCAAAAACAATATAAACGGTCTCTGCCCCGCCTGCCGACGACCTTACGACGAGAAAACAATACAGTACAAGGCCGTCACAGCCGAAGAGTTGGTCGCACAGCGCATCTTTCCTACCACGGTGCTTTACTGACAGTACACAGGCAAGCCGAGTTCCGCGCCAGGCAACAGACAAGCAAAAAGAAACGCGCCGAATTACAAGGCCAAAAAGAGATACAAAGGCGCGATACCGAGAAGGATGCGCGCAAGAACCTGGTCGGCATACGCGTCGTTCAAAAGAACCTTGTCTACGTCACCGGCCTGACCCCTACCGTACGAGAGGACGAGCTACTCAAGACCCTTCGACAACCCCAATTCTTTGGGCAGTATGGCAACATTCAGAAGATTTCGATTAGCAACCGGAAGACTCAAGACGGCCACAACCAGTCCCTGGGAATCTATGTCACTTTCGAGAAAAAGGAGGATGCCCAGCGCTGTATCCAAGCAGTCAACGGCTCCCAGAACGGCGAACGAATCCTCAAGGCCCAGCTCGGCACGACCAAGTACTGTTCCGCTTGGCTTCGATACGAGCAGTGCAACAACCGTCAATGCATGTTTTTGCACGAACTCGGCGACGAGGAAGATAGCTATACCAGACAGGATCTTTCGTCGTTGAATAGCATGCAGACGCAGAGACCGTATGGCGGCGGCAACTCTTCACGGTCAGCGTCTCGACAACAAGGGCCCCCTTCACAGTCGCATCAAGTACCTCAGCCTATGGTTCGCACCTCTAGCAAAGACGGATCAGAGAGCGGGGATGCTCCGGCTTTGCCAGCCTCAGCGAACTGGGCCCGCAGCCAACAGCAGCGTAGCCGGCGCGGCAGTCATGCAACCAGCGGTGCAGCGTCGAGCCCGGCCGTGTCCATGTCGTTGCCCGCAACAACCGAAGCGACCGAGGTGGAGGCCGTGGAAGCTGCGCCTCAAGAGCCGCCCCAGGAGCATCCGGAAGCACAGCCCGAACCTCCTGCCGCAGAAGCATCGAATGATTCTCTGGTTGCCGAGCCGCCAGAGCCGAAGAACCCCTGGGATACCGCACTTGTTGGAATCTTGAAGTCCTTGGGTGGCGCAGAGCTCAAGCTGCGACCTGTCACGCCCGACAACACCATACCGCCTCTATTTGACCCTCGAGGAGGCGAGCGACGGCTGGCAATGCGAGACGAGGAGGAGCGCCAACTTAATGGAGAGCAAGAGCAACAGCAAATTGAACCAGTGGAACCACTCGAGCCCGAGGGAGAGCCCGAAAGCGGAAGCTTGGCTTTGGGGGGTGAGCCGGAGGAGCGCGATCAGAGTCGCGAAACGCATACTTTTGAGCAGCGTCGGTCGATCGCCCAGGTACCTATCCAGCGTACCAATACGGAAGGCTTGTTTGGCCCCAATGTTGGCTCCAGTTTCACCCAAGGTGCAGCCAACGTTGCCACAATCGGCAACCGCACCTTGACTCCACAGCAGCAAACCTACATGCGCCCGCAAGCCAGCTTTGCGGATAGCATGCCACCTGGTATCAACGCCTCTCAGTCAGCGCTGTTCCAGGGACAGGGTCAGGGCCATAGCCGGCAGACATCGCGCTATAGCTTCGCCAACGAAAATCAACCCTCGGCCAACACCGTGAAGCTTGCTACGAACCCTCGTCTCATGGCGCAGCAGCAGGCTTCCATGATGCCCTCAACTTTCCACTCGCAGCCGAGCGGCCAGTACTACTCCTCATCCTCTATGCCTGGTCCTCCACCAGGGCTCAAGTCCACGGGAACACCCCCGAGCATGTTTGGCCAGGGCAACGCGTTTGGCAGCTCTGGATTCGGCGCGAAGGACTCTAACGAGGTTCTTCAAAATCTGATTAGGACTCGAGCTGGTGGAGTCGGCCAGGGCCATGATGCTAACAAGCGTGAGTACATATTTCCTTCATTTCCCAACCAGTACCCACCTTCCTCCTCCTCCACCCCAGCTCCTGCTACCGCCGGCTTCATGGGAGCGCTCTATAACGGAGCATACCAAGATCTCGGTGCCAAGCAGAAGAAGAAGGGGAAGAAGCACAGGCACGCTAACACTTCCTCCTCTGGGGGGAGTGGCTTAGTAGATCTTGCGGACCCGAGCATCCTGCAGGGCGAGAATCCAGCATCATCAACAGAGCAATGCCGGGGTCGGATCGGGGCTGTTTGGAGGCCAGGCCCAAGGTGGGTACAACCCCAACATGTTGTACAACTCGCAGCCGCAATATCGGGGTTGGTAGGCGGGACACGTTCCCGTCTTCCTCTTCGCCTCGGTCATGCACGAAACCTTTTCCTTTTTCCTCTTTCAATGTCTGGAACGATATTCTGTACGCTTTGTAATGCAGGCGTTTTCGGCTTGCAAGGGAACGGGCACAGGGCAGCACGACGGACCATGGACAGTGCGGTTTTGACTGCTTTCTGAGTTTGAGCGAGCATCGCGAAACGCCGGCCGCTCACGGGTCGCAGGCCGGCGGGATTTGCAAAGGCGTCACGTTGCATTTGGAAAAAACAAGAGGAGTTGAAGGCAGTCTCCAAGGAGACCTATCCTCGAAAGGCGTTATCTCACAGGATTGGCACCCTACACACAACTTCCACATACTTCGAGCTCAGGGTTACGTCAGGCAAGCCATCTCGTCCTCCTCAAGGTCACCTATGTACGTTAACATCACGTGCCCAGTTTCCGGTCCACAACTCCGGGGCTGATGCGGCATGAATTCCTGGGGATAATAGAGAAAATCTTCTTTGCCAACAATAACGTGCCTCACTTGCTTCTCAAGAACCTGCCGGGATCGCCTAGATGGAAGCCGTGACCAACCTTGAGCCTTCTTGTATATAATTACTCTTGGGGGTGTCGTCGTGCTGCCTTGTGGCGTTCCTTTCGCTGCCTCACCCCGCCATATGATTCAGAATAGACAGAGAGGGGAAGCCATGTGCTAACTGCCCTTCTCTTATAGATGAGGACGATCCGTTCCTGAACGACGCCACCAACATCGTCGACGCCCTCGTGTCCGATGATCCGGTTGACGAAGAGACTTCGGCAACAGCGGATGCGTTCCAGACGTTCGTTGTGCCCACAGCTCCGGCCGTCCCGCCTCCTGGCTTGGGCTTCATGGCTCACGGTCATCCTCCGCGAACCGCGACGCCCCTACAAGCGCCCCCGGGACTTGTTGGCCCTGCAATTGCCCCACCTGGGGGCCTGCTCTCCAACAACACCCCTAGCCCTGTTGTTCCGCTCAAGCCAGCATCTGCATCTCCTGCTTCGGCTGCTGGCTCCGCGAGTGCGAGCAAGAAAGGAGCTGAGCCGGCCACGGGAGCTCAGGCCAAGAAGAACATCAAGGCACTCGCCCTCGACAGTGGCTTGTCTATGGAGATTGCTTCCCAGGCGAGCACGTCCGCCAAGGGCAAGAAACCAGTGCTTCAGGATGAGGACTTCCCGGCTTTAGAATCTGCTAAGCCTGTGTCTCGAACCTCGACACCTGCGCCAGCGAAGGCCCCCTCTATCAAGACTCCGATGGTTGCGAAAAAGGTCCAAGCCGAGACCCCAAAGTCTGCTACAACACCTGCTGCAAGCGAGACTCCCACCCAGCTTGCATCTGCGCCGAAGGTCGAGAGGAAGGCTGAGAGGAAGGTTGTGCCGGGGGTTCTAAATATTGCGGCCGCGACCAAAGCAGCTGCGGCAAAGTCCAATCCTCCCTCCGCTGTGACATCGGCCGTGGAGAAAGCGGACGAATCAGCGTTCCCGGCGTTGCCAACGCCAAGTTCGGTCTCCGTATCCTCGCCTGCTACCCGAGTGCCGAAAACTTTGCGAGTTGTCTCGACGCCGAAGGCAGAGACGCCTCCGTCTATGTCCGCCGGGGCTGCTGCGCCTGTGTCTCTCCGTCATGCTTTCAGCACTTTGCAGCGGCCAGAGACTCCAGGCAGTGCAGATGTCTCAGATACGGCGTCCATTCTATCAGCATCGGCATCCGCTTCTCGGACGAACTCTCCACCGCCTGGTCCTTCGCGAGTCGGCTCAGCCGCTGTTCGAAACACAACCAAGAGTCAGCAACGCAAAGCGAGGAAAGATGCGACAAAGAAAGAAGCGGCTGCGATATCAGTCCAGACGAAGCCGGAACCGGAAGTTGTGATTGCACCCATCGTTGGTCGCAAGAAGAAGCAGAAGAAGCAGCCAAAACACAGACGTTGACCAAGGACGCGACCCCGCCAGTGGAGAGTCGCCCTCAGTCACCTGGCCCAGCAGAAAGGCCCGTCGAGAAGGAGGGCAAGCTCGCAGCCGAGGAGAAAGTTTCTACCTATCGCCAGGCCGTTAACGAATCTATGAGCTTGGAAGAGCCGCTGATCCCTCGATCAAGGCGGAAGGAAGGTAATGCCTCTTCCACTGGCGAGGTCTCGAAACCAGTGACAGACAGGCCGATTCCTCCACCGGCTGCTATTCTCCATGAGCTCGCATCTGCTGGCTGGATCTCAGATGTTGACGCGCTTGGCCTTTTGAAGGGCATCACAAGCACCTCTCACCGCTCTGAGCAGTACACGCCTGTCGTGCCCAAGGATGGCTTGACCGAGATCAAGTCTATGCTTAGTGACGAGGACCAGCAGGCCCTCCTCTCTGGCAAGCCCGTGCACAAAATTATCGATGGCTCGCGCGTTTTGCTTACACCCAACGGCAACTGCGTGCGCAACCTGACTGCCGCCGAGGAGCAACGCTACCTCGAATTGCTGGCGGAACTCGCTGCGAAGGTCGGTGATCCGGCAACGTATGTTCACACACGTCACGAAGCCGGCAACGGCTTCAGCGTGGTTAAGGGTCGCGCCGTCGCCAATGGCACGCCGAGCTACTTCCCTCAAGGGCCAGGAACCGCTACTGCTGACGGTCTGCGTCTACCTGCGGTCTCAGACCCAATGCAGAAGATGACCCGCGAGGAGGCCCTCGCCAACATCAACCAGTCGATCCTGCCGCGTCTCAACCTTGGCACGGCAAATTTGAACACGCTCGCGGCCGTCACTGATCCCAAGCATTCCCTCAACACTTCACCTGGCGCAGGTCAGAACAACAATGCCCCTCAGACCCCGCCTTTGTCCAAGCAGGATCTGGCCAACGCAACCAACGCACTCAACTCGCTTGCTCCGTTGATTCTCAATTTCGCATCCTCCGGGTCGCCATCGTCCACTGCCGCGCTGGCTGCCGAGCTCACGGGCCAGTCTGCGGGCTCAAGCCTGGCGAAGCTCGACCCGGCAGATGAGTTCTCGGGCATGGCGAACACCATGACAGCGACGCCATCGATGCCGTCGCTGGCGTCATCGGTGGCAGGCAAGAGCGGTAACGTGGGCGGGTCGTCGAGCGCGCTAGCCAACTTCCCGATGATGAGCGTCGAGGACATGGAGCAGGCGTTCACGCTCGCCAAGAAGGAGGCCGAGAAGATGGAGAAGAGCCTGAACCAGGTGATTAAGAAGAACCCGGAAGCTGCTCTCCCTGTCGAGCTCCGGCGTGGGCGGTGGACATTGACTAGTCGGCGGCCCCGCGACCTGGGCGACAACGTCTTCAAATGCGCCCAAGACATCTTCTGGTACCGCCAGTACCACCGCTGACAACAAGGCAACGCGCCTCCGGAGACGCGAGCTGCTACAGCGTGGCATTGCGAGAGTCGGGCTAGCTGCGTCCCGCGCCGTCGGATTCGACGAGCTGCGGTTTGGCGGCGTCCTCGGCGTGAGCTGCGGATTTGCGCTGCGAGCGACTGTCGCTGCGGTCTGTATGTTCAGCGTCGTGGTGGCAATGTGGATGGTCACGGTGGTCGTGGGGATTTACAGGTTTGGGGCGTGGACAGTGAGGGCCTTGGTGGCCCTTCTCGACTGGGTCGGGGCCACGTACTAAGCTCTAGCTCTGCTGTGACTCGACTGGGCAGCGATAGCTGTGGGCGAGTAATGCAAGGTGCGAAGGAAATTAGGGAGAGAGATGTGATCTGCCCGAAGGCCTTGGATGAATGGGTCAGCCTGGTTTATGGGATTTATGGGCACGGCGAAGTGTGTTCCGAGCACGATACTGACGAGATCGAATTTTGAGAAGACATGTGGGCGAAGAGGTCTGCCTACATGCAAGGGCCCACGATCGCGTCTGCAGACGAGTAATATGCGTGGCATTGAAGACGCAAGGGCAGGTTAGCCTAGCGAAAGGGCACACCCTGACGGCACTCGAGTGCTGTTGTACAATTATGGTTACGATGTACTGATAGGGAAGGGAGTCGGACACATTGCGGTTGACTTTTACGAGACGGCATCATGATGGCGAGCATGGATCACATTGCATGGATATGGCATGGCATTGCACACGGCATTGCTCGGATAGAGCTAGATAGCAAGCTATGGCACGTTAGAGGGGCTGGCATGTCCTTTCTCACGATCGGGAGGACCTAAAACTGCACATATCATGTGTAAATAGGCATTCTTGCCTTGTACAATTCGCATAGAGTCTTCAGGGCTCGGTCAATCAGAGAATCTCACATACGAACTGCAAGTGCCTCTTTCAAGTGATGGTCCTGTCAATTGTGGTAGCATGCTGCCTGAGTCACTTCGCTATCGTCACATTACAATCCTGCTATTCACTTAACCCTTGCCATGCGTAGCAGATTGGTAGCGTCAAAACAAGCCTCTCGATCAGCCCGTAAAAAGACCGCAGTGACATGATAACTGGTGGGGGGACTCCAGCCCATCTTCGTCGGCCTGGCTGAAATCTTTCGTGTTTCCTGACCCCAGCCCCCTGTCAACATCCGCCTCCAGGAGAGTGTCAACAGCGCCCACGCAGCATCGTTGCAGGTCCTAGCTTCTCATCACTTCTTCTCCTCATTCTCCTTCTTCTCAGTCTCCTTTCCACTATGGTCGCTGGTGACTATCTTGGGTACGGTGTCGGTCTGCGGGCTGTTTACAGCATTCAGCCTCACGTCTATGCTCTGAGATGTCGCTGGGAGACTTACGTTTCCGGGACCTCGGATGTCTCTTTGGGTTCTTGGCCAGGCATTATGTTTGTCTTTGAGGATACGTTTGATTCTTGTATGATCAATTCTGCTGGTTTCAAGTTTGTGGATGTCAAATTTGTCGATAGGGAGCAAGCAGGAAACCAGTCCGGGACTTGAGCCTCCTTTATATAGGTCTATTTCGTGTCTGACAGGATAGTCGAAGTGACCACCGTTTGCGTGCCGACATGCTCAGTCAGGCTTTTCTTTGCAGGTGCTTGCTTTCTTCAGAAGATAGTGACCAACACAAGCTTGGCTGTCACGCAGGTGGACGAGACAAGGAGCAAATTTGATTTATAATCGCCTGTGGACCAACGCAGCTGGACTTTCGGACGGGTGGTAATCACTTGGTACTGAGCGCATAACAATTGCTGTGTGCTGGGTCATGGAGACCTTTAATTCACACGAAGTCGCTCTTTGTGATAGTAGTCCTCTAGTTGAGGAATCCTTAACGCGTGGAAACTGAAAAGATGAGTAGTGTGACCGATTCTATAGAGCTCTCTTACTCCCGCCGACCTACTCCTTTCTATTCTCATTTTCCATGACACGGCTCTTGATGTGGAACATGGTCATCTTGATGACACCCTCCATTCCCCTTAGCAAGTGTATGTTGTTCTTAAATGTGTCAGTCTCTCGGAACTGCATATGAGCATCAATGCTCGGCCATCCGATCATCAAGTTCAGGAGGCTTCCCTCATGGCCCTCTTCGCCATCACGGACGGGGAAGTCATTCTCAACGCCCCGGCCGACGTTGACAGCCTGGATGACAGGATGCTCGCTGAGGACGTCTGCAAACTGCTGGAGCTGCTTGGCGGCCGCGTCATAGGCCTCCTGCGATATGTCCGACGGCAACCAGACCAGGAGGACCTCGGTCACAGGGGCCCTCAGGGCAGTGTGTGGGTAGGGTGACAGGTTGAGGTGCTTTGTGAAATGGTGACCGCCGAGGATCTTGGGGAAATCCTTGACGATGTCCTTTCCAAATCTGGGTGCCCATGGTCAGCGACGAGCACTCCAGGGCATCTGCACGGGCCCTGTGGCACCTACTCTTCAGCGAACTTCTCGTGCTCTTCCACCGAGGCAAAGTCGAAGAAACCCCAGAGATTGGCAGGGTTTTCAACTTCGGTGCCCCAGAACACCCTGTATGGGCCAGTCGGCTGGCTAGTTACGCCCTTCCATATCGACAGCAGAATCTGGCCTTCCGGGGTGCTGTCATCCATGACATCAATTCCCGGCTTGACAATACTGCATCCTGCCTCTGTGACGACCATGTTGAATTGTGGTAGCGAACTTGGATGGTTCGGTAGAAGCGAGGTATTGAGAGAGAGTGAACGTAGAAGAGTCGGGCTAGGTTGTTTTAGCCTAAGAAATCTCGTGTGAGTCGTGACTATCCCAAGATATATGTGGTCGAGACTCTGCTGCCTGAAGCACAAATGAAGTTAGACTGCTCGGGTGGTGAGACTGGATATCCTTTGCCTCCTCTATTTATGCGATTGCCTAGAGCACATCGGCAAGGACCGTGTGGTCAGAGTGGGGAGACGTTGAGCCGAAGAGGGGCGAGTCTTGGTGAGACTGGACGAAGCGAGTACCTGCCACTAGATGTGACGGACAAACCCTGAACTCCGGCTCGATTGAGTAGGCTCTACATGTCTAAATACGTCGTCTCATTCCCAATCCGAGGAGAGGTCCCCTTCTGCTGGAATGAGTGTTGAGACTCGAGAGTAGATGGGGTGTATTGGGAAGTACCTATGTACCTGCATGATTTGTCATCGAAGTGGTGCCCACGTGCGGACGCGAAGCGCGCCGATGATGTATGCCCGTCCCTTCCACTCGATACACGGTATCGCTGCTTGGCCGTGATGGAGCGAGCCGTTGCTTACTGGCGCAATCATGGAGCGCTCTTATACTGATCCTTTTCATGCTTGCCTCCCATGTTGATTGATCACTATTGATAAGTCTTTGCTCTGGCCTGCGAAACCGCCCTGCGCCGACGCGATGGCTAGACGTCGAGGGGCAGCGTCCACGGGCGTCGCCCGCCGAGCCGAAGCTGCGCAGAGAGCGGCCCGCGCATCGCCTCGAACTACTAGGAGTACTCGATCATCAATGAACCAGCCCGACGGCGACGCCCTCGTCCCTGGCGTCTACAGGCAGATGCTGCGCGAGTCTGGGGCCCTGCCCAACCGCATGACGTCAGAAGACGCCGAGCGGCCTCTGAAAAGGCGGCGCACCGGTCGACAGACTGCCCCAGAAAGCCCCACGTCTCAGGATCACAAGGCCGATCGACGTGTGGTCGGCGGTTCCCCGACTGGGCGAGCGAATATCAAGTCGATTGTCGAAGAGCTTAAGAGCGAAGACGACGACGACGAAGACATCGAGTTTGAGGATGTCGATATACCCAAGCCGACCGTGCAGACCACCTATCGCGAGTCGAGTGACGAAGAATCCGAAGAGGACGCCCAGTTCGAGGATGTAGACTTCAGTGCAGTCTTTGCGAACAATGATCAGGCTCCTGAACAACAAGAGAAGACGCTTGAGCTCAACCTCACTGCGGCCAAGGAGGCCCTGGCTCCCTCGAGGCGCGCCGCGGATCGCAGGAAACCTATTACCAAGGAAGAGAAGGAACAACGTGTTGAAATACATAAAGCACACATACTGTGTCTGCTAGCACATGTCGAGAAGAGAAATCACTGGTGCAACGACCCAGTGGTGCAGGAAAACCTACGGCCTCTACTCACGGCCAAGATTGTACACTGGCTCAATCCAGAGCCGCATTTGACTCAGTTTGGCCGGACCGAGTCCCTCAAAAAAGGCCTGCAGATGATTATGGAGAAGTTTCAGCAGAGGTTTACAATCAATGAAATCGGCCTGCGAAGGGCTCTATGGGCCGAAGACGAGAAGCAGCTGGAAAATGTGTGTGTGCCTGTTCTACGGTCTGTGATATTTGCGTTCCAGTCGGCATGCTGACCCAACCCACAGTATGGACTCCCTGATGAGATAGATACTTGTCTGGAAAAGTCCGACTTCCGCAAGGCTGCCAAACGCATGAACGGCTCGAGAGATGTCGGCTCTCAACTGTTTTGCGCGCTGCTGAGGGCTGCTGGCGTAGAGACCCGCCTTGTCTGCTCGCTGCAGCCTCTGTCCTTTGTCACCGGCGGCCCTACATTGCCAAAACCTCGCCAGGCCAAAACACCTTCCAGACCAACCCCGGCCAGGGTTGAGGCTACACGAACAGAGCCAACTCCATCTGCCGCGATTCCGTCCCCTCGTGCTCGTCTTGGCCATCCAAACGCTGCCGCATATATCGTCCCGGAGATTTCCGCACCCCCAACGACTGTCCCGCCCCGAACCCCACCGAGGCAACCTGCAACCCTCCGTGAATCTGAATATCCGGTGTACTGGGTCGAGGTACTTGACGCAGCCCATCAAAAATGGCAGCCCGTGGATGCCCTCGTAACATACACCATGTTTCGCGCTAACAAACTTGAACCACCCGCCGCGGACCGTGGAAACTGCCTTAGCTACGTTGTTGCCTTTGAAGAGGACGGTTCCGGAAAAGACGTGACGCGACGATACGCCAAGGCATACAATGCCAAAACAAGACGCTTGCGTGTCGATGGACCGTTGGTTCCCGAAGACGATGGGAAGAAGTGGTGGCGCAAAGTCATGCGCCGCTACAAGCAGCCCGGAGCTCGAAGCGATCTAGATCAGATCGAGAACAACGAGCTCAGCGGCATGGAGGCAAGGGAGCCGATGCCGCGTAACGTGGCGGACTTCAAGAACCATCCCGTGTATGCGCTCGAACGGCACATGCGGCGGCACGAAGTCCTCGCGCCAGACGCACCGGTCGTCGGTACGGTCGGAGCGGGCAGCAAAGGCCCCCTGGAAAAGATCTACCGGCGGCGGGATGTACGCGCCGCGAAGAGCGTTGACAAATGGTACCGCCTGGGCAGGGAGATCAAGCCTGGGGAGGAACCGGTCAAGGTCCTGCCAAGGCGGAAAAGGCCCCAGAGAGGGGGCAGGAGGGCAGTTGATGACGATCAGGACGACAGCAGCAGCGACGACCCTGTCCTCGGGCCCAGCCCGTCCAAGGGCATACCGATCTTCACCTTTGACCAGACGTCGCTCTACGTCCCGCCGCCCGTGGTCGCCGGCCGCATCCCAAAGAACAAGTTCGGGAACCTCGATCTCTACGTGCCTAGCATGGTGCCTGCCGGCGGCGCGCATGTCTCCCATCCACGCGCGGGACACGCTGCCCACATCCTGGGCGTGGACTACGCGCCCGCGCTGATGGGGTTTGACTGGAGGGGCCGGAAGGGCACGGCTGTGTACAACGGTGTCGTCGTACCTGCCGAGGCGGAGGAGGGCGTGAGAGCTGTCATTGATGGGTTCGAGGACCTTGAGGTGATGCTGGAGGAGGAGAAGAGGAGCCGAAGGGCCCTGGCGACATGGAAGAGGCTGCTGAGGGGGCTGCGGATCCGGAAGAGCGTCTTCGGGGACGAGGATGTATTTGATGAGTCCATTCCCTTGGAAGACTTCCCTGTGGATGAGGAGATGGGCGATGACGATTCGGATCAATATGCTGGGGGATTTGAACCTGATTACCAGCAGGCAGGTGGCTTTGAGCCCGGTAGTTTCGAGGCAGGCGGCTTTGAGCCGGGTGGCTTTGAGCCAGGTGGATTTGAACCAGGTGGATTTGAACCAGGAGGTTTCGAGTCAAGTGGGTTTGAGCCCGGCGGGTTCGAGCCTGATGGCTCCAGCGTCGACGTCAAGGGTAAAGGCAGGGCCACAGATACTGGTCCCGGACATTATTCAGTGCAGATGTCTGAGGACAACGGGAATGTCCCCCGCAGGCAACGTGTAAGGAGACGCGTGCTGGAAAGCGATGACGAGGATGGGGAACACGAGCAGAACACGGAGACACCAGCGGAGGAAACACAGCCCGGCGACACCAACACACCCCCAAGATCACCGGCCGCCGAACCAGGCGGCTTCGAGATCGACCCAGCTGTGCCGGGTCCTCCTCCGCCGACGGAGGAAACTGAGGCCGTGACAGCTGCTAGCGAGGCTGTCGTCGAGGCTGTGCAACAAGACGCCGGACCGGGCGGCTCTGAGGTAGATGAGGATCATGGAGCTGTTCTTGACACCGCCAGCGCTGAGGCGGCGACAGCGCAAAAGCACGATGGCCCGGCTGACGTGCGTGATGCGGCGGAACGGCGCCAACAAGGTAGCGGCGAGGACACTGATCTGGACGATGCCCCTAGCGATGTCACGGAGGAGATGTATATGGACGAAGATGGATCTCTGATCGAGTGATCATACGGGATGGTTTTGGTGGTTGCTGCGATGCCCTGTCGGGGAAAGCCAGCTTCAGACAGATGTTTCAATTATATACATTCGATACCCCCAGAAAGTCGCTGAGCTTAGAATTTACGATTGTTGTGCAATGTGGCCGAGTAAATGAATTTGATAAATGCTCTTCATTTAGTGGCAGAAAAGCCGACAATGTGCGACGAGCAGACGAGTTGGATGGGTTCAGCTTTCGGTCAGGCTGTTAACCTCATAACAAGGTATTAGCTCATGCTGCTAGCTTAACTTCTCAAGGAAAGTATCTATCGTCGTGATGGAATCTCGACGCATGTGCTCCCCGGATCAGCCCAACCTACTCCCCAACCAGCGCGCCGCGATCTCCTCGCCCTGCCCGCCCAGGCCGAACCCGCCTGCTGCCTTCTCACCAGCCCCAACGTCGTGGACCTGCACCCTCCTCAGAGCCTCGGTGTCCCAGCCGGCGAACTCGACGTCCCACTTTGCGCGCTCGCGCAGCTCGTACAGGTTGACGCTGCGGCGCATGAGGCCGGCCAGCCCCAGCGCCTGGGCCCCGAAGTTGTTCTCGGCGCCCTTGAGCCGCTTCCACAGCGCCAGGCGCCGCCGCTGACCCTGGACGGAGCCCGGGACCGTCGGGCCCGGCGGGGGCGTGGTGTGCATGAGGAGGGTGTCTGGTATTTTCAGGGAGGATGCGCGCGGGGGGAAGGCCACGTAGCCCCTGCGCGGGGGCTTGGGGTCGGGCGCGAGGCTGCTGTCGGCCGAGGAGCTGGTGTCTGTGTTTGTGTCCTCTGTCCCCGTGTCTATTCCTAGGTCTGTTTCTATGTCCTCGTAGGGTGTCGGCGGCGGCGGGTCTTCGGGGTCGGAGTAGACGTAGGCCTGGTCGTACGGGTCTTCGGCGCTCGATGTGCTGGTCAGTCCGGAGAGCTGGTCCACGGCGTCAATGAACCCTTGGGGCATGTTTGGCGATGAACGCTCTGTGAAGCTCGTGGGGACCAGCATGCCTGCCGTGTGGAAAAAGAGCACAGGGCTGGCGAAGGGGTCGAAGAGGTTGACGGGCTGGTCGAAGTGTGATGGCATGAGGTCTTTCATGAAGCGGATGTCTGTATCATTCCCATCCAAATTGTCTATGTCGAGCAGCTCGTCCAGCATGAGCTTGTTGTTGGGGTGGTCCGGGAGAAGGGTAGTCCAGTTGAAGATTCCATTGAACGCCAACAGGCCTCGTATAGCCATGGGCTGGTGTGTGTGAGACTCGGTCAGGGCCAGCGAGGAAGCCAGGCTGGCACCTAAATATGAGCCGTAGACATATACAGGCCGGCGCTGCAACCTGCTTCCGGTGGTTTCGTCGGGGGGCGGGGACAAATGTTCAATGAGGAACTCGTATGCAAACAGGGTATCATGGATGGGCGTAGGCCAGTGGAGAGGGGTCAACCTGGACAAGAGCTCAGCCGACTCGGCTTCGGTGGCGGGCTCGTTGGCTTCGACATGAGGCGTGGAGTCCTCTTGCGAGTTCGTCCACCGGTAGTGGATAGTAGCACTTGGGAAGCGGTGTAGGAAGCCGGGCAGGTAGCTGTCTACATGGTCGATGTCTTGGACCGGAAAAGGCGGCAAGTTGATGATCAGAGGGGATGAGACTGGATGTTTCATGACATTGTGGAGGCTGAGACCATGTCAGCGTTGGACGAGCGAGAAGAGGACAGGCACGAGGAGAAGAAAGAGAGAAACAAGCTGGCAGACCTGACGATGACATGGCCAGCCGAGGCGCAAGGGACCCGGAAGTGGTCGGTGTGAGGTGTCCTAAGTCTAGCTGTGCTACTGAGGCACCTCAATCCGTTCAGCCGTACGGCCTTGAGAGAGGACCTGATGAGACACGTCGGCGACGGAGGCCATACTGGCATCGTCTTCAGCCAGGACGAGCCTTCTTGACGTCGAGGCTGTCTATGTTGTGTTGCCTTGAGCGCGCGACAAGGCTTGTTATGATACGCTGACAATTCGGCGAGACTGCGAGGCTGCCGTCCGGAACATCGGGCTCGGGCTGGGGCAATGCAGTCAAACGTGGGCCTGGAGAGGGTTGTCTCTGAAGGCTGCGAGATGCGACCGAGAGACAAGACAAGCTTTGTGGGGTGACGATCTTGGTGAGGGTCCACTGCAGCTGTGTGGCCCAGACAGGGCTAGTCCACTGGGCTGTCAAGGAGCTGACCTGCATCTCGGGGCTGGGCAAGGGCCCCCTGTGCTTCGCGATGGCGAACTGCTAACGCCCTCCACCTGAAATACCCCAAACAACAACAGCTAAACTACGTGCTGGTGGTTGTGCTTCCCCATTCCGCATGAACCGGCTATCGACGTCATTTCCTGCGCTACAAAGATAAGGGCCGTTTCTCGGTCACTGGACTACCAATTTCCTGGAAGCGCCATCGTATCTGCATGTGGGCTTCATGTCCCAAGGACAATGACTTTCTCAACCCAGCTCTCCCACACCTCCTGCTCCTGTGTTCTCGGGTGACATTCGCACAGCTCACTGCAGAATGCAACCAGGGATCACTGCCATAAATAAGGTTCGAAATCGTCAACCTGCCAAGAGGAACTGACTAAGGCCCTCCAACACTGTCGCCCCTTTCAGTCCCTCGCCGTCAACCCGCCGAATCCTCCAGTGTGGCACGCCCAACAGTGATGCCGTCGCTTGTCGTCTCGGTGACAAGGCCTTTGCTCCACACCAGAACATCCACCTCGTGACGGATCGACAAGGCGTCTGGCTCGCACAGCCACACCCGGGGCCAAGATGATGGCCGATAGTGGTGACCGGGTCGAGGACCACGTCGAGGCCTTCGACAGCCAGGAGTCACAGGCAACAAAGCAGGACAAGCCGCAGCAAGCGTCCGGAGGGGATCCAATCCACAACGATGAGGCTCATCTCGATCCCAGCCGGTGGTGGTTCGCCAGCTCCGCTTTTCCACTCATCGCTGGGACACTCGGGCCTGTCGCCAATGCCTTCAGCATATGCGCGCTGGTCCGACCCTGGAGGCAGAAGTTTCCTCCGGGGTCTGACCTCGACAAGGCTCAGTTTGTCACAGATCCCATCTGGTGCGTTGTCCCACCCACTCTGTCGCGTTTAGGTACGAGGATGCTGATATCCCTCTCAAGGCTCACCGTCATAAATGCGATTCAAGTGGCCATGGCCGTCATAGCGAATCTGGTTCTTCTACTCAATATGGCCAGGAAGATAAGGTTCTCAGTAGCACAGCCAATTACTATAGTCACCTGGTAAGAGCTGCCATCATGGAAACTTTTGTGTCTTTGCCCCAAGCACGCATCAAGCCCCTAACATGACCTAGGTATATATCCTCCATCTGTCTTGTGGCACTCAACGCAACAGCCGCTGGTCCACTTGTAGAACAGCCTGAAGATATATACATCTGGTCGCAGGCTTTTTACTATGGCATCTATGCTGCCTGCCTCTACTTCGTCTGCTCCTCGCTCATGGTGGTGACCTTTTGGGGAGCGATGAAGGGCCATTACTCCAAAGACTTTCAGTTGACGAATAGCCAGCGCACACTTATGCTACAAACAATCATGTTTCTCATGTACCTCCTCGTCGGCGCCCTTGTCTTCTCCACGATCGAAGGCTGGCCGTATCTAGATGCTGTATATTGGGCCGACGTTACACTCTTTACTGTCGGATTTGGTGACTTTTCAGCAGCAACTCCCCTCGGCCGCGCTCTTCTCTTTCCCTATGCCCTAATTGGCGTCATCAGCCTCGGTCTGGTCGTCGGCTCCATCCGGTCCCTTGTGCTAGAGCGTGGCCAGCGCCAATTGAGCGCAAGATTAATGGAGAAGAAGCGCAAAAGAACACTAAGGCGGATGGTGCGACGTGGCAAAGATGATATACTCATCCCCGTCACAGAAGAAGGAGACGACGACGACCCGGAGAGGAGCACCACCAGCCTTTCCGAGTACCAGCGCCGGAAGAGAGAGTTTGAACTGATGAGGAAGATACAGATGCGAGCAGAGCACCGAAGGCGATGGATGGCCATGGGGATCTCGACAACCGTATGGCTCCTACTCTGGCTCGTCGGTGCTGCAATCTTCCAGCAATCTGAGCTTCGATACCAAGGGTGGACCTACTTTGACGGTTTCTACTTTGCATTCGTCAGTCTGACCACCATTGGATATGGTGATGTCACTCCAATCTCGCCCGCCGGGAAGTCGTTCTTTGTCATCTGGTCCTTGCTAGCATTGCCTACCATGACCGTGCTCATTTCCAACGCGGGCGACACCGTTGTCAAATTCGTTCGGGAGGCAACAGACAAGCTGGGAACCGTTACAATTCTACCAGACGAGAAAGGGTTCAAAAAGGCCTTGAAGGAGATGATAGGGCCATTATCCTTGGGTCAAGTCTTTGGTGACGACAGCGATGTTGAGGAAAGCCCACCGGGAGGTCTCGGCTTCGCAGAAGAGCATGACGGTGAGACTGATGAGGAAGAAGGCACCAGCGACAAGTCTACGCGGTCGTTAGACAGGCGAGCCGAGAACGTCACTGACACCGGCACACGGAAAGATCCGGTCAGTGATGATGGAACACAGACACTTTCCGACGGCAAAGAAGGTAGAGACACGGGTGAAAAGCAAGGCCCGCTTACGGCGGGTGGCTCCCCCACTGAGGACACGGATCAACCCAAGTACGACATGCGCCGTGCATCCACGACACCAGTCCCTGCTCCCACCAGCAAGGGCCACCTAAGCTTCAAGGAGCCGCCAGGCCGTCCATCGTCGTCCAAGAACGGCAGCTCCGGCTTAGAGCGCTCTGTGAATTTGAACAGCAAGAGGGATCAGAATGACATCAGGTCACAAACCCTCAAGATGAGCCGCGCAGTGTCCATGCCGCGGACATCAGCCGAGATCCCCCGAGACGTACCTATGGACCCCCACGACTACCACCTGCTGCTGATTGACGAAATCAGCCGAGTGACGCAGCACCTCAAGTCCAAGCCCCCACGCAAGTACGACTTCCACGAGTGGGCCTGGTACCTGAAGCTCATCGGCGAGGACGAGAGCAGCGCGGACACGCACAAGAAGGCAGTTCCGAGGAGCAAGAGGAAGGGCAAGGACCAGGGCCAGGGAGCCGAGGGCGGCGCAAGAGATGAGCCCGAGAAGTTGCAGTGGAGTTGGGTTGGCAGCCGAAGCCCACTTATGGGGAGCCAGGAGGAGGCCGAGTGGATCTTGGAGAAGCTGGAGCAGAAGTTGGCGGGGGAGTTGAGGGCTGCCAGGGATGCTGCCAGGGAGAAGGCTTTCGACGGGCGACGATGGCCCCATGGGCTGTGATGCTCGGTTTTGTGGGAACTTATAATACCAGGGTTGAGAACGTCATTTGCGATCATCGAGTTGCGTGTTCGGGTACTTGGGAAGGTGGTTTGGATTTCTGGCTGGCGCTTTGGGTGCATTGCGCGGCATGTGTCTTGCATTTCCGGCGAGGGTGGGAAGGGCAATTCATCGATATGGGCAACTTGGGTAAGGTCATTGTGATCGTTTTGTCTGCTACCTTTGGGGCTTGGGTATGTATGCATGTGACCGAATTCACCTGCGAGGCTTGGGACTTGGCATTCTGTTGCATCATCCAAGGGAATGAAATCCTCCGTCGATTGCATGGGAGAATGGTCTTGAGGGACCAAATCTATACGTCAACAAGAACCGACTCCACGGCTGCCTCTCGGAATCCTCACAGTGCGCCATGGCCGGGACCAGCGAAAAGCCCCCCTCTGCACGGCGCCCGGATTCCTCAATGTAACGCGTGCTGTAACACGCGCAGGCACGAGTTGTTCTCTCCCAAGGCATCAGTGCTCGAAATCCCCCACACCGGCCCGTGGCCCCGGCCGCACGGCCGGGTTCGAACGTCGCACCCGCGGAATGGGGAAATCGGGGCGCCATGCACGCGGTCGAGGAGGAGGCCGGATGCGGGCCGGCGGGACTGGTCTGCAGCCTGTCGAGAACATCAACCGTGACCCCTTATCGTGCACTTTTGGCTTTGGATAATGTGTAAAATGGGTTTCTTGTGCGTGTGGCCTAGTGGGCTAATAATCAGATCTGATTTATATGGAATGCATTTGCCACTCTTGGGACACATCCTCGGAGACGCCGTGGTCGCGGTCATGGATCCAATTCAGCTGGCATTCGACTCTCTTCCGGACAAGCGCCTGGCCTCATCTACCTGCTTGTTTTTGGACCGGCCTCAGATGGTCGGTCGGTTGCCTACTCTGGCATGAAGTTTTCACCTCACACCCTCCTGGCCACCCCGACTGCTCTGGATGTCGTCGACGAGGCGAGTGCGCCCTGCTACTTCGCGAATGGCGACCAGGCTGAGGGCTATCACACATGCGACGTGAAATCGCCCGTGTCATCTTGCTGTCCGTCAGGGTACACCTGTTCGGGCAACGCCTTGTGCGTCTTGACGACCCCGTCGTCCCTCGGGCAGCCGGATTCGGCTCCAGGCACAGTTTCAAGGGGCGCCTGCACAGAGCCGCGGTGGAACGGGAATTCCTGCGGCGGCAACTGCTTGGGTAAGACCACCTGCCCACCCCTTGCTGTATTCCCCTTCCACCGGTGTCGCCTTTGCGTCGCCGTGCCCGGTGTGGAGGAGACGAGTCGAAGCAAGTGTCGTTTCTAACGTGAAGTGTCACCAGACTCGGAAGATGCGACAGGGGGAGCAGGCTGTCATCCAGTCGGTGACGGCGGAGGGGAGCGGGATTGTTGCGCAGGCGGTAACGCGCCGGGAAGCTGCATCTGCTCGAGTAACGTCGCCGAGGTAACCCTGGGGGAGGCAGAAGAGACCCAGATGATTCTCGGCAGGCGGGCAGCCCGTTTCTCAAAAACGACTTCGTATCCGGTCAGACCTAAGCAAGCCCGGCTCCATCACGCTTCGAAGACGGTTTCTCAGGGTGTCATATCGACTGAGGCAGGTTCTTCTGACATGTTCACGGGCCATTATAGTTCGTGGGTGAGGACTAGCTCATCCGTGGAGTCGGTCCCGTTGACCACCCCGTTGACGCCGCCGACATGGAGTGGAGACTGGTCGGAGAAGACTACGGGCGGCACGGAGGAGCTCTCGAAGTCGGCGACAACCTCACAGCCCGGCACTATCACCAGTCCAAGCATACCATCCACAGAAACACCAATGACAACAACCATATCGATCATAGCATCCTCCCTTATCCGCTCTTCCTCATCATCACCCTCATCCTCAACATCGGCCAGCATATCACCCTCAGTGCCCACAGTCGTTCCCATCTTCCCAGACGGGGCATCATCAGACGCGTCCCCCTCCCCCGAGGCCGCAACGTCCTCCCTGGCCACCAAGCTCGGCCTGGGCCTGGCCATCCCGCTCGTCGTGCTCGCCGTCGCGCTCCTCACGGCGTGCGTCTACCGGCGCCAGCGGCGCCTCCGGTACGCGCGGGCGCCGCCCTTTGACTTCAACGCCCCGGAGACGGCCCCCGTGAGCGCGGCCGATTTCGCCCCTGCCGCCGCCGATCATAGAGACCATCATCCCGCCCCCAGGAGAGGCGCCCAGCAGCAGACCTACCGGTCCAGGTCGGACTGGGGCGCGGGCGTGAACGCTGGCGCGTGGGCTGGGACCCGGACTGCGGCCTGGGGTGGTGGATGGTCATCGTACGATGACAGCCAAGTGGACTTTGTCGGCCGCTCACACGGAAACCAGGGGTATTACTACCCTGGAGGCCACGGAGTGCCAGTCTCATCGCCGGTGCCAGCGCCGGGCTACGAGGACCTCGGCAGCCCGTACGAGGACCGCGGGCACGCGCACCAGGTCCCCGTGGTCCAGGTCCACCGGCCGCAGTGGACGCCGGCCCCGGCGCGAGATCCGGAGGACCAGGGCCAGGGACTGGGACAGGGGCGACGGTTAGAACGGCCTCCGCGGCGGGATGTGGCCAGGGTGAGCCGCGGGCTGAGCGTCAATGAGGAAGTGAGCCCGCTGAGCTCCACGGGGAGCGGGATGCCGTATCCTCGGACGTCGGCCATTTCGGGCATGGGGTGGGAGGCAAATCCGCGGGTGTCACGAGGATAGGGGGGTGTTTTGGTCTGTTCATGGTGTTATGGATGATTAAGCGTTGATATTTCACCGTCTGGCAAGAAGGTAGTCTTTCTAAATATTCCTTTTTTGTCTATGGGACATCGACTGACCCGTGGGCCCGTGCCGATCGTGTGTATCATACTGCCTGTCAGGTATCTCAGATTGGTTTATAAAGGCCCAACTTGTTTATCCTGCGCATGCAATTTTTCCACATTCATTCGTGTGTGTGCTCTCTATGTGAAAAAAAAAAAACAACCCAAAAAGTAAAACGCCACAATGCACAAGCAAGGTCTTGTCTATTCGACATGGTCCGTAGCGTGCTTCGACTTGTCCTGGACGAACTCTGTCGGCATGCCGATGGGCCTGGTCTTTGCGAACTTGACGGTGGCCCAGATGGAGGGCGAGTCCTTGAACATCATGTCGATCTCCTCGAGGTTGCGGCCCATCGTCTCGGGGTAGAAGAAGTACACGGTGACGGGGATGCAGAAGCCGATGACGGCAAAAACGATATAGTACTGCCACCCGATGGTGTCAATCGCGACTGGGGTTATCATGACGATGACAAAGTTCCTATGTCATTTGTTAGGATTCTTTTGTTTCTGTGTTTACAAAAGCAGATTGGAGACTTTGCACTCACCAGAGCCAGTGGTTCGCCGTGGAGATGGAAGACATGGCCATGCGCAGGCGGATGGGCGCAACCTCGGTACAGTACAGGAAGTTGGCGCCGAGGAAGCCGATGGGCACGAATGTGTTGAAGAGATAGATGAAGACACCGGCGGCGATCTGGGCCGGCTGGTTCTCGGAGCCCATGGACGTGGTGATGGCCAGGGCAATCATGCAGGCGCACATGCCCGCTCCAGAGATCATGAAGACGGCACGGCGCCCGAGGCGGTCGATGGTGAAGAAGGCGATGAAGGACGACAGGAACTTCCAGGTCAGCGCGCCTCCAGTAAGGGCGCGGGCGTTCTCCGAGGACATTCCCAGGTTGGACTGGAAGATGATGGTTGCGTACACAGAGATGAGGTTGGTACCCCTGGGAGGTGTCAAAGTCAGCATGGTGTCACATTATATGTCTTGGAAACGAGGAATACTTACGACATCTGCTGGTAGAATTGCAGCAGCATGCAAAGACCGAACCGGTAAAGAAGCTTGTCCTCTCCCATAGAGAGCATGTCGGTCAACTTAACCTTGTGTCCGGTCTTCTCCTCGAGCGAGTATTCGATCCCCTGGAGCTCGGTCTGGACCTCAATGGCATCCAGTGGCTTGGCCCTGAAGGCAGCAATGACACGGCGGGCCTCCTCGGTCCTGTTCTTCATCACGAGCCATCGCGGCGACTCGGGCAGGAGGTAGATGCAAGCAATGATGACTGCCGAGAAGACAACAGCGATGGCGATCGGTGGGCGCCAGGTGACGGGGCCGGTCTTGAACTCAAAGAAGCCAAGGTTGATCCACGACTCGAGAGTGTAACCCATGCAGATGAAGAGCCCGTCGATGACGACGTGACGGCCACGGTTGCTGGCTCCCGCGGTCTCACTCTGCCAGACGGGGACGATGGAGCTGAGCTGGCCGACGCCGAAGCCCACCAGGATACGGCCGACGATGAGCTGTGCGAGGGAGAAGGCGGTCGCCTCCAGGATGATGCCGATGAGCGAGGCAACACCGGCGACGAAGATAACATTTCGGCGGCCGAACTTGTCGCCCGACCAGGAGCAGGACAGGGCGCCGATCATGGCGCCAATGACAAAGGTTGCGACGACGAAGCCCTGAAGCGTCGAGTGGGCGCTCTTCTCGCTGCCCGTGACGTTGATGGTGTCGATCTGAGGGAACGTCTTGGCCCAGTCCTCCATGGTGATCAGCCCACCCAAGCCAGCCTGGTTGTATCCGAAGCAGATGAAGGACGGCATCACGATGAAGAGTGTCTGCATCACCGTGAGCTTGTGGCCCATGGCGCCCATGAACTTGACGGGCCGCCCGGTGGTGGCGCTGCCGTCTGAGCTGGCCACATCCGCAGGGGGCGTGGCAGTCTCGGGGCTCGTGGCCTGCTCTGTGTCTTTTTCGAGAACCATGTTGTCTTTTTTTTTTTTTTTTTTTATGTTTTGTGTGTAGTTTGTTTCGGTAATTGGCGGGTATACTTGTTGCTCTCGTGTGTTCTCTTGGTGTTGCAAACTTCGTAATGCTTAAACTGTGGCGTGGCCTGAAGAGGGATGAAAAAAGCCAGATGGATACAAACAAACAATCAGCCCACCAGACGAAAGCGCAGCGTAGAAGCTTCCGGTTTGGTTGAGGATGAGATGGCTGAAGTCGTGGTGCTCCTTGCGACAGTCAAGGGAAAGAGCAACCTTTTTGTTGTTTGTTTCGAGGCCGATGACTGGAGAGGCGTCGAGGAGCGAAACCAGGCATAACCGAGGGAAGGGGGGGGGGGCCTTTTTCGAGAGGAAGGAGCAGATGGAACTACTCTATATAAACACCTACAAATGACACGAGATCGGATCTGTTGGACCCTGCCGTGTGAGTGCTGCTACTGTACACACTACTACTACATGTGTGGATCGTGGGAATATGCCCTGTCTTCGTCGGGAGGCAGGTACGTACTGTACATGATACAGACAGGTACATAGGTACACAGATAGCTTCATCAAGTAAATACGTGATTATCTAGTGTTGGCTGCAGGATAGGAATACCGCCGAGCTCGGTTGCAATGCTTGCAATGCTTGCAATGCTTGCAATGCTTGCAATGCTTGCAATGCCCGCGTCATTTTTCCAACAAGCCGGGGCCAGCCAGGGTCAGGCAAGCTACATGTCAGCGGAATCCACCCCAGAGCAGTCAGGTCCAGCCGACAATCCCTCGAGGGCTCACCAACAGTTCCCCAGGTCTCGCCTCCCCACAATAGGGATTGCCTGTCCAAAGGGCTGCCACCTGCCACCTGCCAGGGGCTCTGCGGGCTCCAAGCGCCCAAAAGGGCCCGAGGCTGTCTGCGACCTTGGCACGGCGGGGCCAAGCAGCCAAGCAATGCTTGTCTCCCCACACCATCCAGCCGGGACCGTCTCCATTTTCGCAATCACGCCTGGCACATGGTTGGCCCAGCCGTCTGCGCTGTGCCCGGGGCATGTTGCGCCCGGGTGGAGGAACTCCAGACTCTCAAGGGCTCCCATCTAGATTCTGTGGGGGGGGGGGGATGAGAACATTCGAACCCAACCGCGCAGGAAGATCCTGGGAGGCGACCTGCAACTGTCGGCCAAACTCCGAGGGCACGCGAGGGCAGATGTTGGCCGCCGGGTGGGGCTCACCAATCCCGTCGGCACATTTCCTAAGTCGAGACCGACGAGCCGCGCCCATGCTCGCCTGTTTCGCGCCCCAACGGTCTGACGGTGTCGACCGCCACGGCCCGGCCTTGCATGCGACTCCACGACGCCAGACCAGAAAAACTGCCCACTTGTTGCCAATTCTCTTCTCGTAAACGCCCAGGCATTTGACATCAGAATCACCTCGCCCTCGTCCCGCAGACCGGGCCCCCGGTGACGCAGAGCCCAACGAACAGACAGACGAGCCGAGGAGGCCCAAGGGCGGTGTCGGCCAACCATTCGGTCGGCCATGGCACCTGCGCAGACGGACTCGCTCTCGCAATGTCCAGGTTTCCAAGCTTGCTTTTTTTTTTTTGCTGGGAACGCGGTGATCCGTGGCACAGCACAGACCGATGTCACTCGGCCTTACTTTCCAGGAAAGCAGCTAATCTTCCACCAGGCGCCCGCGGTGCCTCCCCAACCTTCCCTGGGCCTGCAATGCTGTCACGGTGCCGCGGCCCCAGATCTGTCTGGGGGGCGATGCAACAGTCATGATTTATATCCCGTTTACGGATCTCCTGCATCCAGCGGTGTGTCCGGATGGTGTGTTGCTCGACACCCCCCCCCCCCGTTTCTCCCGTCGCGGTGCTGCTTCTACTGGCCACGTCAGCTTCCGACGACGCCAGAAATGCCGGCGCGAGACGAGAGAGCCGCAGAGCTTGTTCAAGCCACCAGCCAGTAGGATATGCCCTGTCCGTCATAGCGCCCGCCCGCCGAGGCCAAGTGACAACCGTGATCTGCAGCCTGCCACATCCCGGGTGCGGCTTTTTGGACACCCCCTGGGGCTTATTATTATTATTGTGGTAATTGATAGCCATCAGCCTGCCCAACAGGTGACTGACTCTTCCGGGGCTGACGACATCCCCAGATAGAGACAGATCCCATTGATAGGACAGCCCTCGCTGTGATAAAAGCAAAGTTTAGCCCGCCTGATGTCCCCGCGGTGCGATGACACTTCGCATCCACAGCCATTGGGCCCAGCGCATCAAAAGAAAATGAACCGTCATCTCGTTTCGTGCAACGACTTTTGTCCGAAGTAGTGCCATAGGGTCGCCGCCAAGCACTCGTCAACCACGCGGTCAGGCGATGCGGTGCTGCAGTCAGCAGCGATCGATACGACGGCTCGGCTACGACCATGTTACATGGCTTGGATGGCCAGCTTCTGGTCGGGAAAGATTAGACGCGACCACCACGCCAAGATGAATCCGCAATTCCCGCGATGGAAACGAGCGCAGGATCCCGTCAACCAACGCCAACCACCCCCTGGCCTCTGATGTATCAGGCACGATCGTCCAAGGTCACTTGGACAATCAACGGCAGTTTCTTACAGCAGTGTGGGAGCATTGTTGCAGAAAAAAAGAGGGCAGCAGAGGCTCATGTGCCATGCTATACCGTGATCGCTGAGCATGCGCACATCAGGTATCTTCCCTGCTCCGGCTCTAGTACGTGGCCCACGGGTTCGACTGCATGACAGAGCTGCAGATCAGGCTCGGACGTTGGATTCGTCTGAGAAATATTTTCTAGACCATACGTGCACTACCGTTCCTAGTGCAACACTGGCGCAAATTCTCGAAATTTACAAAGTTGTATTCTTTCTCTAACACGGCCTCAGGGACCCCTGGCTACCCCAGAACACGTGAAGTTTAACGGATCTAGTCGGGCTCGGAAGGAATCGGATCTGAATCCCCAGACTTTTACCCCGTGTCTCCCCGTCCCCCCAGAGTGCAAACTCCATCCGAGAACATTTCTACTCCGTACACTAGAATTAACCTTATTTCGTAAGTGTAACGTTGGAATTCTAGCCCTGCTTTGAGGGGGGAAAGCCGGGGAATGTGTGGTACTTTGTACATTTCACAACAAGTTGTTTTTCAGTCCTTAGGTTTGGATCGCATGTTCCTCTCTGGAAACAAGTGGGTCCCACCACGCTCTTCAACAGATCATTCCGAATTTACCGTCTTCCAGTCACAGTGTTCAGTAAAGTACAAAATGTAACTGCCGCAGCTTTTCGGAAGCAAGCACGTAATAAGTGTGACAGTCTCGGAAAGACCAGGATAATTGGTGCCCTGTGGTGGTCAGCCGTTGTGCAAGCCTGCCTGAGACCTTTGGCTAGTGACGAATGGAAAGTGTGCGCTCGCTAAATCCACACATTGGGTTAGGAGGACCGAAGCAGCATTAAGGTTCGGCTGTTTCAATGGCAGAATCCGTGTTGGCATATTCCAAGCGGGAATATCAGTTCTGACTGGGCTCCAGGATGAACAGTGCGCTCGGCAGGTTGGTGAGAACCAACGTGACGAAACCAAAACAAATAAATTGAACAACGTGTTGAGGTGTGCCGAGCGAACGGCTACGATTTGGAGATGGCACCTCACATCAATTGCGGGAAATATTCACGCAGTGTGCCTGCTTAGTTTCAGTCCTGTTATTTGTGCGAAACCGCCGTGACCCTCGATCTGGGGTGCGTCATAGTGTATGCGTTGTTAATCCTGAACCGCCTGTGATCCACAGACACCAGTTCTGGCGATGAGGACATTTGCTGATAATCACTTAGAAGAATACGTAAACATTTACCGTAATTCATTGATGTAGACCGCTGTCAACAAGGACGAGTTGATCCCTGTTTTGCATATTACATGGACTACCATCTCGCCCAAGCTAGCAATCTTGCAAACCGGGCCTCATGTTCTCGTATTTTTGGTGGCTTCGAGAAATTGAGAATGTCTCCCTTTTCCTTCCTGACACCTTTGAACTATCTCTTTCAACCTCCACTTGAGGAAGCAGTTATAGGTTCTCCGGGCTTGTTGCGAACGAACCCGACGATTGACTTTGTACCCAAGTGGTCCTCTTGGTCTTGGATGCAGATATGTATTCCACGCTAGACCAGCTCACAAATAATATACAAGGCGATCTGTTTTGATTGCGCATTACATTTCGTCCAATTTTGAGACAAATGCCGTAGAAAGCATACCAATGGACTCATAGACCTGTTGATTGAGCAACTTCGGTCATGAGCAAGAGCCGTATTGTGTTGATGTTTCGTACGAACACAGGCATTGCACAGCCCCCTGTGGTTGAATCAACATCAGGATCACGCACCCCACCGAAGATTGCAGCAACATTGACACGTGGGCGGTGCCTTGGTTGATCCCCAGGATCTTCCCTCGTAGCGCGTGAGCCCCGCAGAAGCAGCAGTCCAGGAGAGACCAGGCCGTTTCTTGGCGTTGTTCAGATAAGAGTCGATCCGCTTGTGGAATTGTTCGAATGGTTTGTTGTCCCTAATATTTCGCACGAGGTCGCGGACCACGAAGTGCACCCAGATCCAAGTGCCTTCGGCTCTGTCGGCGACCGTCTGCGGCTGGTCGAGCCACTCAGGATCCTTAATCGAGGCTACCTGGAGCTTGACATCGGTGCCTGCCTTCTCATGAAAATGTGCACTTATGTCGTCTCCTGTGAAGTCCTGCTTGCGAAGCGAATGTGGGCTTGAATTCCATTCAGCCAAGAACGCCGACTATGGACGGCTGGATACGCAGATCTTGATTGGAGGGTATGCAGGTCTTTAATGACCCGAATGATGTCCTCTTCGGCACCCGTGGTACTCGTTCAGCCTATCAATGAAGAAGCAGAAGCAGCATTCGAGATCCCCTCCTTGGAGCTTACTGACAAGTGCTTTCGGTTGGCTCAAGCTGAGGGTTCGTTGGAGACCAAGTTTTACAGGCAATGACGCATCGCTGAATTTAGGTGTCTTCCGAAGAACATGGAACAGCAGGGTCTGGAACAAGGCCTCGTGCGATTTCTGCGCCTGGGAGCCAGTATTCCAGAGATAGTGGCTCGCAATGACCATCTCTTGGTCGCCAGCCCGCTTCTTTTGGCCATATCTCGCTTCTGGATGAGATGCGACGTGTTTCAAGGCCGGAGACTTGCCACTGCCTGCCTGTCGTGAAAAGACATGAGCAGCGTGCTTAGCAACCTGAAAACTGGCAGGTATTTAGTATACACCCCTTCCCATCTCTAGCAACGCGCGGAAATTCGTTTTTGTACTATTGCATAGCTTCTCAAGAGTTTTGGCGTATAGTTTTGGCGTGGAGTTTTGGTGTGAGCAAGTTTGATCTTATTCTCCCGGCTATAAACGCAGTAAAATATGGAAACTTCTAGGACACGATTATGGCGCTTCAACTGGCTTGTTTCGTTTTAGTAGGTGCGAGAATTCTAAGCAATGTCCTCGAGGATAACTCTGCGGACGGATATCTCACAGCCGTTCAAGTTATCTAGAGATTCGATTTGTCATGATTTGAGTCAACTCGGCCTCTCACCCTGAAAGCATGGATTGACCCATTTAGAGCCTGTTTGCTTCCCTTCTTATTTGGTCGAGATCAGTCCGGATAGCAAATATCGCGTCGTTCTGGCTGGTGATTAAGCGTAGCTATGCTGATAAATACCTGTGGGAAACCACCAGGCACGAAGACGAGCCTCATAAGCTATGAGGCTCGCTAGCATCTCATCGGTTTCTTTCTCCTGGCACCAAAATTTTGCTGAGACACGTAATGTGCGCAATTTGAGCAGCAACTCCTGGCCGTTTATGCGCAGTTTTGCAATCTGACCGAGGACCTCAACTGAGAGCTTGGCGCACTCCTTTGAAATAATTATCCTGCAAGGCTCTGCCCTCTCCGCTGTGGGCAGTTTCAAATTTTTTTATGTCGTTCGAACCGGCAGCTTCACGTCGTCGGCCAACATCCTTACTGGCCTTACGCATCGGCACGAGCTCAGGATTCTGTTCCCGATCGATGAGAACTGCGTAATGTTGCCTGTGAGGCTGAAGATTGATAAGGGATCTATTTACACAACGATTGTCTGTTTTGTAGATATTGTTACGGCTATCTCGGGTGCATTGCCCGTGTGAGCAGAATGGACGTGGTCTGACGGCAGAACAGGGAAGAAATTCAATGAGGGAGAGCTCGCACTTGCGGAATCAAGGACAGCAGTCAGTCTGGGCATACCTCAGGTGCGAGTCTTGGAGGGTGACACAAAGACGTAAGAGGTTGAGAGTGCTGACCGGTGCTTCACCCGCAACATACTTGTTACTGCTAGAGAAAGCACACCCGACTGGTTGGGAAAAGCTAGGTATGGACGGCACATGCATGAAAGCCAGTGCGGCTGGAAGCAGTGCGACTATGCTCTAACCGCAAACCAGTGCCAAACCGCACCCGTGGTAATTTGAGCATTCGTCACTACTGCTTGCGAGTGCACTATGATTGATATTATGATATATGCAGTCGAATCAAACTAGCCACGCAATTTGCACACAAACATTCCTCAAAAAAGTTAAATTCTAGGAAATTCTTTGATATAGATACACCCTAGGGCATCTGTCTAGAACTTAGAACCACGCGATCTCTCACTTCTAGTGCTCCCATCAAGCTAAGTTCAATGCCTTACTAGCTCGACCCCCCAATGAATATATATTTACCTGAGTATAGTCGACCTCTCATAGCTAAGCCACTATGGTAGCCACTTCAACATGCGACCAAATAAACATTGAGCGAGTTTGTTCAGTAGCCTGCAATCTTGAGGATTCTACGTAGGGCCCCTTATGCTCAGAGATACATGATGATGATATATCGCATGATGTCTGGTAGTATGTCATGAGAGCGCCAACAGAGAGCTCGACGAAGATGAGCGATGTCGATTAGTGCTCCGAAGCAAAAAATGGTGGTTTCTTAAGACAGTGATTGCAGTCTAGAATTTCTTGATCAGCCCTTCAATAATACTGTATGAAGACTCCAACAGTTAAACAGAATACTACGTAGTCAAGAACACAGCGAATTCACATCTCCCGTGCTACTTGGATGTTACACCTCACAGGTAGTTACTAAACGTACAAGTGAAGTAGCACACATGTCGTGTGAGAGCAGCAAATATTTTCCCTTGAAGGGCGGACAGATTTTCACTTGTACCTGTTGGAGGAAGCCGGGCTGAACCTTAGTCTCAGAACAAGCAAGAAATAACGAATCCATAGATCTGAGAGGGAGACGATATTGACAATCACGGTTATTCATCTCATGGTGTATCTAATGACATTATTTATAATGGTGAACATGCGTGCGATTTACACATGCAGCGGGTATATCGGTGCTTCCTAACATCACCGATCCGAAACCTTAAGTACTGGTTAGGCAAGCGTTAAGTCCGGAAATGTGATTGTGCTCCGCAACGCGTCACATTGCAAGGGCATGCTAGACCAAGGACTCCACTTATGCATTGTTAAGCGAACTGTCCAGCAGTCTGCTTGTGCCGCATGGAAAAGCAGAAATCACTAGCACGTATCAATTGCCTGCAGCAGTGCCAAGGTGAGAGACCAGCAGAAGAAGGATTGATGCATGAAGACCAGTGCAACGCCGCCGGTGAATACTGTAGCATAGACGGAGTTAATCGTGGAGCAGCTACACCAGTCCCACCTCTTCCGCCATTCACTTGTGTCCATCATTAACATGCGGATCAGCGTGACGGACCGCTCGGAGCCCAAGTCAAACCGTACGTCCGCCCCCCGCTCCTGGACATAAATACTAATTTCAACAACCCGCATTATTGCTCAACACTTGTTTTGGCATCAACATCTCCTGCCACTGCGACACCAATACCTCGTTCGTTTGATCATTGAAATCTCAACCAGCATCATGAGCAACTTCTCCCAAGCCCCGAACAAGGTCGACGGCCTCGTCCCGTTCACCTTCTCTATTCCGAAAGAGGAGATAGACGCCCTCAACACACTCCTCAAGCGCCCTCTCCCAATAGCCACCTGGGAGAACAGCCAACAAGATGGCCGCTTCGGTGTCAGCCGTGACTGGGTTGCCAATGCCATTTCTCAGTGGCAGGCATATGACTGGCAAGAGAATTCAGTGTTGGTTCTTTGAAGCGAGACTGACCAGTAGTCCAGGCACAAGTACCAGGAGAGCATCAACGCCATTCCCAACTTCAAGGTCCCAGTAGAGGACGACGGTGAGACGTACGACGTCCACTTTGCGGGCCTGTTCTCTCAGAAGAAGGATGCAACCCCCCTTCTTCTGAGTCACGGCTGGCCTGGTAAGCTCCATTCCATGGTGAGATGCTCTACAGCGGACATGCCCGTACTAACAGCCCCAGGCTCGTTCCTGGAGTTCCTGCCCATCCTGAGCAAGGTCCAGAAGCAATACGCTTCTGACCCGGCGTCGCTGCCATACCACCTCATCGTTCCCTCAGTGCCGGGCTACGGTTTCACCAAAATCTCCACCAGGAAGAACATGACAATGTTTGATGCCTCCCGCATCTTGAACAAGCTGATGGTGAAACTCGGATTCAAGCAGTATATCGCCCAAGGAGGCGATATTGGCTCCATGATCACGAAGACGGTCGTGGAGGAGTATGACGAGTGTATCGGTGAGTTGCCCATGGCACCTTGAAGCCTATTCACAGCGGTCAACCCTTTCTTGAAGAGACAAGGAAGCTGACATTTCTCTTCTTTCCAGCCGGCCACGTCAACATGCTGATGTTGAACCCGCCTCAGGGTGAGGGCATCGCCCCGCCCACGGAGATTGAGCAGCGCGCTCTTGACCGTGGTGCAAAGTTCTTGGAATCGGGCATGGCCTATGCAATGCTGCATGGCACCAGGCCGGCCACGGCTAGTTTTGCGGTTGGGGCCAGCCCTGTTTCCTTGTTGGCATGGTAATTATATTTTCTTTCCATCCCAGAGAACCAAGGGCTCTGCGAGGCTCGCCGTTGGAGCAACTGAGGCGCTGACATGGTTTACCATCAGGATCGGCGAGAAGATGATTGAATGGTCGGACGAGACACCTTCCATCGAGACTATCCTCGGCAACGTCTCCCTGTACTGGTTCACGGGATGCTACCCATCTTCAATCTATCCCTACCGCGAGGTTGGTGACACCCTTTCCGATGATGAAATATTCATAGCACTAACAACAATTTTTGCGCCTCATTAAGCTTGCAGGCCCAACCGCCAAGGACCGTGCCGTATCGGGCAGCATGGACAAGGTCAAGAAGCCATTCGGCTCTTCGTGGTTCCCACTCGAGCTGGCTAGCGTCCCGAAGAGCTGGGCTGAAGCAACTGGAAAGGTTTCCTTTTTCAAGGCACACGACAAGGTAATACTACTGAACAGCCCCTTCTCTCCGGAAAATGACTGACGATAGACTCTTTTCAGGGAGGACACTTTGCGGCACTGGAGGTGCCCGACGTTCTTTGGCAGGACATAGTGGAGTTTGTGGATCATGTCCACGGCACAAGAAAGTGATGTAATGGGATTTGAGATTGCAAATGAGGTCTAAGTCATCAAATGCCGGTAAGGAAAGCGAGAAAATTGCATGAACTTGCACTGTTGGCCTGGGTTTGACACTGAGCGGATGGGTTTGCCAGAACCAAAATTGTGACCAAATTGATTCTCATCTCTCTGCCCCCTGGTCCTTAATTCTCAATGTGCTGTCATTTGCTAAATGGCAACTTTCGGTATCGGAAGCGCCAGTGATGGCTGAATGTCCGTGTTTCCGGAAAAACGATATGCTCGGTCGCCCTGGGATGAGGCCCAGATTCCTGGGCTAAGCAGGCATCAAGTGTCAATGACTGGCCCTGGCTTGAGCGGTACATTGAGCTTGAAGTAAGATCGGTCCCTCTCTGTGTATTCAAAGTACTGGTTCTTATGCAGTGTAGCTGACTCCAAGGTAGTGGGTGATCCTTCATGGAACGCAATCTTGATTCTTCCACCTCGTAAATCGGTTTTAGTCCTATTCGAATCTCATATGGTGATCCTTCTTCCTAAATGGGGCGGTTCTGCTAACCTCTTTTGCTAATGGTGCGAAGCTATTCAAGCTATAACTGTGTCAGCATCAGGCTAACATTGCATTGGAACAAACGAACAGGAAGTCCTCGGCCGCACTACAGGGTCCGGTCATGCTGAGAACTAGTCTACCGATACCCGCGTGGTCCCGATCCGACGCACAAGTCCGAGAGCAGCGCCGATACCCGAGATTGGTTTCAAGGGTCGCAATGTGTTGTTGGCGGATTGTCAAGGACCGCAGTTGGCACCAAATTCTCACGACGCCAGGCTTATATAGTCTTGGATTGTTCCTCAGCGCCGAAGTAGTAGATACAGCATGGTTCATAAAAATAGGTCTCGTTCCTTTTAATTTTCCTTGGCCTTTGACAGCTGGCAGAGAGGGTGTGCACCGGTGGAGCACTGCTGTGAGTGTTGGGAGGATTGACCAACCAGCGCGTAAGCTGAGCAAAGCCTCTGGGAAGGATTAGCTGAGTTCCAGCGGGTCTCGGCCATCTTCCTCTCATCAGTAATGCGGTCAAGGATAGGATATCGGAGGCACCAGCCACAACCTTAAGAAAGCAAAGCGCATCCGGTGGATTTTAGTACGCAATGTATAAAGGTCCAATCTCGGAGACTGACACAGTTTCATCGCATGTTTCTTGTTACTGATGCACCTACCACAGCTCTCTAAGTGGATCATACGGTTCCTAAAGGACGCTCTCCTGTCGAGCCCTCAACTAAGAAATCGCACATCACAACTAGGGTCGAGATCCAGGAGCAATGTCTCGACTCATTGACCTGCTGCCAGAACCGGCCTATGTGCGGGAGAAGAAAGTCATCGTGACGAGCAGGAGTCGGTTAGTGGCTGTTCCAGGTCGTTTTCTTGTTTAGGCCGCTGACCACCAGGATACAGTTCCGGAACCTTTTCCTTGTACCAAGCCCTCCAGATGCTGGGGTATCGACCGTATCACATGTACGAGGTTGTTCAATCGACAGCACATATGGGAATCTTCGAAGAGGCACTGAACGCGAAATATTTTGGTGTTGGCAAGCCGTACGGCAAAGCAGAGTTCGACAAATGGTTTGCTGACTACGATGTTTGGCCTCCTCCCCGGCAAATTTTCGATGGCCGGGATATATTGACTGACAATCACTCCAGACACTTGTGGAGATCCCGGCGTTCTTCGTCGAAGAGATCATTGCAGCTTACCCCAACGCGACCTTCATCCATGTCGATCGCGATGTCGACAAGTGGGCAACTTCTGTGACAAACATCCTGGGAACCGTGGAACCGCTTCTTGACGCGATATCGATGAAGCTCATGGCTACATATGATCTGTTTATTCGAAGATACCTCTCTTTGCATGTCATGCTCCTGCGTGTCCTGTACCACGAGCGCAAAACCAGCGACCCGGTGGGCAGGAAAATGATGAAGGATGATTACTTGGCACTGTGAGTCTCAAGATTGTCCGCCCGACATATCTACAGCAAACAGGAACTGACCAGGATTTGTAGGACTCATCAAGTGAAGAGACTTGTTCCGAAGGATAACCTGTGCTATTTCTCGTTGGAAAATGGTTTTGGATGGGAACAGATCTGCCCTCATCTTGGCAAGCCAATCCCAGACCAACAGTACCCTCGAGGCAATGCACCGAAGGAGTTTAACGACCTCACGATGAGGCTCCTGGGCCCTTCTTTCAAAAAGGCTGCAGCAATCGTGATCACAACAGTATTGGTTCCCATCGTTGGTTTCAGTGCTTGGATTTACCGGTCGTGAAGGGACAATGGGCTTGGAGCTGGATTCACAGGTCCAACCAGCATTGGAAGATGTTTTCCTCCTTCGATGTTTTGAAGCATCAAACAATGTATGACGACTGATTCAACACAATTAGTAATGGATCCTAAAACGTATCTAATTCTACCTGTAGAAACCTTTGGATGGGTGCCTGACCTATACGTGTCTGAGAACAGCAATCTTGAGGCCTATTGAGGGCAGACTCAATGCCAGTGTACTGCTGTTATGCTCTTATTATTCTGATGAAAATTGGAATATTCTTATACACGTAGGAGAAGAGTATTTACGGTCCAGTAAGCACGGAAATGTGGATGTCAACAAATATTGTATCCCTTGCTCATGCTTCTAAAGTTTCAGCGGCTGACATCAGGCTGGGATGGTTGAAAAAAAAAAGACCCAAAGAGGTCCTGTTCGAAAGATTACCGCTCTTTTTATTTCCGCTGTCCTACAGCATGCAATGTGCACACTAGAAGGCTAATTCTTAGGCTGTGTGCCGTTGCAGAATCCCCGTGTTGACATACATCTTTGACCTTCCAGCCATCCTTTCTCCCAAGCCCTTGCAATCCACCAAGTGAGAACATCTGCCAGTGCAGGCCTTATTAACACAGATGCCAAATGAAAGAACTCGGTGACCCCCTTCATGTCCATCTTATGTGTCATTCAGGGGTACAGGTCATCGGTGTCCTTCATTGTCACGATCAAAACCGTGCCGCCTGGATTCCTCTGGGATCTCGGGATCAGGAATGGCTTCAATCGGGTTGCCATGATGCGAATTTCGCTCCAAGTTCTCCTGTTCAATGCTTGCCTCCGTTTCAGGTATGCTGTCGCCTTCATCTCCTTGAGCTGATGGCGGACAAGCACATTTCCCATGGTCAATCAGACCACCACACTCAAAGCGAAATATCGTGCCGCATATGCATGTCATCATTTCGCAGCCTTCAGATTTTTCAAGTATGTTTTGGCATCTCTTGTTCGGGCACTGCTTCCAACCCTCCTTATCAACAAGCTCTTTGTCCTCCTTTGAGATCAAATCTGGACACTCGTGTGCCCTGATGTGTTTGTCCTTTGCAGCCTTGCATTCCACACAGGTAAGCTCTTCGCACTTCGGGCAGCGAACGAACTGGCCTTGGTCGCTGCCTGCATTGACGGGGATGAACTTGCTGCACTGAGGAACATGGCAGAAGACGGGGTTGTCTGACTGAAACACCTCTATGGTCTCATCCATGCGCTGAACCACGCCTGCATCGAGACTAGATCTCAGATTGCTTATGTTGATTCCCATCGGGGTGCAACAACGGGGTGCAACAACGTGGGGGCCACCGGTTCCGATTCTAAAGGCTGCCAAGGACTTTGTCTTTCAGGCAAAACTTGCACCACGTGTGTCCACAAGTGAGGAGCACGTCATTCGGTGGGTAGATATCATCGTCGCACCTGTGGCACTGCATTACATGCGGTCAGCTTCATTCGCAGTTTGAGGGGTTGACGTATCAGGAACGTGGTAGAACCATCCATGTCATGGTCTTGCTGTGAACAGTGTAGACTTGAAAGCACCCAGAGCTTTCACACTTCGCGTCAGCGGGTGTCAAGGTGCCACTTACCGAGGGATACTGCTCCGATGATTTATCACTGTTGTTGTCATCACTCTGGTTGGGAGTCCTGTCCGGTTTGCAGAAGGTGGAGGGCTCTGCGAGTGGTGAGACATGTCTTTTGCTACTTTTTAATGTTTGTTTGTTTGCAATTTCTGGTGGTGTAAGATGGGTGGGAAAGTTGATGTTGGAGTGGTGGCTAGCGTGGAGCATCAAGATGAGAAGGGCCCCGAAGAGCTCTTGATCAGGAAACCTCGACACGTGATTAAATACTCACTTGGAAAGAGCCTTGCAACACTCTTACTGGGGAAGCAGGTGCTGGACGTGCACGGAATTGCATTACAACTTCATTCACAAAAAGGGGCGTCTGGCGAGCTGTAGCAAAGATCAGATGACGGTGTAAGTACGAACAGTTTTGTCTCATTTGCAGGTACTAAAAACTCAGAATTCCCATACTGTATCGCCCTGCTCATTTCTCTCTAATGCTGCTGGCATCATGAGACTGCATTTACTGCTTGATTGGTGTTTAAAGAGACTCAAAAATAACAATATTTCACTGGCAATCAAGCTTCTCTCTGCAACCTTTTGGTAAATAATAGTAGAAGTAGAACTGGGGTATGGTCAGGTAGCTTAGACCAAGCTTGATTTGGAACCAAAAGCCTTGTGACTTTGCGTGGATGATCATGGATACCTAGGTATTGAGCGCTGAAGCATCGGGCAAGCAAAGCATCACGGCTTCGTTCATAGATTAACTCAATAGGGTTCTGGCTATCCATGGCTCAAAGCATCCCAGACTTGACCATGGCAAGACTAAACTTCAAATTTGAGGATCACGCCTTGGACAGAAATGTAGCAATATGTTGACAGTGTTGGTTGACGCAGCAGGAAATTGAGACTTACTGCAAATTGCAATCACATTCAGGTACCGGTCCGGCAAGCCTGCAGGAACCTAAGCAATACGCTTTGATTGAAAGGGACATAACATTTGCTGCTTGTGTCTTTTTGGCTTGGCCGTAACAAGCGGGGCTGAAATCAAGCGAAGGAAGATGGACTGCGACTACACTGCCATCGCAATAGGACGCTATTTTGTCCCAGACTTCCATTCCGGGTAAGACGGGGCATGAAAAGCTGTCTGGTGATTCCTCAATGTTAGACGATGTCTTCCTGTGCCAAGAGAGCTTCCGGTGCTCCGCCTCCGGCATAGCGCCATCGTTACCGCCAACCTGCCGCAAGGCAGAATCCCATGCGAGATGTCCTTACTTACCAAAACCATCTCAATTCACGGCCATAAACTCACAAAAGACCCGTTGGCGCTTGAATTCCACCCCGTTGAGGACTCTTTACCTGTAATTGCACCCCATGTTGCCCCGAAGCTACGCTCACGACATCACACCACATTCAGACCATGATGGCAGAGGAAGGCGAAAAGACGACGAAGAAGAAATCCTTCCTTTCCAAAGCAGGCAGTGTCACTGTTTCAGCAACCGGTCTGATATTGATGTCCGGTGCTGGAGAACATGCTGAAATCCACGGTTCACCCCCAACATGTACGGCGCCACAGGCGGTGCCAAAGTCAAGAATCGCGAAGGCGTCCCGGCTCCTGACCAAATGCGTGTGGGTTCATGCCGCGCTCTGTACATTCCTAAGCACAACGGCAATATGAAGGGCGTGCTACCGGTTTATGACTTCACCCAGGGCTATAGTGACAAGCTCCGGGACGAGAACATTGGGAGCGACAAGTGGAGATATACACTGGGCTTGATGAGGAAGCCTCAAGGGGATGGGAAAGACGGTGCGGAAGTTGCGTACTTGGTGGATGTGGAAGAGTTCAACAATGCTGCTGAAAAGCAGGTGATCAACGTGAGGAAGAGAAGCCTAGGTGCAACTCACGGGGCCACCACACTGCAAGTATCCTCAAGCATATTTGAGGCCGATTTAGATAACCTAGCGACTGACTGTCTGCTCTTCAACTAACTTAGGTCACTACCTATCAATGATTCGGATGCAGTTTTCAAATTCACGACACCACCATCAGCTGAGGCGCACACTGCCACGATGTCTCATAATGTTCCCCATATCACCACCCCAGCAACCACCGAAGCGTGCCCAGCCCCATGGTTCACCATCACATCGACCGAGTCGCCTACATCGTATCAGTGGCAGATCCACCCCGTCGAGCACGGGCCGCTGCGGTATACCCTCGTCGAGCTGCCATCGCCTGACCAAGACGCATCGGCTGTTGAGCCGGAGAACCAGCACCGCATCAAGGCCATCTACCACAACGTCGGAGTAGGAACGTCGCTGGTGCAACCGTTCAGCGAGGGTGTGCTGCTCCTGCCAGCGAGCAGGGTCATGGATGCAGATCCAGAGACTGTGGTTTTGACGAGCTTGATAGGGCTGTTGTGGAAGGCCCGGGGAGTACCAACGGTGAAGTTAGACGTGCCGGCTGCGAGAGAGGACTTTACAAAACCGAAGTCTAGGAAGAGCGGGAGCTTCTTTAGGAAATCATGGAACGACAAGAGGGAGGATGATGTGATACGGTAGTGTTGTACGGTCACTTTCGAATTTCGGAGCACGGGAACATGCATGATTGAAGATTCACTCAGGTCATCGATGGAATCAATCTGTATTAAGGGTATCTATCTCATTCGTTGCACTTTGATAAGTGATGATCCTTCGTCTTCTCCTGGGAATCGGGGGACTGCCATGATGAAATCACACAGGAAATCAGAACTCCTCCAAGCACTTAGTTGGTCTTCCACTGGCCGGCGTCGCGCGCCGACTTGGCCACATCCTGGCCTGTACCCTCGACACTGGTGCCAACGTTGGAGACTCCATCACCTAGGGGCTTGCCCACATCACCAGTGACTGCATTGACAGTCTCTCCTAAACCTCGAGAGGCTCCGCCTGTAGATTAAAAGGTTAGCCATCGTGATATTTGGAAATGGGGATCTTCGCCCCGCTGGTGGGAGGACTGGAAATAATCATGACATACCGACAACGCCGCCCACAGTATTAGTAACTCCGGACAGGGTGTTGCCGAGAACTGTGACAGAATGTCAGTGACTTTCGGAGGAATGAGGGGGGCTGCTAAACGGAGATTGGGATGGACTGACTGCCAGTGCCGGTCTTCGCTACACCGGTTGCACCGTCAGCGATGCCACCCTCCTGCTGCTTCTTGTCGTTTCCGAGAAGGCCAGACATGTTGATTGTTTTTTTTTTTTTTTTTTGGGCGAGGTAAACTGGAATGGATTTGTCTCGTATTGATCAGATGAGAGGTTGATGAGGGACTGAACGACTGAACGAAAGAAAACAAAACATATGAATGCGTCTTCCAACCCTCAGAATAAATACAACCAGGCTCCTGCAAGGAGGGAGTGATGTAATGTCGGCGCAGACATACTGTATGGCCCCTGCAGCGCCCTTCCAAGGTGTGGAGGTGGGTGTGGCTGATGACCTCACAGGTTGACGTCTTTGCCGATCGCTTCCCCGATCGCCACCGGCTGACACTTGGGTATGATGTGGCGGTGCAGGGATTTGACAACGCCATCTGAGTATTTGCGCAGGACTTTGGTCACCCAAGGCCAACCAAGACGGTCGCTAAGGTTTCGTCAAAACAAGAACTGCGTCCGGACCATACCTTACTAGGTAGTGTATTATCTCGCCTGGTCCTCACAATGCTTTCACATGGGGCCGATCACCGCGACGAGGTCGGGAGCACACCAATCACCCTGGCCCCGGGCACCAATGTTGGCCATGGCAAGAGCGACAGGGAGACGGTCCGACGTCCGTTTCCGCTGCTGCCGAGACCTATGATTTGATCATGTCACCATAGGAGTCGCATTTACCCGTCGAGCGGACCACGAGCTGACCACCGCCTTCGGATTCGTCCACTTGTTGTGTATCACTGTGCGAGCTTTATCGAAAGCGGACTACGCAGTGACAAATGCGAGAATCGTGGAAGGCGTCTGGGGCTCCTACAGTCAAGGCTGGGCGTAATTCAGACAGAAGGAAGCTGTGAACAAGCGACTCGGAATTCATCAAGACGATGTCGGTCCAAGGTACTGACTGGTACAGCACTTGAGAATGTCTGACGAGAAATTGCCCTTGCCATACTCCCATTTCATGGCGCTAACCTCTACCACACCTTCAGTACCTAGGTATAGGCAAAGAATTTATAGATTTCCCCCACTCGTTGCGCTTCGCGTTATTGTAGGCCACCGCACCGCAGCAATAGATGGTGGCTTGAGAACTTGGTAGACATGAGAGAGTTCGAATGCTTGATGACGCATTACTTTTTGTTGTATGTTTTTGAATGGACTCTATTCCGCTCCCACGTGCGTTGAGCTGCATCCGGTATTGGTCTCATTGCCTTTTCACTGCCTTGTTTCGAACAACCCTAATGTCGCTTTGTCTACAGGGCCATTCATGCTAACTTGAACATTACGTCTTGTGTTAAACCAAAATTTAAAAACAAATTTGACGATTTAGAGCCTCACCTATTACACACCAGAATCTTAGCGCGGTCATTGCGATTGGAAAAACTCAGGGCTCCTCAAGTGCTTCCATCATGTCTGTGCCTGGCGCACCTGCTGACGATGACCCGTCTGACACAGAGAGCCATGTCTCCTTTGACGAAGACAAGTTACCTGACGGAACATGTACTGATTATTCACGGATTTTCCCTGGCCCGTGGAGCCTCGAGGACGAAAGAAGACTTCTAGAGCTGGGGTGGAAAGAGAGATCGAACGTGGACAAGTTCTGGTGGAAACGCTTCGTACCGTATTGGACAAGTCCAGCGTGGGACCCCAATTTTGAAATCACAGTTGACGGGACAAAGATAAGAGCTGCTAGAGGCGATGCGCGGGCGACCATGCGGCCAGCAATATTACCGGCCGACGAGGGCATGACCCGCACAAGCTACACTCGGTACGTTCGATATCAACCTCAACATCCAAATTGGAACTTTTATAGACACACAAATTCATGCAATGCAGGCGATGGGGAATAAACCCATCCGTGCCCAAAGGTTCAATCGGGGAGTCGAGATCGGGCTTGACACCAATCACTGGCGGAACCACTACGTCGCTGGATACTGTGGGCCCAGGGACTACTGAGGAGTGGACGCAAGGTTTTCAGTCTTTCTGGTTTGAGGGATATACGACTCAAGAGGTGTGTCGAGATTAATCGCTTGTATATCAGCCCCACATCATCGCCCACGCTTTTACAATGGAGTTTAGGGCGTGCTCTATTAACACTTCAAATATAGTTGATCAATTTGGGCGCATACTCTCCAGATCTCGATGTCCCTGTATCAGACCTGCCAAGAAGCGATATTCATCGGTTGGTGCTGTGCTCTGCCGAAGCAGTCGTGGGTTTGGCTCACTATTCGCAGCTTATTGTACCGAGACAAGTGGACGCAAGAGCCGCTGCCTCCCCAACAAAGAAACAATTGGAAAGGGAAGTACAGTAATTTCGATCTAAGGTACGATCTTGCTGGTACGGAACGTAAATACGATGTGAAGGTGAGAATCCGCAATTTTGTTACTGATTCCCGGCAATCCTTTTCATCTAACCGCGTTGGACCAGGACAACGATCAACTATGGGACGCCTTGCAACCCTCCATAAAGCTGGCCTCAAGAGTTATCAGGTCAAACCACCCTCACTGGAGGATGCTCCTGGCTGCGATCTATCATATGCGCAAGGTACCACGAGAAAAGGATGGGCGTACCGACGAACAGAAGCAACAACCTGATTATCGCGAATACCGCTCGCTGTGGCCTGATATGGATCGAAATAAAATGTACGCTTCCGCCAGGCGACTATACGACCTCCGATTTGAGGCTGCTAGAGCGACCCTGGGGATCTTGACGCGAGGTGGAAGTACGCACACTTGACCCTTGACTGCCTAGTTGTCTCAGGATCGGACATCTCTAGCTAATGCAATTATATTCAACTAGAGTTGAGATGGTCTATCTTCGAAAGTATTCCAGAGCTCAATGGGAAAGCGATATGGGAACTGAACCAGGGCACAACCAACTTCTCATATCGTCTTTGTCTTAGTGTGAACCTCATCTGGCCACTTCTTGTGGATCAGTACACTGAGAGTGAGAAGATCGGCTATCGAGTCAAGATAGCAATGGTGATCCTTCACGAACTCGCTGTATGTGCTTGTTTTACCCCAGTATCTTGCTACGCTGCTAACTTACAGCTGGGGTCAGCATGCCTGCAATTGTGAGTTGTATCATCCGCAACTCTGATTACTTTCTGGTCCCAATATTTTCATGTAACGACAAATACATAATTCATAATTCTCGAAGTATTCTCATATAAAGCCTTTGAATTTTGCAAGCCTATGCTAGGGCTAACTGACCCTTTGCCTGCAGTTGCCCACTCTGAGATGATGCAATACCCGACGTTGGTCTTAGATAACATTCCCGGTCTTAGAGTCACCGCTAGAATGAAACAGTGCTTGATCAACTTGGGAGAGGAGTCTATTGGCTCTCAACATCGTTGGAGCTCTAGTAGTCAATATTTGTAAGTGTCATTGCGGGGATTAGCATACAGCGCATGAGGCCACAACATACTAAGGCAAGATAGTTTTCGAGATGAGGTTTTCCTCGAAGAAGGAAAGGCCTTTGACAATCAGGTAAATTTCTTGGTGATCATCTGGCCTTGAAGTCTGCAGTAACTGATGTTTTACTGCCAGCTTTGGGGCTCAGACATTAATTTAACTCCGCGTTTACCAAGCAATCCATCTTCTTTCATGCCAATTTTGCAAGCAATGGGTTGGCCATGGTCACACCCCCAAGTTTACCTTCAAAGTCAGATGGCTGTTGAATCGGGATCATACACCGATTATGCCCAGGGATCCTATACCACGTATCTACTCTCGCCTCCTGCTCCTGTGTATAATTCACGGACGCCATTGCCGGTGATGAACTATGCTCATCTTTTGCAGTCTTCGTGGTGGGACAATGATCACAAGAAGTACGGACACCAAGCATTGAAGATCACAAGTGTACCAAGCCGCCCCATCCAGTCTTACCCGCTTCAAGCCACACTCACCAGTCGATATAACAATTTCGAATCTTTGCTCAGTAAGCAACACCCACTACTTGCCATCGATTTCCAGCAACAGGTTCCGACGAAATGATAATATTGGTAATAGGCAACTGCTAATGGTTACATAGTTCCTCTTGTCAGGAGCAAGCACGTGTATATTTTCCTCTTTGAGACTGCACCAGATATCCTACGAGCCCAACAGCAGTACCTTCTTCTACACTGGTTACAAAGAATTACCTTTGATACGGCGAGCCTAAAGATAATAAAATTGAGACTCCATTACGAAAGAAGGACATGGCCGCACAAGTATGGAAAGATCCAGGACTTATGTCAGAATATTACTCGGGACTTTGAAACAATTGGCCATGGTCTTCGACGCATCCTATCGGACACTTCTGCTAGAAATTTTGAACAACTTACAGAACGAGTGAATACTTTATTACGACAGGATCTCGTCGAAGTTCATCGCCTTCTTGGATACGAGGTCAGATATTCACAATGCTTGGCAGCAGAGTGCCTGATAAGGACCGTGGATAATCCTAGCTTGCTTTACAGATCTATTGGTATTTTACGAGAATTTCTGCAGACTACTCACCAGCGTGCTAGTCTTGTCCTGGAAAGGCTGAGAGATATGAAGCACAATATGGCGACGGACACATCTTTTCGCTTCGCTGAAATGGCAGAGGAATGTCAAACAATGTACGGCCGTATTCTCGCCGAGGTCACAGCCCTTGATATGGTAATCCAACTGTTTCGTGGTCCTATGGCTGGTGGAAGGCCCAATAAACGCGGCCCACTCGCGTCAGTTCCGCTTGTAAGACGTGAGATACGGGAAAGCACAAACCTACAGCGAGCGGCTTTGCGAGCGTATTCGCAGATTTCTGACCGAAAAGTTCAAAGAATCATACGAACCTGGCTCAATATTCTCTCTGTCAATGAGGACCTCAGGAACGATACCCGTTCGGCGATAGACGAAGTCGAGGGGCGGCCTATCGCTGGAATGAAGCGAGCCAGGGAAGAGCAGACGGGGATTGTGTTAGCACTTCAGTACCTCGATCGACAGGAACAGCTAGAGGCAAACAAAACTGGTGGTCTTCAGACAACAACAGAAGACGATCAAGTAGATGCCGAACTACTGGACGCAATGGATGACTCGGGAATCGCAGACATGCACGGACACCTGTTCACAGAGGAAGAACAAGGTCGACTCAAGCGGAGGCGTATAAGCTGAAAAAGACCCATGTTGAGGGGGAATGCGAGATAGATATGACTGCCGGCGCACTCCGGGAGGAGATCAACTGCTGGGGAAAACAATTGATATTTTCAAACAGCCTCAAGGTTTGTCAGGCTCCCCCGTCCTACTTTAGCATAAACTAGAGCCAGATGGAGTGGAGTCTAGATAAGATGACTTCCTCTTCAGAATCTGAGATTTGTATAGATTCGCTTGTAAATGAACAAATAACAACTTGCATCGACATATGTGCATGCATACCTTACCCAAGCAGTAGTAGTGGTAAGGGTGTGGTTGCTCAAGGCTTGGCCCGACTATTCTCGGGAATCAAGCCAGATCGTGGCGCATCGATTACACCCTTGCGATCTAACTGATGCCATGTGTAGCTCATGACGCTTTCCATTGGACGGATCGTTACACAGGTCCACCACTTTGCATCGGCCACCAGCTCCGGCACCGCGGACCTGATTACCTTACCCACGAGTCCGTATTGGCAACCGTTGGATAGCTGTCCGTCCCGAACGTCGAGTTCAACGTCACCCTACCGCTGACCGTGCTGCCCTCCTGGCGCATCCAAGTTTCAACCGGCTGGATGGCCCCGTCGCTACCGAGGCCGACCTTGACCTGCCGCGCACCGGGAGTCCAACCGCCATACCCGCCGTGACCGCTCTTGCGCCCGAAGCAGAGGTTGAGACCGTTGCCCGCCAGCGTCATTCCCGAGAGCTGAGGATCCCACTTGAAGCACCAGTCATTGCCATGATCGTGACCGCTGAACACCGTTTGCAGTCCTTCGAGCTCGAGGAGGGCCTGCATGAACGCCACGTCCTGGTTGGAGTAGGTGTACACGGTCTTGGTGCCGCCTTGGCCGGATGCGACACCCTACAAGAAGCCTGGTCAGCAAACCGCGATCGTAGCCCGTTCTCGAAATGTTTCGGATTTAACGTACCTGCGGGCTCAACGGGTTGTCGTCGTTGATGCCCGGTTCTTGATTTGCGTCGACGCCAGCACTTTGGAACTTGAGGAAAGCCTGGACAGGAATGTGTACGAAGGCAAGGGAGGGGATCGTGACACCGTAGGTGCTCGTGATGTTGGCGGCAGTCGTGGTGAGCCACGATGCAACTGCGGGATCGACCCAGTTGGGTTGCCCTACAGGTAGACCATTTGAGTCTTGCTGCTGAAAGTAGTTTCTGCTGCTGTCAGTTCTTTTACGCACAGAAGAATCGCGCAACGTCCAAGTGGTGCAACACAACCCGATAGCGAACGTAACTCACCCCCCACGACTATCGAAGAACCAGAGGATCAACTTTGGCGTCTTGTCACTCTCGTCACTGCCGAACACCTCCAGGTAGTAGTTTGTCACTCCAACATCAGCAGTCGCAGCCGAGTCCGCCAGCATGTTCTGGGTCAGACTGTTTGAATAAGTCTTCTCCTTCGCAAACAAGTTATCTCGGCTCAAATAATAGTCCGAATCATGGTTGCCGTATGTGCTTGCCCAGGGTAGGTTGGCGGCCTGAACGCGGCCCGCGATCTGTTCGAATTTGTCGGTCGCGGTCTCGACGGACTCGGCATTCTCGCCCGTCAGAAGATCGCCATTCAGCACAACCAGCTGTGGGTCCTCGTAGAAAAAGACCAGATTCATAACCGTATCGGAGAGGAAATCCTGCCACCAGCCGGAGACCGTGCCTTGCCCTGTGTACATGGCCTGTTAACAACCATTCTCGAAAGACAACGCACACGGGGTGCCAGGTCTCGCTCACCCTCGCCATAGTGAAGGTCGTTGAAGACAGAAATCTGAAAGGTCCCATCACTGGCGAAGCGCAGGGGCGTGAAGTCTGCCGCGCGTTTCTTGATAATGCCATTAAATGACAGGGGCCAGGCAATTCCGAGGGGCGCCAGGAGGCCGACAGCTAAAGCCGAAGCAGTACGCATCACGAACGATCGGAACAGTGTCGCATCTAGGCCCGATGCCGTTCAACAGGCACCAAAAGAACGGTCTCGGAATGACGGCGTCCATATCTACTTGAAGGGAGCAGGCGTGCCCCTCGCGGTGTGCGGATGTGGACGAGCACTCCGGGCGACACAGTGCTACGACAATAGCCTACTCCGCATTGCCAGATCGGTCGGTTCAGTACGACTCGGCAGGAGATTAACTGCCACTTTTGGACACTGAGCCTTCGAGCAGGCCAGCCCATTCGCTGGTGTAAAATGACCAGCCAATTCTGCGAGTCATTCAAGAGTTAATGTCACTTTACCCAAAATCTACAGTGTGCGCTATCTAGGTGTTGTTCACGGACCAGATAGTCTCACATGGCAGGACAGTCATCCCGTGGCTGTGTCATTTTCGACCCGATGTCAATCGACGAACTTTCTTTCGCAGTGAAGGCCAGCCAGCCTATCTAGTTACACGGCCATTGAAACGAAGGTCACCGTGCTCAGGCTGACAGAAAATACTAAATGCTATGCCTTTTGGCAGACAGACGCCGAGTTCGGATGAGTTACTTTGGTCCTAGCCAGACCACCGCTGCCAGCACGAGGACTGAGTATTATTCAATGTCTCTACTTGCTCGTTGCAGGATGAAATACGTGTGAACCACTGTTTAACCCTTGCTCAGTCATTCTCTCTGCTTGGGAAACTCAGTAGGTCCGGCTGACAGCCCCCTCCCATTTTCCAGTTGTCATCAACTATCAGCCCACTGCCGTCGGTCAACAAGTCTCTTCGCATCGCCCCAAATAAAGCCAGGCGGGAGGCTCGGTTCCTCACCACCGCCACCCTGAAAATCAAACGCCTCGTCATCGGTGGGAAGAGCGGCAACTTCTTCCACCGACAGCGAGTGCCGATACACAAAGTCATCCAGCTGCTTGTAAGCCATCCAGATACCGAATGGTACTTTTGCGGGCTTCTTGCCGACCCGCCGTCGCGCGCCGATCTGAGGGATGTGGCGGTCCGACAACCCCAACTCGTCGTTCTCGTCAGGTTCGAGGAATTCCGCTGCGTTGATATACCGCTTCGCAAATCGGCCTCGGCGGCCGTCTCTCGATTTGATGTTGTGAGTCGGTCGTGGCTTGTCGGGGTCGGGCATTGTGACCGCTGCGGCGTCGAGAACGACCGGGAGCTCGAGCCCGTCTTCAGCCAGGGCGATGGAAGCTCGGCGGAGGAGTCGTGATTGCTGCTGCTCTAGCTCTTCCTGGTCTTGTCCATCCAGCCTCTTGATGAGCTTTGACCGAAGCTGGTACATCGTGCGCTTGGGAGGAGGTTTAGATTTCGGCCCTTTGGTCTTGCTGATCCCGTTCTTGGGAACTCTGGACTGAGCATCTTCTGCTTTCGCCCGTTCGGCGGCGGCAGCTGCCCTTTTTTTTTGCCCAGTCTGACTTCGGTATGGTTACCATCGTCCGCGCCATTTTTGTGTGTTGAATGGTATGGGGAAATGGCCGAAGCAGACTGTAACTCCTAATGCTGTAAGTGCAAAGGTGAAGAGCCTCTGGATGCATCAATCTTGGATTTGGCATATTTGCGCCAAGCCTTATTGAACCGAAAGCGTCAAAGGAACAAAGGCAGGTCTCAACATGCCGCGCAGTGTTTCATCTGCCTCTAAGGTAAAATCGCCACAAAACAACACTCGGATACCTATATGGCACAAGTATTGTAGATGCCTAATTTATCTGGCTGGAAAGAGATAAGCAATTGTGCTGCGAAGTTTTGATCTTCATGTTGGGAGATGCACCGTTCAGGCTATGGCTACTGCATGGCCAAAGATGGTATGAGGCATCTTTGGGACGAAAGCATTGAGTCCGATCAAGCAACCGTGCTACTGAATTGACTCGTGGCATTTGAGAGTCAAGCCAGCCTTGGCCGGAGCCGCAGTCTTATCTCAACGTTTTCCCACTGGCATAAACGACAGTGTCAGTTCTAGCTTGTGGTAATACGCGCAGGTTTATCTGGTTGAACAATACAATAGCAATCACTACTTCAGTAACGTGAGAAGGTCTTCATACCTTACTATATGTATTACTGTGCAACAGTTCACTATTCCCATGTGAATTGGAGTAACGAGTGAATACAAAGCTACTAATCCATCAGTCACAATTCTGAAATGACCGTTCCAGGTGAATCTGTCCATCAGAGCAAGTCATTCTCCAGTGTCACCGTTTCCAGGTATTCCTCCATCACAGTCTAATGTGACCACACTGCAAATTAAGAGATATAAAAAGCACGTTGTCTGAGATGTCTTCAGAAAAAGAAGAATCTCTCAACTTCACTGATACAACACAAGCCTCTATTTCAGAAGAAGCAAATCCACCATGTGCTTTTGGTACTACATCGAATGGAATTGTGATAGCTGTGGCACCACGCTGGAGACTACCACTATCAAGAGACGAGACTGCCGCAAGAGATCTTGCAATGGGACAGTTCCACCTGGCAGCCCAGTAAGAAAAAAGACGAAAACCCGATACGACGCCGATTGCAGCTGCCATTTCCCACTAGTCTGACCAGGAGATGGATTTTAAGCTTCGAAAAGATATAGTTCTCTCAACGTGTTAGATCAACAAGAGCCAGGCTCGATACTGGTCTCAGCACACGAGATTTGGCCGATCACGAGTAGTGTTCCGTTCAGTCTCGGCCTGTGATCACCCAGCTGAAGAAGCCATTTCATTCACTCAATAATGCGGGATCTGTAGAGAGCAAGAAGTAGTTGAAATGAAAAGCTACGTTCTTGACTCTCAATTGCAGAGTTCAATCTGCCTTCGGCATCACATTAAATCCCCTTTGTGCAATTGACATGCCGCCAGATGCTGTGAAATCTTTTTGCTTTGTGTATCCAGTTCCTCTGACATGGCTGTCACCGTGTTCAAAGCTGTTATAAACCAAATTGTAATAACGAGGAAGCAAATCAGTTTGAATATAGGGAATATACTCCCATCTACTCAGGAGGAAGTGTGTCCGATGTAACTTTAGAAGTTCGTGCCATATATTCAATCACTTCTTCCTAGCGCATAATCATCATTTTTGGATCAATTAGGCCAAGTCTTGAATCGAAGGATTCTCGAATTTTAACATAAATCGGCAGATGAAGAGATGATTCCTGGGCCTAAGATCATCCAACTATTTTCACTGAAGGCGTTGAAACTTTCCTTTGTCCTGACTAAGCAGATGCACTTGCAAATTCTCATGATGCATTTGTAACTCCAACACTGTTACGTATTCGCTACGAGACAGCTTACTTCTCTCACCCTGCAACAACCTGCTGGGTGTGAGATGATAGGCGGGTGATCTGCACGTGTCATATTGCTTGTGGACGCGAACTTGTTGTGGAAGGCTAAATCACCCGGCTAGTGACAGATCCGGCGGATGAGTAGCAGGCCGGTGCGTACCCCAGAGCTAGCTCCAACTAAAGCTCTTTTCCCGTCAAAGAAGACGAGGGAAAGAATTGGCAGTGCGCCGATCCCGACAAAGTGTCCAAATTTGCAACTGAAGCACCACTGGTAGCTTCGCCTGGGTACCGACACGAAAGCTTCACCCATCTGCCGCCCCTCCTGGTTAAAAAGGGAGCGATCGCCTATGATCTGTATGGTTCTGACTATTGATGGATGAAGTTGCTTCCGGCATTGGCTCCACGCCACGAGAAAATACGAACGCCATCAGCTTCCATCCATGGGAGGCTCGTCGTGATGCTTCCGACGATCATGACCGTGAAATGACCTTCAGTCTGCGATGTAATTACCTGCGGTGTGAGCCGCCCGTGCCGCTAAGCCTGGGGCAAAGCGCACTTCAGCAACTCCTCGGCCAAGACCTTTCATGAGTGGTTCGACTTTCTGTCGTTCAACGTAGCCTTGTATGGCATCATAGTCTCTATGACGGATTGATGCCTATTGCGGAGAAGCTACAAGCTGGATAGCGCTGCATCCGAGCCCGACAAGCTGCCTGTCCCGTGAGAGTCCCATGCTGTTCGCTTGAGGAACTCTGACTGTTGATCCTCGAGCTCATTTTTCTATAAGAGGTCGCCGTTTCTGGTATGGAACTGGGCTTGGAGAGTCGGAGCAACTACTTGATAGTACTTGCAGAGTAGTGCAGTTCAGATCAACACAGTAATTCATCATGCACTTCCCCACAGCGCTCATGGTCCTCGCGACCTTGTCATCGCCCTCTGTCTCCGCTCCCCTCGAGCCACGGGCCAACTTTGATGCGCCTCCAGGAGGTGACGTTACCATCCTCAACTATGCCTTGACACTCGAGTATCTCGAGAGAAAGTTCTATCAGCAAGGTCTAGCGAACTACACCGAAGGCGACTTCCGCAAGGCTGGGTTCTCTCGCGAGTTCTATAAGAACCTGAAGGAGATATACTTTGATGAACAGGTAAGCCGCCGCTGTGCCAAGTCCCCAGATTGCAATACCCTGCAGGTTAGGTGCTTTGCTGATACTCCGTAGACACATGTCTCATTCCTCGCAGGTGCTCTCGGTTCTGCCGCCATCAAGGAGCCCACTTTTGCCTTCCCCAGCAAGGATGCCAAATCATTTGCGCAGCTTGCCTCAGTCCTCGAAGGCGTCGGCGTTTCTGCATATCTCGGTGCGGCAGCGGCTATCGCCAATAAGGCCTACTTGACTGCAGCAGGCTCGATCCTGACTGTTGAATCGCGTCACTCGTCCTACGTCAGAGATGCCCTTGGCCAAGCACCCTTCCCCAAGCCGTTTGACACACCGCTGGACTTCAACGCGGTCTACAGCCTGGCCGCTGGGTTCATCACCGGCTTCGCGCCGGGAACGCCGGCGCTGCCGTTCAAGGCGTTCCCGCCACTGACAGTCCAGCCGAGCAAGAAGGCGTACGTAGCGGGCAAGTCGCCCGTGACTTTTACTGGTGCGTACGCCAATGCGAAGGGTGCTGGGTTGGCACAGGAGAAGACGCCCGTATACGCCGTGTTCTACTCCGGCTTGGACACATATTATGTGCCTGCGACAATCGCACCGGGTGGCAAGGACGTAAGTTGAAGAAATTCCTACCCTGTTTGTTATTTGTCCGAAATCTCAGGATTAAGCTGACTCGGACACTTTGCAGTACCAGATTAGTTGCATCCCCGCCGGGAACGCCACAAAGGGACTGCTACCTCCTACTGGACAGGTCTATGTCGTGCTGAGCACTGCTGATGGGACCAAGGTCAAAGCCGCTGATGAGAATACTATATCAGGAGTTGGTGTGTTGGAGGTTACTTCCAAGTAGCGGCAAAGGAGCGACGTTTCGGAAAGGTCTTGGGTACCCAGCACCCAGCAGATGGATTGTTCGAGGATAGGAAAATAGTTGTGTTCTGAATGCGTTACCGGCTCAAATTAGCCCTAACATTAATGTTCTAACCTAATATATCTCGCTTGTGAAGCTGGCTCGCTGAATCTTGCATTCTTAGTTGTGAATACGTCGAGTCCCCTGCGTACTGCTGTTTTAGCGAACATGTTTTCTTTTTCTCCCAAAACGAAATGTAAGGCTGGTGTCAAGGTCTCCACTCCATCACTTCGATCTTTGCGCTCTGTGCATTTGCTATACCGTACTTGAACCTGTCCTTGTATTGCCAGGGACACTCATTCACATCTCTTAGTTCCGTGGTATGGATTTGTCATTGCAATAAGCTGAAAGATCTCGATGCTGTCTGATAGAGTTCATCTAGCAGAGCTCACTTTTCCCGAAGTCACGCCGTGTGGGTCTGCCTGGCGCAGAGGACCTTGGTGGGTAAATGGTCAGACTAGCTCATCATAGGGCGGAAAAGGAAGACTGACGACTTCACTTTATAAGCCATAGCTTTGCAGTCCTTCGTAAGAACCTGAGACCGCAACATGTCCGAGTGGCTTGGACGCCCGGGGCACTGTCTTGGCGACATCCTTTTGATTCTCGCTTGGATAATGTTAAGTTCGAGCCGCCTTTGGAAAAGGAATTAGTAGAGTCACGCGTCTTGGACAAGAGCAGAGCTCGACGGGTGCTTTCGCGACTCAAGAGAGTCTTTTACGGACATCCTTGTCCTTCTCACTGAGGACCGTACCCAGGCAAGCAGGCTCTATCTACAGAAGGTTGAAAGCTACATTCCTCAGAATTAATTTATTAAGGACTCAATGTTTAAGATGAACCTGGAAAAGTGGCTTTTGAGCCCTCTGGTGTCGGATCAATCATGCACGAGGACCAGCCGGCTATAAATATAACCCAGCAATTAGGGGTGGGACGGGCAGTCCTTACGTTTCAATTCTAGCCGGTAGAGCTGTTGTAGTTCAGAGAGGTAACCGCCAATGACAGTATGTGCTGTCCGACACCTCTGGATTCCATGCGTGAACAGCTCATTGTTGCGGCGCCTGCTCTCACAAGGAGGTCCAGCGCATCAGGAAACGACACTGTCGAGCAGCAATTCTTGAGCACATGCAACTTCCCCTAGCCGCCAGGGATCGGCTGAGGAGTTCACCGGCAGATATCTTACCCTTGGCCATGGAGCCTAGGAACGGCCAACAGCTCGGACCTTGGTTGTGTCTGGTGGAGGAGCCAGTGCCTTCGGTCGGGAAAGCGGATCGTCGACCGAAAAGGCGAAGGGGCTCGTTCAAAGACATCCACGGCTCCTGACGCGAGGTCAATTTTCCGCGCGCATTCTGGTGTAGCCAAGTCAGTCACTACCAGTCTCACAGCCCTGATGTCAGGAGAGCTCCAAACTGAGCGGAGATATTCCGAGCTACGCCTGGAACCAGGGGCCAAACCGCGCCTTCGTGAAGAGCAGCTATACTTCCCGAAAGAGGGGCATGGCAGGCTGACATGCATGAAAGTTTCCTCCAATCATCCTGATTTTTAACGGATGAGGCCCCAGAATTACGCTCTGGGGAAAAGTGGTTCAGACGCCAAGCGATGTCATCCCTTTCTAGTGGGCGCTTGAGGCTCAACAGGCTAGGAGACTTTGAAAGCCAAGCAAAGCCAAGCGCCCCATATTGTAACAGGACGGTCTCGTCGAGCACGATATCTAAATGTGGATCTTTCTCGCTTGAACGCCACACCTTCGAATAATTCGGTACCGCGCCTCCGAACCCTCCGCGACAAAAAAGTTCGTGGTTTCAATGAAGTGATCACCACGGCAAGGGAAATCTGGGGCGGGTTTCCCAAATGACTGTACCAAAACATTGACGGCGATCTCAGAACAGAACAACACCGCCAGTATTGGGGCTTTCCAATGCCGCCCGTATGGCGATAGTAGTGCACCATCTGGTGACGAGAATGCGATCCCGCAAACTCGCCAAGAATTAGTGGATAAAGCTAACTGCAATCAAGCATATTGAGCGTGCATTCCATGTGGAAGTCGGAGCCGACGACTGAACGGGACCAACCGAGCCGTGTAAGCGAGCAAATGGCTTTCAGGTTGAAGGAGTCGAGGAGTTGCCCTTACCCCCCTTACCCTTGTCGTGAGTTCGCCTCAACTTCGTCTCGGATTCGCAGCCAAGATCTATCAGCCCCCGATCTTGTTTCCGTATGCAACCACTGCAGTGCACGCCATGAATTCTCAGCCTCTCGTATCGGTCGTCCCAGAATTATGGGCGAGGCCGACAAGACTGCGAAGCTTCTATAAGATCCTCGTGATCGCTCGCTTGACGGATCATAGTTCTCGTCCTATCCATCATCACACCAGTCCAAGAACACCGTTCATCCCATTCTCTTCCAGCTGCGCTGTGATATTTCAGTCTTCCATTCACTGTTCCATCCATCCAATCTTTCAAAACAACGAACTTTAATACCCTCATTCAAAATGAAGTCCTTCAGCATCCTCGCAACCGTCCTGGCCGCCGTCGCCTCTGCTAGCCCCATTGGCAAGCGCGCCGTCTTCGCTGACACCACCTTCAACGACATCTCCATCTCGGGAGGCACCGCTGGCAACGCTCAGGCTGAGGCCGAGCAGGCGCTGTCTGGCCTCCCTGCCGACCTGAGCACGGTTGAGCAGTCGGATCTCGACTTCCTCAACTCGGTGAACCAGGTTGCAAACGATGCTGAGAAGGAGGCTTTCAACCCTGCCATTGAGGCGGCGACCGGAGCCGAGGCCGACTCCCTTCAGGTGAGTAGACTCTGCGGGTCCTAGCTGGCCACAAAGCGCATTCCCGAATGAGTGTAACGATACTAATTGTCACCGGTGACAACAGATCGGCAAGATCAAGAACAAGGTCCTCAAGCTGACCGCGACCATCAAGAAGCTGGAGGCTCAGGCCGCGCAAGGAGAGGATGTCGCCGACAAGCTTGCCGAGGAGCAGAAGAAGCTCGACAACAACATCTCCCAGGACGAGGCTGAGGCTGGAAACGCCTCGACCAACGTTCAGTTCGACGGTGCCATCACGGCTGCTTAGATGCAGCCAAACGGGCGGACCAGGGACCGACGGGTACCAGTTGCCGGATCTGTGATTCGGGACTTCAGTTGGACAGTGTTTTCGACGATAGCCAGGGGCTAGTAATGACGACCTGTTGAGGACAGAGGATGAGATACCATGGCTGGCAATGTTGATTCACAGACAAACCAGAGGGACTGGGGAATGGGTGACCCAGATAGTTACTGAGAGCTAATGAATATTCTTGGACGTGGTCGCTGAACCAAAATCATTTGACCTGCTTCATCACTTTTCGAACTCGCGATCTGTTCAACCCACAAGAGACGAGCACCAGGGCCAAATTTGCGCCATCTCGAGGTTACAGGACGCCGACATCTCCGGTCGCCGCGATTCTCCGCGCTCCGCAAACTGCCGCGCCGAGAAGGTGGGCGCGCTGGTTGGTGGGTGAAGGCCGCCTCTCGGATGCTGTGGATCTCCCGCACATGGTGAGACGGACCCGGTCACGGGAGCGCTCGCCAGGTTTCAGGGCCAGAGGCGACGGCCAACCAGCTCTGGCCTCCCTCCGGACGTAGGGGGTGACATCGGCCAGACCCCTAGACGAGGCCCAGCGTCTGGTCGTCTGGCCCGGGGGTCGAGCTCGATGATTCTGAGAGCTATGATGGGGTATGCCGTGATGAACTCCTTTGTCTGCGGGAGAGAGGCCCACTACTCTCGGTAGTGTACCGCACTGCAAATGCTAGTCTCTCGAATGGCGTGCATGATGAGGCTCGCATGACCTTCCTATGGGTGTGGTCGAGGTGCCGATTGGGGCTAAGCCCGCTGGCCGGACCCGAGAAGGGGGAAAAGGGTGGTTACATGGTGGACTACGCGCCGTTCGACACCCGGCTTCGATCCTTTAGACTTGAAAACATTGCGGTGAGCCCAGGCCGGGCTGTCCCAGTTCTGGACGTATGCTGGTGGAGTTAGAATCAATGGGAATGAGGAGCGTCTAAGGAAGCCAAAAGAAGTCATGCCTCAGCATTTTACATCAATCGAGATTGTTGTGCTGCTGGCTGGATTGTAGCGGCTCGTGTAAAAATGCTGGTGGTGGTCACGGCTGGGGCTGAACGGGTGGGCAGGAGGGCAGAGGTTCCCTGCGATCCACTCGTGCATGATAGGACTAGCGCGAATGGCTAACAGTTTTCGGCTCCTGTGTGCCTACTTTCTGATACTGTCCCCAGACGCTGGTTAACTTTTTCAGACGCGCATGGGTGTACGGAGGCCCTCCAAATGCAGTCTGCCCCTGGGGGCCTGCAGCCTCTTTCGTCATACAGCAGCCAAAAGCAAACAACCACCAGCAGAATTGAAATGAAGTGCAGAAGAAATTGGATTGATTGGGAACCGCCAGTCCTTGCTGGGCCACCTGACCTTGCTCTGCAGCAGCACTTTTCCTAATCCTACGTGGAAGTCAAGCTGGGCTGAGAGGCCGTCTGCCGACTTGGCTGGGCCCAGCCATGACGGCTCATTCATTGCTTAGCATCACCAGCCTCTCTGTCCCGCAAAATCCATCATCGATCAGGAGTGACAAGCGGCCCGGCTGCCGCTGTTGACGTGATGGTCGACAGATCAGCTCTAGTCCCGCTGCTAGAGTCACTGGCCGGCTCTTGATCGATGCTTGCCTGTCAAGGTCCAGCCCAGTGAGCTGTGCTACGTGTTTCTTGCTAGCGCCCCTTGGAATCTTCCATTCCTGACCTCAGCTGTGTCACTCACCGTGTTCATAATACAAACGCCATATAGTGTCTTGATATCGTCCTGTCTCCTGCGAAAGTTTCAGGTTGAGCAGACACCGTCAGTGGGGCGACACGATCCATCCACCATCACAAGTCACAACTGCTGCGGTCACATCTGATCAGCAGCCAAGGGTGTATCTCCCGAGGTCGAAATCCTTGGGTAGGATCAGGGGTAAGCCCGCATTGGCCCCTGCCTGGCCTCTGCCCTGCCGTTGCCAGCTCCAAATCTGGAATCAGGACCTGGGGTCGAAGGGTCTGGAGGGTCGGGCCAAACAACGGGACCCTCTTCTCTTTTTTTTGCCGCTTCGAGCTGTGCTGCGCTGCCCACCTTCCAAGGCCGATCTTGACGTCGACCTGCCCACCTGCTGGCCCACAATATCAGGGCACATCTCTTGGACTGAGCCTCTTCACCACCAGTTCCCTCTCTACCATTCCCAGACGCCCTTCTTGTCGCGAGGACCCGAAGAGATCGCATTGCACAACGACATCAGAATTCGAATCATCATTGCACGTGCCACCCAGTGCCTATCATTGCCTGGATCCATCATGGCTCTACTCGATGCCCCCCAGGCCAGAGGCGCCTTGAAGGGGGGTCCGACGCTCTTTGGGGTGCCCATGAAGCAGGCATCGCTCATTACTGTGAGCAGGCACTTCCGCAAGCACCGTATCTGCTTGGGAGCAAATGCTGATGAACTTTGCTACAGTTGACCTTCCAAAATTCAGCCCTCATCCTTGTGCGTTACGCCCCTTCGTGCTCCGAGCCCGACAGCGACCGGCAACGGAGTTGTGCATACACGTCCTTTGGCTAAACATGTCTCCCTACACAGATCATGCATTACAGTCGGATAATGCAACCCTCGGGAGACCACAGATACTTCACCAGCACGGCAGTCTTCCTCAATGAGGTCATCAAGCTCGCCATCTCCGCCACTTTTGCCCTCTACGACGTCTCGAGGAGCCTTGCGCCCCAAACTCCTGCCACAGTACTTTTCGAGCAGATATATCGGTCGGCATTCAGCGGCGATGGGTGGAAACTGGCGATCCCGGCAACACTGTACACCTTCGAGAACACGCTGCAGTACGTGGCTCTGGGTAACCTGGATCCAGTACATTTTCAGGTCTTGTACCAGCTGAAGGTGCGTCGCAAGTCCCCACGTGGCCGCGCGGGCGCAAAGTAGCTGACAAGACCTAGATTCTCACCACGGCAGTCTTCACCGTTCTCCTCCTCGGCCGACCCCTTAGTGGCAAGCGCTGGACAGCTGTCATCCTCCTCACCATCGGCGTCGCTATTGTCTCCTTGCCCACCGACCCGAAAGAACCTTCAATATATCTATCCACGACTACAGCGACCACTTCTTCCCGCGATCGATGCACGAGCTCGGGCAAGCTGCCGGTGGTGCGGTCGATGTGGCCCGGCACCTTTCGAAGAGAGCCGTGGACGGTTTTGCCGAAGGCGCGACAAGTCTGTACAAGCGATCAGCCACATATGAAGGCATTGAGGAAGACCTTGACCTGGGCCCCAAGATGAACTATTCCCTTGGATTGTCCGCGGTTCTCGTTGCAGCCGTACTGTCTGGGCTGACGGGGGTGTACTTTGAGAAGGTGCTCAAGGAATCGAGCTCGCCTGTCTCCGTGTGGACGCGGAACATTCAGCTATCATTCTACAGCCTCTTTCCTGCCCTTTTCTTCGGGGTGATCATGAAGGACGGAGACGACATCGCCAAGCACGGGTTCTTCGAGGGCTACAACTCCATCGTCTGGACAGCGATCGTCTTCCAGGCCATTGGGGGTGTATTGACAAGCCTCTGCATCAACTACGCGGACAACATCGCCAAGAACTTCGCTACAAGCATCAGCATCGTGGTCAGCTTTATATTCAGCCTCTGGTTCTTTGGCTTCCAGGTCTCGACAATGGTAAGGCAGCCTCCACAGCCCCCTCCCACCTTCGATTCCCCCAGGGGAATACCCAGGACAGATCTCTAACACCCCGCAGTTTATCCTGGGAACCGCCTTGGTGATCTTCTCGACCTGGCTGTACAGTGGCCCTGACAGGAAGCGCGGCCGGCCCCCACCTATCAGCATCGTCGGCTACGAGAAGACAGTCATCGCTTCAACTCCAAGACTGCAGTCACCGGAGGACACGAAGTTGCTCAACCCGATGGATTCCGCTTCGTCTCTCGGTCTGTCGACTTCTAGACCCTCGACGCCTCTGGGACACCACGCGAGGGTCCCATCTGCTAGAGGCAAGGCGCGAGACGAATAGAGTCGAACAGACGAGATCGAGATTACTATACGTCAATACTGATGGTGGACCACCGACAATGGTGGACGATTACGAGTGGACGAAACAAAACGGGGCGGGAAAAGAAAAGGGGGCATGGGCTCGCCGCCACGGTTAGGATCGTATACTGATCTTGGGCATGTTAAAAGGGGGAAATGGGCACAAAGAGTGTGAACAAGTCACGATAAATAGATACCCAGTTTGCTGCGTCCCTTTGACGAGCCAGGGTACTGGCAGTGGGCTGACCTCCTAGTGTGTCCGGTGGGTGGGTTGATCACCCGCCCGCACGGGTTCGAATCCCGTAGGTGTCGTTTCTTCTTTTTTTCATCTCTTTTGTTCTGTCACCATTCCTCCACATCTTCCCATCAAGGATTTGTTTGCAGCCTGCTGTCAAGTCACCAATTTTTTTCTTTTTTTTAATAAAAGGGGCTGCCGAGCACTTCAATATACATTCACGTTACATCCCAACTGGATCCTGTGGACTAGCTTAGGTAAGCCCCCAGACAACTGCCTAGCCGGCCCCGCCAACCACGAGGTTTCTCTCCTTCAACAACAACCCATCCACCCACGCGTTCAGACTGCGGTACACGTCGTAACAATCACAAGCGCGGAATAGGTACGGGCACACTTCGATAGAAAGACCCGATCGTGATCGACAAACTTCCGGTCATCTCGCATACAGTCAATTTGCAACGCCTGGCACCACCAATCCCACACACTTCAGCGACGACTATTGTCAAGGGGCACAACCTGTCAGCAGGCCCCCTTATCGATAAGACCTTCTTATCGATAAAGTTTTTCTATTGATAAGGTCTGAAGGACCTCCGACCGGTAGCTCATTTGATACCACTTTCTACTTGTGGCATACTTCCACCGCTTCTCAAGCTACATTTCATATGCGTTCTCCATACACCATCGCCCCGGATGGGCTACGCCTAGCCAGAGAGTGTTTCGAACTTCCGTTCCCAGACGCTGCACCTGATTCTACAAGCGGCCCGAGCGTGCCAGTGGTGTTTGTATCTATCGATTTCGAGAACGCCAGCCAGTTCGTGGACTCAGGCCCTAGCATTCCAGTTCAACTCGGCGTTGCTACTCTTGATACCCAGGACCTTTCTACAGTTCGCCCAAAAGACATCATCTCAACATTCAATTTTGCCACGGGACCATCGCAATCACGATATTTCAGCTCGGCCGCAATCAAGTTCTTATTTGGAGAGACAACCCAGATATCTTCCTCGGATATAGTTTCTACGATCAAGTCCTATATTCCAGAGGCAAGACCTACGATCCTTATTGGCCATGACATTGCAAATGACCTACGAGTTTTGCAATACCTACATTTCGACTTACCAAAATCAGTAATTGGTATTATCGATACTATGGCAATCACTTCTCAGGTCTTTTCCTCTAAGCTTCGTTGGTCGCTTCGTACTGTTCTTGAAGAACTCAAATGCACATATAACAACCTCCATTCAGCTGGTAACGATGCACACTTTACTTTACGTTGCCTACTGTTACTGGTGTCAAAGAGCATAACAATTGAATTGGGGCCAAAATACCAACAGAGGCTGAAGAAGTTGGAGGAAATCGGATACTCTGAGATACCAAAGAAGGAACTTCCTCCGACCAAAGCTGAGAAGAAAAAGCTGAAGAGACTTGAACGAAGCCGGAAACATCAGGCAAAAACATGGGACCTTGAAACACAGGAGCGAATCAGGTCAGAACGAGCGCTGAAGAAGAGAGAAGAGGCCCTGTCGGATCCATCGCAAGATAGGTTGCATTAGCAGGTGGCTACTCGTCGGTATGGCAGTCACTGGGATCACGTGAATGGGGGGCCACTCGTCCACAAAGTTAGCCATACGCCCACTTCGAATACAAACAATCGCAATCATCAGACCCCAGTCGTCTCCTGCCGCAGTCCGGGAGCAGCTGACTATGAAAATGGAAACTCGGACTGCATCCCGGGCATTACAATCATTGTGAGTAACATTAGGGCTAACTCGACCCTCGGCTTGGTTATCTAGCCTGTAGTCTGGTCGAATGGTCTCAGGATCCGGGCTGCTGGCATATCCCGATACATGGTGTCTCTGTGCGCCGGGCAAGTTTAACCGAGCCAAGCCTCTAGAGCTCACTCAGGAAATCTCTTAGGTTCACGCCCTTTCACCATAAGCGCAGTCAAACTCTGACCTCACAACTATTCCAAACTCAGGGGCAGATCAATTCGAAGGACGAATATTCGGGTAGGTGAGGTGGAGGGCAAATCAGACACTCGGTCGTGCGACAGGCAGAGGCAGCACTGAACCATCATCCATCGGAAGATACGTGGCTAGACAACACCAGCCGCGAGATGATCGAGCCGTCACTACAATTGATGTCTATCAAGACAACACTTACCACAATTCATTGCATTTGTTCTGATAGTCAACTGACCCCACCGTCAGCAAGGCCTTTTAGGACCGTCAGAGTAGCTAGGGTAGTGACGTTCCTTCCTCACGACCACACCGTAGCAGCACCTTCCCGCCTTGTCTCCTTCCGAGGCCGGCCGGAGCAGTATCAATGACCAGGAACCTCTGGCTGCCTGATTTCGAAATCAAGTGCACGACACTTCGGAATTATCAGCTTGAGCAATGACTCCTGCAGCCATCCGCCACCTCGTCGCCCCCTTTCCGGCCGTTCTAGACTGCTGATGTCTCTCCCGCGATCAATTTCGCTCTCTCCTTAGGCACCGAGTATCGAGGACTGCACATACCGTCTTATTCCTTCTTGTAAAACACTTACCATTGTGTATGACTTGGACAAGTACCTCAAGCCAACCTTTTTTTTCGAAGAGTTGACTTTCTTGGTCTTCCTGGTGGGACCGCAGTCCCTTGTCCTCCTTCGAGACCAGTTGCCAGTCCGTGCAGGCCAGGCCAGCTGCATCCTCTCGCCGTTTCAATTACGATACAGCTGCCTCGGCCGACTCGGCCGTCATTATCTTTTCCTGTTTGAATTGCAATTTCACGTCGCGTGCAGAGAAGCATCGTTCGTCGTTCGCAAGGAAGCAATCCGCCAGTATTCCACTCGTTCTTGGTGCGCGGGAATCCAGTCGCGGTACAAACTGGTGCGCAAGCAGTCCAACATCGTTCTACGACTACACGCACCTCCAGAAGACGCTTAAAGTGAGCAATAGATGGAAGATAATGTCGGCAAATAGAATGCCCCCCATCCATGATGGCCAAGGCGAGGTCAATCTACGGCTTTCCGCGGAAGACATATCTGGATTGGGCCCAGACGTCCAAAAACTGCTGAGACAGCTTGCTGCTTCGCAGCAAGATCAACAACAGACGCAACCCACGGCATCTTCCTCTCATTTGGGAATGCCAGCGGGAATCCTATCTGGACCTGGTCGGGAAATGATCCAACGGCCAGCTTCCCTCGAGTCTGCCGCAGGTCCGCCTGGCAGCAACACACAGCACCGCACCCTTCCAAATAGTTGGCAGCATCAAGTGGCAGTTCAACAACCGACAGAAATGGACCTGGACGATTTTGGTAAGCTCTAGAGTCACATTCATTGCTATCAGAGGCTGTGGGAAAGGTTAGACATGTTAGATTGACAAATCTGCAGATCGTCAACTTCTAGCAGGCCATGAGCCATCACAAGTGCGAGGCTCATATATGGCATCCGACTATTATGTGTCGCCAATACCGGCTGTATTGCCTTTCGCAGCAGAGCGGTTTCCACCTCCACCATCTAGCTCTTTGTCATCAGCTGCGTTCTCGACTGCGCCGACCATGTCGTCATCTAGACTGACTCTTCCCTCAAGCCTTACAAACCCGGATGTCAGGGCTGCTCCGACCCGAACACTCTATTCCCCAGCAATGGAGCCTCAGCCTGCCGCGTGGAAATTCCATGAGACGGTGCAAACAAACGCGTCACCTTCCTCGAGTCACTCGGCGTCGTTGCAGGCTTCCAGACAGCCATCCCGGGAATTGCAAAGGTCCAAGTCTCGGGAATCATTTCTGGTGAAGCAGAAATTTGCACCTCGACATCACTGCAAGTAGCTGTTATTCTTGTCAACTGTCAATGTGATTGCTAATGTTTGGTATGCGTAGCAAATCCCGGCTCGACGGCGCATAGTATCACAGCGACGAGTTCCTCTTCCCCAGCAGCCGTGGGACCATCATCAAGTCCCGCAGCGGAAGCAGGCCTCCGCCGTCAATTGCCACAAAACCTTCCAGGATCATTGAGAGTGCCTACCCTTCCTTCACCGTCGGCCAAGAACTCTCAGTCTCTAGAGCTTGCCCATGCGCCTCCCATCGCCAATGGCATCAACTTGATCAGCCCCCGAGATGTCCTCCCAGACAGATTCCGGGAAATTTACCCCTATGATCTCTTCAACGCCGTCCAATCGAGATGCTTCCAGGACGCGTATCAGACGAACGACAATCTTGTCGTTTCAGCGCCAACTGGCAGCGGAAAGACAGCAATACTCGAGCTTGCAATCTGCAGACTTGCGCACATGAGAGGGAACGAAGGTTTCAAGGTCGTCTACCTATGCCCACTGAAAGCACTCTGCACAGAGAGATCCAATGACTGGAGACAGAAATTTGGACTTTTGTCTATTGAAGTTGCGGAGCTCACGGGAGACACTTCGCAAGCTGAAATGAGACGAGTCCGCCAGGCCACAATCATCATTACAACCCCAGAGAAATGGGATTCTGTCACCAGAAGCTGGTCAGATCATCGCAAGCTGCTTGACTTGGTCGAACTATTCCTCATCGACGAGGTACATCTTCTCAAAGAGCCACGCGGATCAACCCTTGAGGCGGTTGTATCCCGCATGAAGACCCGCGGCGCGAATGTCCGCTTCGTCGCTCTGAGCGCAACCGTTCCAAATTCTGATGATGTTGCCCAATGGCTCGGTAGAGATCACACCAGAACAGAGATCCCAGCTCGCCGAGCGACGTTCGGAGAAGACTTCCGTCCTGTGAAGCTACAAAAGTTCGTGTACGGGTTCGACAGCAGGACGAACGATTACCAGTTCGACACCTTCTTGACCGAACAATTGTATCCTCATATCGCCAAACATTCCCAGCGAAAACCAATACTGGTGTTCTGTCAGACCCGTAAGAGTTGTCAGAGCTCAGCAAAGAAATTGGCTGAGGAGTGGAATGAGCGCCAACCTCAAGCAAGGCCGTGGTCAGAACCCACCAAACGGATTCCGGTTATCAGCCCTGAACTGCAGGAAATTGTGAGGTACGGAGTTGCGTTTCATCATGCTGGTCTCGATACCCAAGACAGGCGAGCTGTTGAGCAAGCCTTCCTTGATGGCCGTCTCAGTGTCATTTGCTCCACCTCCACACTGGCCATGGGCTTGAACCTGCCATGCCACATGGTAGTGCTCAAAGGTACCACTTCGTATCAAGAGAATTCAATTGCCGAGCTCAGCGACCTGGAAGTCATGCAGATGCTGGGGCGTGCCGGCAGGCCACAATTCGGCAACAGCGGCGTTGCTGTGATTCTCACCAGAGCACGAAATAAGCAGCACTATCAAGACATGGGATCTGGTCAGCAGATTCTAGAAAGTACTCTTCACCAGAACTTGATCGAGCACCTAAATTCCGAGATCAACCTTGGTACCTTTCAGGATGTATCGAAGGCAAAGGAGTGGTTGAAAGGAACATTTCTGGCTGTTCGGCTCCATCGCCACCCAGCTTACTACAAACTTGAACAGACAGGTTTCCTCACCGATCCGCTTGATGACAGGCTTGAAAAGATTTGTGAAACAGACATAACCAAATTGCAACAGACCGGGCTTGTCACGGACGAAGCTACGTTTCATTCAACTGATTATGGCCGGGCAATGTCGAGATACGTCATTCGATTCAAGTCTATGCAAAAGATCCTGCAGATCCCTCAAGCAGCCAAAATGGAGCAAGTCGTAAGTTCTCAGGCCACTTTTCTTTCGACTGAGGCTGATGAAAGCAGTTGACAGCTGTGTGTGAAGCAGACGAATTCAGGGATTTTCGCTGGCGAACACACGAACGTGATGTGTTCCGCGAACTCAATAAAAACCCCTTCATCGCTTACCCAATCAAAGAGACAGTAAACACAATGGCACACAAGGCGTCGCTTCTCCTGCAAGCGGCTTTGGGTTGTGTGGACTTGGCCGACGTACCAGAAGTTGTTCGAAGGCAGATTACGTTGGACACGGGTCTTCTATTCGAGAGGATGCACCGCCTCGTACGCGCGGTCGTTGAATGCAAAGCTAGTGATTTAGATGGAGTCACTTGTCGGGTAGCTCTCGATCTTGCACGGTCCATGGCAGCCAGGGCTTGGGAGGGCAAGTCCATGCAACTAATGCAGGTACCTCAACTCGGCCCAGTTTTCATGCGAAAGTTTGTTGCTTCTGGCATCACAACAGTGCACGATTTGGCAGAAGCTGGCGCCAGCAACATCGAAAGAATTCTGAGCCGAAATCCCCCATTCGGCAAGAAAATGACTGATGAGTTGGCACACTTTCCACGCCTAACCCTTGAAGCACGTATTTCGGCAGAGCTTCCACGGACTTTCAACTCGGGCAAGCAGCCCGTAGCTCGCATCGATGCTATTCTTGGTTTTTCCAATTCTTTAGGGAAGCCAAAATGGCGTGGCAAGATTCCTTCTGTCACATTCATGGCCGAAACCTCGGAGGGTGTCCTGGCGCATTGGTGGAGAGGCTCGATGAAGAAGTTCAAGGAGGAGGATGAGCACAAGTTGTCTCTGCAATTTGAGGTGGATCTCAGCAGCGTCAAGGATGAGGTCATTTGCTACTTCGCGTGCGAGGACATCGTCGGCACCGTTGTCACCAGAAGATTGGAGCACGGCCTACCAGCATCTGCTTTTCCGTCAAGGAGGGAGCCAACACCACAGCTTTCGCAAACGACTGGTAGATCTGCGGCATCCTTGATGGATGATGATATTGGCGACAATGACTTGTTGGATATCGCAAAAGAGGGAGGGAATCAAAGCGAAGCATGCCTTGTCATCTCGGAAGACTCAGACGTCGACTTTCAATGGCCTATGATGAATCGAGACAGGAAGAATCGCATCGACGACCGGGGCCCGAAACAAAAAGACGATTTTGCATCTTCCCAGGACAGCGGAAAGGAGACTATCCCATGGCAGCCGGTTCAACTCCCGAACGGCAAATTCAAATGCAATCATCGCTGCGCTGATGCCGGGCTGAAAAATGGCAACGGCAAAGCTTGTGCGCATCGGTGCTGCCGAGAAGGTCTTGATGTGCCCAGAAAGCCAAAAGGCCCGAGTTTGAAGAGAAAAAGCAGGCCTTAAGGAGATCGTCGTCGCTGATCCAGCTTCGAAGCTGACCTCAAAGTCAACGACCAAGAAAGTCAAAACAACCATACCAAAGGGCAGACCGTCCATCCAAAACTTGACGCGGGAGCCACTGGAATCTGCTACTGCAAACAGGCAGGACCGCCCTCTGATGGATCTCGACGACTTCGACTTGGATGGGGATGGCTTGTTCGATCTGACTCAAGTCGAAGGCGCTCATGTTGACGATCGTCAGAGCTCGTACCGCAGCCTGTACAGAGCCAAGGAACCCATCACTAATGACGGATCTTATGAAAAAGAAGACAATCTGTTCGCAAGTCTCTCCGATGATGCGTTGCAGGATGATTTCGCCTTGCCAGTTGAAAACAGAGACACTGGCAAAGATCGGAGCTTTGATGTTGGCGAGAGGACGAATCCCCTGCAGGCTGAACTCCTGAAAACCCAAAGCAACAGTACCGACAACTTTTCAGGTGAATCGGTCTTTGACGGTGTGACCACAGATGAGTGCAATGAAGAACCATTCCGTCCACACAGTTCCCTGGTGGGTACCATGGGCGTCCCAAAGAAGCGGCGTGGGAATTTCGCCAACGTCCCCTTGCATGAGGGCCGTGAAAATGAATCCAGCTGGGAAGAGTCATCCTTAGACGCTCCGCCAACCATGGCGAGGTATGTTGATGTATCCCGAGCGAACGTTGTGCGTCAATCCTCCGATCATTCCGAAATGGCAAGTGGGGCGGGAAACGATGGTTTCACTTCGCCAACCATGCCCTCCACCACGCGTCATGCCCCTTTACAGCAAGGACCTGACACAGCGACGGAGGCAAAAGAATTCGAAGATGAGAATTACATCTTCTCAGATAAATGTGTACTGCCACCACCTAGGGACAGCTTTGGCGAAGGCAGTGTCATCCTGCCCCCTGTGTCAGATGGAAGGCATTTGGCACACAATGCTGACGCGAGTGCTGTCCGCAAGTCAGCGGAACTTGACTCCTCTTCCACGAAGGATGATGATCTGTCCATGAAGTTGCAACAGGATCCAGAATGGGACGGGTTTGAGCCAGGGTTCACTGATGAATTCCGGGATCTTGTGGAGTTCATCTAGTCCTGACGAGGAACAGCGGATTGGACGGGTGTCGGAGTCAAAAAGATCTGACTGGAAACAAATGTGCAGCGGTGGGAGCACTGGTTGATCTGTTCTCTTTGCTTTGTACTTTGCTTCTTTGCTATCGTTTCCTGATTTGTGACTCGAACATCACTTCAAGTCATTCCGTGATGCGTGGCCGGTGGCGGGTTTAGGCTCATGTTTGCCACCACGGCAACTGACGAGAAAGGCTCACATTTGGTGTTCTTTTGGGGCTGGGATTGGGATGTCTGCGGGTACGAAGATCATGCCTTCCCTTCTAAATCTTTCATCTGGAGTAAGATGAGCCGATTGGGAGTTATTTCTGGCCATGAAACGCTGTATTCGCAGCTCACCGACTTCTGTTCACGCCGCCATAGTGTAAGTATAATGTCGATATGAACATTTCCAATGCTGGTCTTGCTTTTAACAAGTGACGGTGGCTTTATGGACCAGCGAGGAACAATGGCATAGGTGTAGTCTTTTATTCGTATTAGTGTCCACGTAACCCACCGTTTCCGTGGGAGTTCAAGTCTTGAGTATCTTGCAAGGTGTTCCATCTGAGAATCATCAGACAAAGCTTCAAGGCAAGTCCGATGTTATGTCTAGGAATTCTGTACCATGCCCTCGCTTTACTCCGTCAGCTTTTAAGCTTTGTAGGCACTGGGCCTTGTCTCTCTAAGTCCATTTCCTCCTCACAACGCCCCCTGCATTCTTCCGATACATGAGCGAGAAACCACTGCTGGATGGAGAAGAGGATGACAATCGACCGTAACTGCGAAAAAGGAGTATCTCCCTCAAGTCTGTGATGGGTGTAGATCTTCCTCCAGCAAGTCAAGGGCATCGCCTGCCGCTGGATCGTTGTGGCCCTGGTAAAATCTCAAAAGGTCCCGCAAGCTCTCCAGCCGGTGCCAAGATCCCGGGTCATTCTCCCAGGCCCTGACGTCCTCGACGGCCTGCCAGTGTCTCGCGCTCTTGCTAGCCTCAGCCTCGCTCTGATCCCTTTGCCACTGGTCATACTCGTACTCCACACGCTGAGCGACCTCTTCGTCGTCCAACATGCGCCTGGTGACGCGGTACGGGAGCACGGCGCAGTTTGCCATCTCGAAGTTGTCGACAGCCGCTGGCGGGTGGCCCATGACGCGCAGGAACGACTTGTTGCAGCGGCTGTGCAGCACCAGCATCACGCAGTCTCCCGAGTTGGGGTTGCTGAAGATGTCGTCCAGGACGCCACGCACGCGCTGGTCCACATTGATGTAGACTTCGTCATGGAAGTCCTCCTGCTCCGTCACGTCCAACTCGTAGGCGACATAAATACCCAGCTCGGAACTCAGCTGCTCGACAAGCGCCTGGATCTCTGCCCTGCTTCCCTTGTGGTCGGACTGGTGATTATGGCCATATCCCATCCACTCGCGTAAACCTTCCTTGACGTGCAGCGTGATAGGAGGCAAACGGCCATCGGGCCTCGGGTAGTGCAGACCGGCCTGCTTAATCATGTGCACAGCCGTCTGAATGCACCGCCGCAGCGGCGACGAGTAGATCGCCAGGGGTCGCGGGGCTGCCTCAGCGTGCATCGCTTCGCTCAGATATCGGGCGGCCAAATCGGTGTTGGAGACCCCGTCCGCTGTAATTGGCGGGTCGAAGTTCTTCGCCAGGCCGGATAGGTACCGCCAGGCCACGGGCTTGCCCCAGGTCTGGGAGTCCTCGTTGTGGGGGGTGTTTCCGTGGCGGAGGGTGTATATGATCTTTGTTTCGTCGCTGCCGCTGATTGGGGCATTGCTGAGAGCCGTCACGAAGCCGCCTTCGGGTCGAATGTTTTCCGGAGCAAGTGCGATGGGTCCACTCGGGGCGGCGGTTCTGGTCATCCGCGCGAGGTTGACTGGATCGGAGAAGGAGGCATCATGGGAGTATGCCCAGGAAAGGTCTGGGTCTGAAGGAGGAGGAGGCAACCGAACGTCTTCAAGTTTTGCTCTGCCGTGACAGTTGGAAGATGTCCAAGCGTTATGGCGGGCTTCCATATGGCCTACAGATTAGAACCATTTTCCTTTTCATATTGCAGAGAAGATGGGGTCTGAAAATGCTTCAGTCACAGTGAACTTTGCCAGAGAAGCCAGTGGAAGGGACTGTGCTCAGGACAAAGGAATGGTGTCCAGTGCAGTAGCATCCACTTGAACTAGGTGTGCAGTAGAACAAAGCCGTATTCTATCACATGCACAATCCTCATCCCAAATAATAAGCGTGCACATGCCAGTGGGAACTCATTGCTACAACTTTCCCCAATGCCAATAGTTTGATTCTCCTGCATTTGAGGACTTACGGACTGACCCCACGAGTTCTTGCTTGAGAACAGTAAGACTGCGAACTTCAATTTGTGGTTGAGAGCGACCATCAATTCAGTATCAAGTTTTACATGTAAAGAGGACGGTTACCGAGAAGAATGAGAAAGGTCCTCTCCACTGGCGCCCACGGTAAGCCTCGGGGACTGATCTTTCCAGGCAATTCAAGTTAACTGGAAGGCGGAGATCTAGGATTTAACCCGTAGACTGGGATCATCTTGGGTGATACGTTGAGTATCTACATACAGAAATCTTTCTCCAATGTCACGAACCGCACCCTTGGCATCTTGCTTGCATGGAACCCGGGGGAATGAGCTGTGCCGAGTAAGCCAGCGGGCGGATGTTCACCTCCCCGTGTAGCCAGCGGGTCCGAGTACCTATGAGGGGACCTTGCAGCTCGTATGGTCTATCACGTCTCAGCAGTGGGAGGCGAGTGACCACCTCGATGGTGGGGAGCACAACAAACGGCCTACTCGCTGCGTTGAGATGGGCAATGTCCACCCCGCTGTCTTCAAACATACGTCAGAAGGCAGCAGAGGCCGCAGACGTGACAGCGAGCGGAATCATGGATCCAGCCGGGCTCGAAGTCTCTGCTGTGCGCGTTTGAAAGAAGGCTTCAGATCTCGATATACTCGTAGGAGACACAAACATTGCTCGACCTCCATCGGCGGCAGAATCCCTCGGTGAGGGCGGCTTTGTCTAGACGCAGGTCGATCACATAGTTTAAAACTATCGCTTCGATGTGTACCTTTGATCTCGACATGGGTCTCATCTCTGATATGAGATGTTACCCTCAAAGATATCTCGTGAAGGCTGCACTCGTAGTCAGATTTGAAGCTTCCTGCCAACTAATTATACGGCACATATGCATGCGCTACGGTCTCCACCACCCCGATGGCCATTTCCGAAATTTGTATGGCAGATCTTGTTAGCATCGTGTTATCATTTATGGTGACTCATCAACCGGTCGATGTCCAGGCAACCGGGGGCATCGTGGATTATCAAGGTGGATCATGGAGACTTGGGCAGCAAAGTAAGCCAAGACACATCAACGTTGCACAGTCACCATACGAGAGACAGTGTTTCTACAAATATGAGTGCACAGCCACCCCCAAGTGTTCAACTGCATTTCGACCGGTGAAGCACTGCGACCAACTCATATGTCACAACTTGAATTGGTTCTCGAAGCCTTCTCGGGTTTCTTTCTCTCGAAGTGACTCGCTCACATTGACGCATACAAGCACTCAGTTCCCTTTTACACACAGCAGTGCTCTCCAAGTTCAGAATCGAAATGCCCGTCTTAGGATTGTCGATCATCCCGCCACAGCTTGGGACAAGCCCAAGAGCTCTTCAGCCGAGGATCTCTTGCGAGGGGCCGCACCAAGGCAGCATCGGAGCTGCAAAAGCCTCGTGCAATCATCTTTCGTCGACAGTCAGTTCCGAGATGATCACATCACGCCATCCGAAAACGGTTTTGTCTGGGCGGCATATCATGCTTACAGCCACCATCACCACCTGTGCATCCGCCCGGAGGATATCTGGTTCGCGATCCTGACGCAGATAAGCTTCTATATCAACGCGCACGCCGAAGACCTGCGGTCTTTGTTCGTCGCCCATGAGGGCAAGAAGGAGCTGAAGGCCGTCCACCATGTCGCCGACTTTGCTTTCCTGGCCGTCCAGATGGGCGACAGAATCGGCGAGAACGTCCTCGACCCCGAACTGAAGGACTGGGTCTTGCCTGCGTTCTCAACTACAACAGATTCTGACAGAGTAGTCGGATCCATATTATTCATGGGCGCCATGCAGAAATACTTCTCTTACTCCATGACGGTTTTCTGCGGTCTCCCATCCGTGACGCTACTTGGCTGTGTGGAAGATTGGGAGAACATCCTGAGTCGGCTCGACAAGCTGGACCTTTTTGGGGATGAACCAAAGCGATTCGCCGCGATGCTTCGGCCAATCTTGCGTCGCATGGTCCGGTCTTTCTCAGATCCGTCTAGTACGGAAACCCTAGATTTCTGGAATACTATTGTGCACAGGAACAGGTTGGGCAGCGGCACAGACTATCTCTCGGGCTGGCTGACGGCGTTTTGCTTCTGGGATGAAAAGGGGAAAGCAAAGGCGGCCCGTCACCCGGTCTTGGAAGGCGTCGCATATCCTACCGTCGATGTGGACAAAGTGCCCGCAGGTTTTGCCTCTGTCCCTGTTTCGGTCGACGATAACGGTCACGAGTACAAGGCGACAATGGTTGCGGGATCAGTCGGCATTCTTGCCACTACCTCTCACAATCCAGGGACTTCTGACGGGGCACAGGACACCCTCACCATCGGGTTGAAGCCCGCCATGCAAAGTGAGTTTGCCAACCTGAACGAAAACATCCCGCCTCTTGAGGCTGACGAAGATGAAGACGTCACTTCCAATGGCGAAAGGATGGACCTAGACAAGTCTGACCCGGGGGCTGGCCAGGAAGGGCCGATCCGCGATACTGTGCAGGCTCTCTCCGGGTGGTGGATGTTCGAAATCGAGTCTCCACAGTGATGGGACCAAATTTCTCAAGCAAAAATGAGCAAGGTGTAGTGGGCGCTGACTTGAGGAACGGTGGCCGACGGATTGATGAAACTCATTGGCTCGACCAGCGTTTGAGGACTTCCGAAGAAAAGCTCGGTATGGGACAGCTGATTGACGACGAGGGTGACGACACCCTCGAAATGGTCTCTGATAGTGGGAGGTTTTGGAAGCAGGAGCTCCTAGAAATTTCCAGAATGACTTAGACTGCATTTTTCTAGTAATCGGCTGCAGAATGGAGGCATAGAGGATGAGAGGGATTGATGCGGACTGAAGGACCGGCTGTCCAAGCTAGATCCCAAGCATAGACTTGCTCTATAGGCCGTATTCGCCCAATGAATAAGACTTCGTCATTTTACCTGTAGAATTTGCTGGCCTTGATCAATATTCTGCGTTTTTCTCCTTTTATCTTCACTGTTCAACTGGATTAGAATCAGTTGGGGCAATCTCGCCTCAGATATTAAGCCTATACAATCTAGGTCGAAAAGCTAAGTTATTCCAGCCTCGGGTCTCTTGGCAATAACCCACAGGAACTCTGCTTTGACATTATCCTGCTTCACTTCGTCCAAGACTAGTTGCAGGCCGGCCTCCCTGACCAGCTGCCTGTACTTATCAGCGTCCCAGCCGCTGTGGTAGACCCAGCCTTTCTCACCCATCCACCCCGTCATGACCACATTTTCACTCTCCTCGGCGGGGAAATTGAAGAGCATGTAGCCCCCAGGCCTAAGCCACGCTGCGACCTTGCGAATCATGACAACCTGCTCATCCCGTGGTAGGTGCTGGATGCAATAGAAGCCGAGGATCACGTCAAAGGCCACGGCCGGGAATTTAAGGTCCATCATGTCGCCCTGGACCCAGGTCACCCGGTCCGCATCACCACTGCATGCCAGTCCCAGGCGCTTCTTCCCCAGCTCGATCTGCGCCGAGGACAGGTCGTTGGCGGTGATGCGGAACCGGGGATCATTGGCCAGCAGCTTCTCGGTCGTGGGGATCCCGGCGCCGCATCCCACCTCGAGGATGTCCCTGTGGGACGGGGAGAGCAGGTCGAGGAGCCTGTCCAGGTACGAGAGGCGGATGGCGGCGCCCTTTGTGGACCAGGAGGTGTATTCCTCCGCGATGGCGTCGTACGAGTCCCGGAGGCGGGACTTGAGGTTCTCCGGGACGGAGGAGGAGGCCTGGTCCTCGCCGTCCATTGTCCGCGGCGGGCCCTTGTGCGACTTGGGATACGGAAGTGTGTGTGATATGAGTGGGTCACAATGCCCGGTCCGCACAGCGAATGCGGCTCCGAGAGCGAGGAGGGCTCGACTGGGCTGGGGACTTCCGATACGGTTCGGAGGGCGGCCGCCTCCGTGGTGTGTGGGGTCGTGGGCGGATACCTGTGGGCAAAGGCGGCTTCAAGGGCTCCAAGGGTCGCCGACAGAAAAGTTTCCAAGGGTATACACGATGTCGGGGAGACGGACGATCAAAGAACCAGGCCCCAGGTGGTCAGACGGGCATAATAGTGTGAGGAGAGCCCCATTGGCCGCCGTCATTGAGTCTGGCTGATAGCGTGTGAGAGGATTGGCCTTCGGGAGATGGACGAGCACTATAACTGGCCGCTCTCGATTTAGAGGACCTTAATGGATTTCAGGCTGGCGATTGGCCTCTCCTTCAAGTCGTCAAGAAGCATAGAGTCCCCTCGGATCATGTCAGTAGCAGATGAAACCGCTTGCTGATCGCAAGAGAGGACGGGCCAGTATGCCTCCCTAGGTAGGCACCCAGGTAGTGGCTGGTGAGACTCGCCTGCTGCACCCACTTAGACTGGGCACCTAGGTACCTAGGCACCTACCTAGGCAGGCAGGACTGCTCAGCTGCGGGGTTCTTCAACCGAGTCTGAGTCTTGCATTGCATTGCGTGCATGAAGGCCCAAGAGCACACGTGGGGTAACGGACTGTACCTGCCCACGCGACGCCTTGGCTTGGAGACCCAGCAGCCGGACCTGGGCGGCGGACTGACTAGGCTGGGCTGGAACTGGAACTGGCGCCAGGCAAATTTTCCCATGAGCGAGCCAGGCGATGGATGGATGGAACCCTTGGAATTTTTTTGTTGCTGGAGATTTTCTTGGGCTGTTGATTTCCTTCCCTACTTCCTCTTGTTTCTTTTTCATACTCCCATCTCTCCATCGCATAGTCTCTTGTTCCTCCTTGCTGCACGTCCCCTTTGCACGACAACCCACCCACCAACCCACACGCTTTGCTTATTCTCCGCACGTCGTCCCGTTGCATTTGCACGCGGCCGAGACATCTGCATACACCCGACTCGACCACGGCTCGCTACCTGCAGCAACCCACCGCCCAGCATGGTTGAGAAGCTCTACGTCACCTACAATGATGTGTGTATCTCGTATACTCCCTAGGCGTCCAAGGCGCACGCCTCCCAACCAAAACATCCAAACACCCCAGCACCAAATGGTGCCTCCCACCATGAGCCCCGGCGCGAGCACACCCGCACACGCCCCCAAGATGCGCGTTTCTGACTCCTGTCTGCCTCCCACTTCCAGGTCCACAAGCTCTGTCAGGAGTCCGCCTCCCACATCCTCGACAACTTCAAGCCCCACCTCATGATCGCCATAGGCGGCGGGGGCTACGTGCCCGCGCGCATCCTGCGGTCCTTCCTCAAGAAGCCCGGGAGCCCCAACATCCCCATCCAGGCCATCGGCCTGTCGCTCTACGAGGCCCTCGGCGGCACGGACGGCGTCGTCGAGGAGCCCGGCAAGCAGGTCACCCGCACCCAGTGGCTCGACCTGACCAGCCTCGGCGAGATGAAGAACCTCATAGGCAAGAAGATCCTCATCGTCGACGAGGTCGACGACACCCGCACCACCCTCGAGTACGCCGTCAAGGAGCTGGAGAAGGACGTCGAGGCCGCCAGGCAGAAGCTGGGGCTCGAGGGCGAGCACGCCAAGACCGAGTTTAGCATCTTTGTGCTGCACGTGAGTCGCCAACATCTCCTCCCCACCCGAGCGCGTTTACTGTGTCTCGCAGGCAAGGGCTAACGGGGGAGCCTTTTGGTTCGGGTAATCACAGAACAAGGACAAGCAAAAGAAGGGAACCCTCCCCACCGACATGATCCGGGGCGGCCGCTACCTGGCCGCGCGCACCGTCGGCGACGAGTGGATCTGCTACCCCTGGGAGGCCGAGGACATCGAGGAGCACGACGAGCTTGCTAGGCAGATGAAGGCGAAGCAGGCCAACGGGTCCTCGTGAGGACAAGGCCCGCTGACCGAGCGAGCGAGCGATGAGCGACTGAGCGGTCGAGACGGCGCAGACGTACGTTGGCGGCTGGGGCCATATATGCGGCCTGCCAGCCGGCACCCACCAACCCGGCTGCGAGACGCGCGCATATTTGTTTTACGTCTATCTTGGAAATAGATGGGCGCCTATTCTCCTGAAAACCCCCAGTCATTCCCGAGGCGCTACCAAGCGTTTGAGGCAGGCGTGGTTCAACTTTTCTACCAAATATTGGCTAGCATACATAAGAGGAAGGCAGTCTGCTTGAGCAACTGAATGGGCTTTTGAACGCAGCAAGGCGATAGTCCATCATGGGACCTGGGACGGGTTGCATAGCGATGTGGGATTGGGTAACCGCAAGGGGTGAAAACAAGACAGAGCTGAAGAGGCGACTCACGGGTCGCACTGCTGACCTAGAATCAAATGACAAGAGAGTTAAAGAAACATTTTCTGAACTTTGCCCCCCCCCCCCCAGAATTATGTGGTCATATTCAGTCCAGCGTGATGTTGCGTACTTTTCTGACAGCAGGGCGAAAGCCATAGCGTCTTCGAGCTGAACTTGGTTCCGCATCGGGTGAATCGCACCGCTCTCAGGTTGACCCCAAGCGCCGGTGCTGGTATACAGTACCGAAACTTGGACGCGGTTGTTTTATCTCCACAGTACCTAGGTAGTACAGCACTATCAGGTCTCCCATTGGGCCCCCAGTGTATTGTGCTCCGGAGGCTATTTCCAGGTTGACTTTGCTGCGGTGGGCGGCCTACAGTGCGGCGCGTCGAGTGGGTATCATGTCGGCATGTCTCCATTGGCAGCATTGGAGTGTTGCATTGTTAAAGTACAAACAGCACGTTTGACTGAGAGTGATTAGTTCGGTTATTCGTTCTGTGAAGTAAATATCAGGTCCCATAATGACCTCGGTAGTCACAAACAGACACGAATGACTTCAGCAAAAGTACGAAGAAAAAGCACACAGCAACAGAAGAGCACCATTGAGAGGTTTCTCGTTCTTGATTCTGCAAAGGAAATAAACCAATCCACGAAATCATCCACAAAACAGACACGCCCGATCGCAACCGAAATACTGCCTCAGAATCGTTGGACGGGCGGAAGGCAACTGTGAAACCCCAGGCCCTTCACCACCACGACGAGTCTGACTGAGAGGCTTTCTCGGGCGTGATGAATCATTTTCCAATCCGCAAGCAGTCCATCCAAACTCTCAGCTAGCTTCTTACCACTTAGTGGCATCGCAATTGGAGGATGAACCGATCGTTTCGCAAATTTCCAACTCGGGCTAGACATTGGTCATCGACACCAGATGCTCCAGTGAAATTCCAGAACTTTTCATCGCAATTCAAAACCAAACGCCTCTTTCTTCAAATTTTCGATGAGCGGCGGACGCCGGTCCTGACGAGACGGTCTAGTGAAATCCCAGGAGGATTGGCGAACGCGACCTCGCTCGTTTCCAATGTGGGGCATTCGCCGGCTTCTCCCATCTGTAGGATGGCAGGTGATGGAAGAAAGTGACCTTGCGCTTGCCCGACTCACTGGCGAGCTTCTGTGATGTGTCCAAGGGAGTGTCGCCGGGTGCTGATTTCTTCAAAATGGGTTTCAAGGGCGGGAGGGGGGTGAAGGTAAGCTCGCGGGTGCCGAACCAGAACAGATTGTGGGTCTCCTAGTCCACATCATCGTAGTCGTCGTCATCCTCGTCGCTGTCTTCTTCTCCCTCCGACGAGTCATCGATGTCCATTGCATCCGAATCGTACCCGTCGTCTCCATACTGGTCGTTATCAAAGGACTCACGGTCAAGCTGGCTCTGGTCATCCTGGCTCAGGTCATCCTCGTCATCGTCATAATACTCAGGGTCTTGTTCGCTGCCGCTTTCTCCCTGCTCAGACTCCGCAGAATAGCCCTCTGTCTGATGATGGGTCCCGTCCTCTGACGCGAGGTGGCGATCAGAAACACCATCCACATACCTCTCAGCATCCTGCTCGAAAAACCCCATCTTGAGTTCTTTGATGAAAATTCCGGGCAAACAAGGGTCAAAATCACGATCAGAGGCCTCCCAGATTTTAGCGCTGGCCTGAAGGTAATACCCCATAAAGGCCTTCCAGGCGCACGCTTGGTGGCTTCTGTAAGTGAAGACACGCTTCCTGGATCTCATGCACCATACTTTTTCATTGATGTCGCCCCAAGTGGTAGCCCGCGGAATATATGGATCGTTTTCAAACGCCGCAGGGATAAGCTGATCTAGGACACATCGAGCGGTCAATTCTCCGATCGGACGGCAGTCCTTGAAGTCGAGCATGTACAATCGCTTTCCAACTCCAGTTGGAGACGAGCCCAAGAGGAATTTTACTCCCCTACCATCCAGGCGAGCTCCCCAGTGGAGTAAGGCGTAGCCGAATGCGATCTCTCGCGCAAAGGCTTTCAGCGCGTGTTTCGCTTCAATCCCTTCGCGGGCGTTGATGATATGGTCGAGGTATCCGGAGAGATTCACATTGTCGAAGATGGTAATCGCGGCCTCCTCCGTGGCATCTTCCATGATGGAGTCCGAGACAGAGTCCCTGGCATAGTCCAACTCGTCGTCGTCGGAGCTCCTACCAAGGTAAATGCGGATGAGGCAATGCTCATTCGCGTCCAAGACATTCTCCACCTCTGTATCTTCGAGGCCGTAGCATCTCTGAAGAATCTCTCTGCGATCGTCATCTTCCAAGTTTCTAATCCGACTCAGTACAATCCCAATATGCTCATTGGAATCGACAGGCATGCGGTTGCCATCTGCGTCGTAAACCCCAGGGATGCGTGGATCGAGGTTCTCGCAAGGTCTGACAAGGCCAGGGAAAACATCTTCCACCCAACCTGTCGGGACAACTTCTTTGACGTTGGGAAAGAGCAACGGTCTGAGCCAGCGTGGCCTTGATTCGTTCCAAATTGAAGGACTCAACTTCTCAGACGCTTTTGTAACACGAAGAATGTTGAGTAGCTCTTGTATGATGACTGCCCGCCGACCGACTAGGACGACGAGCTTGCCGAAGCTCTCTGGAATACCATAAACTTCTGACTCAGTTCCATCCGTAATGAATTTGAGCGGCTTCCTCTTTGCTTTCTTTTCTGCCTCAGCAGCCTGCTCTTGGTGCTGAATGATTTGAGCACTTCTGTTGTTCGCTTGCTGAATTTCAGACCTCAAAGTCTGTAAGATTATGTTATCTTTCTCCATCAATGCGTCGATTGGCTCAGTTGACGATTTGATCGATTGGTCGGCTGATGTCCTGCGTGACCCACGCGCTTCAATTTCCCTGATCCATTTCTCATTGATCTCGTTCTGCTTCCGGTGTAGCGCGAGGATAATGTTGAGATTTCCCAATATCCGACCTGACGGATCACACGGACACGAAGACGTTTGATGAACTGCGCAAATCCTGTAAGCGAAGTAGTCAATTGAGACTGGGATAGTACGGTCATTTTCTCACCTCCACTTGTGCTAGATTTGCTCTGATGAACATGGGCAGTGGAGTCGCGATTGGCTGCCGTAGCCTTTGGAGCGCCGTCGAGGCTTGTTGGATTGCTGTTGAGAATGAAGTCGATCGCCATTCGATTTGGCGTGGGTCGTTGATTGTCGCGTTGGACGTCTGGTATCGCGTGTTTACCGTGATGTGTTGAATCGCTAGGCATGCTAGGACTGGAGACTCCATTAATTGGACTTTGGACAGTAGATACGCTCGCAATGCGGGAGCTGCTTGATGGACCGCGGTTGTCATTGCCTGTGGTGAATGGGTGGACTGTGACATCCAGATTCGCCGCAGAATCGGTCATGGCGTCGCTCGAGCTCATATTGTTGATGCTGAGGCTTGAATGGTTGCCGTCCTTTTGCGGCGAGAGCCTGTGACTCAAGCCAGCCATAGCGACTTGTGTGGTTCGTGAATCAGAGGAATTGAGTCGGGCCTTCGGTCGCGATTGGGAGAGTTGCAAAACCACAAAGCATTAGGACGGGGACGACGAGCGAACGGGCGCAATTCGAACAGAAAGGTTGATTAACTGCTGTTCGTAGGATAAATGCGTCCGAGAAAGTAGTGGTCAGGGGATGAGGAAAGATGTGAAATGGTTATGGGGATAAAAGTTTCAAAGACCAGACGGTGGTGTGGAGGTGACACGGGAGTGAAGGAGAAGGAGGGAACTGCCACGGGAAGGTCGGCGGTGACCTCTCTCGTGTCATTCACTGCGTGCCTGAGAGACGAGGAGTACAGGTACTTGGGCCGGGTTACAGAGGCAGACAGACGGCTGCTTAAAAAACCCAGAAGCGTTGAGGTGAGGGTACCTAAGCACTGGGGTGGGTAGGTGGGCAGAAAAGAGAGGGAAACGGGTAGGGCGTGCCCCCCCCCCCCTTCAGTGCAGACGCCGGGTCGTCCGACCGAGATCGCCTTACCGCTAAAAGAACACCACAGCCTGCGAGACCAACCGAACAAAAGTTGATAGGTAGCTCTGTCCAGAGCCAGAACTGGTCACATGATAGATACCCTATCGCCAGCCGCCAAAGCACACCGTGATGGCTCTCACCTGGCAGCCGATGGGCAGGAGACAGCCCCAAGACTTGCCCGTCTCGCACCACGACCTTGAGATGGTAGATCCTCCAGCCAAAAGAATGCACGGTCACGACAAGACATCCTGCTTTGCTAGCCGTGACTGCCCACTGGATGCTAGACGACTTAGGCCACAGACGACATCACATGCAGCAGCAGCAACCTTCAAAAAGCTGGTGAACATGTTATCGTAGGGGGTTTATCCTCCGCTATCGAGTCACCTGCCGCAAAACCAACATGCTAGACTGGCCATCATCCTTAATGCTTGGGACGGAACCCGACTCGGACCGTCTAGCTTGGACCATTTCGTCGCATCTTGACCGGGCTGCCATGACCCACAGTGCCAGTAACCCGTCACTTGAGCGATTTGCATTGTCTTCGGTCCAAATTGACCATGAGAATGGTGTGCCTGAACACTCCGCTGCCTAACGAATGGGTCGGGTACAGCAGCAGCACTCCAAGATTCAGCGAAGAATCAGCAAAGGACGGAAGGATATGACAGACACGGGACGAAACCCACGAAAAAGGGAAGTAGAAAAGACGGCCGTCCCAGGTATGGGAACTCGATTCAAGCACACAGCAGACCTGACACCAGCCATATACGTGCTAGAAATAGCACATGTAAACTCGCCCTGAAAAACCATCTATTAGCGTGGTATATAATATCAACCCCCTGAAGTACCTTCGCGAGAATGCTTCTCTTTCAATCGTTTCTCCTGCTTCATAAATTCCCTGATGCCAACCGGCACGTTCTTATACAGATCATCGTCCCAAAAGTCCTTAGCAATTTTGGGAGAAGAAGAAGCCGGTGGAGTATCCCAGTTGGTATCCGATCCGGCCCCGTTGTCGTCCATGCTGACAGCAATATGATCTGTCCCAGAAGTCGTCGGTGGCCGCTTCGCCGAATTCGCATCCGCATCCGCACTCACACCCGCACCCGCACCAGTCCCTGCGTCAGCTTCCCTCTCCGCAGCTAGCTTCCTCGTCGCCTCCGCATCCGCAAGCGCCCAGTCCTCCATCTCGTCGCGGTATCGGTCCCAGACGCAGTTGACACACCCGCTCATACAGCAATTATCCGGCTCCTCTGGCTTCGGCGGCACCACGACGCCCGCGATGACCGTGCTCTTCGCGCGCAGCTTCGCTAGCTGCTCTGCGCGCTCGGCCGGGCCGGCCAGGCGCGACCCGAATATCACCTTGGCCTTGTCCTCTGTGCTTGATTGGGTCGGGGGCGGCGTGGGGACGGGCGGCGATGTCCCTATCTACTATGGCCGAAAATCTGGTGAGCCCTGGTGGCACAGACGCTAGGTCACTTGGGTCCAGGTTTTCTTACCGAAGGGGGTGGGGAAGAAGAAGACGGAGAAGAGGCGGAAGAGGTCTTGGCGGCGACTTCCTTGGCTGTCTCCTTGATGTTGGCTGCTGGTGAGGCCTTGGGTGTGGTGCCGGCAGTGGCAGTGGCAGCTGGCTCAGTCTTTGCCTTGGGCTTGCGACCACGCTTGGCTGGCTCCTTGGAGGCCTCCTCCTCCTGGGCGGCCTTGACAGAGCTGGCGGGCTCCTCGGGCTTGACGTCGGGGATGGGCTGGGGCGTGTTGAGGATGGCCTCGTAAAAGCGTCCGATGGGCATCGCCTGCTCGTTGGAGTCCTCCTTTGGCGGCGAGGGGGTTGGGTTCTTGGTGGGGATAGTCGCGTACGTGCGACGGGCTCGACTTGTCGCAACCAGCGACCGCAAAGGCCGGGGGTTGAACAGCATTGTCCTGACGGAGGATGACATGGCTGCTGTGGATCGGGAGCAGCGTGGTAGAAGGACTGTTATGCAAGGAAAGAAATCTATGCGCGCAACGGTGTAGTCTATGTGAAAGGTGCGCAAGACAGGAGAAGAATGGGATGTCGTCAAATCTAGTCTGTCGCAGCCGACGGGGTGAAGTCGGGAGAAGGAGCAGGAAAAAACAGGGGCCAAGCAGTCCCCAGCTCAAAATTCTCGACCGGCACAAAACGTCATGGTGGGACTAAACCGGGAATAGCAATACGGTGCAGTAGGACAGCAGATAGGCGCAGCGTGGTCCCGGTTGAAGAGTGTAGAGGCAAACAGAATCGACAATCATGCGACGGCAGCACTGGCATTATTTAGAATCGGCTCCAGTGGTTGAAGCAGGTATGGTATTGAGGCGCAACTCAATAACACTCTAATAACCTTGTCCACGAGAGAGCCAACATCATGGGTCCTTGAAGTTCTCCCAAAACATGACCAGGCCCAGGGTGGATGCAAGATCTATTGGCCCGAGCTCTGCAGATTGTGGGGGCCCATCCTGACCCCAAAGTAAACAGTAACCCAGTTGGGGAATTCCTATCCTGAAAGCTCCCGAAAACACGCGCCGAGCACCCTCAACAGCTGCGACATCTCCCATTGACACGCGTCGCAGCCGTTCAAGCGCGTCAAAGCCCTGCTATAATGTTCCTGAAGATCTCATGTCTAGCATAATTGTCCAGTGATGGAGTCATCGGCGCCCAAGAGGCGCAAGACATCTCCAACATCTTCTGTCCCCGTCGAGTCCACCACCCCGCCAGATCCTCCACCACATCAGCAGCCACCAGAACTGCAACCAACAACAGAATCCCCCACGAGGTCAAGCGGACCCAGGCACCAGATCGCGTCGAGCCGAGCCGAGGATCTACCTGCATCACAACCAGACTCCCCCGATGACGACGCCGCCGACGTCTCGAACGCCCTCACGGCACAGCTCGAGCACCATTCCGAAGGAGACGGCACCGCGTCGTCTCCAACCTCCCGGCCACAAGATGCAGCTACAACGGCTTACAGCGCGCCATCCGACGCCGGCACGAGTCAAGAGAGGTCGGGGTCGCGATCACCAGTGAGGAGGGCGGGCGGCGCGACCCTCGGCGCACAACCAGCCCGGCGCTCGCCCAGTCGGCCGCAACCAAGACCGCTACCACCTCCCGCGCCCGAGAACGAGGAAGACCTGTTCAACCCCTTCATTGGGCGGGCTCTTCAACGCTCGCCGCTCAACACAGGCGTGCTGCCTGTCGCTGTCCCCCAAGAGCCCGAACTGCCCCCCACGCCCCACCATCTCGATCCCGTGGTTAGCACTCCACCGTCGGGGATCCATCATACGCCGTCCAAGAGACGTCGCCAGGGAAATGCTGGGCGTCTTGCGCGACAGGAATCACCGTCCAAAGGGGCTTCACAAGACAATCATGGCCTACCGCAGAAAGAGTCACAGAAACCCAGGGTGTTTCGCGTCGCTAGACGCGGGAGTCCGGTACGAATCGTCGAACAGGAGTTGCCCACGGCACAGGAATCCAGAGAACAGGATGAGAAGCCGACGAGCGAGTTTGCGCCGGGAACACATCCGCGTCGGAGCATAAGACTTAACCCGCTCGCGGAAAAGCAGAGACAGCGCGATGCATTGTTGCGCGAGGTGGCGCAACTAGAGGCAGATCTTGAACTAGCTACCAGGGAAAATCAAGCCGCAGCCCAGGGTGTGTCTTCACTCGCGGACAGCAGTGACGTCTTGGATCTCTTTCGCCGTCACCTTCTCCCAGCCCAGATGGACGAGGAGCCCGACTCAACTACAAAATGGCTGGAGACAGCGATGAATCCCATAGCGATGTTAGGATTCAACGGGTCCTCGTCGGCTTTTCTCCCACCACCTATACCACAACAGGAGGAAGAACCGGAGCGACCTCCCACCTCGCACCATCCAATCCCAATGTCCGCCGCAGAAGAACTTCCCTATCTGCAAGTCTTTACGCCCCTAACCTTCACCTCGAAGTCCACCACCATCTCCGCCCCCTCTGACCATGGAGAGCCCATGCTGAAAAAGCTCTCAATCCGCATCGGATCTGCCACACCGCCCGACCTTTTCGTCGCCGGAATGGAAATGACAGTCAACACCCGCACCCTTGCAGTGTCGTCCCTCGCCGTGCCCAAGCTCGACCCGGCCGCTAGAAGGGAACTTCAGCCGTTCATCGACAACATCACCAGTAGCTGGAAGCCACCACACAGCGCGCTTACACGGAACATCAGCGTCCTTGCGTGGGCTATGAGCGAGTGGTACCGCGTCGCGCTAAAGAGGGCCAAGTTCTGGCACTCGCTGGAGAAACAGCTCGGGCCGGAGGGCAAAGATGGTCTTTCTGACGTTGTGAGGGTCATGAGGACGAGGAAGAGGCGGAAGAGGCGAGCGCGGGGAGAAGTGGACGACGTCGGTGGCAGTTTTGAGTCCGCCGACTCGGCGGGCGGGTCCCTTGATGGCATGCTGCTTTCAAAGGCGGACCTGCTGCCGCACATGGGCAGGTCAACCATGGACCTGAGCATTCCCTGTCTCGCTGATGAGGGAGTCAGGACGTCGTCGGAGTTGCGTGTCAGCTGGGGCATCGAATTTGACTGGACTGGCGAGGCGAGGAGCAAGCTTGGTGTGGAGGTCGGCGTTCCGGGAAAGTGTAAGTGCCCCTATTCTCCTCAATGCAGCACCTGAACTCACATGTACTTCTCGACAGGGCAAGCGTCTGATGATCGCAAAAGTATTACTGGGATACCCACGTTGTTTGACAGGCTCGTACAAGGCGGCGAGGACCCGCTGACGGGCGTCAAGACGGTAGTTGCTCTGCTGGCGGGCGAGCCAGCGTCTTGAAATTGAGGTATCTGCTATAGTTGTGCAGTATGACGGCAGTTTTTAGTCCATGGTGTTCGAAGGCCATATGTAAACCCGACGTTGGGTCTCTAAGGTTGAACGTGGACCAGCGAACGATCGTGTGGCACATCCCATGGGATCAAGTCGCTTCAAGAAGCTAGTTCGAGATTCGCAGCGCAAGAACGCGCGCGCGTCTCGTAAGATTATTACTTTGTATCTTGGAAGGTATAGCCAGACATGTGACGTCCGTCCAAAGGTATTTTGCCCCAGCATCAGCGATGTTTAATATGCACTTGCGACCGAGGAGCACATCTGAATCTCTCGGTGTGTGCGAGCCCAGACGCCAGAAAGGACTGCGTCTTCCCTGCCTCGTATATCGCTACTCCAAGTTGCTCCTATTCCCAGGGCCATACCACAGCTCCACAGCTCGGAAGTAGGTGTCGCGTGCGATGTGATCTCTCCACGTTGCATCCTCCTTTTTGTCCTTGTCCCCCTTAATCCACGGTGACGCCCAGCTTCCGCAGCTCCACCTTGGCGACCTCTATTTCGCTCATCAGCTCGTCGTGCGCCTCGGGGACGTCGTTGAAGGTCAGGACACCCCAGCCGAGGCGGACGAGCAGGTAGGCGCCGAGGGAGACGAGGGCCCAGAAGGGCAGGATGGGCACGATCTCGGACTGGACGACGGCGGGGAGGGGGATCAGGTTGAGGTAGAGGGCTAGGTAGGCCTGTTGTTTTTGTATTAGTCTCTCTTGCCAGCAACACATGTCTTGGCTATGGCCTGGTGGTGGTCCCTGGTCCATATGTGTGTCCGGGTGGGCTACCGAGGCGGTGGGCGAAGACGTACCGAGCTCACAAGGAGGGCGATGGAGATGGTCTGCTGGGCGCGCGTCATCTTGTTCGTCGATGTGTGGTGGCTGCTTGAAAGGAGGAATTATTGGTCGATTGGGCGCGTGGTTTGGGATTGAATGGTTGCCTCTGGAAAGGAAAAGTGGGCTTTGGAAAGGAGCGACGCGAATGGAGGAGTGGTTGTCAATGGGCGAGGGCGGTGATATGCGCTGGCTAGGGACGAACTTCAGGCGAATGTCGTTTTGAGGACACGATCAGCTGCTGCATGGTCGCCCGCCGGCCAAAGGTGGGGCATGGGGGAACCCCCTGTCCGGTGCTTGGGGGTCTTTGGAGGCTGAGGTAAGCACCCTAACGTCGTCCATCTTCAGTTGCGATCGATAGCAACATACACAGTATCAAGCTGAACTTCACCCTTAAGAACAGATGTGTGTTCACGTGTTATGTTAACCGAGAAACTGCTTCTCTTCAACGCTAGCAATCATTGCATGTATGCATTTTTTTCGAAGCAAATGTAGCCATCGAAGAGTATTCTCTGCTGATCCATCCTGGTGTCCACCTTCAAATGTTGCCCTCGTACACTGCCAATGCTCAGACACTGCCACTCTGCTTTGCCACCATCGTCCTCCATCACAGGCCACTCTTGGTTGCTGCAATCTTGCGAGATCATTTGCACAAATCTCATCTCCCGTCCTGCCACGCATCTCAGCCACCTCTCCTGCTATCAATGTTCCAGTCCTTTCCCCAGGGGCCCAGCTTGGCCTCAAACGGCTGATCCCGGCGACGCGCCTTGACCTCATCCAGGAGCTCATCCAGCCTCCTCTGTAGGTCCACGTTCTCCCTGAGACACTGCTCCTTCTCTGCCTGGAGGCGCTTCACCTTTCCACTCAGAGTCTGGTTCTCAAAATTCAATGCCGTTAGGCGAAAATTCTCCCCGGCACGATAGGGAATGTAGCCACTTGTCGCCCGTGAGGCAGACGCAGCCTGGCTCTTCGCCTGAGCAACAGCCTCCAGCGCGGCTCGCGCATCTTCGATGAGCCTGACCAGTGCCAGGCGAAGGCTCTCTTCGAACGCTGCATCCTTCCCCAGACTGTCTGCACCATCAGCCTCTGGGGCCTGCTTGCTCGCCTCGTCCCGCGCGCGGCCAATCCTTGCGGCCTCGCGGTCCAAGATGTTGGACTCCGCCGTTCCGATGTTCTTGTCTTTGGCCCGCGCCTTCAGGTCTTCCTGGAATTCCTCCAGGGCAGCGTCCACCTCGTTCTTCGTCTGATTCCTGTGCGTGGTCTTTAGTGTGTTGAGGAGCGAGAGGACCTCGTCGTGGGCGTCGTGTAGGCTCAGGAGCCCGGGGGTGCCGCCGAGCTGGCTGCTCCGCAGGCGCGCAGGACTGGGACTGGGTGGGTTTTCAGTCGTCCTCGTGGTGGCAATGTTGATGCTTGAGCGTCTCATGGGTTTTCCTGTGCCCAGGAATGGATCATCCCCGGTTTCCTTGTTGGTACTGCGTCTCTTCTTCTTCATCGCGCCCGAGGCCTTTGAATGGTGGATTGCTGTTGCAGGAGTGGCTTCCACGTCTTTGGCCAGCTTCGGACGAGCCGTTGAATGACTGGGGAGGCTATCAGCCTGCCCGTTGCGTGGATTGCGTGGTCTGTCGAAAGAGCCTCGAGGAGTATCGCCAGGCCGGAACGCTGTGAAACTCGAATTGGGGACGTTTCGGGACGGGAGGGTGGAATCGAGCTCATACGATCTGGTCTGTGGTTTGAAGGCCGGCTGAGACTCGGCATCCGGCTGCTCGAAGTCACAGTAGTCTGCCATCACCACAGGTGACAACGGCGTGTCGGGGCTCACTGTCAGGGTTGAAGAATCGTCCCAACGGGTATCGAACGAAGGCCCTGTTGGTGTGGATGGCCGTGTTGGTCCTCCATCTCGAGTCATCTCTACGTATCGAGAATCCATTTTGACAGCTTCACTATGATCTCTTGGGCCGGATGTCAGGTGTGAAGATTGTTACCGGGGGTCCAAGTGAGTCAGAGAGCGAGATGGTATTGGACCTGTTCCTTTCGCACGGGACAGCAGTCATTTAAAAGGCGGACGGTCGCTCGGGATTTGAAAGCCTGGCATGCTTCGAACCTGTTTCTGAGGTCAACTCCCATCACAAGATGTAAGTGAGACAAGTGTTGCTAGAGCTTTGCTGATGAATTAATCACAGACAGACATTGTTCAAAGTCGCATGTGCAGGCCTGATCAAACTGTGTCATAGTCTCGTGGGCTCTGTGTAAGACTTCCACACGTAGGCAAATTGAAACGCAAAAGGCCGTCGTTGATTATCCCTCTTTGTGGACCGACATCACAATTCTTCCGACTCCTTTGGTTCAAGCTGAAGCACCATTCACGCTCAAGGCACAAAGCTTTCTTCCTTCCCAAGAAAGCATGCAAGTCCCATTTTAATGTCTCGACCTCTCTGAGTCACTGCTACCGTGCCTTGGTGATTTTTGGACCCGTATCATCTTGACCGAAATTGCCTCCTCCCCACGGCTTGTGTCGACTTTCTTTCGACCTCTCCTGCACTCACTCAACAAGGCCAAAATGACCCACGCCCCACCAGTGATGGCTGCGACAATCGTGTATGCCAGCTTCAGCGTCTCACTGGCGCCGGCCAGCCTCAGGCCCAGCCCGCCATTGACAATGCCCAGGACAATGGCAATCCTGCCGTCCCAGAGGTGAAGGTGGGAGGCCACCTTGCGCCTCTGGTACCGCTTGAACTGGCGGTGGTGAATGTAGCCCAAAAGAGGCTGAATCAGGAGCATGGCGAAGACCACGATGCCAATGATGGGGTGGGCATTGGCTGGCGAGCTCGACAGCTGTTTCAACGTCCTGTGTCAGCCTGAATCCTCCCAACACACGACCGCGTTTTACCATAAAAGGCAGCCAAAACAAAGGCCCCAAGGCAAGCACTCACCAGGCTCTGGCCTGCTCCCGATGGCAACATCCGCAGCAGCACGACCCCCAAGGCGAACCCGGCAATGTAGAGCAGCCAGGCGAGGATCTGGACGACGAAGTGGATCCACACGGACAGCCGGCCCGGGATGATGCGCAGGAGGATTGCCCCGAGCGGGAACAGGATCACGAAGGCGGCGGTCGCTACGATACCGTGGGCGGATCGGCGCCGCATGGCCGTGTTGTAGTCGAAGCCCGCCCCGTATCCAAACCCAAAGCTGCCGTCGCCGTCGCCATCGCCATCGCTGCTGCTACTGCTGCCGCCGTAGCCAGAGTACCCGCTGCCGGAATTTCCACCGTTCCAACCGCCGCCTCCCCAGCCGCCAAACTGGGCGAGAGCTGGATGGGCGAGCGTGGCTGGTGGGCTCGTTGTTAGTTTGCGACTCCTGGTGCGGGTTGTTATTGTTCAAGAGGAGCCGGGCTCACCTATCGCCAACACGGTCTGTGTTACACTATTCATTATCTATATTGCTTTTATGAAGCTCCAGTAGAACACGTAGTACAAGCAGTAAATAATACTCCAGTTGCAGAAAAGTAATCAAGAGATCCAAATCTGTCAAGAAAACGGGCGCGAGAGGGACGACTAAGTCATATCAATCCGATCAGTTTTAAACTTGCGTAACCAGCCCATCGCCCGACAGAGCACGCATGCCCATGCAGCCAGTCGCCCAGGTTTGAACGCCCCTTGCGTACCACCGGCCCGACAGGGTCGACCGGTCGGACAAGCAGTTGGGGATGTTGCGGGCAGCTGAGGCTCCGGGTTGGGCAGGCACGCAGTCTGACGTTCAAAACTCGGAGCCAAACCTAGTAAAGGTAGTCGCACAGACGATGACAAGACAGCTCACCGTCGATCTGCACGGCCTGCTGAGTCTGCAACACTTCTGCCCTACCGCAAGCCACCCCGAGCGCACTACTGCAACCGTCAACGTTTCAGCATCTCAACAAGCGCGAGCAAGCGAGAAATAAGCTGGAGAGGTACGTAGAGACAGACAGACAGGCTTCAGCCAAGACACGGCTTCGGGGACGGGTGCGCTCGCCTCGGGACCGGAGGGGGCTGCGCCGCGCCCGAGATCTTCGGGATGACCACATGCATTGGCGATGACGGGAGCACGGGCTGGCCAAAACGTGGCCCAGCCCGTGCTTGGCGTCGGCGCACGTGCTTGTGCGCTGGCGTTCAGATTGCGTGGCCTGGTGAGACTAGACTATGTGTTGTGGTGGTATAATTGAGTGCCGGTGATAAGCCCTAATGGATTACAATGATGTACTAGTCTTTACCGTCCCGCCTCCTATTGAGTGTTTGCTTAAACCAGCGACTCCTTCCTTCCGGCCCACCGCCTCTTTGTACCTATTGCCTGTGTTCACCCTGATTTGTACAGTACGCCCGAAGCTTAATCCCTTGAAGCTTCCCCGGCATCCCCAGTCGACCGATCATGATACTACACTTTCGTGCAGCCGCAGCAAGCTATAAGCAATGAATATGGTATCTCCGCCAAGGTGTCAGCAAGGCCAGGAAGGCAAAAAGGGGAATTAAAAAAAAAAGCAAATCAAAGTAGCGCATCCAGAATCCGTCCAAGGAGTAGCAGCAGCAGCAGCACTGCCCTCATCCAGTGAAATTGAGCCTCAGCTACTGGCGAACACCACTCAGAAAGGTTGATGGAGCTCAGTCCACGTCGCTGACCTCCTCGTCCACTGGCATTCCCTTCTCGGCCCTCCAGGCAGCCATGTCCGCAACAGGAACACGGCCCCTCAAGAACCTCAGCGTCGCCTCCGTGCCCCTGTCGAGCACATTCCATCTTGGTACCCTGAATCGATTGCCAGTTACTATCAGCTTCTCGAGGCCCCCAGCGCCACCGAGCAGTCCGATCCGCGGGTTCAGGTGTGAGATGTCGTTGTTCGAGGCGTCTACGACCTTGACGCCTCGGATGCTCTCCGGGTCCAGGTCCGCAAGGTGATTGTTCGCGATGAGAAGAACTGCCAGGTTCGGGAAGACATCCCGCAGGAGCTTGCCTCCCTTCTCCCTATCACTGCTGGAAGGTATCGACGCGAGTCGGTTAACGCTGACGTCAAGCTTCTCAAGGCTGGGCGCTTGGAGGCGGTTGACCAGGGGCGCCAGTCCGGTGATGTGGTTTGACGACAGGTTGAGCTCCTTGAGAGAAGGGAGGTCGAGGCCTTCGCCAACGTTGAGGTAGCTTTCACCAACCAGCTGATTGTGAGCCAGCGAAAGTATGGTCAGCGAGTCGACGAAGAAGCTGAGGGACTCTGGCAGCGCAGTGAAAAGATTGTGGTGCAGCTGTACCTCACGGATCACATTGTTCATTGCCACTTTGGAGCAAGCGACAGGATGAAGAGACGACGATTGTGTGTTGGATCTGTCCAGGACGCCCCCAGCCTTCACCGGCCAGACGAGAGCGGAACTCTGCGCGGAACGTGTTCGTATAGGGGAAGTGGGTAAAGACGTCGGCGGTGTCGCAAAATCATCGGTGTCGGTTCTGTTTTCTTCGTCGTGCTCTCCGTGGGTACGGACTGCTTGAGAAGACGACGAATGTGCATCCTCAAACACATTGTCCAAGGGGCTGACTTCGTTGCTGGTCAAAGCCTCCGCAATCGGCCCATTGCCGCCGTCATACTCGTCCGAGTCTGTCGGCGGCGGCGCTATCCGTGCTGAGAGTGCGTCTTTGAGCTCTTCGATGGTGGCCGACACAAACTTCTTGTCTCTGAGGGGGTTCCCGCTCAACCTCAGCAAATTCAAGTTGTCCATATGAGCAATTTCGGCTGGGACAGTTCTGATATCGTTACTCGAGAAGTCGGCACTCCTCAGCTTCTGCAGGCTTGTGAAGCCATCGGGGAACGCTTTGATATTATTCTCATCGGCGGCCAAGTTGATAAGCTCAAACCAGGAGGTGACGTCTGGCAATGCCTGGAGCCGGTTCATCGACACACAAAGCTGGCTCAGTGCCGGCATGGCAAGTACCGTATTCGCCCGAGCAAGACTTGTAAGCTGGTTCGATGAGACATCAAGATTTTGCAAGGCTGGGAGTACCTCCACCCCCTCGTCCAACAGAGTCCCAGTAAGTTTGTTTTTGCGCGCATTCAGCTCCGTCAGGGGCAGTTCCGACAGAATATCGAATGGCAAAGACTCAAAGCTATTTTCGCTGATGTTGAGCACGCGGAGACGGTGCAGCTCAGCAAAACTGGGGGGAAGTGCCTGAAGGCTATTCCCATGCAGGTCGAGGACTTCAAGGTTGATAAGTCGGCCAAAGCATGGTTCGAGAGTGCCCCAGAACAGGTTTCCACCAAGCTTGACATCTCGCAGGGATATGACCTGAGATATGGGCTCAAGGCAATTATTGGCAAGGCGATTGGAGGACTGTTCCACATTAGCAGGATTCCACAGCAAGATGACACGCGATAACATACCAGGTTCAACGACGTCAGCAAGGTAAGGCGTCGCAGCCCAGCAGGCAGTGCGATTAGCACATTCCCATGCAGATCAAGCGTCTCGAGCCCAGCGAAGATGCTGCCTTGAGCATCTTCGTCTTCTGCCAGCTCCTCGGGGTCAATGTCCGGAAACACACTCTCATCTATTATCTCCAGCTCGTTGTCCGCAGCAACGAATCTCGTGAGATCTACGCTCTCTGCCCAACTGCCGTCATACTTGCCAATGGACTCCAAGCTGTACATGTCTAAAACCTCTTTCGGGATCTCTTTCAGGCCCAAGGCCGCAATGTTAAGCCTGCCACTTGACCTGGCAGTTGTGACACGTGACTTGACGATCTTGGAGGTCGAATTGGCATCACGATTGAGATTGAACGGGTCGTCCGACAAGCCAAAGTCGAATGTATCGTCCGTGGGGACCACGGGTGACTCGCCCCAAGCAGCTGCCTGGCCTGGCTCATCTGCTACCGGCGGCTTCTTGGCTGCTACTGAACGCTTAGCCGCTTTGGCCCTGGCAATTTGGTCACGCAGTGCTGCCGACGACTTTTTGAAAGGCGGCGGCGAGTCTCCTCCAACACTTGTTGACTTCGTTGAGGTGGTCGATGCAGCAGACAGGTTCGTGCTTCGATCTGACACGGTTGCTGGAGACTTTAGGGGTGCAGTCTTGGCTTTGCTAGGAACTGAGGATATTGATGCCGGTTTCTTCGCAGCTGGCAGGGCCGGCTTCTTGAAGAGTCCATTCACAGAAGGCCTTTGTTGAATTGTCCGTGTAGACAAAGTTTTGGGCCCATTCAAGGGAGATTCGGGGGCCAGAACTGGCACCTCTGTACTCGGTGTAGTCGAACGAGGCCGTTGTAAGCCTGGTACAGATGCAATCTTTGATCTCGAGCGTTCTCGCAAGCCCGACGTAGAGGGTGTCCGCAAAGTGCCAAGCCCTCGTCCACGCGCCGGCGAACTGTCAAGAGGCGGCACTTGCGGGTTGAAGGGGTTCGACAAGTCTTGAAGAGGGCCAGAACTGGACCCAGGCCTGCTAAGCGAAGGTCGAGGCTTGACCGGGTTTGCGCTGTCGTTTCTGAGGCTCGACCCGGGGCGAGAGTTGCGGCTAGCAGGTCTGGAAGCCGACCTGGACGGTTCCGGCTCGAAGAAGTTCGAATTTGAGGTCCTCCCTCTCAAGGCGGGTGACGAGGGCAACCGTGAGAGAGTCTGTACCGTCCGTTCCGCCAATGACGGCCGTGGTTTCAAGGTCTTGGCCCGTATGGTGTCGTCGCCCGTAATACCGTTATCCTCGTCTATAGGGCTGTTCTGGGAGAATGAGTCACTGGACGCGTAACCATTTGACAAAGTCGAGGTACTAGTGCTCCTTTGCCTGGCCGACGCGGACTGTGACGCAGGGATCCATTGTGCCGACGACTTTCTTCTCAGCCCGGGGCCCGGCAGCTTTGAGGTGTGGGGTTCCCGAGGCGAGTGACCATCCTCAGGCAGCGATGCCATGCGATCTCGAGGTGGAGGGATCCGTGACAGCCCATTGCCATTACCATTTCCATTGCCGGTAGCCTTTGAAGGCTTGGGAAGGGGGCTGAAGGTCGGTAGGCTCGAGGTCGGACGAGGTCTTGGAAGGCCCCGTGAAGAGATTGAGCTCTTGGAGGCTGTGGGCGATGGTTGATTGGTGATATTGCTTATTCCTGAGGCAGAGGCAGGGGGCGCAAGCCGTTCCCTAGAAGCAGCGGGGCGCAAACGGGAGGATACAATCTCGGGTGCGGCAGCCAGGTTGTCTCTTGATTGTGATGGTCGAAGTGCAGTGGGAATGCCCGTGGACCTTGGCATGGGCAGTCGGGAGGTCGGTCGGGGGAGGGCGCTCCTGCCAGCTTGAAGCGTGTTGTCTTCCATAGTCTAGCTAGCACTGCTCAGCCAGTGGGTGGATGCATCACAGGCTTAGCAGGCGGCGAGGGTGGTGGGTGACGGATTCGGGTGGTGAACAACGGGTGAGCAACGGGTGAGCAACGGCGAAGAGTGGCGTTGCGGCGGGAACGGGAGCGGGAGCGGGAGCGCGTCTGCAGGTGTTCGCGGGACAACGTCAGTTCTGAGCTGCTCTGAGCTCTCGGGGTCGTGTAGGTGTTGCTGGCCCGAGTAATGAAAGGAGGACGGTGGTGCAACTTGACTGACCTATCTCATTTCTTTTGATTTGTTTTGCACAGACTGCATCAGAAGAAACACAGCAGAAGCCCAGTAGAAGGCCAGCAGAAGAAAAGAGAGGATCAACTGCAGGTCTGTGAATTAATCTCCGGAGTGCACAGACGATCGGCCGGCTCCTCTTGACCATGCCATCAGCACCAGAGCCAGCACCAGTGCCTACGGCAGCAGGACCCCAGATGCAGCGCCAACGGTTCGGGAGTTACGGGTGAACTCCCAGTAGGCTATCACTTCCATATTGGGGATCAGGCTCAGGCTTGGGCATTCCTTTTATTGCTTCTCATCCTCTTGTACGCCCATCTAAATTCTCGCTCTTCACCCCCAGGCTTGCTTCCACGCGGCTGCTCCAGCCCCCCACGATCCCAGTCAATCAGCCAGTAAAACAAATTAAACTTCGCTGGTGGGGTTGCAGCTGGGTCTGACAAGGGCAATCAGACTGATGAAGGATGGAGCTTCAGACACGTAAATAGGCTACATGCATATGAGGCTCGACGGCATTCGGCAGAGAATAAAATTCTCAGGCCGTGAATAGAGAAGAACTTTAGCCATGCCTTGAACCCAAGTCACCAGAAAAATTGGCCACCAGTCATCACAGTCTAGATGTTACATTGTGCCTGTACAGGAAGACGAATTGGAAAATTGCAGTGCAACCGGCAAGGATGGAGGTTCAACCTGAACACCAGAACAGGAAGGACAGAGCATAGAAGGACCCCCAATTTCGGCAGGCTGTTCCTTGCAGGTGGACGTGCGTCAGGGATTCCCCAACCTGAAAGAGGCAGACCCACGGGCTGTCCCGGCAGCTGTCCCCTGGCCTCTGCCTGGAAAGAACGACTGCAGGGATGTAAGGTGTGAGCAGCCTACTGCAGGTGTGTGTGCCTGCAGTTGCACTTGCGTCTGGCTAATCTATTCTTTACAGTACTCGCCACCTCACTCTACTTCTAGTGCCATTCTGCTCTGCTAGAGCTCAGAAGCCCAGGTGAAGCCCAGGTGAAGCCACTCGCCAGAGAGATAAGACGAACCAGGCAGACTGGACATGGCCTTTGTTTCACCACACCACAACCCACCAACAACGGCACTCACAGGCTCGCCCTAGGCTTAGCCCCACCCACTCTCTCTCATCAACATTCCCAATTGGGATTTCCAGTTCAACGATCTCGCCCTGCCACAATAGGCTCGGACGATCATGGGCATATCTTACACCGAGCTGTCTGCTTGTGAGCCTGTGGCTTCATGAAGCTCTGTGGCTAGTCCTGCCAAGCTCAATGCAAGGCACAATATTCAGCATCGACCTGCCAGGCTAACCAGGAAGATCATCCCATATTCAGGACTCTGACAGCCGATTGCCTTCGAGTGGTGACACACGTTGCATACTTTCTCCTCAAAGTATCATGCCCCATCAGACAAACCTAAAAGCAATAGCGTGCTTCGGCAAAATCTACTCCAACCAATCCGTTTGGAGGAGCGCCCAGCTCTCAAACACCCGGCTCTCTGCGGCGATCACAGCCGAATTCTGCACCAGTGCCCTGACCTATCACAGAATCGTGATGGCCAGCTGAACCTGCTCAAGTGACACAAGATTGCGAGGAAATCGTGTTCAACTAGGAAGTATACATGGTCTTGAGATAGCATATTTGAAGATGTTGAACACCATTTATAGATGAACGAGTCCATATCAGCTATATCAAATTGCATTGATTCCCCGAATATTCTATCAACCATTTCAACAGGAAATACTTGTCAAGAAATCATTTGGTGCAACGTAGTAGTAATAAGAAGGTTTTCAAAGATGCCTTGGAAGCTATGATTATCGTTTTCACTCGCTGATCTGAGTCCGGCCATTTCTCAAGCAAAAGTGCAGAATCTATAAAGTGATACACAATCTCGATGAGACACTGTACAAACAATAATCCCAAGGGCTAAAGCTAACAGACAGATCTTCACTTTCACTCTCGTATTATAAGCTAGTAGGAGTTAGTGCGCTATGTGGTTTGGAAGAGGCAATTGAGGGCTGCATACACATTATCACCAGACAGCCTCTCTTTAAATACTTGTGTACCTGGCAATGAAACCTATTGAGATTGCAATCAAGGACTGGAGTGTCTCTGCAGTATTTTGTTCCGTCAGTATCAGTATTGCCGCTTTATATAAATTTTTATTTGCACTCATGAAACGGATTGGACAAGTTGAAAGTCCACGATATTAGAAAGCTATTCAAAAGCTCTTCGAAATACACAGCATCGGTCGTCTCTCGCAGGATATATTTTCGCTTGTTTGTGTCCTTCCCTTCCAAGCATGAGGTAGAGAGAGACGTTGGGACCACTATAGACGGACCCCTGAGACTTGCGGCAGCACAACGTATTGGAGCATATCATCTGATGAGCAGTACTTTATGTTTGTGAGGCTGGAATAAGAAGTACATTTCCAGGAGCTGAGAGGATTCCAAATGTGGCCCATGTATATCTTTCTTCAGAATTGAGATGAGTGCAGCGACTGTGTTCAAGAGGGCTCATGATATAATATGGGAATGGTTCTGCCGAGGAACACCCAGACGGACTTGGACCGCTCCTCGGGAAATTCCTTGAATGCATGCGGCGGCGAAACTTTCAACCAAGTCTACGATTCAAGCACTTGTTCAACTTTACCATTGCAACCCAACTTGGAGAATGAGAACAGGTTTTTGAGGGACAATTATATAGCCGAACGGAGGCACACGGCGGGGGACTTGCTGTTGATCCACCCAACCTTGGCACTCGTTTGCTCAATGGAGCGTGTGTCTGTTCAAACGATGCCACTGCAGGATCAACTGTTGCACTGCTGGCGCTTGAGCCGGAGATTTGCCTTGTCTTAGTACCTTTGATCATATCTTAGCACAGCTTTTGAAGCCATGAAGACATTGCAGGGTCTTTCTTTACCTAATGGGGCCGCGACTAGTAATGCCGGCAACATCTCATTCGCTCCGTCGTGCCGCATGACCTATCCGCCATCTAGACATGTAAATATTAGCGGACCTGCTGCTTATCTGCCCCGCATCTGTGGCGGCAGGGGTTGATAGCCGGTATAAGTGAGAGGACCAAGAGTATCATGTTGCGCAGAAATACCGACCACTGTCCAAGTCAGTGCCTCGGCAAGAATTTTCCCACATCAAAATCCGTCTAAATCCAAACATCTCGCCTACAGGGACAAGCACCCAGTCGACCATGGCCGACCCAGAAGTCAAGCTTTACAAGCTAGGGGACTTTTCCCTCGCCTCCGGCGTGGTGCTGCCGCAGGCCTTCATCGCCTACAAGACATTCGGGTCCCCCTCCAACCCAGCGATAATATACCCAACATGGTTCTCGGGCCTCATAGCAGATAACGAATGGCTCATCGGCCGTGACAAGGCACTCAACCCGGACAAGTACTTCATCATCATCCCCGCGCTCCTGGGCAACGGCCAGTCGTCCTCCCCGACCAACATGCCGCACCTGCCCCCGGACCTCAGGCCATTCCCGGACGTCACCTTCCGCGACAACGTGACGGCGCAGCACCGGCTGGTGACGGACGGGCTGGGCGTGAGCCACGCCCGCATGGTCCTCGGCTGGAGCATGGGCGCGGGCCAGACGTACCAGTGGCTGACGCAGTTCCCCGGCTTCGTGGACCTGGGCGTCCCCTTCTGCGGCAGCGCCAAGACCAGCCTGCACAACCAGGTGTTCCTCGAGGGCGCCAAGACGGCGCTGCTGGCGGCGAAGGGGGCTGCGTCCGGCGGGATCTGCGCCGGGGAGACGACGGGTGGCGGCGGTGGGTACAGGAACTGGACGGCTGGGGAGCGGGAGACGGGCCTGAAGGCCCTGGGGAGGGTGTATGCTGGCTGGGGGTTCAGCCAGGCGTTTTACCGGGAGAGGGTCTACGAGGAACTTGGGTACAAGGATTTGGAGGACTTCATGGTCAGATTCTGGGAGACATGGGCGTTGTCTAAAGGTGCGTCTTTCCGCGTTCAACACTTGCTGCGCTGGTCAAGTTCCTTACTAACGGCCACTTCCAGATCCGGAGAACTTGCTTGTCATGCTTCACACGTGGCAAGCTGGAGATGCGTCAGCACAAGAACCCTATAACGGCGATTTTGAGCTGGCCATGAAGGGTATCAAGGCAAAGACTCTTGTCCTGCCCGGCAAGACCGACCTGTACTTTCCTCCTGAGGATTCGGAGTATGAAGTACAATGCATGAACGAAGGGGTTGGAAAGCTGATTCCGTTTCCCTCGATATGGGGGCATTGGTGAGAACCTCCTTACCTGTCCTTGCAGCTGACCGATCATAAAGCTTGCTGACATCCATGCAAAGGGCTGGTGGGCCAGGGACGAGCAAGGTAGACTTAGAATGGCTGGACGACAAGCTGAAGACCTTGCTGGCGGACGGGAGTTTCCCGTAGCCGACCAGACAGAGGCAAGGCAGCTGAACCACGGGACCAAGGGTGTTGACATGAAACAAAGTGCATAGCAAGGGGCTGTAGACCAACGGGTGATTTTCAAGTCCTAAAACAACGCCGAGTACGAAGAAAATCGGTACCGAGTGGCCTGCGTTGTGAGCAGTTGGGCGGTGTTGAGAGTCTATAATTCGAAGAGACAGTTGGACACTCCATGACGACACCCTTTGATGCCGAGTTAATTCCAACCGTATCTCCCAAGCACATCGATTACCCCCGAGTCCTCTTGAGCTGGCCTCTCGCGCCTGATCATTCACCATGTTGCGGGGAGAAGGCTGCTGAGGTGGTATCCAATGGAACAACCTCAATTATGCCGCAAAAGGTCAAGCCATAGAATACGAAGGTAGCACTGCATCGTGATTAACCTGTCCCAGTCTGGTAGCGGACGCTCATCACGCCGGCTAATTGAGCGAAGCAACAACCAAAATCGAGCATAACCTATTACAAGTGCACATAGGGATCCCAGTGTTTCATGTTGTTACATGCACTTACCGTGGAATGTAATCGAATGTATCTATCGACTCGGGAACTACGCCTGTTCAAAGTGAGTTGCACTCAATCGGAGCCGCCACTGTCCTCATGGCACTTTGAGTGACCAATCTATCCAAGGCTCGCACTTCTTATTCTGCAGTCTGCGAGGTGATCAATCAATCAGTTGTCAAATTAATCCTGCCCGTTGCTAAGATCCAAGAACTTGGTGCATGTTCATTTCTATGTCCAAACCCTCAGGAGAGGCTGTCACCAGCCACTCTTTTAATAGTTGAAGGCAGTCGCTCGCATTATTGATACGCAGAGACCTGTCACATGCAGAATGCCGGGAGCCTTTCAGGGACGGCGAGAATCGTTTCTCGTCGCCCGGTCAGTATTAAATTACATCATCAACCTCGCCATAGCTCGACAGTGGTGTGGCGGACATCTTGCTCAACAACGATCGAAGCCGAGGTTGCCCGAGATAAATGACACTCCGCCCTGGCTCGGCCCCCTGAACCCGAGTAACCCGAGGGGAATTTGCGGGACAACAGAAATCTTTTAGGCGGGTCGTCTCCTACAGTCGTAGAGAACCCGACGTGGCTCCTTACTTACCTGAAGCCGTGTGCGAAGAATGCGAAGGGACCCCAAACTTCAGAACCAGCTGCCGGGTAAGATTTCTGTCGCCTCACATCATGTCGCAATCCCCCCGGCCAGCAGAAGGAAGCCGGAGAAGGCTACCCAAGTCCAAGACTGGTTGTCGAACCTGTAAGAAGCGAAAGGTCAAAGTGCGGCTTCCTGCCTAAAGCCAAGCGACTGACGGATGAGCTGCTAACGTCGCGCTGGCAGTGCGATGAGGGCCGTCCCGCGTGCCGGAACTGTGTAAAGCATGGCGTTTAGTGTGATTTGATCATTCCGGCACCAAGCAACCCGGGCTTAACAAGTTCTTCAACCCAGATGAGTCTCTGCAACCATGAGTCCTCTGGGGAGTTCACACTCAACGACCTTGAGTTGCTTCATCATTACACAACGTCAGCATGCCTCACCTTTTCCACGGACCCGATGGTTCGCAACTTCTGGCGGGTAAATGTTCCCCAGATAGGATTCACCACGCCGTACGTCCTGAAGGGCTTGCTCTCGCTTTCTGCTCTGCATTTGGCCAAATTCAGGCCGGAACGCAAAGACTTCTACCTTGCCGCGGCTCTCTCTCAGCACAACGCAGCTGTGAGTTTGGTGTCGCGGCTTATCCTGGCAATCACCGCCGAAAATTGCGTGGAGCACTTCTTATTCAGCACCATTACCAACTACTTCGCATTTGGGAAGCCGAGAGAGCCGGATACCTTTCTCCTCACCAGACAGGGCGCGTTGCCCGAATGGTTGACGCTGTTCCGCGGTGTTCGTGCTGTCATGGAGACCGAGATCGATGTCATACGCCGTTCCCCCGTGCGGCTATGTTCGAGACGGGCTTCGCAATGCATGAATACTGGATGTCGCATACATTCGAGAACGAGATTCTGAGAGCGCTCGAGGCGAACATCCGGGATACTTTGAAAGATGAGCCGGAGAAATTGGATGCAATGATGCAAGCAATGGATGATTTGAAGAGGAGCTAAGCAATATTTTATGGAGGTCCCGAATCAAAGCCCCAGACGGACGACGACAAGGTCCGCGGGATCTTTATTTGGCTCTTCAAAATCAGCAACGAGTTTATAGCTCTGGTCGGTGAAGGCCATGGCGAAGCTCTCTGTATCCTTGCATACTTTTGCGTTCTAATGCGACGTCTAGACTTTTTGTGGTGGATGGAAGGTTGGGGCTTACACCTAATCGAGTGCATATACTCTCGGCTCAACGACAGCTACAGGTGTTGGATTAGGTGGCCAATAGAAGAGACAGGCTGGGTTCCAAGTTACAGAAGTACTTGATCCTCTTGAGTCGTGTTGGTTTTATCGCTGACTCCGGTTCCTCCAAGATGAACTGGACAGTCACAGTTTGTTCTCGCCAATGGTCCATTCGGCGGCCCGTCGGAATTGGATGTCCCCGGGCACCTTTGCAAATGCTATAATTGTAAGAGACTACTCATCAGAAATGCGATGGGTCCCAATTTGAAGAAGCCGAAAATAGTTTGAATTCAACGCTACAGCGGACCCGAGTACATGGCACAGAGTAGACGGAAGAAGGTCATTCACCCCGCCGACCTATCAATGCAGGTGCCCTTTCTGTGGCCGGACGTGGTCTGAGACGAACTGCGCACATCATACAAGGGTTTGCCGAGGACGGATAGGTCCAAAGATGGAAGAGTGGATTGATACATAATCAGCCTGCATTTAAATCAGCTCAGTGGTGTTCACGGTTGGGCCACTCAACAAAGTCAGGTTCAGGAACACCGAGACATGGTGATCCAGATACGGGTCGGTACGAGGGTACGACGTAATGTTCGCCATGCCATAGGACGGCATTCAGCCTCTGGGCCCACTTTTATAGTTCTAGTTGGTATCCAACCGAGTCCCGGAGACAATTCGCAATCCTCGCATTCTTCGCATTTTTCGCATTTATTTGTGCGCTGCAGACGATTGGCGGACGTTCATCCCAAATTCTGTCAACTTTGCAGATGGCTAATCTTGTTTACAGCATTCGGAAAAGAAACGACGAACATGTGGCTCGGATTTAGATCGTCCTATATCAGGCCAATCATACGGTCCTTCAGAGGCGCAGATTGCTTGTCAATCCATCTCGAAGTCCGCAGCCATGAATCCATATTTGACCGCGGCACTCTCTTGGGCTCTGTGCGCCTTGCGAGTCTGCGCCACGAATTCTACGTATGCTAATCCGATTCTACCAGGCTTTCACTCGGACCCTAGTTGCATCTTCGTTGAATCCTGGAATCAAACCTTTTTCTGTGCTACGTCTACCTTCCTGGCATTTCCTGGCATACCCATATACGCCAGGCAGGATCTTCAGACATGGACGCTAATAAGCAGTGTGTTCAACCGGCCCTCTCAGCTCCCAGCGCTCGCTACGGAAATCGCACAAACCAGCGGAATATGGGCACCTAATATCCGGTATCGAGGTGACACATTCTACGTGACCACTACGCTTGTCGATGATGCCAAGAACATATCGGATACATCGCGATGGGACAATGTCATATTCACAACTGGCAACCCCTACGACTCCAGTTCATGGTCCGATCCGACTCACTTTAACTTTGATGGCTACGACCCAGGCCTCTTCTGGGACGACAACGGACAAGCCTATGTGGTTGGTTCACACCCTTGGCAGATCCGGCCTGGTATTGACCTGGCACCTTTGAACCTGGAGACTGGTGAGGTCGGCAAGCAAGAAACTGTGTGAAACGGCACAGGTGTTGTTGCCCCCGAAGGACCTCGTGCATTCAAAAAGGATGGGTACTATTACTTGGTGATCGCGGAGGGTGGAACATATTTGGATCACATGGCCACCATTGCTCGGTCCAAGACACTCATGGGTCCCTATGAATCAAACCACGCGAATCCTTTTCTTACCAACGTAAACACAACAGAGTATTTTCAGGCGGTTGGGCATGCAGACTTGTTCCCGGATGCCAATGGTAATTGGTGGGGAGTGGCGTTTGCCATGAGACCTGATTTGGTTAACTTTGCCGTGTCAATGGGTAGGGAGACTGTCCTATACCCCGTCACGTGGACGAGCGAGGGTTGGCCTGTGGCGTCTCAAGTCCGAGGTGTCATGTCTGGATGGTCACTACCAGCGCCGATTGCAAGCCCAATTCCAAACAGTGCACCTGTCTCAGCACCCGATATCGTTGATTTCCCCCCTGGCTCGGCGATCCCAGCGCACTTCATACACCAACGCTTTCCTGACAATGATTCATACGCAGTGTCCCCCAGTGGCCATGAGAATACTCTTCGCCTGATACCGTCCCCCCAAAATCTTACCGGGCAGTCTGGGACTGTACCGCCGAAGGGCCCAATCTTTCTTGCTCGGCGACAAACGGATACGCTGTTTAGCTTCTCAGCAGTTTTTGACTTTCAGCCGAAGGAACTGGGAGAGGAAGCTGGTGTCACATTATATGTTTCTCAAGATGACCACGTCGACCTAGGATTAGGTCCCATATCCAACTCGTCATTGAAGCCATATCTCCGCCTTCACGGTCAGAGCGAGGTCACCAGAATAGGGGAAACCCTCGTTGCTGCCCCCGATGAGTGGAGCCAATAGCCAACACGCATGCAGATCAAGTCAATCAACGGCACTCATTACGCATTTTCAGCTGCTCCCAGCCAGTATCAGTCCCAGGAACAGACCATTGCACACATGTCTGCTGGTTCTTTAAGAACAACGTTCACAGGTGAGGCAAAGACACGGCCTTGTTGAAGTGCCTCGTTACTGACAGAGAGGTAGGTGCACTGGTCGGGGTATATTCTACTGCTAACGGGGGAAATGGAAGCACACCAGTTTACGTGAGTGAATGGACATACTATGGCCAGGGACAATTCCGAAACTAGGTCGTACATATGGTGACTTGGTAATTGTATCGAGTGATTCCAGCTGGTGCGCAACATCCACAGCGTATCGTGCGTTTGTCTTCCTTTAACCCAGCTTGGTCGCCCTACACGCGTCATAAGGCGATCAGAGGGGCGGCAAGTGACTGACCATCTGAAGTCCATGGGGTTTCTGACGCGGCAGATCAATTGTTGGTATGACGATACATTATGTAGGCTGAGATATATCGGAAGAGAAATAGAATTACAAGATCTCCCTCATTCTATCAATTTAACAATTTCTCGAAATGCCCTCTCTGACCTCTCTGTCCAGTCACACTTGACCCAACTTCACTCGACAGCCCTGCTATACTTCGCCCCAATAGACCGCAAGCTTTTCTCTAGATCCTCAGCCGAACCAGTAACATCATAGCCCCAAAGAAAGGGCCTCAAAAAACGATTAATGAAACTATTCATATCAAAATGTTTCATTTGTGTGCCGGAAGAAAAGTTTGTGATGATTTTCAACAGAAACATTGATAACCGTTTTGTATACTCGTCGAGAGAAAGCCTCTCCAACGAGCACTTTCTGAAACCAGCGAAATAAGTGGAGTTCACAAATTCTTTTCTTAGAAAAGCCATCTCGCGGCCATTGGTCAGATCGTGGGTCAGATCGGGTAAAGAGACGAACGCAAGTAGTGCGTCCCGAGGTATAACCTCCCAGCAGACGTATTCGTCGGCGTTCCTAGCCCAGTTCCGGAGTTTCGCTGAAATATTGGCACTTTCACTCAATTTTGAGTTGTCGAGGAATGTGAGCATGTCTTTCACTCGCCAGATATGGACGCCGATGTCTTGGATCACCGAGGTTTCGAACAGAGCCAAGCCAGGGATCTGATCTTCAGGGGCCGTCCTACCGTCCTGACAAATTCTCTGCGCTGTCCAGCGAAAGTTCCACTCAGGGAGACGAACGAAGATAAAAATAAAGCCTCGCCACATTCCTCTCGTTTCAGGTTGATTTGGGTCTTGTTAATGTGATCATTCAGCTCCCCAAAAAGTTCCTTGAGCAAAAGATGCTCGGTTGGACTGCTCATGGGATAGTAAATTTCCGTTTCTGCATCCCATTCTACCCAGCGATGTAGGTCAGACCCAAAGCTATCACAATAGTCGCCTCCATCTATGAATCGGGGGAAGAGTTTTCCATGAACATGAGCTCGGTAAAGGTATCTAGGGTATGGCTGTTTCTTTTCTTTCAAAGTCATGAACTTGAGAACTGGTCACAATCAGTATGGTCCCTTTCAAGAGAACATAAAGCTAAGGAACCTCGTACAATCTTCCCACTTCGCCTTTTTGATGACGGAGCTCAAGCCCTCAATCTCAGCATTAAAGTCGTTGGCCTTTGTAGGACGATCCCTCAGACATGTGAGAAGACCAGTAGGACCAGAAGAAGAGGCTTTAGAAGGAAAATCTTCTGATATTTCCAGCATTGACCGGAGACTGTCGGTAAGGTTCTGTATCTCGGCCCTTGAAACAGGATGGTCGTTGTCGGATGCCCTCGGTGGGACATGGACATGCGCCGTCTGAGGGGTCATCATGGCAAGGTCTCCAAGAGAGGCGACGATTATCTTTGTATGGTAGATGCGACCCAATTGAGGCGTTATGAGACATTCAACGCGAACAAGAAGTGCCACGCAGGAGAGCACGATAAATCTAGGGATAAAATGCAGCGGACGTGGACGCCATTTGAAGAGCGGGGACTTGGCTTGGCGTCCTGTCGCACAGCCAAGGTCTTGCATCACAAGGGCAATTACCAGGAAGGGATCCTTGGCGAAGGGTTACTTAGTTGGAGGCACAGCCTAGCAAGAATGTCTAGATTGCGAAGCTTGCCTGCAGTACACGAGCAGCAGGGGGAAACGCTCAATCACTTGGATTCAGCGTTGTTCAGGGAGTGGTGAGGGCATGCGTGGAACCCTGGATGATGCAGTAGTGCTCTCACTGTATGTCTCAATATAGTCCTGGAGAGGTCATACAATCTGGTGATATATGTCACTCTGCAGCTGTGTATTATAGGATTCATCTTCAATGTAGAGATCAAGGCAATTTCCTATGATTTTAAGGCTGATCTCATCGAAATGAGATTTACAAGCCATCCTCTGCCTACGAAACATTCCTCAAATCGGCCTGGCCGGAAACTGCGTGACATCTAAGTTGACTTCAGGTTTCAAAGGAATACGGCATTGGCAATCCTTTGCTTTGTATGTACATTCTTGTCTTTCAGAGAACAAAGGAAAACAGAATAGTCGAGTTGCCTCTTCAATTTTACTCTGTCCAAGTACGCTCTATTCGCAGCTCTATTAATGATGGTTTCCGCCAAGGACTTCCAGACTCGAACAGAGAGACGCCTATCTTGGGAATCCTTACTGATGACGCGGCCCGGGTGAAAATAATTGTAGGAAAAGGCGACAAGCAGCATCGGAAGAGCGTCCAAACAGTAAAGATAGAACTCCTTGGACATCAACACTCCATCGGAGCCCATTACATACTCTGCCACACGATAGACTGATCGTACCATGATCAAGCCGCTCGAAAGGTACAGGGCATAAATGAGTTGTTGCCAAGGGGAGACAATCATCAAGGCCCCCCTCGTCGGACGGTTCGATATGCGGCGGTGAAAGACCAGGGCGACCATCATGAAAAAGCCAAAGAAGAGGATCTGAATGAAGAGTCCGACGATAATGATGTTTTCTCCAAGCTTGACGTCGTCGGCAGACTTGGCCTGCGTCAACATTCCGCCTCCTGTGTATAAGTACGAATACCCACTCACGCACACACCCCCTCACGCACAACCGTTTCCCACCAAAAAGCCCGATTTCAGGGGGTGCGTATTGGAGATTCGAATACGCCGTTTTGCTTTGTGCATAATACGTTGTCCCCCCCCCCCCCCCACACCCAAAGGGCCTCCTGATTCCCCCACCCAAAGGGCCTCCTGATTCCACCTGCACCTGCACCTGCACCTCAGCCTCAGCCTCAATCTCAACATCAGCCTCAACCTCAGCAGACTCGCCTCGACAGACCAACTCAATATGGACAGAATGAAATAAACGGGTGGACAGTGTCACGAGCTTTCTGACAAGTTCCTACTTCGACGATTACCATATGAAGAGAGTCCATGTTGCCCGGCTTTTGTTGGTCGCGCTCCTGATTATTCTCTCAGGCACGCGCATTGCCATGTGTAGAGTTGAGTGAAGACGATCATCGAAAGTGGTGGTGCAGCTATGCGCTATTTGCTTTGCAGACAAGAGTCTCACGAGATTAAGGCTAGTGGTGTTGTTATATTTATTCTTTTTCAATGTCAGTCTTGTCTATTGTATACCCACAACTCTGCTGCCAGCCTGCCAGCCTTCTCGTCTGAACTAGCCAGCGCCACTGATGCCACTGATCGACCGCGGCGGCGAGATAACGGCTGTTTTGCAGGCAAGCGTCAGGATAGCGCCAGGTCGCGACATGTCCTGTTATTACCCAATGGAGAAGGTCGAAAGGATGAACTCAGGGGCCAGGGCAAGCTTGTCTGAAAAGCACTTCGGAGCAGCTACGCAAGGTGAGAATGGATTGGCGCTTGCTTGCCCAGTGCCGCGCCTCGCCACCACCCGCACCCCCCACAGGGCCAATCGCCCACCCCCGATGCGTTTCCCCGGAAAGCTTGTTCCTGTTTGACACAAATGACCCCGCACCGTGCAACGTCGGTACCTAAGGCGGAAGGAGGACAGTGAAAAGAATCATCAGCTACTGGGGTGACGTCCCCTCTCTCGAAGATCCCTGCCAAGACTGGGAACACAGCTCCAGTGGGCATCTCGCGATCTCCCCGGGCACAAGCGTGCGTGAGGGCGTAAGGTGTGCCTTATTAAAAAGGCGTGTAGGTCTCAGCCGCTGGGGCTCTTTTGTTGCCAAGTCCTTCTTGTCTCCATTCGGCGAACACCAAAAAAAAACAGCGCCAAGAGCTCGCCTAGCTATCGACAATCATATCTCACTACATTGATCAAATACATACAGCCGATTGACTGTCTTGCCAATTACCCCAAAATGAAGCCCCTCAGCTACCTCCTACCCCTCCTCCTCGCCCCGTCAGCCGCCGTCGCAGTCCAGGCAAAAGCCGTCTCGGAGCCACTGACGACCGACTCGCTCTCCCTGACCGTGAGCAACACCAACCCTGGCGGCCCGATCCTGACCTTCACGTCCACCTCCGTCACGGACACCTCCACCGCCACCGAAACCGCGTCGACGACGACAGACAGCAGTCTCAGCTCCGAGTCGACGACCACCTCGGCGCTGCACCCCAGCGAGCCGACGGGCGTCTCGGGCGGCGCTGGCACCGCCACCGGTACCGGCACGGGGGCGTCGGCCTCGGCGACTACGACCGCGTCGGAGGGTGCGGCTTTCGGGGACGGTGGCTCTTCCAGGGTTGCGCTGGTTGTTGCGCTGGGGGCCGGCCTGCTTGGGTGGGTCGCGTTTTGAAAGGGTTGTGGATAGCTGTACGGAGAATACGGAGAATTCAGTTTGCTGCCGGTTGTTTGTCTTTTGCCCCTCGTCATCCAGCTTGCGTCTTCGATAACGATACCCCCGTGCGGGTTGGATCACTAGAGCCTAATGAGGAAGTCGTCATCATTCTTCCCAGTCACTGGACGCGTCAGATTGCCCAGGGCCGGATTGTTGTTCTCATGAAAAATATCAATTTCTCATCAATCAAGCTCAATGAGCCCGTCAGGGCTGCCGTGGGATGTGCAGTCTCCTGCCAAATGTGCCCTAACCTCTAGCCTACTGTCAGACGCAAGTCCATCATGGGAGATATCAAACAAGCAAGCCGCGAACGCCAACCCTGTATGTCCGTATCCTTCTTTTGTGGTGACATGACACACATCCATCCTGCCATCAACCCAAAACGCCGAAAGGCCTTCAATCATTCGTCCATCCCCTGCGCAGAAAGAAAGGCTCACAGAACCCAGTATACTCCCACCTAGAGAGCAAGCACAGCAAGCGCGGCAGCGGCGCCCATAGCTCCCATGTTGGCGAGGGGCGAGTCCGTCCGGGCGGCGGCGTTTCCGCTCGCGCTGGTGGCGGTGCTGCCCGCGGCTGCGGTGCCAGTGCCTGTCGTTCCGGTCGCCAGCGCGGAGTTGATGGCGTTGGACGCGGAGGCGAGCTCGGCCGAGTTGGCGGAGCCGACGTCGCTGCACAGATTGCCTGCGACGGATTGGATTTCTGTAGCAGGGGCGAGGGCCAGGTTAGCTTGGTCCATTACAGCTGTAGGTACAATATGCTGTATGTGATATTATACTCCCGAAACCCTGAAGTGGGAAAGGGGGGTTTTCAGGGGCACACGGGCCGGGGGTAACGAGTGGTTTCGGTGGGGCACTTACGACTCTGCTCCTCTGAGGAGCACTGGCTCTGGAGGAGGATGCAGGGGCCGATTGAGGAGATCAGCTGGTCGGACTTAGAGCACAGGCAGGTGAGGTCGGAGGCGCTGCAGCCGATGCTGGTCGCGGTGGAGTCGAGGCAGGTAAGGGCACACTGGGGCACCTGGCTAACGATGCTATTCAGATCGCCGCCGCTGGAGGTCGAGGTCGGTGCGGAGCCGGTGGTGGTGGCCGACTGGGCGGCAGCCGAGGCGATAGAGATCGCGGCGGTGGTGAAGAAGGTTGTGATCTGCATGTTGGGCGAGTGTGCTGTGGTGTTGATCTTCTAGACGATGGTACTGCAATGTGCACAGTGAGGACTGGAAGGCTGTCTGGTGGAGCTGGTTTGGTCGCTGTGGCGTCGCAAGATTGGTCAGGGGCGAGGGTCCAGAGGCGATGTCGAGTGATTCACTGTAGACTGGACCGAGGATGGCACGAAGTTGATGAATGTACGACAGACGGTGACACGAGATAGAGAGAGAAAGGGACTGGAAAAAGGGCAACGCAGATGGGGGGACCAATTGATTGTATTGACTGGATACGCAAGTTGCTGGTTGATTGCTGCTGCTGAGCTCGAGGTGTCTGGCCCCTGCAGTCTAGTCAGCGTGGGATTTGCAAGACCCACATATATGAGATGAAAATGGTGGCGGAGGTCTTTTTGGGAGGGAAGGAGCACACCAGCAAGTGCCTAGAACGTGTCTGCCTTGTCTCGTAAACAGCAAAGAGTCTGGTCCGCTCTGGTCGAGACTGATGATTGCGCATCTGAAATCCAATCTGTGACCTCGGATGCATTGGACTTGGCCCTGGGGGGTTTGGCAGTGCACAGCTCCACCTTCCAAGATTGACCACACGGCAGCGTGCCAGCGCATCAGGAACTGAATACGAACGGATGGATGGATGCATGTGCTACTCGCTGCTCTTTGTGTGGTGTCGCTGAAACTCCCCCGTCATCCAAAGGAGGCCGACTCATTCAGACCTCTTCTCGGCCTCGATCATCCCGTCTCCAGCATCCCGGCTGCAACACCGCCCAGGGAAGCCCCCAAGCCGCCCAGGTGCACAGCCCAGCCAGCCCAGCTGCGGCTGCGCATCATTAGCTGGCAGCTGTTCGTCCTTTGTATGAGACTGTCTTGCCGTACTACCACCATGTTTCGACGGCGGCCCTGGGCGCTGACCCACCCGATCAAGCCGTCCAGATCCAGTCCATCACGGCCCAGCAAAGAGACGACATGGCCGAGTGCCCAGTCTCTTGGACTGGACCGAGACGCGTGTCACACCCTGTGCCTGTCCAATCCTGCGTTGTACAGTCGGACTGCAGTTGTGCACGATCTGCATCTGCACAGATGCAGGACGCATACGACGACAAGACTGGCAGATTGGGAGACTGGGAGAGGTGTGTGACGTCAGCGTCGCGCACACATGTAAAGTACGCTTCCCAATTGGCGCTGTCGGCTCGATCTGCGAGCATGTGCCCCTGGTTGGATTGGGATTGATCTGGATTGGCCGTGTCGTTGGATGCGGCTCTTCGCTTCCCGTCTCGTGGCTTCCAACGCGGACGTCGGCTTTATCACGCCATTGGCCTGCGCCTGGCCTGGCCTGGCCTGCCATTCCTCACTCGGCCCAGGAACACGTTACTTGTTGCGAGGAATCCATTCCTCGCAGTCCGGGTTGGCAGTGCTGGATGCTCTCATCAGTGGCTTTCTTTCGACCGGGCAGACCAAAACGTCAGTGGCGATGTATATGATTCAGTCGCGATCGCGATACCTGAAGGTTGATGACCCCCGGTGGTTTCGGACGAGGCCCCCACTAAAAATCTCGTGGGAACTGCAGCCTGCAGGATGATGCTAGACATGGCCGTCCGAGCCAACGGGCCAGATAGCGGCCTCGCGTCTTTTGGAGGCTCTTGCTCGAGGCGAGGACGACCTCAGTCTTTATCAGTCTCCCTCCCCTGTCGTCTTGGCAGCTTGGCAGCTTGGCACACAGACAGAACGCCATGGACTAGACATCCTGCGTTTTGGACACTGCTACGCCTGGCGGACGCTGCCTCGTTGCGCCGGCGAACACGTCCATCCCTCGAAACCTGTCAGCATAGCATGTTGAGCAACCCGCCGAAGTGTATGGATCGAGACTCAGAAAAGGAGAACTGTGGGCAATGACAACGAGCATCTCAAGCAATTTCAAAGATTTTAAGACTTTTCCCCTGGGGTTCCACCGGCAACTTGCAATCTGCGAAGAAATCAACCCGAAATGGCGAGAAGCTTCACGACAGTCTGACGACTGCTGTCCACAAGGCCCATCTTTCCAGGAATGGGCCCAATCCAGACTCCAGACGCCGCCTGCCTGCCCCACTGCCTCGTGGTTCACCATGCTCAAGACCCTCCCCAAATAAGCTTCTGGCGCTAACAAGCCCTATGCGGCCCCTTCCGGGTCGACTCGGCAGCGGACGGACGGAAGGTCGGCGTCGATCCCGGGCCTCGACGGCCGCCACTTGTCACATCACCGACGTCTCTGTGTTCTCACACTTTCGTCACCGTGGTCAAAGTATCATAGTGAAGCAGTTTGTCGTTCTTGAACCGTCCAAATGAGGGCACAATGTTCGAATGATCACCAAGGCTGCAGAAGAACCTCTCTGGAGCATTCTGAGAGGTGATCAAGGGCCCGCAGGTCCTGCCAAGAATCCCTGCTGCCGTGTGGAAAATCCCTGATCACAGGTGAAGCTCTCAACCCTCCCGTCATAAGCTCCGACCGTGGGCCGATCCTCATCTTTTACAGGCTCCTGCTGTCTCTTCAAGTGGCCAAAGCACAAGAGTAACCAATCATGATGCGTTGTACATATGGTTCATGCTCCAATCTAGGGTTCGTGCATCCCGGGTTCGGCGTGGGAACTCGATGGGCTGAAGGCATTCCCATCCCAGGACCCACTTAAACTGTATGCTCGCGCCGCGAGCTCTCAGTCGAAGCGCGAGCCGCTCTGGTCGTCATGTTTTGGCCTTTGCATTTATATATAAGTGACTTCCCTTATCTGTTAAATGGTTTTGTTTATGTTTTGATATTGTCGTGCATGTTTTAATTCCTTTGGGTCTCTCTTTTCCTTGTATTTCATATTATATACAATAATGGCTTCACCACCTTCAAGTCAAGAATCCCAAATACCACCCCGGTCCTCCAGCCCAACCATGGCAGGCAGTGGCACCGACAGCGAAGATAGTGCTGGCGTGGGCTTTGCACCCATCAAGTCAAACCATAACCGCCGCAGCTCTGGCCTTCGGCGATCCGGTTCCCTGAACCGTCAGCTCACGCGGCAGTCCACCAAGGAGACCCGTCGTGATCCGAATCTCGACCCCGACTCTCTCCCTTACCGTACCCTCTCCCAAGATGCCAACTTCGATGAGTACACTACCGAACACCAATCGGGAGAAATCAAGGGCCCTGTGGTGCGCGAGCCTTCGGGCAAAGACGCAATACAAGCTGGTCACCTTCACTCCAGGTGACCCGGAGAACCCCAAGAACTGGAGCAAAGCATACAAATGGTATTGCACCATGGTTGTCGCCATCACTTGCTTCGTCGTCGCGTTCGCCTCGTCCGTCGTGACGGCCGACCTGATCGGTGTCGAGGAATCATTCGGTGTCAGCGAGGAGGTCGCGCTCCTCACCATCACCCTCTTCGTCATTGGCTTCGGTGTCGGCCCCGTCGTCTTCGCACCCCTTTCGGAGATCTACGGCCGGAGGATCATCTACGGGTCCACCCTGCTCATCGCCGTCGTTTTCATCATCCCCTGCGCCGTGGCCAAGAATATCGGTACGCTGCTCGTCTGCCGCGCCATCGACGGCATCGCCTTCTCCGCGCCCATGACCCTCGTGGGCGGCACGCTGGCCGACCTGTGGAAGAACGAGGAGCGGGGTGTACCCATGGCCGCCTTCTCCGCCGCACCCTTCATCGGCCCTGCTATTGGACCCCTCATCGGTGGTTACCTGTCTGATGCGACGGGCTGGCGCTGGCTGTACTGGATTCAGCTCATCTTCGCCTTCGTGGTGTGGATTCTGATTACCTTCACTGTGCCCGAGACGTATGCGCCGACAATCCTTGCCCGTCGCGCTAAGAAGCTACGCAAGGAGACTGGCAGCAACGAACATGTCACTGAGCAGGATCTCGATGTGAGGCCATTCACGGAGAGATTGGTCATCTTCCTGGTTCGACCTCTGCAGTTGCTCTTTGGAGAGCTGATTGTGTTCCTCATCTCCCTATACATGTCTGTACTGTACGGATTGTTGTACATGTTCTTCGTGGCATTCCCTATCATTTACCAGGAGGGTAAAGGATGGAGCGCAGGCAGCACGGGTCTGATGTTTGTAAGTCTTACCTACTTCCCCACTTATTCATTATTCTATGTCCGTCTCCAGACCACTGACACGGATCCAAATTATAGATCCCACTGGCCCTCGGTGTCATCGCTTCAGCAGCCGGCGCCCCGATCGTGAATAAGCACTACCTGAAGATCTCTCAACGCTTCAACGGCAGCCCTCCAGCCGAGTACCGACTCATCCCGATGATGTGCTCCTGCTGGTTCATCCCCCTGGGCCTGATCATCTTCGCCTGGACGTCATACCCGCGCTTGCACTGGTTCGGCCCTGCCTTCGGCGGCTTCTGGGTCGGGTTCGGCTTCATCTTCCTGTACAACGCCGCCAACAACTACCTCGTCGACTCGTACCAGCACCAGGCGGCGTCCGCCCTCGCGGCCAAGACCTTCATCCGCAGCTTCTGGGGCGCCGCCGTCGTGCTCTTCACGCAGCAGATGTACGCCGGCTGCGGCTACCAGTGGGCCAGCATGATCCTCTTCTTCATGGCCCTGGCCTGCTGCGGCATCCCGTTCCTGTTCTGGAAGTACGGCGCCAGGATTCGCGCCAGGAGCAAGTACGCATACGCTGGCGACGATGACGACAAGACTGCTGCTGGGACTAGTGACGAGGAGAACCAGATCAAGAAGGCAGAGGGTGTCGAGGCTGGCGCGGTGCTCGGGACCACTCGGAACAGTGCGGCGCCGCCTTTGGCCACCGGCCCGGCACCATAGAGGTCTCACACATGAAAATGAGGAAGTAAAAGAGATTTGACATTGGCAGCCCAAAGGGAGTAGAGGGTGTGGGCAAGTGCGGTCCTGGGGAGTGAAGCGACCATGCAAATCATCTCATCGACTGAAGGTTGATACAACAAGCCGATTCTTTCACGTTCAGATGTGGGACGAGGTTCCGCTTCGGACAAATACGGGTCATCCGCACTTCTTTAAGCAGTTGATCTTGCATTTTGATCGGCGTTCTGGAATGGGGTCTTTTTTTATGGAGTTGATGAGGGATGATAGAGACGGCAGCATGATACCAGGTCGACAGAAAGATTTAGAACGTAGACATAGACAGTAATAGAATTCATGTAACCGGATAATCGTTTACGTATTTGACGTGATGCCCAAATGACCGATTACCACGACGATCCCAAAAGAGTGGACGCGGGAAGTGGTCCCTGCTTTAATGTTCCAAGGGAAAGACAGGCTGGAAATACATCCAAACAAAACACACAAGTATTGAACCTCATGTTGAATGAGCTTCCACCATGTTTCATCTCCCCATTGTTGAACCCAACACCACTGTCACTCCTGCCAGACACCGGCAGACGAGTGTGTACCGAAGCACTTAGACGACACTCCCGTCGTCACTGGCTGCTCCGAACCCGTCGACTGTCTTCCTGACACTACCAATGCCGAATCTACGCTTCACAGCCTTCCAACTCTCCACCACACACAAGTAGACCACGATTCCAGCCGCGACAATGCCCCACTCCCAGCCGATGCCCATGTGCTTGAAGACGACTTCATTGATCACAGGCAGGTACACCAGCGGGAACGTCAGCACGAAGCCGGCCACAGCCGCCCAGAAGAGGAACTGGTTGGCCCAGACGGTCTTGAAGACGGACAGCGGGCCGCGGTACTTCTCCGGGTGCATGTCGAACAGGCTGCGGGTGAAGTGCTTGGCCTCCCACGCGGTGACGAGCAGCAGGAACGTGAGGACGGCGTAGGTGGCGGCGCGGGCGCGGAAGACGACGTCGCACGAGCCGTTGTAGCCCGCGTTGCAGCCGTCGCCGAGGGTATACCCGGCCTGAGACACGCCGCCGAACGCGACCGTCGCGAAGACGCCCAGGCAGATGAGGCCCATGGCCGTGCCGTAGACGAACTTGTCGACGATGAGCTCGCGCGTGAACACGCCGACGCGCAGGTCGTGCGGCGCCCGCTGCATCACGTCCGGCTGGGCTTCCTCCAGCCCCAGGCCCAGGGCGAGGAAGGACGAGGTTACGAGGTTGGCCCAGAGGATCTCGATTGGGGAGAGAGGGAAGACGGAGGCGCCTGAGGCGTCGCGGAAGGCGAGGCCTACTAGGAGGAGGATTACTTGGGCGATATTGGATATGAGGAGGTGGAGGAGGAACTGTGTGTGTGCGCATGGTCAGTCAAATGGAGGCGCACGGGGTCTGGGGTGGAACACGTCTGGTCTTACCTTCTGAATATTGTCGAACAGCCTCCGGCCTTCCTCGACCGCCGTGACGATCGAGGCAAAATTGTCGTCAGTCAGCACCATATCAGCCGCCTCCTTGGCGACATCACTCCCATTCATGCCCATGGCTATGCCAACATCAGACTTCTTGAGCGCGGGGGAGTCATTCACACCGTCGCCAGTCATGACGCAGAACGCACGGCGGCGGTGCATGGCCTCGACCATGCGCACCTTTGTCGACGGGCTGCACCTGGCCAGGACCAGCGGCAGCCTGTCCATGGCGTCGACCTGCGCGTTGCTGAGGGCGTCGAACGCGCTCGCCTGCATGATGGCCTGCGGGTCGACCGGCGCGCCGGCCGCCGCGGGGGGCAGGATGCCGACCTCCCTCGCGATCGCGGTCGCCGTCTTGACGTGGTCGCCCGTCAGCATGTGCACCGTGATGCCCGCCCGCTGGCACTTGAGCACCGCGGGGGCGCTCTCCACGCGCGGCGGGTCGTAGAGCCCTACCAGGCCGACGAAGTCGAGCTGCGCCTCGGCCGTCTCGCGCTTCGACAGCTCCGTCGGCGTGGCGGCCCGCTTGGCGACGCAAAGAACGCGGAGGCCCTCGGCGGCCAGAGTGTCTGCCATGGCGGAGATCTCGCGCTGCCTGGCGTCGGTGATCTGGAGAAGTGGCAGGATCGCCTCTACGGCACCCTTGGTGTACGCGGTGAGGAGGCCCTCCTGGTCGCCGGTGTCGTAGACGACTGTCATTCTCTTGCAGGTCGAATCGAACGGGAACTCGGAGACCAGGGTCGTCTTCTCGTCGGACAGCAGATCTGGCTTGCCCATTCCGAAGCGCATGGCCAGCACCTGCAGGGCGATCTCGGTGGGCTCGCCAAGGGCGGTCCACGTCTCTCGCTGCGTGACTGCAGCGTTGTTGCAGAGCGCAACTGTTTCCAGGAGCCCTCTAAGGTTAGCCGCCTCCCGGCCTGTGACTTTCATCTTGGCCGGGGCCAGCTCGTTCCCGTTGTACTGGACAGTGCCGCTGCTCGGGTCGAAGGGATGCGTGGTTTCGCGGACCGAGACCTCGGTGCCATCTGCCAGCCAGACTCGTTTGGCCAGCATCTTGCCCTGCGTCAGCGTGCCCGTCTTGTCGGAACAAATGTTCGTCACGCCGCCCACCGCTTCCAGCGCAGCCAATTTGCGGACAATCACGTTGCCCTTGGCCATGGCCTTGGTGCCGAGCGCGGTGGAGATGGTCAGGACGGCGATCAGGGACTCTGGGATTACAGCTACTGCGACACAGATACCGTAGATGAGGACCTCATCGTCGACGTTGAAACGGCTGACCGAGAAGACAATGATGGCAAGCGTGATGGCGAGGGCGAACAACAGCAAGGCGAACTTGCTCAACGACACCTGGAGGGGGGTGCCGTCGAGCCCGAGGAGCACGCGGATCTTTTCCTTGGTCAGGTGGGTCATTTTCGCGATGCCCTCCTTCCCTTCGGAGCTCTTCTTGGCCTGTCTCAGCAGGCCGGCAATCTTGCCGACCTCCGTAGCCATGCCGACGGCAGTGACGATACCAGTGGCTCGGCCGCGTGTTATTGTGCTTGCCGAGTAGGCCATGTTGACACGGTCCCCGAGAGGCACGTCCTGGTCGGCAAGGACCCTGTCAGCATGCTTGCTGATGGGCAGGGACTCGCCGGTCAGGAGGGCCTCATCGGCAGAGAGATTAATGCTGTCACCTAGGCGGAGGTCTGCCGGGATGACATCGCCCACGTTGAGCAGCACGATGTCCCCGACGACGAGGCCTTCCGCCTTGATGGTTTCTATCTGGCCATCTCGGATGACCTTACAGGTTGGTGCAGAAAGGGCATAGAGCGCCTGGATGGTTTGCTCTGCGCGGTAGTCTTGGATGAATCTGCCGCCATGTTCTGTCAGTCTGCACGGGGACCCGCGTGTTTGTTCTCATTGAGCCAGGTCAAGATGCCATGTGTTGCTCACCCTACGACAATGTTGAGCAAGATGACCGCGCAGATGATCGCCCCTTCAATGTGGTCATTGATGGCGAACGACAGGACTGCCGTGATAACGAGGACGAGGGTCAGGGAGTTGGACACCTGCCTTAGCAGAATCGTCCAAAGCGATATCCCCTTAGCTCCCTCAACCTTGTTCGGGCCATTCTGCTGTAGGCGAGCTGCAGCTTCGGCACCGGTGAGGCCATCGCTGGAGGCAACATGTCAGTTCAACACTGTGGTTATGGAGGCATGCAGCACGCTTGGGCTGTGCCACATGCATGCACGGAAAGTGGGCGTTGCGCTCACTTGATGTCAGTGTTGAGGTATCCACAGATCTGGGCCGCCCCGAAGACGTGGGCGGAATCAGCAGAGAACTCTGAAATCGACGGGGTCTTTGTGCAGACGGTCGACTTGTCCGAATCTGGTTCGGCAGGTTGGATTGATGGAGGCCCCTTGAAGCCACATATAGGGGGCTCAGTTTGCCCCTCGACTGCAGTGTCTTCGTTGCCCATTCACGTGTAGGAGTCTGTCGTCGTCAAGACGTTTTGACCGTACAGCCGGAGGCGGGACTCCTTCTCCCACCCGCGCGAACAACGTGGACGGCCCGGTGCTTTATAGGGCTGGCCCCATTCCGTAGGCATCGCCTTGGGCCACCCGCAAGCGGCACCCCGCTTCTTGCACTTGTCGAGCGGTCTTGAACGGCATGGCGACCCAACGAGAGATCACGCGGGCGGCTTGGCCGACTGGGTTGTTGAGCCTCTTGCGCCTCGCTGGTTGGCGGCGTGTGGCCAGCCAAGATCTCGGCGGGGTTATCAGATGCACGATAGCGCGGGAACCTGGCACGACTGTCGCTTGGGGGCTCTGGGGCCTCCTTGGGACGGGCTTGGACTGCGGCTTGCAATGGTAATTCTTACAATCTCACCCATATTCGGAGGGGGCTGTGCAGTACCCGCCAAGTAGGCCGAGTGCCTTGTCTATTAGACCCGTGGTTGTGCACCTGCCCCAAATGCCTGGAATGCCCGGCTTTCCGTGCCGTGTCCTTCTGTGCCTGTCTCACTTGCCCCAATCATGTGTACGTATATCTAGTTGACTCGTCAGCCTCCCTGTATAAAGATTTATGAATATTATCGCCCTCTATGCTTACTGCACAGTTCTGTGAGCATGGTAAACTCCCGGGTAGTATCCCATACGGTCATAGAACGTTGGCGAGGATCGTCCCCCCTATCTAGCTGTGGATCCGAGTACTTGCATACAACTGTCCTGTTAGCATGACGTCGTCGAAGAAGCAAAATATCCAATCAAGCAAGGGACTCGAGTAAATCATAATCAAAACACATGGTGCCATGATCTAATTGTTGGCCCGTGTCGAGCGGTGCCATCGATGACGGAGCTAAGGGCACACCGGCCAGTCTCGCTGCGCTGTTGACAGCATCACCTTACTAGACAACGTGTCAGTCTACCACCATAGTAGGCCCAATTAGCGATCTCCTTAAATCAGACAGAGCTTGTCGACCCAGCGGCTTCTCTTATCCCGCTCAGTACACTGCCTTCACATTATATCATAAGCAAAACAAAGTATTCTCCTCTCCTCCAACTTCCAATGTCCTCCTTTATGGAATCTTGCAACTAGGTCGTTATTGCTCTGTGGCAATCTAGTCCTCTGATCCTGTGACCCTCGGAGACCCCTGAGTATCGTCTAGCAACGGAATTCGCTGGGCACCTTCGAACCTTTTTTCCCACAATTCAGCTCTCTGATCCTATAATCTTCAATGTCCCGTCAGAAAGTACAGAGTATGAAGTGTCTCTCAAAGGAATTCTTTTAATTGGTGTCAGCTTAATGAGTATTGCGCGGGCGGGCAGCCCATAGTCCATAGAGTTGGGTGACCCAAAGTGTTCGTCGTATAGTTCAGCCAATGTCTGAGACAGAGGTGGTCATCCTTCTACCACAGTCGTGACCTCTTATTTCATTCCCAGGTCCATAGACACTGGTACCTGTTTGGCCAACTTTCGCCTGCGGAAGTTGGACATGGAGAGGGAGTGCGTCTTGGAAACGGTTGGCGGCTGCAATATGTATTCCTCACATTCGAATCTGCTGAACGACAATTTTGGGAACTGCGGTGAATTTGATTCTGGACTTTATGACTTTGACTCATGCCTCAAACCTGGATCAAAAGTGAAGGGATGGTCGATCACAATGGACGTCTGAGAGTATGAGCAGGATGGTGGGGATGCTGAGCTTGATCGGGCTAAGGAAATTCTTGGGAAGGAAGCGTTGTGAATTTCTCCCCCTTCCTTCTCTATACTCATTTCCAGGACTTCAAATCATGAGCCACTTGTTTTCATGCGGACGGAGTTGTCTATTACGTGAACGAAACTGATATCATGCGGTGGGAAGCAAAAGCTAGTACTATGAAGACTTTCCGCAAGCCCGCCCTGACTGTAACTACAATCTTATCTGGTAGAAGATTGATTCAAGTCTTCCCATCAGACCGGCATTGAATATTGCCCTGAACACGAGGTAGCTCTGGCTTTGCGTGGCTGTCTCTCACCCTCAGGTTCTGCTCATACTCCCCCTGCCCTTGCTCTCCTCCTGCTCCTGCTCTCCCCCTGCTCTGGTCTGGGCTTCAACCGGAGAGTAACTTGCATCATTCTTTGTCGAACGGCTCTTTGTATACTCAGAGACAGAAGCTAAAGCTACGGGCTCGTAATCAGTACGTTACAGACTTAGAGAAGATGGATTTCACCATTACTGACTACGCTGATGTTACGCCAATTTTGGACATGCCCCACCTGTTTAAAGCTGACGCAATCCAGAGGACCTAGCTCACCTTGACATGAGTCTGTTGATGGCATGTCAAAAAGGGGTTGCCAGGATGATAGCGAAGATCTAGATCATAGAGAACAGAAAGCTAGAGATGTGGGCCTCGTACTTCGGGACGATATTCCGAGCACTTGGCGTCATGGTCGAGACGATGGACCAGAAGATATCATGAACGTGCCCATGTGTGTCTTGTGTCTAGACGCAGATCAAAACGCCACATCGCGGTGTCTAGACAAAGGAGGCACGGAGCCGATGTTAGGCCATCCGAGTCAAGTGAGCTTCATTTGACTTTTGTCTTGGCTTTCGCCTACTACTAGTAGGTATTTCAGGGGAGGAGAGCTTATCCCGCGCTTGGCATCTCCTCGATGCACCTCACTGCCGGCTTCTGCAACAGCTAGTACCGAAGCATGCAAGACGTGCAGAGCACAGCGCAAAAGCTCAACTGTAGTATGCAACGTCTTACCGAACAGAGCAGTTGTAGATTCACTTTTGGACAGCGAAAGGCAACGGTATGTATTTGAGTTAAAACTCCACCTGTGATCGGTCAGTATTTTTAAAATACGCGCTCCGAGCATTAGCAGTGCCAACACGAGCTAGCGGAGATGCAAGGATAGTCGCCCGACGAGGTGACCTGTCCGGGGTGACCTGTCCGGGGTGACCTGTCCCGATTAGCGAGCATCAAGTATATAAGAGCGGCTGGACACCCAACACGAAGCTCCTTGGCGGTGGAGTTGCTTGGGCGAGGCGGACGTTGCAGGTTTGGTTTACACCGAAGTCAAACAATAGAAATCCGGTACGAATGCTTGGCCACAGAACGTCAATGGCAGGCTACGGATCATCGGTTCCGGCATAGATAGTTTATCCTACAATAATTCTGTAGAAGTTCTTGGCTGTGGGTGGCGCCCCACGTTGTAGTACGCGGATACACCGTAGCGGTCTACATCTGGCTGAATGTATATATAAGATCTTGTCTTCAGCGATTCAGCTCCTCGATATGGGGCAGAAAGACCACCCCAGTTTGAGTCTTCCACTTCAAGGGACGCAAAGACAACATCACCATGGCTCGGTTCCTCATCCTTACGGCAGTCCTCGCACTGATCTCCCTCGTCCACGCTCAATGTGGCTCCGGTACTCCCGATGCTAGAGTAACTGGTTCAGGCAGCTCCTTCACTGCCACCACTGGCAGGGGCTCAAGCACAGTCTACACGGGCTCAGACTACCGTGCCGCAATCCAGGCCGCGGTCGACTCGATCAGCAGCGGAGGGAGGAACATACGTCGTCTTTAGCTCTACTGGGGACCTGTCGCCTTTGAGAAATGTCAACAACAGTGTCTTGTTTGGCTCGAATTTATTCTTTTCTACACTCACAAAGTTGCGTGCTTTCGGCATTCAAGGTCAATAAACAATCGCCATTGCTGATTTGACTTGGGCACTCCATGCCCCCATCGACAGATCTATGTGTGCATGTAATTTGGTAGCAGATTGGACAGGCCTGGCCCCTGATGGCTCGTATTTTCTGATGTCATTATACGATCTCTTCACGCTACCATCACTGAGTCTTGCCAGTCCTTCCCCAACGTCCGTCGTCAAGACTTATGACGTTGCGCCAGTGCAAATGATGCTCGCAACTCCGAACTAGAGCTCGATTATTGATCTGACATGAACCTACCGTGTGTAAACAAAGAACGGGTTCTGGCGATCAGAAGCATCGGCAAATGCCAGCTTGGCACGCAAGTCTTCGCTCTCAACCTCCGAAAGCCCCGCCACCATCTTGGTGTTCTTTCTGTTGAGATGGTTGTTCCAGTGTCTCAGAAGCAGAACGACAAAGCACGTCGCTGACAGGCATGCGATTATGGTGATCTTCCCTGATGTATATGCAGGTGCTTCTGTCGCCCTGAATGCTTGAGTGCCGAGGATATTCTGGGAGTTTCGTTAATACATGGCGGCCGATAGAAACAAAACAAGCATATAGAGTGGGAAACTCACACCAGTGGCCCAAAGCATGAGAGTCAGAACATTTGCCGTAACCTTCTTTGTGTGACCAGCAATGTTCCTGGGCATTGGTTGGTTAGCATTTCAAGTTCCCAATCAGTCTGAACACGGTGGGCGGGCCTTACGAGGCATTCCAAGAGAGCAGGATCGGCAGAGTGCAGTTAGCAGTGACGCCAATAAGTCTTGCGGCAAGCAGCCCTGGCTTATTCAGAGGGACACCGTTTGGGTCAAATCCGATCATGAGACTGGCTGACATTATTGCGGGAAGCGCGCATCCAATGATGAGTCTGTTTCATGATATTAGAAAGATCAATTTGTGCAAAGGAGAATTTGATGAAGTGGGGAGACTTGCGTTGATCGGTCATTAAACTTCGAATAGAGCTCAAAGTTAGCAGTGACGCTGGAGTATGTGCCGGGAGAGACTTCAAAGGGAATGCGAGAGAGAGGGGAAACTGCTTGTTTCCTTTCAATCGCACGTCACCAAGGCTTGATCTCGTCCACAGAAAGGCTCAATTGTGTGGTAATTAATAGCAGCAGTTTTGTGTAGCCATATTTGTGGCAATGGGGCGACATGTGTTCACGTACCTTGTCGGACAGATATCCGTTTAGGAGAACGACACACAAACCGATGGCTCCCATTGGAACTGCGAAGATCAATGCTTGCTGATGAGTATAACCAAAAGATACTGTGAGAATAGTGCCAACTGTGAGAATAAGAGTTAGCACTTGTCGAACAAAAAGTGTTCGTCAGGTGACGAATGTTGATGGACATATTTTCTCTACATTTATAATGGCATAGAGAACACGGACAAGCGCAAAACGTTCACAACGTTCACTTACATGTACTTAGACCTCCACCAGGTATGGCAATGAGAAGCGTGGCGAAGCCGACCAGGAGGACACGGCCATCCTTCAGAGCCTCGACGACCTGCGGCTTCTTGATCTTCGCATTCTGGGTGCCACTTTGGTTGTCCCTGATCCGCAGCAAGACAGCCGCCTTTTCAGCCTCGGTAAAGCGTCTCGCCCTGACTGGAGAATCCGGTAGGAACAGGCATATGATCACGCCGGAACAGATGGTCAGAAGCCCAATGACGAGATAGAAAATCCTCCACACCGCAAACCTGCTCTCGATGAAGGAAACACCGTAGGATACGGAGCCTCCCACCATCATGCTGAAATTGGCCATGACGTGGTGCCATGACACTCTTCGGCCCTGCTCTGCCTTTTTATACCACTGAAATCTCGTGAGTGTGATTTCTAGGGCAAGTATAACAGCAAGTATAGGCAGCGTACCATAGCAACAATGAACACAAGGATTGGTGCGACGCAGGACTCGAATGCGCCCAGCAAGCTGCGGCACACAGCCAACCCAGCAAAAGTATTGCACGCGGCGTGGCAGGCGACAGCAATACCCCACAGGATGATGTTGACCCCTAGGTACAGGCCAAGCCGGGAGATGTGTTGTGCCATCAACTGAGTGGGGAGCTCGAGGGCGAGGTAGCCAGCCCAGAAGAACATGCCTAGATAGGAGTATTGCTGCCCTACTAGGTGGGTGTCCTCGCGGATGCCCATTACCGCGGTGTACTATTAGAATGTAAGGTACTAGACACTTGATTTCGGGCTCTGAAGAGGGGCTTACCTCGAGTGTTGTCTTGTCCAGTGCTTGCAGAAAATACGTGAGTGCCAAGAGGGGTATGATGGTGAAGTCGATCTTGCGGAGGAGTCTCCTATACTTGATGGGGTCATTGAGTATAGCTTGGCCTTCTGCCAATAGTTCCTCGCGCCGGGGATTGTTCTGCAAGAATTCGAAAGCTTCATCTTTGTCACTGAGACTGGTGGTATCTGAAACGATCTCATGTCCAGTGGTTGCTGTGAGCCACTGCTCAAGCCCTTGACTTGTTGCCTTCTCTTCAGCGACTGATGCATGTTTTCCGTTTTGGGCGTCCATCTTTAATATCTTTGGGAATCCACTTCTACAATGCCATGGAATCTTTGCCAGAGCAACAGCAAAATTTCTGACCCAGGCATGTACAACTTGCCGGCATATATACATGCTGGACACCGAGGTACATCCGATTCTATGTGTTGAATCTGTACGACGTCGGCATGCTTAGCTTTGGGCCAAACTCGCCTGCTACCTGACAACCATCAATACAACCTGCGAGTATCTTGGCCCGCATGTCAGCATTCGCGTTGCACAGCTTATATGAGGCGGGGAAGTTGGTTGCGTCAGCACAATCTTTGGTGTCTCGCGCATACAGGATGTTTGGCTACCTGTTAACTGCCATCGCCAGAGGGGTCACACTCGGTTTATTGGTGATCCACATCAGCACTTGAGGCTTCGGCCTTGACGATCCTTCCATATACTGAATTGCCAAGCTTACCAGACTGTCAAACACAGTCAAGGGAGAAAGAAGCGGGCAAGTTCAATGCCCCTGTCTTTGTCCAATAGGCGGATGATGCGGTGTGTAGACGAGACCAGACAGCCGGGTGATTTGGCGGAGCTCAGATGTACCGCCTGAACTCTGCATACACAATGTAACCCTTCTCGTATACCAGTACCTCCATTTGGGTATCTTTCAGGGAAATTCCCCAGTTTCTGAGTTGTCAGCAGTCAGTTCAATCTGATGAATGCGGAAGGTCGGTATTCGTGCCAGACCGCAGACAATTGCCTGCCCACGATAGAGACAACAGGGATGACACGATGGCAGACAACATCATGCGAAGAATATGATTCGAAAAAAATTATCTCCTATGTTCGGACCTGATTCGATCTTTCCGGAAAAATTACATTTTCGGCGGATCTTGTGTCAGTAGTCTGAGGTCCATGAGTTTGGATGTGACTAAAATGAGGAAGCCATGCTGAGGCGTTCATGAAGAAACACCTGTCAAAGATGTGCAGAGCATAACATCACTGGGATGTGTCCAACTAATACCAGGTTTCACGAGTTGTTCAAAAGGGGTATCGATTCTTCCTTTATCATGCCAGGTCCATTCCTTCCGGGCCGAAACGCCAGAATCAAATTATGAACAAGGAAAAGACACCGACCGGCGAATGTCTAAAGGGACCTTATCTACCCGGGCAAACACCGACTACCGTAAACGTCCCGTGCCTCGGTTGCTATCTACATGCAGCCCTATGAACTATCCACCGACGAGACTTTCCTGACTACCAGCCACGGAATTTAAACGCCCTGGGTCATCCACCGCTTGCCACCCCAGCGCAGCTTGCGCACACGGTTGGGGCGAGTGGTGTCGCGCGCCCATAGGTTCTCCGACTCGCCCTGTTGGCAGGTCGTGCCGCCGGGCAGGGCCTTCATCGCGGTCCACGCGCCGGACGCGCACTGCTGGTACTGTGTGCCGATGCAGTTGAACATGCCCTCGGACGTGCAGGGGCCCGACTTGCCGGAGGAGGAGCCGCCGTCCGAGCCGGTCGAGTTGCCGCCCGAGCCCGAGCCGCCGCCCGTGGGGGAGAGGGTCGCGGACGGGGCGGGCTTGGTTGTCGAGGGCGCGGCCGCTGATGTCTCTGCCGAGGTGGACGCAGGCGCGGAAGCAGAAGATGAGTCGGTAGCGGCGGGAGGCGCAGATACGGAAGCGGAGTCGGTCGCAGAGCTGTAGTCGTCCGAGGACGAGGTCGAGGATGCCACCGGGGCGGGCGTCACGGGGCTAACATAGACGGAGCTCGCTCGAGGGGGTGAGGTGCTGGTCACCAGCGTGGTGGGCGAGGCCGCACTACCCGCGGCTCCACCGCCAGTGGTCGCAAAGACGCCGCCTGAGGGAGACCCGGCACCGGCGCTGGAGCTCTGCTGCCCGGCGGCTGAGGAAGGGGTCGCGCTCGCGCTCGCGGCCTGGGTGTTTCCCGTTGCAGCCCCGCCCGAGTTTCCGGCGGTAGCAGTAGGGAGGGAGCCAGCGCCTTCTTTCAGTCCCTTGGGGACGCAACCGCTGCCCGAGATTGATGCAAAAGAAGGGGACGCGCCTAGCTTTTCGACGTTCGTTCCTGGGTCGGGATACTCGGGGTCTGTGCTTGGCGTGGACTTGCAAGAGTTGATGTCGGCGAGGTTGCCTACGAAGAGCTCCGGGTAGGAATCATCTCGGGGGAGCAGGGAGACACCCTCGTTGTCGCGCTTGGCCTTGGCAGCGGTGACGGTGATGGGGGCACAGTTCATGTACTCGGGCTGACCTGCCAGCTTGGAGATCCTACGAGGTAGGTGGTTAGCATTCTGTCGTAAGATTCCAATTTTATCAGGGGGGGTTACAAAAGTGAACGACTTACCAGGTCCAGGCGAAGCTGTATTGCCCCGGAGTCAGATCGGCTGGTATCGTATAGTCATAGGTGCTAGGACCGCTGCCGTCCTTGGACGGACAGCCGGATTCGATGCTCATCAGGACCCTCCAAGAGGTCTCCGCAGATGGCTGCATGTCAGAAGTAATGGCCAGCTGACAAGAACCTCCTCCGTGGACGGCAGAACCCTTTTCTCAAGTTAGCTACATATTTACTTTTCAATGGGGTATGATGGTAGGGGACCAAGGTGAACAAGACGCGTGACTGCCTCGAACGCGAGAAGAAAGAGTGTTCATATTGGGGCCATTACTTACAGTAAAGGACAGGGTCTGGTTCTCACCAGCGACCATGGTGTTCTGGTCGATGATACCATCGGTCTTGTAGAAAGTGGCCGGGTCGCTAGTGACCTTGCAGGGGTAGTTGCTTGAAGTCAGAGGAGAGTTGTCGGGGTTGCCATACGGCTTGGGAGTCGCCATGATCATGTGGGGCTCGACGGCGGCGGCCATCACGGCGACCAGGAGGGCGATCATTCTCGCAGAACTGCGGCCGGACGGAGAAGACATTTTGACGAATTTGGAAAAGAGTGTCGCTGTCGAAAGAGAAGAACGGAGAACGGAGAACGGAGAATGGAGAATGGAGAATGGAGAATGGACAACGGGGAAGGTAGAAGAGAAGAGTTCCGGCCTCTTGGCAAAGGGTCGCCGACACTGACGATGAAAACGCGAACCGAACGAAAAAAAAAACCGAGCTATGGCTCTGGGTTGAGAGAAAGGCAGCTGTCGCTGATGTTATGTCTTGACGATCGACGAGAGAACGACGAGAAGGGAATGCCAAGAGATGGGTGCGAGGTGTAGGGATTAAATATGGGGAAAAGAATCGAAGAAATCGAGGCGACACAGAGAACAATCCAGATCAGTGGGTGCCTTGGTTGTGCGACTGACTGGCTGGTGAATGGGTGAATAGGAGACACGGACAAAGAGCGACGTCAACCCATGCAAAAACCACAAACAATGGCTCTCAATCCACAATGCAATGGTTTGCATTCGAGCCCAAGAGCTTGCTGTCGATAGGGTGTGTCTAAGATGGAAGCTCTGGTCCAAGCTTGGTTGGCTCAGAGCCGCCCAGCGGGTAGCAGGGGTGTGGCTGTAAGTGGGGCTCGCCCCTTGCAGTTCCCCCTGCAGCTTGTCAACCGGTGCGTGTCAAACAAAGCAGGGAACACCACCAGCCAAACACCTCTCACCACTCACCACATTCATTGGCTCCCCACACGCTGTCACCGTGTTTCAACCTTCCCCTGCACTAGAACGACGTTGACTCCTAGCGTCGCCGCCCATGCCTAAAAGGCACGCTGCCCAGCTGGTCCTCCCACCTCTAGCCCAAATAGGCCACCCCCCGAGCAACTTGAGCAACACGACACCCATGACGCGGCGGGAGTCGTGTGTTTGATCAAGCGACGACTGCCAACATCCTGCCGAATTTTCGACCAGCTTGCCTTTATCTGCGGCACCTGACACCCGAGCGAGGCGGTCACCGGTGCCTACCAAGGCTGACGCTATGTGTCAACCACAGAGCGGTGTCGATTCCACCAGCTGACAGCCAACGGCCGAACCGTCCCATCCATCTTCTTACGCAGCTTCCCTGCCATTACTTGCTCCCGGTGTAACCCTGGCGGAAGGAAGCGACTCTGTCCCGCTCCCATGAGCATGATGACTTATGATGACCACGAGAACTTGTCACGACGGACGGATCTCTTTCCGATGGACGCCAAACACGCTCAGAATTTCTCCGAGGCGCATACCAAAATAGGTAGGTATGGGTAGCGGGCGCTGCATCTGAGAACTCTGGCCGGAGTTGGAATAAAGAAGCGAGTTGACGCTCCACGGACCTACTGCGGTGAAACGTCACGGCAGCCCCTCGCCGCCTTCCTTCGATTTACGGAATTGTTATTTCGCGGTAACCGACGATTGAACGATTCAAGCTTGATCTTTTATCGCCTCGACTGACCTGGTTGGACTTAGGTTTGACCTATGACCATCGGATCAAGAACAGTAATGAACAGTCATCTTCATGGCCAGTCCTACGAACAGAGGAGTAATGAAGACCAGTCGAGTCCATGACAGACTCCCAAAATCTGTCGGCAAAGGCTAGAGACAAAAGGAAGAAGACCAGGAGTCGGTACTGTTGAGATCGTTCCGAGATTCATATCTAGCTACTGTCGTTTTTGGACGTCGTGTGGTATTTGCAGAGGAGAATGGCAACAGACTCCCTTTGCAGCTGAGGTGCATCAGCCACACCTCAGACTTTGAGAATGTATTGTGGCTACAAAGCCTTTGAATACAAGGAGAATGCGGTATGTAGCTGTGTGGTGGTTTTCAAGGTGGCTTTTCCTTCCACTAGATGAGCTAGTACTTCAGCCGTACCAACCCTTGTAGATGAAAGGCATCTTACCTCCAGTTTTTCCATCTCTTCGCAACCGGGAACAATTCCTGAGACGTGTTGCATAGTGAAGGAGGCCTTCGGGCATAATCGCCACGGCGGTGGGAACATGGACGTAATAGGAACGTGTGACGCGCAAAACAACTGCCAGTGTGCAGTACACTGGCTAACCTATATTTTGTGACAGAACGCTCTGACACCCTGAAGAGAATCTTCTGTGCAAATTTTAATTTGAAGTTATCGGTACAAACGACACACATCAATGGGCACAGATCTCATCCCCTTTTCACATCTTGCAGCGTGTGTCAGCCATTTATGTAAGACGAGCCACTCCAATGTTTGAAACTCGACAGAAGCTGACGCAAGCATGCAGATATGCAGGAACTATCTGGCACGCCTCCCAAACTTCAACCCAGGATTCGATCACACCGATCTGGGGACAACTTGGATCACAGTGTGTCGGTAAATTATCATCAGTAAATTATCATTCGACATTGGGAAGTATTCCGAATCGGAGAGAAATTCAAGAGCGTTTCTGGCACCCAATAGCACTCTCTTTCTCCTGGCAACCTCCTCTAGGCATACCACTGAGCGGGAAGACGTATTTGAGAGCTCCCTCGGAGACAGGCAGGTACCTTCAGGTCAGAACGTGGAAATGCGGAACAATGCAACTGCGAGACCGTTGCGAGCGGGCAAAACCTGCACGAATTTACTTTCACTTTCGGATGGATTTTTGTGACAATGGCCCCTGCACCGGAGATTCACTGGTAAAGTCAAGCAAAGGTATCTACAGTCTGCATAATTACATCAGACAAATCTAACCTTGCGCATTTCTCGAGTCGTCAATCCTCATGAATGGCTGCGTCGAACAAGGCCCTCGTAAATCGGTGTCAATAAACCCGCATTCCCTTCTGGTGGATAAATGGCAGTACTAAACTGTATGCATCGTTGAACATGTCTTCCCAGTCTGTGGTCAGACAGAAAATGGAATCACGAATGAGGCTGAGCCCACCATTGCAAGAATCACAAGTCAGGTGGTATTATCCAACACTTTTTATACCTGCATCAGGGTTGCCCAAGTCAGTTTCGTACACTCAATACATGACTACCGATGCGAAAGCTTTTGAGGGGCACAAGTGAAACGGTACACATGGAAACAATGGTGCATAAAATTGCCCATTCTGTGGAGTCTTCCCGCTTCGAGTCGCTGGCATAATCACCTCCAATGGCTTGAGCACCATTTCTTCTTACAAGACAAAACTTTACAAAGGCATTGCCACTTTTATGGTTGACAAGAAGGAATACCAAAGTCCGAAGGTCAGAATCTCTGCAGGGCTGGCTTTCCTGTTCAAAGGTCAATAGCGGAAACGCATTTGCAGTCGAAAGCCACAAGCTGCAGCCTTGGGAGATGCCCGAGGGATGGCCAGAGCTCAATTGGCCGCTGTGATTGTCTCGATCTGCGTGCGCTTTTGTCCCGCGTTTTACCCGCAACACGCTGGCCAGATTGACCGCTGCTCCTTGTTCACATGCAAATACCCCTGATGCAAGAGACTTCTTTGGACCCGTTACTGAATTCACCTCGCTCAGCCACAATCGTGGGCCTTTGAGATTATGAAGGTCGGTCTTAGTGTGGAAGTGTATGTGCGTCGGATTTGGCAGAGATGAGCGGGCTCATCTCAATACCTTCATTGGGTACATGCAAACTTATGCGATGGCTCAATTGTCTAGAGAAATTTTCTGCATGTATTTCCGGTATCGCCGCCTTATCTCTTTTTACTCCTTGCCTGCCCATTTTTGTAGGTCGAGGCGTCGGATCATAAATGATGGGCCGCGACGCTCTGTCTGGGACCAAACCCTGAGATGACTTGTGGCCTGATCCACAATCCTTTTGGTGACATGTGGAGCCAGGAGGACAAGCCTCATCCACTCCGTCGGGTCCACGGCACGATATCTGTGCGTTAAAAGCTCTATGGGCCCCTATTAACTGGCATCTTCCTACGGATTCCTGGGCCTCACGCCACCACATTTCCCTCACATCACCAACTAGCCTCCATGTCGGACTTCAAAGTAATCATCATAGGGGCCGGCCCCACGGGCTTGACAGCAGCCCATGCGCTGTCAAAGGCAGGGATCGATTTCGTCGTGCTTGAGCGAAGGCCGCAGATTGTCGAGGATGTCGGGGCGTCTCTTGTTTTGTTCCCGTACAACATGCGGGTATTTGCCCAATTCGGGCTCCTGGAGAAGCTGCAAAACATAGGCCACGAGGTTCTGCGCTGGGCAGACTACACGACCCTGGGCATGTATATGGAAAGCTGGCACACGCATACGATAAGAGAGAAGTGCGTGCTACCCTAAGTGGACATGGTCGACAAGCATTGGCTAACTAAAATTGCTCAGCCACGGCTCGTACTCGTTCATGTTTCACCGAGCAGAGCTTATCGGAGCCATTCATGATGGTCTCAGCGAAGAGGACAAGGGGCGAATCCACACGGGCAAGAAACTTGAGAACATTGAGGACACGGATGACGGTGTAGTCGTCACTTGTGCCGATGGATCAACCTACGAAGGGTCCATCGTCCTCGGTGCCGATGGAGTGCACAGCCAGACAAGGAGGCTCATGCGGGAACTGGCCCTGGAGAAATCCCCAGACGCCGACGTCAACGACACCGAGCCCTTCCAGCATCTGTACAAGACCATGTGGTGCTCATTCCCGAGGCGTTGGGAATACGCACCCGGCGACCACTGTATCACTCACGGCAACAAAGCCTCCCTCCAGATGCTGAACGCCCACCACCGCGCTTGGCTGTTCGTCTACGAGAAGCTCGATACGCCGACCACGGAGCGGGTGGCGTTCACCGAGGAGGACATGGAGGAGTTCGCCGCCAAGCACGCCGACATGAAGATCGGCGACCGCCTCAAGGTCCAGGACGTCTTCCCCCACAGGACGAGCGCCGGCATGGCGAACCTCGAGGAGGGGATCCTGAAGCACTGGAGCGGCGGCCGCATCGTCCTCGCCGGCGATGCCTGCCACAAATTTACGCCAAACGCCGGGCTCGGATTTAACAATGCCCTGCAGGACATCGTCGCGCTCGTGAACGAGCTACACCGCCTGCTCGAGCCCAGCGACAAGGACGTCGCGCCCAGTGAGACCGACCTGGGTGCGCTGTTCTACCGGTACCAAGATGCCCGCAGGGAGGGGGTCCTGGACGATTACAAATTCTCAGCACACTTGACCAGGTTATGTGCCTGGCCGAACACGACGTACTGGCTTGTGGACCAATATGTGATCCCCGCCATTCCCAATTTCAACAAGCTTCTCATGAAGTTCAAGGGCTCGCCTTCGATCAGCAAGGCTCTGTGTCTGGACTTTGTGGAAGGCGAGGAGCCATTTGAAGGCAAGATACCGTGGGTGAATCCGGTTAAAAAGCCAGAAAACTAGCGAGGCGTTCGGAAGACTAGTCGATTCGTAGCGAAACATTGCTACGCCACGAACCGGAACTGTCTGAATCTTTGCTGGGAAGGAAGCGCTGGAATTAGCTGTACGGGAACTAAAGCTGAAGTCATTAATAGGTGTTCCAGCAACACCCTCCAATCAACCATCCCTTTTGTCGCTGTAAACCCAAGTCTTGACTTGTTGCCCCTGCCCCAACTCCGCTGCGTTATCATCCGTGAGAACTGCAGTATTATAACCCGCCCCGGCTCTGCTCCCAGGCTCGCCGGTCCCATATATCATCTCGTCGATGGTGCTATGCACCAATTCGTCCGAGCTCTCATTAGGCCCCGATATCACCGACCTCGTCGTCTTCCTCCGCGACGTTGTCGTCAGCTCCAACGCGTCGCCCCTTGAATTTTGCTTGGAGGGGTTCTTCGCGGCGTCGCCCGTGATCGTCTTCTTGCTGCCGCGCCCGGATGACTTGAAGACTAGTGGCCTCAGGACCGGTAGGCTGGAGCATAGAATAGCAACATTGAGCTCGGTCAGTGTCCAGAGGCCGGCTGATACGTTGTTCCATGTCGGGTCTGTTGCCATCGATGCTGCTCGGAGAGTGGGGATGCGGATTATCGACACTATGCACACACTGCTCGGCGAATCAGAAATCGCAGTTAAATGCGACGCAAAACGCACAGGAGATCCTTTACACTTACAAAAACCCAAGACCGAAAATGGCGAATAGGACTATCCTCTGTCGTGAGGATATTGGCAGTTTCCATATACTCGGCATTGGAAGCAGAAAAATGGCAAAGTCGGTAACGAGGCCCACAGCCGATGTGAACTCCCATATGTGGAGGGTGTTGAGACACCACGATGCGGTACTGGGCTGAATTGTTGCCAGAGGAATGCAGGTTATAGTGAGGAGAACGCCTTGAATGACTGTCCAAAACCCAACAAATACCAGGCCCCAGAGGCAGACAACCTTGAGGCCGTGGCTCGGAAAGATACGGCGGTATTGCAGAAGGAAGGAAACCTTGATGACGTTCATGCCAAAGTTGTAGCTGAAGATAGTACCGAAGAGGCACTGTGTAACGCATTAGCCAAAGGCGATGTAACTATGGGAAGCTGTAGACATTTGGGTCCCGTACTTCTGAAGATCTAACGATATTTTCCTGGCTTAGCGTTCCTATGTGGCGACCAAGGCCGTAATGTGCCTCTGAGTTCCTCATTAGATCTATTCATGAACCACAAAGAGATACGTTTCCCGCACCTAGCATAGTCGAGGTTCCCGCCGCTATGCTCAACAGCTGGGCGAGGCCCATCGTCCAGTCGTCTGCACCAGCCGTGTTGAGGATGAATTGGCGAGTGTAGAGCCGCAGCAGGACCACAACAGTCGAGAGGCCGGTCAAGACTGCGGAGACAATGATCACTGTGCCGCTCTGCGACTCCTTAGAGAAGACGTCCGAGCCATCCGGGGCGCTGGATGATGGTGTCGACATGTTCACGACATCTGCAGACGAAACCGTGTGTTACCAGGGGTGGGAAGAAAATCACGAACTAAATACACATAAAAGTGGATGCTGCAGGAAGTTCGAAGAGATCTAGAAAAGATGAACGGCGCCAAGTTTTATCAAAAGCGGCCCAAACCATAATTGACCACGCAACCGGGACCCGTGTTTCTGCCCGCTGAGTTTGTAGCACATCGCTGGTGATCCAAGAGCCATGGGGGCCCCCGGCCGATGCAGCATTCAACGCACCGTTGAGACCCGAACTCTGTAACATGCAGAGAGCTCGTGTGCCCTCCAGTGCCGGGGCTGCAGTAGCCAACTCTATCTTGTGGGCATCAACCTTGCCCATGTAGAGCCCAGCCCAGCAGCCCAGCTAAGGAGTGCGCCCATGTTCGGACAGCCATGACTCCCCCTTGCTAGGTTCGAGCACAACCCCCGGATCGGATGGCTAGCCTAGGCGTGCCCGCCTGCCCGCCCCATGCGGGCCGGTTCGAACAGCTCTCCCAAGCACCCGACCCAGCGTTGGGCACGGTGTTGGCTGCTACCTTGGACCTTTCAAAACCGGGGGAGCAACAGCTGATACCGTTGTAGATTTGATACCGTTACCCCGAAAACAGGATTACAAACACTCAGCTCAAACCCGGTGTCGTCCTCGTGGGCGTATTCGCAAAACACCTGGGCAAAAAAGTACTCGGCAGCCCTCAATTGAATGCATAACTTGCACAGAAAGGACTAAAGAAGACCCCGAAAGCTTGGGATGTCACGAGTCAGTGCAGCTAGCGATGCCGTCGTCCGTGCTTTATCCGACGGTCTTTAAGATTCGAAACAAAGAGCGTCATTGGCAGCCCACGGCTTAGCTGAGGCCAGGGCCTCTATAGCACCAACAGGTCACAGGGCTTGGTGAGGTGACTGTGACGCCTAGCTTCCCCTCACATGCAACGGTATCGATCTCGAGGGAACAGTGCGCAGGATGGCGCGAAGATGGGGGGGAGTTCGATACATCACAGGTGTGCTCGGAAGCCACCGAGGCGAATTCCGAAGCAGTTCGTCTGGCAATTTGCAATTTGAGAGGCACATGAAAAAGGCCTCAAACACACGTGCTATTTGGCAGCAAAACGTGTTGCCATGCTTTTTTAAGGTTTACTTTTTCGTTTAAGGATCTGCAGCCCGGAGTAAGTCATACACTGGCCAGACGTGCCGCCGCAGTTCCCGGCCGCCTTCCCCCCCAAGGCCTTGCCCAGGTGGTATCTGCAGCGGTGGCACGGGCTTGCTTGGCCGGGCTCGCTCGCCTAGCGCACGCTCGTTCTCTATAATGACTCGAAGGATCTGGATCGAGGATCTCATCTAGAGGCGACTGGCCACGCTCTCCATGGGCTTTCCCCCCTTCTGCTTGTTGCCCGAAGGATTCACTGGCGCCTGAGGGGGAGATTGGTGCGAGGATAAGTATTGAGGCGGACCCGGTGTTTTGACTCTTGCATGCTTTTTTGCACACAGCCCTCGACAAGTCGTGGCATCATGCCTTGGTGATTAGGTAGGTCTGGGGGCTGCTTTTTTCGCTCCTACCCGAGCACACAGTCAAGATGCTCTTCATGATTTGTGTAATTGAAGGTCCAGAGATTGAGCAGGGCTATGATGATTGAGATAACTCATACACTAGGGTCCTCCAATGCATACCAAGTCTGTTCCGTCTGGTATTTGGGGTAATATTTCCTTCCTCTATACCTAGGTAGCACTGCTAAACCAGGGTCAACACCAATCATTGCCATGCTCGATACGATTTATCCCTACAGAATATGCAGATTTCTGCAGTCCGCTTGCAGTAGCCTAGGCCTTTGCAGAGTGCGGTCTCAGGGCCGTCGATAGGGCATCTCCGACAACCCACTAAATAACCTTTTTTCTCCTAGGGAGGGCCGATGGGAAGGTCCTTGTGAGGGAGGGAACAGACGGTAATAATAGCACGGATTATAGGCGGCCAAGGTTCGCGGGAGGCTTCCATGTGCAGAGATAATGCCGAGACTGTGGCATGAACGGGCGGCTCAGACGAGACAGATACCCAGGCGCATGCCGAGACGATCACGTTTCCTCCCTCCTCCAGGGCCTCTCCCCTCCAGGGCCTCTCTCTCGCACCCGCTCGTCTAAGCGAGCAGCATGAGGCACTCTCATGCTGCACCCCGGCCTGGGTACCTGTCGTCTTGTTTCATCATGCAACCCCCCTTCTGTTACCCGAACGTCCCGACCCCCTCCACATCGCGATCTTTTACTCCGTCTAACGAGTCCGGCATATCAATATCATTCTGCAAGCCCCCCCTCACCCCCTTCCATCCTCCCGCCAACGTGAATCCCACACACTGCAGGGCTGGTGATCTCGCCAATCAGCTCTGTGCTTACAAAATGAGAACGCATCGGATGCACCAACTGCCGTGATTGCAAGACAAATACCCTACTTTCAGGAAGCGGTTCATTCCGCCTGTCGGCAACCACTTGTGAGATGAACTCACCGAACATGTCAAAAGAATGTCCGTTCTCACATATGTCGTGTGATTCTTAACAGTATAGATTACCAATATTGCCACTCAGTCCTTGATTGCCCGCGTTGCCCAGCTGTTCAGCAGCGAGGATGACCAGGCTCGGACACTGCACGCGCGTCCTTGGTATGAGGCGAGAAGCTGCAGATAGAGACTTGCCGAAGGGACCAGGGGCTCCAGAGTCGCACAAGGAATTGAACCCCGTGACCTCCAACAACGGTCCCTCTCGGCCACTTTGGGCCACGTGCGTTCGTCTAGCTAGACCATGTCGCAGCAGACCGCCGCTCTGGCTGTTACATTGCGTGCATGGGTGCTACTAACTGCATGCTCGCGGAGATTACCCTCATGGGTTGCTTCCAACGCGCGCGCTTTCATTGGCGCGAGGATGACCTGCATACGAGTCTCTCTGCCTTGCATGTCGAGTATTCTATCCAACGTACCCAGGTATGTTTCGGATACGCGTGCATGGCCACAGGGATGATGATCAACTACATACAAAAAGTATCTCTATACAGTGCACTGCCCCCTCCTGGGTATGAGGGTGACCAAAGACCTATGATTGTGTTTTTTAACTATGTTTATTAAACTAATTATTCTGCTAACTACTCATGGGCAGAACTTAGCATTCCATCAATTCCTTCTTATCTATCCCATGCTTTTCAAAAAAGTTTTCTAACTTCTTCCTTATCTTCCCCTTAAGCGTCTTTATCCTTACTTTAATACTTATAAAGTATTTAATCTTTTTAAAATAAATCTTATGGCTTTTAAGCGTGATTATAAATGCGTTGATCTTTTTAGATAGTGATGGGTTTAGGTTGGTGCATTCTTTTAAACCTGCCCTTGCTTTAGGAAAGACTTGCTCATTATATTTAGTATCTATCTTTATGGCTTCAACTCTATCAGCCCAGTCCATTCACATGGCTTAAAGCAATGGAGCGTATTTATCTTATCAGGTTGTCTGTTTCAACGTCAGTTGCGAATACGCTTAATGGGTTTAAGGTGATAATCGCGTGCACTGGGTTGAGTTGTCTTGCAAGTAGTCTTGGTCTTCATGTGCCGAATGATTGTCTTCGAATGGTCTTGAGGAGCAAGGCTGAGATTGTTTTGCGTTTAAGACAGATCTTCCTGGGAGATGGCAGCTTTATATTGTCCATTTTGGGCAATTTGTGTTCGTGTGTGGAAGGCCTGAGTCACATGGCGAAGGCACTTGAACATAGTGCTTGACGGTGTCAAACTAGAGCTGATGGCTAGAGATGGCTTCGTCCGCGACGGCGGCTTCTGACACAACACTGGTTTGCAGACGCAGATTGAATAGTCACTGTCTAAAGCCTTGCATAGCGAATTTAACTGCAATTGCCTACAACCTACATTATCTCTTATCCCACTAGAACAATCATTATCATTCCAGCTTAGTAGAGGAACTCAAAGAATACAAATAGTCTATATACAATGATGAAGCAATTAAGCAAACGATAGTTAATTATTGTGTTATTAAGGAGAGAAATCTCCCCGCTATTAAATGCTCAAAAGGAGCCTATTTATAGGCTAGCGCTAACGTATAAGCATACAACCCTTGCACCTTTTAATACACCCCCCATTATAAATATTATTATCTTAATAATAATAAGAAATATCCCATTTTAATAGCTAAAAATACAATTTAAATATTCCATTATAATTTATACTAAGACCATTATATAAACATTATTTAACGTTTATATATTTTATTTGCATTATTTCTAGTTAACTATTTAAACGCCCCTTTAGCAATATAAACCCTATACTTATTTTAATCTTAATTTTATATAAGCTTCTTTAAGGGCAAGATAAGGCAATGCTTTTATATAAATATTAATAAGATTATCTTTAAATATAATGTAATAAATATTATATATTTTTTTCAATTCCTTTATAAATAAAGTAATAATAAATAATAATATATTTTAATTAAGCATTAACTTTATAATTTTAAATAAGGTTTAATATTAGCTAATTATTAATATATAAAATAAGTAAATATTTAATATACTTAACATTTAAATCTTTTAACGCTTAAATTATTTAATAAAAATATAATAATATTAATAAATATGCTATATATTCCGCCTTATAAATAGATTTTATAATAATAAATTAGCGCTTTAATAATTAAGTAATTAAGCTGCCGTTAAGAAGTTATATATATTTACTAAATACTTTTAAATTATTTAAATTAATATTATAAGAAGCATTAATATATATATTAAATATAATAAATTAAAATAATAATATTTATTTTAAAAATTATAAAGTATAATTTAATATATGCTAAATATATTAAAGCACTCCTTTTATAATATTTAAGTAATAAATTGCAAGCTTTACATTAAATATTAATAGCATTATATATAAAAATGTGAAATTAAGTTTTATTTTAATAATAAGAAAATTAATAAATTTAGTAAATAATTAATATATTATTATATTTATTATAATATTATTAAGTTTCTTTTATTATAAAAATAAATTTAAATTCATAAGAGTTTATTTTTAATTATAATTAAATATATTAAAGCATTTTAAAATTTATTAAGCATATTTCTTTTAAAAAATGCAAATTTTATTATTAGTTTATATAATTTTTAATTTAAATAGGTATTTATGAAGATTAAGATCCTTATACTTAAAATATTACATAAGCTTAATATAAAATTTATTAACTTAAAAGGGATTCTTAATAATAAAAATATTATTAATATAAATAATAATAATAATTTAATTTTTAATAAAAACATAAGGATTAAATATTATCTTTATTAAATATTTAATTAATTCCTCTTTAAAAATATTAAATTATTTGCAGCTTAATTATTTAAGTTTATATAAAGCATTAAGAAGTTTTAAAATAACTTATTAATTATTAAATAATATTTAATATTTTTATAGTAATTATATATAAATATTATATTTTAAATAGCTATATAAGTATATTATTTTAATATTAAATTATTAAAGCTATTAACCCATTATAATAATAATAATTAATCTTAAATTATTATAATACATTATAAGGTTATAAATATTATTATAATTTATGTTATGGATTTATATATATTTATAAGTAATAAGTTAAGCTTTATAGCAAATAAGCTTATTAAAAGTATTAAATTTCTTTATATATACTTAGCAAAGATTAATAATATATTAGTTTATAATAGTAAATACTTTAATTTATATATTTATATTTAAAAGTAATTTAAGTTCCCTTTTAATAGCTTATTATTAAGCATCCTTTTTACTGCTTTTTATAGTTTATGCATATATATTAAGAATATTATTAATATTTACTGCATTAATAAGTAATGCTTAAGTAAAGATTTAATTAAAATAATTAATATTAATTAATATTAATTAAGTAAGATTTAGTATAAAGTTTATATTAATTAATATTAAGTTATTAAAATCTTTAAAATATTTTATAATAATATTTATATTTTCTTTTGCTTTTTATAAAGGCTAAATCCATTATCCTTAAGAATTATATATTTATATAAATCCTATAAGTTTAAGTAATTTATTAATAAGTTTTATAAGTTTAAGTAATTTATTTATAAGTTTATTTATAAATTTTATATTATTAATAAGTTTTATTAGCTAAAATATTAATAATATCTTTATCTTAAGTAATATGTTTTTATTTAATTAGCTAATTATTTATATAATTTATATTGCTAAATTAAACTAAGTAATATAGCTTAATATTGTAATTATAATAACTTTTTAAAATAATATAAATAAATAAAAAATAATCTTATCTTTAGCTTTAAATCCAATAAAGTATATCTTTTTAACTTTATTTAATAATTTTATTCTTAATTTATAAGCTTTAATAAAAACATAAAAATATATAAAGTAAAAGTATAATTAAAAATATTTAATATTTAGCTTTTATTTATAAAGCGCCTTAAATAGCATTATTTAGCATAATAAGGCTAAGTATAGTTTTTAATTTTATAAGTATATTATATAGGAAATCGCTTTAAGTTATAAAAATAAGTAATCTTTATTATAAATTATTATGTAAGTATTAATAATAATAATATATATAAACCTTTTAAGCATGCTGTTTAACTTATAATAATAAGGGGGTAATTTCTTATAAATAATTTTATATCTTTAAAATATTGCAATAATTATTTTATTTATATATTTACCCTTATTATTTAAATTAAATATCTTAATTTTCACATTAAATTAAGTTTTAATTATATTTAAAAATCCCTTAATAATATTTAAAATATTATTCTTTTAAGTAATAAAATAAACTTAATAAAATTAAGTATAATTATTAATAAATAAAATAAAGTATTAAAAACCTTTTAATAATTTTACTAAGAATTTACTTAATAAATTAAATTAAATATACTTAAATAGCTATATAAATTATTATTTTAGCAATAAATATAAGTATTTCTTAATAAGCTTTGTAAGTTAATATAGTTTATAATAAAAATCCATTAATTTATTTAATATAATGTCTTTATTTTTATATAGGCATTAAGTAGTTAATTTTAATAAATTGCTATAATTAAAAGTTTTATAAAATTTATTATATATTATAAACATTATAAAGTTATTTTTTACTATTTAAATTTTAAAATTTCTATATTAAAACTTTGCTTATAATATCTTATAAAATTTATTATCTTTTAATAATAAAAAGATATTATTTCCTTATATATTTAATTAAACCCTTTTTTAAATTATAATTTAGCTAAATAAATAAGTATTCCTTAACGCATAATTATATAAAATATTAATAAAGATACTCTTAATAATTAATTTATTTAATAATTATAAGAAAATTTTCATAAAGTTAATGCCTTTTATAATAAGTTAATTACTGCTTGCAATAATAATTATATTTAAATATAATTATAAAAAACTAAAGTCTTTTATATATTTTATTATATACTTTAAAGCATTAAAATTAAAAATCCATAATATTAAAATACTTATAATTATTAGCAACTTTACCATATATATTAAAATATTAATATATAATATTATTATATCTTCCTTATTATCATTAGAAATTTTAATAACTTCTTTATTTATAGCTTAATTTATAATAGCTTATTTCTTATCCTTCTTTTATTCCTAATTAGCTTTATATTTAGCAAGCTTTATATAATTAATATATAAATAGCTAATAAATAAAAAAAAGCAAGTAATTAAAATATTAAATAAAGCAAAAGTATTAAATTATTATAAGTTATTATTAACTATAACAGCTATTATAAAGTATAATAATGGTATATAAGTAAAGGCTAATAATGTTAAAATCCTAATAATTTAAGTATAAAAATAATTATAGAAATAAGGGTGTTGATATTTCTTAACGTTTTAAGATATTTTAAGCAATGCCAAGCTTTTAACCTAATAAAGCAATTAAACAAATAATAATTAATTATTATATTATTAAGGAGAGAAATCTCCCCACTATCAAACGCTCAGAAGGAGCCTATTTATAGGCTAGCGCTAGCATATGGGCATACAACCCTCGCACCTTCCAACATACAATGCACTGCATAAGCTTTAGGAAACGACAGGGAGAGATTCTGAACACCTGATGTGAGGCTCCGTTAGTGAATATGTCAAGAGAGGTGTACCCAAGCTCGATAAGCATCAAGACATGGTCGCTGTCTTAAACAGAAATAAGTTAGATATTAATGTCAGTTCCAATGTCAGTTCCACGTGTCGGAATAAAGAAAGGAGCAATGGACGTAGCAACGTCGTATTGTCTATCATCGTGGTCATCGCTAGCTCTGAATGTCAAGAATGATCCCACCCAAAACACGCAAACACGCTAATTCTCACACCGTCTAGTGGATGGCCTTTTTAATGATGTGGAACGGGTGACCTGGTCATTTTTTCTTTCATGTTCTCGTCCAGCTTCTTCACCTTGTCACAAATCCTTCTCGCTCTGGCCCTCAGCCGCCCGCGGATACTTCTGTTGTGTGTCTGCTGCGGCGGTGAGGCCTGCTCGTTGTTTGCATGTGCCGCGCCTTGATGCACATGATCAGCACCTGTATCCTCTGATGAGGACTCACTTGTCGTATTCTCTTGTTCCTTGATGTCTGTTAGGCCACCAGAAGGTTTAGTTTTGGGCTGCTTCGGTGCCCATGGCGGGAACTCTTCCTGGCTCCAAGGATCCAAGAGCGAAGGATGGGTGTGTCTCCGCGGGCCTGGCTCTGCGGTGGTCGGAGACGGCACGTTGTGTTTCCTCTTCAGATTCTCAATCCCACGACCATGTGGTGAAGTCCCTGCCGACTTTGGGCCACCGTGGCCCTGGCCTTCCTAACTCAAGCTCGGTTGTCCAACAGAGCTTCTAGGCTTGGTCGTATCCGGCGGTGGTGGGATCCGAAGCATTTCGTGTACTTTTGGCAAGAGTGACTGCATCCACTTTTGGTATCCCTCCTTGCGCAAGTGGACATGATCCTCCAACAAATCATTGTCAATCTGTGGGGCAGGTAAGAACCTGAAGGTGCCACTGTCGCGGTCCCAAGGACCTTCACTGATGCCAGAGTCGTCTCGACTGTGGGAGTTGCCACTCCTCCCCTGTCCACCGTGGTTTTGCTCCGTTGGCTTTGGTGTCTCAGGGAATTCTTGACAAAGCCTGGCGACGAGACTTTGCAGATCGGTATTTGCCTTGTCAATCAGCTCCTTTGCAACGTCCTTGCGATAGAACAGTCCGGTCACCAGGATCTTGGCACTTGCACGGCCGAAGTGGTGCAATGTTTTGAGCAGAATGTCCATTGCATGTAAGTCGGCATCCCTGAGACCGTGATTTTTATGGAGGTTGTTCGTGCCCGCTTGGATGACCCACAACTCTGGTCTCCGTCTGCTGGTGAGGCAGACTCCGCCGCAGAGGTGCAGCTCCCGTGCCAGCCCTTTGAGATTCATGGACGTATCTCCGATGACACGGTATAGTACGTTTTCGATCTTATCGCCGCCGCAGCCGAAGTTTGCAACTCCTCGTATCCGGGCGATGGGGGCCGCGTCTGGGTCATCTTTCGCGTCGTTCATGGCCTGGATGTCTGAATCGGACGCCATGGCTTCTGACGGCCATGACTGAAGAGTGTCGCATTGACCCGTACTCGTCATGCGTTCGATCATGGAGTCCCCGAGCAAGCCGACTACCGCTGCTTGGCCTTTGTCTTCCACGGTCTTCAGATGAACTCTTGCGGTATCAAGGGACCTTTCTTTGTGTCTCTTGAGTTGATGAGCGGTGGCTAGGATGCCTCCCGGCAGTGACTCGCGATCTAGGATGTTTTGCCCCAGTGACCCAGGAGCGGTGTCCCGTCGACGATTGCTTGCAGTAGCAGAAGATTCAGCTTCAGCCATTGTGCCGTGGAAATGTCTTGCAAAGAGAGGTCGGTGGGGTGTCGATGATGCGTATCGGTGGGTGAACGATGAAGTGTACCGGTGAATGAACGAGTGTCTTGATAGCTGATTTGGGAACTTGAAATAAGGAATGACTTGAAATGTCCTAGTCATGCGATGTGCCAAAAAAGGACGCCGAAGTTGCGATGTTTTTTTGTTGTTGATGATGTTGGTGTTGGGTCGACGGTGGCTATGTCAGCGCATGCAGTTTAGGCAGCCTTGGTTGCGGGCCGCCTGGCAGGCCCTCTCGACATGCTTGTTCATTTTAGGGGGCGCAGGGCAGGCAGGACCCAACATTGGCCCACCATGGCCGGGAAGGAGTCACACTTGCGTACCGTTGCGCTTGCTGTATGTGGAGAAGTGGCAGGAACATGGCAATTCGAGTGTGCAGGTGTGTAACTGGCCTTGAGAGCAACTGCATCACATTCCCAGTCACGAAGTAGCCTACACAATTGGTGTAGGCCGAGACGCTGACTCTTCCTCTTAGAGGGCTGAACTCCGTCTCCGCCTGCCTCGCACCAAACAAAGGCTTCATGCCACAAGCGCGGCAGACAGACTTCAGATAAGTGTTGACTGACGATGCGTATCAATTGAAGCAGCGAACTGCCAGGTTCGCTACCGCAGCCTCTTCGTTGCTTTGAACCTGCCCGTGTCTGCATCAGACGTCGACTCCTGCTCACAAGGCTACCCAGGTATGCTACCCTCTGCCCTCTCGCACCCTCCGCCCTCGACTAGAAGAACTTCTTCGCCTTCCCGAAAATCCCCTGCAGCTGCCCTCTTACCTGCGTGGGTGCTTTGTCCACAATCTTGCCAATCGTGTCCTCCACCTTGTTGCGGGTGTTGCCACCGACAGGACCAACACCCGGAAACCCGCCCTGATAGGCGCAGCAGATGGGCGAGGCATTCGGCGCAAAACACTCCGGACCAAGGTTCATAATCCGAGCCTTTCTGTTGTTCCTGTTCCATTTCGTTAGTACGGCTGGCCGTGCATGTATTGCTGTGATGCAAAGTATTCGTGACATGCTTTGACTTCCGATTTTGGGAAGCTGCTCGAGGAAATGACTTACCAGCCCTCTCCTTCCTTCTCAGTTCCGTGATAAACACAGAAAATCCGTCCGTCATTGTAGGGACTTGGTAAGAAGCTAGCATGGCCAGGCCCGAATGGACCGCCTCGACGTCGGTCGCTGACCAAGAGCGGCGCCTGTCTCTTTGTCCAGCTCTCGGGGCGTAGAGGGTCTTGTCCGACCAGTGCCAACAATGCCAACTTGTAGTCGCTGGTCCAGCTCCCGTGGGCCGAGTAGACGATGCCTCGGAACCCTGCGAAGTTAACCCACGTCGGTCCTTCATTCACGCCTCGCCTTCCGTCATCCGGCCGCTCCCAGGGCTGGTCTGCTTTGGAGATGCAGACGAGCGTGTCGGCTATGGCCTCCTCCGGCGACGCCATCTTGATGAGGAAGAGGTCCTGCTGCGTGTCGCTGTTGTCCCCGAGCGGCCAACCGGACCAGCAGCAGTACAGGTCATGTCCATCGACCGAGAAGACCGTTGCGTCAATCGACCAGTGATTGGGCATTCCCTTGAGCGGGCCAAGGAACTGCCAGCCGCTGGGATCCATAGGGTCGGGCTTAGACGATTTCAGGAGCACAGTGCGATGCCCTGGATTGCCCACGCCTGGAGGGGCAGCGCATGTGTATATGTACCATACTCCATTGAGGTGATGAAGCTCGGGAGCCCCTGGAGCCTGTTCAATAACAACGTCCGTGCTGTCGTAAGAGAAGAAAAGGCGATGAGCCTTGATGAGATGCTTACAAACATCGGCGGACCAGGGCGAGCCGGGTGGTGGTTGCTGTTCAGAATTGCACATTAGCGATCACATGAATCAGCAGAAGCACATTGATTCCCGTCACTTCTGAAAGCCTTTGACCCCCATGCTGTTCTCACGCGAAGTATCGGTGGCACCGGACGTGGCACTCCATGGGAAAGGCATATTCTATGCAGGGCCAACCGCGGATCATCGCACAGAGAAAAGGACACAGGAAGGATCGTACCCATATGGCACTCTTCTGGCAGTCGCGGAAATCCTCGAGGTGTGGTGACTGCCAGATCTCGACGCGATTGCCCAAAGTGAAGGTGAGGTAGAATTTGCCGTGGGCCGCGACGATCCACGGGTCTGGCGTGTCGGTGCCGCAGATCGGCCGGTTCGACATGACAGCTGGAGTCTTGTGATTTGCGGCGCCGGGGAGGCAGGATGCGTGCAGGGGTTACCTGATCAGCTGGGGTGAGTAGCTCTGTGTCGTTTTGAGCTGTCTGTCGAAGCTTGCGGATGGTGACGAAGGTTGAAATAAGTTCGAGTTTCAAATGTGATATCAACGGGCTGACGTAGCTGCCGAGAGCGTAGCAGGGAGCCAAGATCAGATGAGGTGTCCGTGAACCCCGAGCGTGAGGCTTCCCGGCCTGTCACTGTTTCAGGAGTCTTGTCGGGGCCCCCTCACGTGAGTGTTGGCACGCAGAGGTCGCACCGCCGCAAAAGCTTGGTCCCTTAGAACCAAACTTCTGAAAGTATGACGAGTTTTCACTTTTATGGCGACTGAATGGGGTAAAACCATGGAAGCGTTCACTTGTATTGCCAGGTGGAGTAGGAAACACAGGCTTGCCCTAACGTTAACACAAGCACCGTCCAAACGACACCAAAGCTTCTATCGCTATTCAATACTCATGAAATAAAGCTTCCAACTCTCAAGTAAAATATTGCCATCTACTGCCGTGGCTGTTCCATGTCACGGCTCTGCCCCAGAGAACTCACTGTTCCGCGGATCTGAGCAGGGCAGCTGGACAACTTGGCTTCCAATTGCGCGCAATGATACCCTTCGAGCACTGTTGAACAACATGGTGCAGCGGTAGTAATTAGCCCTTGGGCGCTACATGCTCTCGGTTGGATCCTTGTTTGGGACGAACGCACCCAGGAACAGCCGACCTTCCAACTACGGTACAAAATGTCTTCCTGGCTTCTCTGACCTTGATCCCAAACAACTGGTTGCTTATCGTTTTAGGACTGGATGTATATTGCTTAAGAAGCATGTGTGTATAGAGTAAAACCGAGACCGCTTAGCACTGTTGACACGCAAGACTTCCTGATATCTCGTGGGATGTACTTCCAATATGGTGCCGAGCTTTCAGGAAAGTCTCTAGATTGTTCACTTTGTATAATTAAAGGTTCAACATCGTGAATGCTTTCGCCCACCATTTATCAGCATCACAAGTTTCAAAATCGATGGCCTTGCGGATAAACCGAATTAGACGAGAACCAAATCATTTCATGCTTTCAAGTGATGTTGTGCCTCATAGCCCGCGTCCTCGCCCGACCGTCACGCTCACTTTGGCTTCCTCAAATTTATGCTCATTGAGGCTCTTGCCGCAACGGATCCATGATTTCTATGATAGTCAAGCAGGCCCCGTAACTTCGTCTGGACTTATACTTGGCTTTAAAACAGGTAATCGTTATAGACAACGGAGAAGAATTTGATCGAGCCTATAAACTTCAATGAGTAGATAGCGTAGGGTGTCTGTGCTGACATCTCATCTTGCCTACACAATTGTGGGTGAAAGCCACACAGAGGCCACGGTGGATGGAGCCCGAGAGAACAAGTGCGTGGCGAGAAATTTGGAACCCTTGAAGTGCTCCTTTCTGTCTTCTCTCGGGCGTGTTATCGCTTAAATTTCGAGTGTAGAAGCGCTCAGGGCAGGAATCATGGGTATCAGGCTGCCACCCTTGCGCATACCTCTGCTTTTGAACCATGCTTGATAGGGTCTCTCATTTATAAAGACTGAATTCTTCGTGGCCATTCTTTACGATGAAATGGCTACCAGAATGCCATCAATGACAAAAAGAGCATGGCTTTCCAGGACAGGAATGCCAGTGTGAGCACATATTTTAGAAGCACCCTCGAACCAGCAATTATGAAGGACTACCCACCTCGCACGTCAGAAAATTGGTACTGAAATATGAAAACATAACTCAGTATTATTGAGATCTTCCAATTTCATGCAAGATCAATCCCTTCTCAGCCATACGTCAAGCTTGTGAAAAGACCAACTTGCCCGGGCAGCAAGCAAATGCTGAAATTAGACGGAAAATTTAAGAAAGGCATGACGAGTTTTTAAGGCCTCTCAATAGTTGAAGGACTCCCTTGAAGTCTGAGAATGCCTCGGCTATTCACTGTTCTTCCGCGTTCCTCGCCTCCGTGTGGCTGCGGGTGCCGGAACGGCCGGCGCTGCCTATAAATGAAACAGGGGATTCCGCCTTCGGCCGGACAGCGGGATCACATGTACTTCACTGACGCAAGAAGATGCACTGTACCAGAATTTCTTCATACCCTTCCATTTATTCTATTTGGATACAACTTGACCACGTGCCGGACCCGAGCTCATTCGAGCGAGTCAAGTGGGAATGACGGTGATGTTTCACCTACCCAGCCCGAGAACCTGACGCTTTTTTTGTAAATTTGCTCATGAAAGGGGCTTGCAAGGTCATAAAGTCTATGTCCAGCTGGAAATGAACATCCTTGCAGGCGATCCAGGAAGCATGGCCCTGGCAAGAACTGCTGTTTCGTCGATTAATTGTTCAAGACGTGGGTCTGCTTGACAGGACACCTACCGATGATTTTCAAGCTAATGTATGACTAAACGAATGCGAAGACATCGACAACACTTGAACTTATTGTGTATTGTCAGAGTAGTGCGATGTTATGTGTTATTGGAATTAAGTTGCTCGCCCACGTCGCCTCTCAAGTATAGTCTTGATTGTACTACGACCTGCCACCGTTCACATGTTCTGGTAGAATGGCATCGCGCAAAGCTTGAGCCGTTGGTCCGAACCGAGTGCAAGCGCCGGCGTGGATTTTGCGAGGAGGATGTTTCATGCATGACGAGTTACCCTGGACCCCCGGCAGGGCCAGTGGTGGAGACCCATTTGGACCCCCCAGATCATCCGATCTCCGGACCATGAAAATCAACCATAGAGTACTTGGGATGAACCACTCCCAGGCTTCGTTTTTCCACCAAGCACAGTCGAGCGACGATCAGAATGAAACATCACACTGCAGTACTTGCGTACTGTGTGCTTGTGGGTGGAGAGAACAAATGTGACAGCTGCAGATTTCAGGGCGAAAGCTCTTCCCTCTCGGCAATGGATCCGACCGGAGACCAACTGAGCATGTTATTTGTCACTAGGGAAGAAAGCACAAGTCGGTCTAGCGGGCACCATACCTGCCACACCTGTCTAACTTCATGCGGTAGGACTGCAATAGGTCGGTCCAAAGCGTAGCAATTCGAACGGATGCAGCCAGATGCTCACTGGCGAGAGGAGGTAAGACCATTCAGCCCTACTGCCTGGTCCTTTTGGGTCAAGCTTCACAGCCAAGGCGAAGTCAATTGTTGGCTTGTCCTTAGTATACGGTGGTATTGCGGCTCAAGAGTTGCCCATAAAGGTGGCCTTTCCTACTTAGCCTCCTACTGTGTATACTTCGGTACCTAGATACCCGTATGCTGTCGGCAGTCGGTACACACAGTCAGCGCGGACGGCTATCGATACGATCCTCTTTCGGGCCTATTCGGTCGACCACAGGAAATAACGGGGCAAGCTTATCCCCGGCACACAGAGCACCATGACAGCAACAAGTCACTTGCTGTTCTGACATTCACAAAGTGCTCATTCTCTAGCGAAGCGAAATCGTGGGACTCTCGGCCAAGCCAAGACATGGGGAAACAGTCGACGGCTCTGTCAGTGGCCCACCGCCACATCACGGTTCGAGGGGCAGATCTTCGCTCAAGGTAGCATTTCGGCCCCGTCGAAACACAACATCAGCTGTTCCATACAGAGGAGCAGCTCACGTCCCCACCAATGCCCGCACCAGGTGTCCACCGGCATCATCCCAGACTGCTTGTCAGGCACAAGCTTTGGGTCCAAGAATGGCAAGCGTCTGCCGCTGTGGAGAACCCCTGCGATTCGATTGCCTGGGGTAGGAAACACTGTTTAGGCTTGGTCTGTCTAAACATGATGCTTCCATCAGGGGTAACATCCCGTCAGCCTCCCCTGCCGGCATTACGCTTAGCGAACTCTAACCCCTTGACGGCGCCGACCCAACTCGGGACGACTCATGGCGGCTACTGTGACGCAGGCTGTGGACTTCAAGCGAAGCCAATCCCTGAGTCTGGTCAGGATGGAATTGGGGCCCTTACCGAGTCCCGACCCCATCTGGAAGATTGCAGTGGAAGCGCGTCTGACGAGGGTTGGTGGAGGAATAACGGCCGACTTCTCCGTTGCCACCGCGTCGGACCATCTGTAGAGCTTCGTTGCGGACCGCCACGGCGGATTCCAGCCGAAAGTATGGGCAGCCCTGCCGGGAAGGGGACCTGGTGTTGATGGTATAAGTATGGACAACATCCCACACACTTGAGCCTCGACTTGGACCATCCTCATCCTCATCATCAGCAAGTCTGGTTCAGCACTACATTCTTTTTCTTCAACCCTTTTCTAACTATCTTCTATCGTTTTCAAGATGGCGCAGCGAGCTGCCCTCGTTTCTGCACTCTTCGCCGCGGCCAGCCGCGCGCAGCAAGCCTGCACAACCACCACCGAGACCAAGCCGACGCTTTCCTGGTCCCAGTGCACTGCTTCCGGTTGCACCAACACCTCCGGATCAGTCACCATCGACGCCAACTGGCGCTGGGCCCACGACACCTCCGGCTCGACCAACTGCTACACTGGCAACGAGTGGAACGCGTTAGTACCATTCTTCTGCTGCTACACATCCCCGATCTTTGTGCTTTAAAATGTTCCAGAATGTATCACTTTGGGATCCGTGGCAGGTGGCTAACAGGTACTAGCGAGCTCTGTCCTGACGATGAGACTTGCGCTTCCAAGTGCTGTGTCGATGGCGCTGACTATGAGGCTACCTACGGCATCACGTCCGAGGATACTGCCCTGACGCTGAGCTTCGTCAAGCAGGGAACCAACAAGAACGTCGGTAGCCGTACTTTCCTGATGGCCTCCGACACCGAGTACCAGATGTTCGAGCTGTTGGGCAAGGAGTTCACCTTCGATGTCGACGTTTCTAAGCTGCCCTGCGGCCTGAACGGAGCCCTCTACTTCGTTTCCATGGATGCCGACGGCGGCATGTCCAAGTACGCCGGCAACAAGGCCGGTGCCGAGTACGGAACCGGCTACTGTGATGCTCAGTGCCCCCGTGACCTGAAGTTTATCAACGGCCAGGCCAACGTTGACGGCTGGGAGCCATCCTCCAATGATGCCAATGCAGGGGTGGGTAGCCACGGCTCATGCTGTGCAGAGATGGACGTCTGGGAGGCCAACGTCGTCTCCACTGCCCTGACTCCTCACTCGTGCACCAACACCTCCCAGACCATGTGCGAGGGCGACAAGTGCGGAGGCACCTACTCCTCGGACCGCAACGCTGGTGTCTGCGACGCCGACGGGTGTGACTTCAACCCTTACCGCTTCGGAAACACCTCCTACTACGGCAAGGGCTCCGAGTTCGTCGACACCTCCAAGGTGTTCACCGTCGTCACTCAGTTCCTGACTGACGATGCCGGTGCCCTGAGCGAGATCAAGCGCTTCTACGTCCAGGACGGCAAGACCATTGGCAACGCCGAGTCTAACCTCGAGGGCGTGTCTGGAAACTCTATCACACCTGACTTCTGCACTGCCCAGAAGACCGCCACCAACCAGACCGACACCTTCAAGGAGAAGGGTGGCTTCGACTCCATGACCACTGCCATGAAGGACGGCATGGTCCTCGTCATGTCTCTCTGGGACGACGTAAGTTTTATTCACCCAAAACTAAACACCTCATCACTTGATACTGACGTGAAATCCACAGCACTACGCCAACATGCTCTGGCTCGACTCCACCTACCCCGTCGACTCCAAGGACCCCGGTGCTGAGCGTGGCTCCTGCGCTACCAGCTCCGGTGCCCCCGCCGACGTCGAGGACAGCGCGGCCGATGCAACCGTGATCTACTCGAACATCAAGTTCGGCGAGATCGGCAGCACCTTCGCCGCCCTCTAAATCCTCGGCGCAGGAGATGATCACACCCATTTCAACATGATGGGATGACCGACGCGCTGTTGTGTCAGAAACAACACACGACCTCCAGTGAACCTGATCGCGGAGGTCGTGGCGCCAGATAGAAGATTCACTTTTGCTTCTTGCAGGACATATATAGCATTTCCATGTACATAGCTGAACCACCATAGGCTTCACTGATTACAATTCAAGAGCAGTTTCTGCCTCTTTACTTTATCGTTCATGAAATCGCCTGTTTCGGTGCTTTAATCCTCAGATAAATTCTGTGTTCTGCTGCTGCGGGTCTTCGGACCACCCAGATATTATCGCTCTCTTGTGTAGCCCTTCTCTTTAAGAACGAACCTCCAGCTGGTAATTATTCATGTTTACTGCGTGCTCTTCGCTTGGATCTGAGAATGCAACAAATTGATCATACGAACTCAGCTTCTATAGCACCAGAAACCTCCGATTTATGATTCAGGAACAGCAGTCATTCTTCCTCCATGGCCTGAAAGCAGTAAAGATCGCTGTTTATCATGCAGTCGTAACTCATATATAATGTCATGGGGAAACTCGAAGGCGACCATCTCTGACCTGACGGATAACGCTCAACATGCTGGTATATATGCCACCTCATGCAGTCTGGATACTCAACAAAAATCGATCGCTCAAGTCCTCTTTGGCTTAAACGGTCTCCACTCCGAGACCCACGGGAAGTCTGACCAGAACTTCCGAATCGCCCTCCTCCACTTGGCAACGCTGAAGATACCTACTACGATCATGATCGTCAGGCCGCTTGGTACCGCTACCAGTGCCCACAGCCGGGTGATAGGGCCAAGGTCCTCAATCGGGTCCGTCGTCATTGAGAGCAGCGTTGCAACGAAACTGAGCGGGATGAAGAAAGTCGCAAGCCAGGTCAGCCATTCTTCGGGATGTTAGCGTGGTAGTCACCAAGTCTCAATCGATTTTCTGTCTTTGATCGACGAGGTAGAGCTGAAGAAAGGATGAGTTGGCTTACGCAGATTCTTGTTGTCCTTATAGCCCCTCCGCGAATCACCCATGTTAATCACGGCGGTGACAACATCCGTCAGGCGGTCAATCCTGCTCTGGAACTCCTCCATATACCCCAGCACAAGCGCAAAGTCCTGCTGGTACGCGTTGATGCAGTCAGTGTCCATCAGGGGGCCCAGGGCGCTGGCAAGCTTCTGGGCTGGCTCGTGGATGTTCCGGCCGGGGTGCATCCTGTTCGGGTGCGCCGTCTCCCGGAAGACGCGCAGGAACGTCTCGGCGATCATCTCGCGGTAGAGAGGCACAACCCGCCTCCAGTGGTGCAGCTTGGTGAGGTGCTCGTCGATCTGCTCCTCCTTCTCGAGGAAGTCGTCCGGGAAGGCGATCCCCCAGTCGACCTGGTTCAGGCGCGTCTTGATGTAGTCTACCATGGTGAGCCACTCCGTGCAGACGAGGTGCAGGAGGACCTGCGTCGGGATACAGATCGCGGAAGAGGGGTTGCCGGATTCCCCGAAGTTGAAGTTGCCCGGCCTCTTTGCCCAGTAAATGTAATCCTCGAAGAAATTGTCGCAGGGAGGCTCCGTGTCTTTTGGTGGGGGTTCCCCGACGGGCGGTGTCTTTGCCCAATTCCTGTACTTGAGCCACAAGGGATTCCCGCCCTTGATAGTTGGATCCAGCAAGAGTATAGCGTATGTGATGCCGTTGTCTTGCTCGGGCGCCTGTACCCAGCATGTCGCTCTGCTCCGAGTGAGTCCCACCTTGGCCTCTTTTTTGTCATGTTTGTCCCAGAAGTTGTTGCTGTTGAAATCCTGGTCCAGTCGGCGGAAGACGTTAAACTGTTTGGACTCTTCGACGCCATCTGAGAAGAGCTTGTGATTGAGAAAGTTCCTTGCCCTCACGAAGCGAAGCTGAAACCAGTTTTGGCGTCTGGAAACTATGTCGAGATTAGGTGGATCACGCCACCAGTCGCCTGTCACACACACCATGTCAGTCAGGTGAACGCAGAAGTAGGGAAGAACCTGAGTCCCAGTTGCCGTAGTTTAGTTCTTACTGGTATTATACCAAGCGTAGTCAACAATGTGTTCTCGGAAGAAAGACGGGTCGATCTTGAAGTAGTTTCCGAGGACCTCGATAACGCTGCGAGACAAGTCTTCCACCACGAACAGTCTTGTTTTCACAGACCCATTTTCGCCCATTGCGTTGAGGCAGTCCTTAAGTTCGGTAGAATCATCGAATCGCTTTTCCTCAACGCCAGGTCCTTTTTGGGGGTACTCCAGAAGGCACACATTTGTCCTTTGCATACGCTCTAGTTTGCAGGTGTCTGCCAATCGCTGTCAGCCAGGCCCAGAGGCAGCAGTCACGAACATTCACTCTGCGGGGATTCTCTTGGCTTTGACAAGTTGATGGACCATCTGCGTGGACAAGATTGAACACACCTCTTTTGTCAGGATCAGCAGGGTATGCACCTGGAGCTTGCGGGTTCCATCTGATGGGATGCGTGCCAACGTCCATGAAGTCAGCTAGCAGCTCCAAGTGCGGCCATCGAGTCACCAATGACCTGACATGGGTCAAGTACGGGCCCCTATCTCAAAAGTGTATGTTAGAACATGCGCCGGGCCATAAGGAATCAGGGTGTCATCCATACGGCTTGGGGTCGTCATGCCTCCAGCCATCGACACCCCGTCTCCATTCATCCAGTTCCTGGTGCCGGTTGACGTCCCCGTGGGTATAGGCCGTCAACCATTCCCGGACGGGAAATGGGCCCGGCCCAAGCCTAGGGCCCTTCAAATTTGGTCTTGGCATCGTGCGACGAGATTGGCCATGGTGGGTTGGTGCTTCTGGGACGGAGGTTGAGGAAACCCCTCAGAAGCCAGCGCAGCAATGAGGCTCTGCGAGAGGAGAAATGCGAGAAAAAGAGTCTGCTGGTAATGGGCCTCACAAAAGGAGCCGCACCGGGGGTAGCACTGCAGGAAGCCATTCCACTTTGGTCGGGGGATGGCTGGCTAGTCCCCGCCCAGCTGAACTGTTCGATGCAACCCCGGGGCCCATGTGCATTGGTTCATCTCTGAATCGCGGGCGAACCGCCGCAGCAGCCGAGACCGCCACGGGGGGGCCATTTAGTGGGCCTCGGCGGTAAAAACTACTCGTCGATCAACCGGGGACAGCAAATCCTACAGCTCAAAGTTTGCTGAAGAAGCAAGCCTTTAGGAATCTGTATTCGGAGTGATGGCTTACAGGAACCAGTGATATCTGGAAAAAAGGACTCCCTGGGGGCCTCGCGAGCGAAAAGGATGCAACACCGTGCTTCGTGACCCTCACAGTTCCACCACGAGTCCTCCTAATTCGGGTGCTTGAACATGCCACGAGATGCATTCTCTCCGCATAGCACTCAACGTTGCAGACACAGCAATCTTAATACTGCTCGCTACTTATGCCGATGCCGCTTCAGTCCTGGACACTGGGTTGGAGCAGACATGGCTGGGTGAGAGATTGCAAGGCATTGCGTTTTCCGTACCGAGACAGCAAGTCCAGCATTTGTAGAGGATGTGTCCAAAGCCATCATCAATGGCATACCTCCGCTTCGCTTGTTCGAATTTATCCCCATCCTTTATCACAATTTTAAGGTTTTCCAGCCTGCCTGCACGATGCCAGAGCATATGATTAGGGCGTGTTTCTTGTAGCTGTTGCTCGACCTCGGGCTTGACGTGTACACGATCAACATACCTGGATAGCCCATGCAGGTGACGCGCTTCTCCCTAAGCTTCGAGATCCGATACAACCCGTGGCAGTTGTCGCATACTTGCACATCACTAGCCGTATTCTTTGGTTTTGGTGTGATGGGTGCCGGGGTTGCCTCCGTCCGGGCCTTCCATCGAAGACTCCTCGAAATGCAATCGAAAATTGAGTGCCCGGTGGCTGGTGGCTGAGGAGACAGATGCCACGTATCAGCACTTGCGTTTAATATTCAGCTGTCGACTTTAAACATACCTGGGACGACTCGACGGCGCTTATGATGCGCTTTTCAACGGCGGGATCAGATGCTGCAAGGTCCCTGAGAATCTTTGTAATTTCATCATGAGATAGTCCAGCCAAACCGGCCTCGAGATCTTGCTTGTGCATTTTCTCTGGTTGCAACACGGTATCTAGAATGTTGAGTACCAAGACTGATATTCGTACTGCCTGTGTAGTATGAACCTACCAGGGGGAGGGGGGGTTTTCGTTTGGGTGCTGCAAGCAAGTTAATAGAATAGTGACATGATAGTGATATGCTGTCAAGGTTTTAATAATATGTTTTTTTGTATGCCTTGCATTATTTATATATTAATAATATATACTTATTTTTAATATAGTATTGATATAATATTAATATTTAATATAAAAGAGAAACAAACCTCTTTTTTTTTATTTTTAACTTAGCTACTTATTTATTCTTCATTAGCTTAATTATTAATTATAAAAGGATTTATAAAATTATGAAAATATTTTAAAAAAATTAAGTTTAAAGTTAAGATAATTTAAATTAAAGTTCTTAAAATAAAATTATAATAATACTAGCTAATACAAAGTTAATATTAATATAAGATTAATATTAATATAATTTAAAGCCTTGATATAATTTACTTTTAATAGCATTTTAATAGCCTTTTATTAGCATTTTGCTAGAATTATGAAATTTCAATTAAATGTCAAAACATAAGTGTATTGCATGACCCAGTCAGAAACCCCCCTCCCCCCTGGTGGGAAGCTTTCTGGAGAAAAGAAGACGGTTGCCAGATGTGGACGAGCATGACAAGACGAAGAGGAAGAGAGGAAACGCAAGGACAAAATTGGATGAGGCTCGTTACAGAGTTTCTCCTATCCACTGGGGGAGAGGGACTGGACCCGTCGACCTGGGAGAAGGCGAAGCTCTGTGGCGCGCATCACCTAGCGGCTTACAAGTTGGCAATTGAAGCAGGCTGCACATTCGCTCTGGGGACTGACACCCCACCTGGTGTCAACATGGCAGTAGAGCTCGAGTATGCTGTCAAGGCTGGTCTCAGTAACCTCGCGGCGATCAAGGCGGCCACGGCCAACGGTCCCCTCACCATAGGCGCACAAGCGCCCAAGACTGGGCAACTCAAGGTTGGCTACGAGGCGGATGTGCTTGGTCTCACATCCAATCCGGTTGAAGACGTCCGCGTTCTGCAAGACAAGGACAATATCAAATGGGTCTGGAAAGGAGGCAAGATATTCAAAGGCCCGGGTGTAGGTCCCTGGGGGGAAGACAAGTGGTGGGGAGACGACTGGAGCTAAGCTCGGCATCAAGGTTAACCTCACAGGGCCGTCTAAACTTGTTGACAGATTTATCGCTTTGTTGGACGGGGTTTCCAGGATATATATCACGAGTGTAATTATGATGAATCCCATCTCCGACTACCACCCATATTAAACAAGCACCACCTGTGCCTCACCAAGGCGATTATGACATATACAAAAAGAAGGAAGGTTTCACCATTAGCAGCGTGCGAACCCCGAGTGCTAGAATTATTCCATCACACTCCACTGTCAAATTGGTCAATCTCAGCTGGAGTGGCATATGCACTCCAGTTGGCACACGTGCCGTTGATCACATCGCTGTCCAGAACACCAGCGGTGCTCACCATCTCAGACTCTCGCTCCAGGAACTGGACGGCAAGGCCCCCAGACGTGTGCCACGCAATGTGGCAATGCAGGAGCCAGGCCTGAGAAGCAGATATGTCAGCACATGTACATCTAGAATCAGATTCGGGGCCAGGGCTTCTTTTGGGGTACTCACGCCGGGGTTATCGGTCTTGAAGGCAATGACCAAGTGACCGCTCGCCGGCAGCATCGCAACATCTCTGCGCGGGGAGTTCTCAAGGACAAGGTTGGTTGTCTGGTTGTTCCACGTGCCGAAGCCTTGGTCTAGGATCCAGAAGTCGTGGCCGTGCAGGTGGATCGGGTGATCCGCGGCGAAGACGGATGAAATAGCCATGTAAACCCACTTGTCGGCCTCGGGAAGCTGAAACACACGCTGCTTCTCGGTCCACGTATCGTTGCCCTCGAGGGCCTGCAGTACGGTGGGATAGTCCCACTCATTGTGGAATGAGTACCCGCCCATGGTCCATAGCAAGGCGTTCTCGGTCACCTGGACGCCGGCGTCTTGGTACTCCTCGACGTCCCAGCTGTCCGAGGCTGCCTTGCTGAGGTAGGGGACGAGGTTGGTCATTTCCTCGTCGCTGCAGGAGTCGTCATAGTCGTACGAAGATGTTGTTGGATCTTCGGTCGAGTTGCCGTATCTGATTATCCCCTTGATGTTGTCGGCTATTGCAACAGAGCAAAGTCAGCTGAATTCCTAATTCGCGCCTGACCAAGGGCATCACCTACCGCTGTCATTGTCAGAGCATGACTCTTGCGGGATAGCTCGGAGCCAGAAGTTGCCGCTGGTGTCCTCCTTTGCCTGCACGATGACATCTCCTTCTCTGACCAAGCCCGATCGAGAGGTTGGTTGTGTTGTAAGGCACGATAGGCACAAAGTCCGTAGAAATGACCTCAAGAGTGTGGTTGTCGATCATAAACTTCATGTGGTTATCTGCTCCTGTGTTCACAAGTCGCAGGCGGTACCTCTTCCCGGCCTCGAAGGCGGTCTCAAAGCGAGAGCCCGTCTCGTTGTACACATTTGTTCCATTCATAAGGCCGTTGGCAGCCGTCGGGGGTCCAGAGATGGACGCCTGCAGGGCAAGGTTGTCGGCAGTATCCTATAGTCGCGTATCTGTCAGCGTCGGCACAATTTGAAGTCTCGGAAGCACAACATACGTGGTACCAGTCATTCAAAAGCAAGTTACCGAGATCAACATCGTAGTTCGCAGTGGCGGGGCCGTTGATCAGTATACCACCAAATAGTCCGTCCCACAATTGCACGTAGAAATGCGAGTGGTACCAGGAGGATCCATATTGGGTTGCGCGCCACTTATAAGTGAAACTGTCTCCGGGGGCGATCGGACACTGAGTTACACTGGGAACGCCATCGTTGTAGTTGGTGTAGTTCTGTCTGATGCCGTGGAAATGAATAGAAGTTCCGTTGTTCTGAAGTGCATTGGTTACATGCACGACTTGGTGAATCGGTTAGTGCATTTTGTTTTCTCCAAAGGAATTAGAAGCTTGCTTACCGACCCAGTCGCCCCAGTCAGCGATGATGGTTGGACCTGGAAGAGAACCATTGACGGTCATTACAGGAATCTCAATGCCGTCTGGAGAGGCGGTGCCATTCTCGATATTGAACCAGTACTCTCGAGTGACACCAGTGTCGGGCACCGATTCGTAGTAATCAGTTGAGATCTCAAATCCTTCACTCCAGCATGATCGTGTTGAAGGAGAGTTCACGCATGCTGAAGTGGAATTGTCGGAGGGAACGGCTGCTCGGAGGACACTCAGCAAGGCAAGGAGCGATGACAGAATAAAAGATTGACAAAACATCGCGGCGGTGTAATTAAGTCCGTTCCTCAAAAAGAGAGAAACGCAGTCAGGGAAGGAACGACGAGGTCAAAAGAGTGACTGTATTGCGTACTAATTCAGTGTTGGTGAGTAAGTTATTGCAATCAGAAAGCTTGAGGGTGCATGGTTGCTTTTATAACATCGTGACCCAAGGCAAGACCCAAAGATTGCGCCCATGGAAGAGTCCTGAGACGACAATGTTACATGACTTCACAGCCTCATCAAGGCATGACGACTACTCTCATCAAGTTGTCCACATTCAAAATGGTATCCAGAGCAATACTGCATCACCCAGCCGCTTTGACCAATTGAGTGTGCCTTATTCGAGCCCCAAATTGTGGGACTCGAGTGTTACGGAACGGGTCGGAGTTGAGAATGGTGCTATGCAGATCTCCGTGGTCGAGCCCCGAAGACTCATCATCGATGCCCATCATGGGCTGTCCACGAAAATCGAATCTTCTGCAATACAAAACTCCGGCTGCAAAGTTGAGAAATATAGAATTGGGATCAACATAAAGTAGTGGAGCCCCGTTGCTATCTATGTAAGTCATGCTTAACCCACCCCCAAAGCTTGACAGTCGCCTAGGCCAATGAGGGCTTGGCGAGCAGCGGCCCGTACACCTTATGGGGAAACAAAGATTCGCGTCGTCCTGCAAAACATCGCCCGTGCGTTCCACAACAAGTGCCGGTGATGACGACCGGCGATTACGCTTTTCCAAGAGGCTCGGAGTCTCATGGAGATGAATCGCGGGGCATCTCACTGGCTTACGTACTTCTCTGGCCATAGTATTGTAAATCGGGGCCTTGTGAGCCTTGCAGCTGGCCTCCCTGTGAGCGATCTGAGAGCATGAGCAGTGATGACACTTTTCTCTCAAGTAAAATTGGAGGTTGCGTAGTGCAAGACCAGAGCCCTGCAAGGCGACGATGAGCGGGTCTGGCTACAACGCCTTCCCTAGATCTCTCTATATGTAGGCTCACAGTACTGGGTTCTCGGTGATCGTTTGAGACTTGCAAGAAAGTTTACTCTCTTTGCCATTCCTTTTCCATCGACTGCGTCACTCATTGAACTCGTACCTAACACTCTTTACCCCACAGCCCACCTGGCAACATGCAGTTCAATCTTGTCACTCTTTTGTCGCTCCAGATGAGCCTGACTTCAGCCTTGACCATTCCCAGCGGCAACGTGAAACGCAGCATTGTGAGCGATGTTGTTCTCTACGCGTACGGTCAAGGAGCCGCAGACTGGCCTATTTCATACGGGCTCAACGATAGTGAGAGAACACTGCTTGCTGGCCAGCTTTGGAACTGTGCTAAAACTCTGTGCCAGGCAAGCTCTACGTTACGGCCAACCCTGAAAATACTGCCGCAAATCTTGCTCCCGTAAAATGGAGCCTGTGAGTTGTTCCCTCTCCCGGGCCCTCCCCCCGTTGCAAATACCTCCCATCCAAGGTCAATGAAAGACGGGCTGACTTTCTACTCACAGTTCTGCGATCACCGACGAGAACTGGATGGCCAACGCAACGCTCGCCAACGGCACCGACATCGGATCTCTCTATATCATGCACCAAGACCCCTTCAACTCCGTTGACGTATCCCCAGTTGCGACCATCAGTGAGATGAACGGTACAGTCACCGGGTTCAGCCTGTTTGCCACGCAGCTGGTCTACAATGACAACTCGAACTTAGAATCTCAGTTCTGGGCCCAGTCGACGAGTACAGATGGTATCTACTCTCTGAAGTGGAACGCAGATGGTGGGATGCAAGACAACAGCTTCCCAGTGCTGCTCAAGTACGGGACTGCTACGTGAACAGCCGCTGCGGAAATGGAGTGAGAGAGCCTTAAGTCAGGGTATTCAAGGTTTCAGAACAAGGAATGAGCAGGCTATGGCATCGACGGAATCCTTCGAAAAAGCTCTTGTGGCTAGAAACCACCATTATTATTCATGTCCACGGTGAGGATAGAGTCCGGGCATTTTGAAAAACGTGTTTCGATAGTAACATTATAACACGCTCTTTACCTATCCCGAAGATGAATTGCGTTCACCAGTTCCTCAATCCAACTTTCTCACATACTCGACTGGACCAACGTATCGGTGTCGTCCCCTCAGAAGGTAATACAGAACCGAGCCAACGACCACGACACCATATATGAGGACGTTCCAATTCATAACATCAGCACTGGGGCTCGGCGACACAGGGAAAAAAGCGAAGATCAATGCAAAGATCAGGAAGGCCTCAGAAGCAATGTTCAGCGCCAACCCCCAGCGGCCCAGACTGAAGTGGCTGGGAAGCAGAGCAGCGCCAGTCCACCGGCGCCAGATCATGCAACCAATAGAACAGATATAGCTCGAGAGTAGTGCAGTCGTCGAGAGAGACGTAATGGAGTTGAGAGCAGTGGCCGAGCCGATGTTGATGAGCGAGAGCAGCGCGGACGTGAGAAACGTGACGACGATCGCGTTCATCGGGAGCTCGTTCCGCGACACCCTCGCAAACCACGGCGAGAAGGGCAAGCCCTCGTCCCTGGCGAAGGCAAAGAGCTGCCTCGAGGCCGTGGCCACGATGGAAAGGTTGGAGCTGACCAGCATCAGCAGTATGAAGACGGACATGATTGTCGCCGAGGCCGTCGACTTTGTGGAGTTGTAGAAGGCCGCCATGAACGGGTACCCCGTCGGCGATGCTAGTATGTCGTCGACGTTTGGCCCGACGCAGAAGGCAAAGGTAATGATCATTATCCAGCCCAGGAGTCCGTTGACCGCCGTTGTGAGTATCATTGACCGAGGGATAGTTTTGCTGGCGCTTTGTAACTCTTCAGACTGTGGATATAAGTTAATAACTTTGACCCAATTCCATACTTTCAAGCGTGGCCTAAAAGCTCTGAATTCTTGTGAAAGCTTCTCCACATCCCTCAAGACAGGCTCAAAACTCCCCATCTCTCTGCAGAAGAGATGTCCACGTATGAAATCACCATGTGAATGTGATACATTATGAGGTTTTCTGCGGGATAGGAGGTACACATACCATATGTGCTGCAGCGTCAGCGCCCAACAAAGGCAATATACCCGATGTGATTCCCGCAAGGGTGCTCACGCCGAGGTTATTCCAGCCTCCGCCATCGTAGAACTGGGTGAAGACTGTGGCATCGGATATACTTGGCGACATGGTCCACAGTGTTACAAGGATGCCGATGAATGCGAGGAAGTGGATCGCCAGCAAGCCAGACTCGATTTTCGGGAGGTGTCGCGCAAGAAACGTGTTGAAGAATACCGAAAAAGCAGCAATGGCTATCGTGAGCAGTGTGCCGTGCCATCCCTCGGGCACGTATGTGTCCGGGTGGTTGAGGGCGATGAGGCCCTGCACCATGGTTCCGGCCACGAAAGAGGAGCTTGCACACCCTCCTTGCCAGCCGAGGACGCAAAGCCAGCCCATAAGGTAACTGAGGAACTTCTGGTGTTTTCTTGGCGAGAATTCAGATATCCAATGATACTGGCCACCCGTTGTCGGGGCCCTAAATGATATCAGTAGCCGGTGCGAGCGGGAAGCGACTGGCACTTTCACCTACATGGATGCCATTTCCGCCATGGAAGTATTGACGAGCATGAAGCCCATCCAGCAGATAAAGAAGACCCATATGTACCCAGCCGTTCCGCCATTGACAAGGCTGATGCTAGCAAGTCTGTATGTTGCACAGTATATTTCAGCAAGATTCACATATGAAGCAAGCCTGCCTTTCTTCTCAGCATTCTTCCATACTTACGCCAGCGAGCACTCCCAGGATGCAACCAAGATCATGGAGAAAGCCCATATAGACACGAAGCGGAAGTTTCGCTAGACATGTTTAAAAACCGATCATTGATCAAATGCTTTTGAGGAACATTGACGTACCCTTAACTCCTGGACTTTGCCCATGCGGAACATATCAGCTCTATCCTCAGCAGTTCCGGTCTTCTCGTCGACATTTTCGCTGCCAGATTCGTGGTTGATCGGCTCAACCCTGTCGGTTCCAAGTGGCTTTTCTACAGTGTCCATGGTGCTCGAATGCGAGGATCGTCGCTTCAATGTGTTGTGACCAAAGGTTTCAAGATGGGAGGAACAGAATGGAAGAAAAGAGGTCTTGAAGGCCATCGCATAACATCAGAGCACTTGAAATACGCGCAAGTGAGAACTAATGCACAAAGTTGCACCACTGCAGTGCAACGGTCCTTATCAAGAGGGGTTCTCAAAAGAGGCAACGTTCTGTCCTAGGCGCATATGCCTATGCAAGGGAATGTCTCTGTGTTACATCAAACTTGATCCCACCAATCATCCTGTTCAACGTGAATGAATAGTAATCGTAGCCGAAAGACCCTGAAGAGGTTTGCCACAGCGCCAAGATCTGACACGCTTGAAAACCCACAAAATCTGGAACTATATGATGCTTCCCATTTGATTTTGATGTGAGTAGTCAAATCCACAATGTGCATAGAGACACCAGTGTCGAGAAGAAAGCTGATAGGCCGACGACCGTGTCTTGGCATTTGGCCAGTCTCCCAACATTAGACTACGCCAATGCTTGCCCCCCTTCATGTGCATAAGTATAGAACGAACACCCAAAGTCGGATAGCAGTGACTGAGTTGCCCTTGATGATCTGATGGTGTGCTGCAAATAAATCAAGTTTGAACAGTGCGCAAAAACAAAGAGCAAGATAACGCAAGAACGGCACCTTATACTTTCAATCATGTCATTAAACCTTGCTAGATTAAGTGAAGCGTCTATCTTCCTCTTCCTCATTAGCGGTGAGCGGGCGCCTCCGGCGGCTTCGAAATTCCTTCCGCCTCGGGCACATTACTTATGGTGTACATCTCGGGGTACATCATTCTTCCATCCGTCTCAGACGTGTTGCTCTGGGTTGGCAGCTCCGGATTGTAATCTCGATAGCCTGCCACCCCTTGTCTCCCCCACTGGTCCGAAGGCTCCTCCTTGACTGTTGCTGCACTATGACTACTCGTCTTTCGCCGCTTCAGCATATACCCCACAGCGCCCAGAAAGGCAAGCCCACCAACGGCTGCACCGATGCCTATTCCTATCTTTGGCGCCCGTGGAGAGACGTGGACGATCTACACTCGTGGGGCTCGCTAAGGAGCTCGATACCGAAGTAGATGGTGTAGATATCGAAGATGGCGGTGGTGTACTAGAAGCTAAAGCGAAATCATCTTTCTGCCATCGGACGTTGATAGCCGCCGCGAAAATGAGCGGGCGGTCTAGTTCCGTCACAAGGGTTTGTTGATTCGAAAGGTCCGGTACTTTGACGTTCACTGCGGATATGGCGACCGAGAAGCAGGAGAGTGTTGACCATGGTGCTGTGGCCGAGGGCGGGTCAATACTACAGGTATAGCCGCTATGCAAAATCAATGGTTCGTATTGCAAGCCCGAAGTTTAAGGAACTCTATGTCCGTCTAGTCGTGCAAATACCTCCTGTAAATTGAATTTGGAACACTTAACTCACCGTGAACAACAAGTAGCTCGAGTCTCGGTAACAGTACCGATGACTTCAGAGCTGCCACATGCTGAGACGCAGCCTGACGGGCATATCCCGGGAGAGTAGAATGCTGCAGACGTAACCAAGAAACCCGGCGGATAGCACTCGGACGTTGACGACCAACCTAAGCTGTGATATTTATGTGTGGTGGAATCAGACAAGTTGGAAAGATTGAATTGGGTGTATACAGATGAGGGGGTCAGTGTTGTAATTAAGGGACCAAGATTCGTCATTGCAGTATGTCAAACCACTGACGGTATGTTCAAGTCCCTTAGGAGATGATTTTGATGGTCACTAGCTTAAAGGTAGAAGTTGAAGTATGGGGGAGATTTCGGGACGGCTGTTATATTTGTCGATCGAAGATCACCTTCTGCGAGGAGATCAACGGAGCCCAGGTACTGTTTAAGTATTCGAGTGAGCAAATTACACCATAAGCATTGGGATACCTCATCCCGCGCCACCCGGCTCCGCCCTGGGGCGAGTAAGACATTTCGGATCATAAAACCGCCGTAATGTTCTCAGCCACTCAAGAATAAATTTGAGGCATATGCTGGATGATTGGATTAAGCAGGTCTGCCAAGGATTCCAGACTAAGTTCTTCCTATCACATTCTCCTTATTTTAAGTATGAAATCAGCTCTATTCTTGAAGGCCAAGAAGAGCATTAGCGCCCCAGTATGCTGTGCAACTGAGCCGTGGTCGGGTTCATAGTCCCAGAGAAAAGGGGTTCCGGCCCCAAAATACAAGCGCTTCTCACATGACCACGGGAGCCACAAAGCTGAAGTGTCGCAGATTCCAGTAACACAAGGCTCTATGGATCTCTACACTTCTATTCCTTCCTCCAGTGTTGAAACGGGTAGTCGCGGTTACTTACTACTACGCACTTGAGTTGGACACATCGATTTGGTGTGGTCTTTCCAGAAGTGACACGTTCAGCGGAGAATGGTTATGATGTGTGAAGTCGAATAAGTGGAACGTGACAGAAGTCAAGAGTGGGCCGCGCCGGGCGAAATTATATTCTGAGACGTAAAAAGACACCCGGAAGTACAAGGAAGAGGGGTCAAAAAAACGTTTACCTCTTTTCTCAGTTTAGAGTGCACGCCGGGTTAAGGAGGTGGAAGGGCACATGTGCAGGCTCAGCGTAGGCTAAGATGAAGCCCCTCTGCATTATGGGTTGGAAAATCCCTTGGAGAGCGTAACGAATACCTTGCTATAACCTCGGCGAGCCTGCTAGCTGTCACCGCTGTCTCCTCGGACTCCTAAGTCTCCTGTTTTTGCCCACTCTATCGCTGGCGGCAGTCGGAACTTCTTCCTAATCGGGAATAATACCATTGACGCCCGTGGCTTAGAATTTAACTCTGTAACCTGCTGCTACTTCTCTCAACCTGACTTCAGTCTGCCCTCCATAAGCAGTACATACTTCCTCAACTTAAGTACCCTCTTCCCGCTCCACTTCAAACGGTATAATGGCATAAGCTCCAATAAAGACTTCCTCTATTCTGCAATTACCCACTTGAGCACGGCAAGCACAGCAATCATGAAGCTTAGCTAAAACAATGTATCTGGGCGTTTATGCTCAATGCCACGACGCGTATTTATCTCTAACTCGCCTGTGTGAGCTTCGAGAGGTAGTCATGGGTATCATAACCCATAATGAGTTCAGAGGAGCTTTCTGGGATACTGAGCTTCTGGCAATCGCTCTAAGACGACTCCTTGTGCACCCCCACGGCCAACCCGCGTGACCATTGCAAAGTTTCGGTGAGCAGGGTAATGCGGACTGATTTGAAGAACAGCGACCGAGGCATGGGAAACTTGCTCGGATGGTGCAGAACCCAGGTCTGAGGACCGGAGCCCACCTGACACCGAATTGAACTGCCGTAAGCCAAGGACTTCGCTAGGAAAACAAGTGGCTCGGCCTCAACACAACGGCCAGTTCCGCCAGGCTGGGCAATGCCAATATCGGTGAGGAGCCGTATTCGGTGTTGCCGCGGATAAATTGCAGACAGCGTCTAGGCTGCATGTTTTGGTTGGACTGTTCGTGCCGTTCTGGGCATTCCACCCGTCTGGGACCATAGTCTAATCTTGGTATGCGGGGGATAGTTCGGGGTAGCACGAGGTATTTGGTCAGAAGAAGGTTTAGTTATGCACTATAATACTCAACACCAAGACATTTCAAGCCACCACACCGGGTCAAGAACCTCAAGATGGGTAGTTGCGTCTCGGCCAGGCTTGGAAAGCTTCTCGAGGCTTGAGGATGGCGGTCGACCGGAACTCTATAAGACGCTGTGGCCAGTCTACTTGATGATCAGTCCGCACACATCCATGCTCCTCATATACAGTTTATCATTCTTGCGCTGCCAAAGAACTATGGGTTCTAACGACCGGGCTCCAGCATATGGCACAGCCACCGATAACGAGAAGGAAGGCATCACTGGCGACAACCATGTAGAACGTGTTGAAACGCATGAAAATGACATCTCTCTGGCCAAAGTAGAGGTGGACGCCAAGCTGGATGAGTTTGGCGCTCGCAGCAAGACCAATCCAGCAGAAATCGCCCTGGTGAAGAAGCTCGACCGTACAATCCTCGTAAGTCTTTTAAAATTTAGCAATAACACTTTGATCGCTGACTCAAATGCCAACAGCCACAACTCTGGATCATGTACTTGTAAGGCGTCTTGCACATCATCTTCTGCATTGAAGACGCGTTGGTTGACCTGTATTGCAGCTTCAATTTCCTCGACCGCAATGCCCTCGTCAACGCCAAACTCAATTCTCTGGATGAGGATCTGGGTCTTCAAGGCACTGAGTACAACACTCTGATCTCCATCCTGTTTGTGGGCTACATCGCGGGGCAGATCCCCTCAAATATGATCTTGAATCGTGTTAGACCTTCGTGGTATATGGGCGGTACGTTTGTTTATTCTACCACTTTTTCCAATGCTAACCTGCAACAGGCTTCTGCATGGCTTGGTCAATTGTCTGTCTTCTAACTTTCTTGGCCAAGGACTTCGGAAGCATGCTGGCGTGCCGTTTCATGCTCGGTGTCACTGAGGCTCCTGTGAGTACCCCCGCTATGATCAACAAGGCAAAGACGTCTTGACTTACAAGAAACCGCAGTTCTACCCAGGTGCTCTCTTCCTCTTGTCACTGTTCTACACCAAGAAAGAAATCGCGACTAGAATGGCCATTTTCTACACTGGTAATATGATTGCTTCGGCCTTCGCTGGCCTGGTTGCCGCCGGTGTCTTTGCGGGACTCGATGGTACCCATGGGCTTGCTGGATGGCGCTGGTATGTTGACATCCTGCCTGCTTCCTTTTCGGCCAAACACTGATACTTTTGATCTCTAGGCTGTTCATCATTCAAGGTGCTCTGTCAATTGGTGTTGCATGCATGTCCTTCTTCCTGCTCCCGGACCATCCTCTACAGACGCGTTGGCTCAACGAAGCGGAAAGACAGCTAGCCCACAAGCGCATCGCCGCCGACACCACACAGCGCGAGGAAGCCACCAGCGTATGGATCGGTCTCCGCCAGGCCCTAGCTGACTGGCGCACCTGGGTCTTCTGCCTGATGTACAACACGCACATCTCCTCCGTCAGCTTCCAGAGCTTCCTGCCCACTGTGGTCCGCACCCTCGGATACAACACCACGACCACGCTCGCCCTTACCTGCCCCCCATACCTTCTAGCCGCGGCCATGGCAATTCTCATGTCTTACACGTCCGGCCGCTACAACGAGCGCAGCTGGCACATTACAATCTGCAAGTGCATCATCATCGTCGGCTTCATCATCCCCGCGGCCACAACAAACATCGCCGCCCGCTTCGTCGCAATCTTCATCTTCGTCACCTTCTCCTTCGGCATCAACAACATCATGCTGGGCTGGACTAGCGTGACGCTGGGCCAGACGCCTGAGAAAAAGGCTGTTGCACTCGCTCTGTGCAACTCGCTCGGTAACATGTCGAGCGTGTATACGCCGTACCTGTGGCCGAGTACGGACAACCCGAGGTTCTTGAAGGCGTGGATGGCGAGTATCTCGTTCTCGGCGGTGGCTGTGATGGCGGTGTGGATTATGAGGCTGAGTCTTCAGCGAAAGAATACGAAGCTGAGGCAGACGGCTCCGGAGACTACAGTGTTCTACGTTTACTAGAAGTCTGTATGGTGAGCGATGCAGATAGAATCAAGGGAAGATTTTCAGGATAGACTTGATTTCGTCCACAAGAAGCCGATGTACATAAGGTTGACAAACTAGACGCCCTATATTCCCTGCCTGCACGGCTTATGTATCATCCTTGTCCTGATGAGATTTGTCTTGGTCTTCTGCTGGATGTTGTAACTTCAGTGCCACGTGCATTTCATTGAGGCATCTCCTGGATTAGGCGGCGTGTCATAGCGTTGGGAGATCGGTATCGCCTGTTCTCCTCTCTGCACCACGGAGATTTCCATGCAGCCGAGCGAATTCGCAATGTCGCGTGAAGCACCGGTTAAGCCGGTGGCAGGTCGCGATACGTCATGTAAGATCAACATTGTCGAGGCCCATTGGGTGCTACGCTCTCGACGACTTTTGCGGGAGGTGCAGCTAAGGCGATTGGCGCTTCTGATTGCTCAGCGCCAAATGGCCGGCCTGGCCAATGGCGTGCATCTGCGACGGGCCAAATCTCGTGGAGCCAAATGCGAGGGCGGCGCGTAGAAGCCCCATTGGACAGGGGACGCAGCGGATGAACAGCCCCTGGCCCTTGATGGCCGGCCTCCCGCCGCCCCAGGTCCAGCAGGCCCAGCAGGCCCAGCTCTTGGTCGTGGTGGACCACAGTGGTTGCGGCCATCTTGTTTTGTTTGATCATGTTTCTTTTTATATCGACCGGGGGCTGCCCTGGGGGCGAGTCTTACCCAGAGGCCTGCGCTTTGCACATGCCTCGACTTCGTGTTTCTGTTTCCCACTTTCCCATTGAGCTGTTCGATCCTTGTTTGTTGATCTGTTTTCCGTGGCATTTCTCTGTTCCTCAACCGCTGCCTTCTCACCGCATGCATGCATCCCTTGTATACTTTGCTTTTCTAGATACCCAAGCATCTCATATCGCGGGCCGTTCCACCGGCGGCTACGAAGCGCTGCAGAATCACCATGACAGACCGCCGCGCGGATATGGATCTCCGATCTCTATACGCGGGATCCCCACGCTCTTTATCCAACGGCACCAGGACGAAAACAGACCAGAGACAAAGGCCACACGCCATCCCCGATAACTCCTACCCTGAGTCCATGACTTGTTCAGTATCTACGCTATCGTCCAATTCAGCAAGCCCCGCTCCATCGCTTGACGGCTCGAGGTCCCCCGTATTTGATACTGCAGACTATAGCGACCCGTCCTTTGTCTCTGCGGATACCATGTCCAATACCGAGGCAGCCCTTGGACCCCATTACCAACACACCTCGGAGAAACCGATCGAGGCAAAAACTAGTCAGGCTCAACTAGATGTCCAGAGGCCACAGAGTCTTGGCCTGCCCCTTCGGATGCATGATGAGGGTACCGAGCCAGGCACAAAGAAAAACTCTCAAAAGGTCGACCACCCACCCTGTAAGGGCCTCATCAGTCAGTGTGAGAAAGGCCGCACACGGCGCCTTTGAGTGAGTGACCCCACCCAAACATCACATTTGCCTTGACACATGCGCAGAGCAGTGCATTGACAGCCACATGCACAATCAGCCTGATGGCTCCACCACCGGGGAGAAGAAAGAGTGGCTTGGCTAAGACGGACCTCCTAAGGGATAGTTACCCCCACGACACAGTCGACGCCGACCCCAGCGCCGCTCTCACTTCAAGGATCGCAGCGTCCATCCTCCGGGAGGGCTATGGCGTGAGGGCAGCCAAGACCACGGTGCCGCTCAAGGTCCAGGATGCTGTAGAGAGGTGTCTCCAGGAGGTATCAACCACCGTCCAAAAGGAGCATCCGCCATGGGCTCTTCCACAGTATCGGCCGCGAGACCCCAGGCCGTACGCAGGGGACTCGGATTCGCAATCTAGGACGTCCGAAGTGGCCTCAGATCCCGAAGTCCCCGCCAATCGCACCAGGTATGGAGTCAGCAGCGGCGAGGACGAGGACCCGTTCGCGTACGACAATTCCAAGGAAAGCCTTTACCAGAAGCTGTACGGATTCGGGAGCGGTGGCCGCGGGATGAGAGCGAGACTGCACGAGGCGTCGAGGCCGTATTCGTGTCCCTTTAGGAAGAGGAACCCGGTCATGTTCAACGTCCGCGACCACGAGCATTGTGCCAAGAGGCCGTTTTTCGGGATGCAGGAGCTCAAGTATGTCATGAGATTGCAGCGGAGGGGACACGTGCTGACGTGCAGACAGACATCATATCAGAACCTACCACAGAGCGTGCGGGCCGCCGCATTCGTGCCCACGGTGCAAGGCAGGCTTCCAGAACTCGTCTGACTTGTCTGAGCATCTGATGGTGCCTGTGGAGCAAATGTGTGAACCTAATAGTGCAGCCCCGGACAATGTGATAGAGGACGGGATCACCGAGGAGATGGATCGAGCCCTTGCAGAACGGACACCGAGACATAGTGTAAAGACCTGGGAACAGATCTGGAAGCTTCTGTTTCCACAGGATGTGTCTGCTTTGGATTCAGGTGAGTCTCGAATAGTGGCTCTACATATCCTTCGTAAACTCGTGGGTAGCTGACCTCATGCCTAGAATATCTCCCGGTGGTTGAAATGGTAGAGATGGAGCAGAAGCTGGACGACAGCCAAGCAGAGCTCAGGGCGGACCTGAGCGAAAGTCTCCGAAAGCTCCTGCCCGAACAGTCGGAAGACGTGTGTTTCTTCTTGGCAGGCCAGTTCCAGCTCGTCTTCGAGCAGCACAGAGCAAAAGTCAACAGGAAGTGCCGCATCAGCGCCAGCGGGGGAGCCATTCCCTCCAGCGCGTCCGAGAAGAGCAAAAGCGATTCTTCGCGCATGTCACGGTTCTCTATGCGAAATTTCGACCCGGCAACTCTGAAAGCCCCGACCATCCACGGAAGGAGTGCAAGCCAGCTGTCATCACCAAGGTCACAGGGCCGCCGGCAGTCGCAGGCGCAGGCGATCCCGCCCAGGACAACCGTCTCACCGGCCAGCACCTCGTCCTCCGTGTACTCACAAGACCCGGTCCCCCCGGTGTCGAATAGGTCCAGGACGACGACGCGCTCGAGTATCCTCAGCATGAGCGGCATGCAGGTTGAGAGCCCGCGGCTCCCGTTCAAGGACTGGGTCCAGGGAGTCAAGTTCAGCGCCACCAACAGCGAGGACAAGAACTACCAGCGCGATTCTGGGCTAGCGATGGAGCTGTGCGAGACCTGCCAGATGGATCCCTGCCAGTGCGAGGGCTACAACGGCTACGCGGACCAGCTGTCTGCCTTCATGACCCCGGCGCCTAATACCCATCAGCCCCCCTCTGGCCTGGCACCGTACTCGGCGATGGAACAAGTGAGCGAGGACGAGGAGGTGGACTGGGCGGCGCAGTATGGAAATAATTCCCTGACTCCTGGCGTGCCCTCATCAGGCCAGAGGCTGCAGATGAAGGGCAGCAGGATGGGGCTTAATGCTCAGAGTGCCCAAGCGAATAGGCTGGCACCGACGGCTGGGCAGGCCCAGCAGGGGTTTATCTAATTACCTCAACCTCGACCAAGAGCCGTGTAATACACTAGATCATACATATCCAAAATATGGGTATCTTTATCATCCTTTATAGGTCTCCGGTGACTCAGGGCGCCTGGTAGTAGCATCTAGGAACACTTGACGCTATTTGGAAGCCACAGCGAGACATTTCAAAGTTTGTCTTACGCTGGCCATGGCAAATCATCTGGGACTCTGGTGGGTATTATTTATTATACATTAATGTCCATTTCAACACCTTGATTCACGCAGTGATACTACCGGCACTTCATGATTGCAGGAGATGGATCTGTAGAGGGTTTTCCCTAACCGTATTGTGTAGAAGAGGTCGCCTATCGGAATTGAGCCCATCATTCTGAACGGCTCACCCACCGCCGCAAATCCGACGCGGCGCTTGGAGCCCAGGAGACTCCTGCGTGGATATTCTGCACGACCCTCGAGGCGTCGCTGATGTCCCGTCCCAACAGGGCAACCGTCGCCCAAGTCGGGACGAATCCTCTCCAACCGCCGCGGCGCTCCCTGGCCGTATCCGTCCTTTCCTTTCGTCCCACTTCAAGTTCTAGTATTCTCTCTTGGAGCTCGGCCATCCGCTCCTTGTGGGTATGGGCAAGTTCCGCCCTTGTGTGTCGTAGCTCGACCTTCAGTCTTCTCATTTTTATCTTTGCCGTTCGATTCTTGTGGGCATGTGCATGTCTCTCCTTTTTGTCGACCCGCTTGCACTCGAGGAAACCCAGTCTTGACTTCTTGAGCTTGTATCTCATCTTTGCCAGGCCCATGTCATGCTGCCTCTGGTACTTGGAAGCCGCAATCTCCATCTCCTTCACCTCCGCTCTCTTGAGCTTTGCCGCGTATTTGCCGACATCCTTGGATCCTGACGTTTCTGTATTCTTGAGACTCGTGCTGTTCTCGCGGCGAAATGGCTTTGAAAGAACAGATCCATTTGCTGGGTACAAAAGCCGGCTCTCTCGCATGAGATCCGCGCCGGATGTGCGAGCGCAGCACACGGAGGGATCACTCAAAGCCCGTGGTCGCGAGGATGAAGTCGCAGAGAAGGCAAACGTAGAGTTTTGAGTCGGTAAAATCCCACTGCGGAAATCGTTCGCATGCTGTGTCTCGAGCTGCAGTGAACATAATAAGAACCAGTCAGCAAGAGAACCCAACTGGCAAGTCACATCAGCTCGCCCGGCGGCCCCGATATTCGCCTGCTGCCATCACCGTAGAGACAGCGCCCGCGAGCGCTCGAGCAGGCCGGATCGGTAGCCTCAGCACCGGGCCCCGCTGCTATGACGGGCGCTCTCCAGCACGACCATTAGGTGTCATCAGGCAGGCCATGGTAGCAGGAGCATCTGAGATGCCCTGGCCGATATCTCATTCGCCCGCACTGCGCGCCCTGCAATAGGGACGCAGCATATCGTACCCCACATCCGAGACAAGGACGGGTGCGAAGCTGGCGGCTGCTCCTATGACGGAGATAGACGGGATGTAGGCAGTCTATCCGAGGGCCGACAACACAGTTCTTCCTCGTCACCTGCTTCGAGATCACCGAAGGCTTGGCCTCAGGAGGGTCCTGCCCGACAACCCAGAGTTGGGGCGTTTGGTATAGCAGGGCCGCTTATGCCCTGGTGTGGCTTGGTGGTGACGAGGGAACTGGGCTTGGCGACCACTCCCTTGGGGGTACCGCGATGACTGGTCGAGGCACATCCCCCGAGGGACTTGTTTGCGTCCACCGTTTTCCGTCGGCCCTGGAAGGCGACAAGGGGACCGGCCCCGGACGAGCTGACGCTGGGGCAGAGATAGAGAGAAGTCTGGACTTGCCTGTGTGGTTGGTGGGATGCTGGCATCCCTGTTTGGGGTCTCCCTGGGGCTGGGCAGGTGGCCTGTGAATGCGATTCTCTTTCGAGGGCGAGGCATTTTCGGCAGCAGATCTGTGATCTGGAGGACAAGCCAGTCGTGGGCGGCTGACTCGCCTCTCTGCACCAAGAAGCAGGGACAAAGGGGAAGAAATGTGGTGATAGGATACCTGGAAGTCTTGCGCTCGTGGAAGAATGATGCAGAGAAGTTGAACGGTCAAAAAGGTTGACGTTCAGAAGTTGTCGAAGGAAGCAAGCTTTGACGGCCAAGGGCTGAGGTGAAGGTATTGGGTACCAAAGTGGGATTTTTGAAAGTGAATTACCAAACCGAGCGTACTGCATGTGATGATGTAGGAGAGGTTCCGTGGAGAGGAGCTGGGACAATGGAGGGGGGGAAATGGAAACGGTTGTGCATTCACTCGAAGCACGCAGACGTTAGATCTTCCTTCACTGACTCCTTGTCTAGCCTGCTGGAAGTGAAGTTTTGGGAGGCCCCCGGCTCATATTCACCCATTCACTCGGGTGAAAGGCTTATTGGCATTCATAGTCGGCATACATGATCAATAGCCCATTGCGTTTGGAGCTCGAGGGTTGCCCCAACTCATAGACTGTACTTGAGGGCCGCATCTCTGGAAAGACCACTTCGGTGTTTCCCTGCGTCGTCTACAACAAATTTGGTGGCGGCGCTGTCACAAATTCAAATTGAGCATGCCTGTGGTTCGTTCTCCATTCCCAGGCTGATCACACTCCTAATGGCAATCTTGGCGATTCCGGTTGTAGTCAAAGTCGTCCCTGGCATGCTGGGTCGTATATTGAATCTAGTCTACGCTATATCACGATGCAATCGTATCGGCCATGTGATGTGCTGTGTATCGAATGGGGCGTTGCACCTTGAGGAATGTCCAGCTTTTAGCTCATTTCATAGGAAATTTCACTTGTCCGTCTACAGGACTTCCCAAATCTCACGAGCTTGCCGCATCAGTCCGACAACTGTGAGACAGCATCAGGGGCCTCGTAGCCATATTCATCAGCAAACTGGGCGTAGAAGGCACAGATACCACGATGAATATGCCCCGAGTCCTTGTAGTCAACCCCCTTGAAGTCCACACCCTCCATCTCCCAGAAGTAGGCCTCGTTGATCTCGAACAAGCGCTCAACCACGGGGACCGGTGGCTTCTGGTTATTCTTGAAGAAGACGATCGCGACAGCAAGCTTGAGGATCGCCGCACCGCCCTTCTTCTTGACTCTCTTCAATCCAGGGGGGTGCTCCAAGTCTATCGTCTGCGACCTTGTCATCTCATGCCACGTCCCCTGCGAGCTCAGCGTCTGCGAATCTGTCGTTTGCGAGTCCGCCGCCTGTGACTCGCCCCTCTGCAGCTCCACCAGTTTCTTTTCGGATGGCGGGGGCGGAGAGAAGAGATGAGCAAGCTTCTCTTCGTAAGCGGGATGCCCCAGGAGCTGAAAATCATAGAGCCGTAGTAAGTCCTCGAAGCGCTCCATTATGATGAGAACGGGAGGCGTTGGACACGAATGCTTTCTGTGACGGCCTCGCGGTATGAGACCATCTTGCTGAGCGCCTCGTCCAGACCGAGGTTCTGCGGCCGGATCGTTGTTTCGTAGTACTTCCGCTGCAGGTATGCGATCACGGCAGCGACAGAGCGTGATCGGCCGGACTTGCAGTGGACCAGGATGTTGCGGCCTTCTCTCAGATTGGTAGCCAAGAAGTCGTTTGTCTGGTCAAAGTATTCCATGAGGTCGGCATTCGCCTTGTCCTCGAGAGGGATCATGAGGTGGTGCTTGACTGAGCATGACGAGGTGGGGTTTGAAAAGCGACGAAGCGCGTACGAGGTGTCGGTGGGATGCCATGCGAGCAGGTCTTTGGGGTGGATGCTGATTGCGGCAGAGATGTCATGCTCGCGGAGGGTGTCGTCGTTGAGAGCATGGTTCATGCCGCCCAAGAAGACGCGGCCCGGGCCGTCCAAGTCATCATGGCTGATGAGAGACAAAGAGTCGGTGTTGTTTGCGACCCATGTCCTGATCCCTGCCCATATCAGATCCTTGAGGAAGCTGAGACTGGGGGAACTGTCAAGTGTGTCGAGGGCGTCGTAACTCTTGAAGCACGACTCGGCGTCTGGCGCCCCGTTCTCTGCAAAGAGGTCAAGCCAGGCGGTGGAGACGTAGCTTGACATCTTGGACGGTGGACTTGGGGTATGATGTCACCTGGCAGGTACGTACGAATCCATTCAAGCGGGGCCTGAACTCATGTGCACCGCGGGTCCCGAAGTCTACAGCTTGCGATAAGAACTGAAAAGTCGTCGAGAGTGACTCGGTGGCTATGTCTAACTGGCAGAAAAGCTGACGTTTGATAGACACACTGAGTAACAGCCACGGTCTAACCGAATCAGGAAGACCACCCTGGTCATGCTCATGGGTATCCCGGCCAGGCTGACGTGGTACTACAACGACCAACCCCCTCCTCGGAAACGCAAACAAGCAATGCTGAGATCAGTATCCTACTTCCGAGACAGAACACCGGGCCGATATGCTGGACATCTCGACGTCTACATGTTGCTGTGTAGAAAGGGAGCTTCGAGTTTTTCTAGCAGCCACATCTTGCTGTTCAACGCAGACGTGCCGTCGCCCATCTGCCCTGGGATACAGTCCCTTTGCGAGACACCAGCTCCGTTCAGTTCAACGGCTCTCACGGATGTATCTCGCCGGGATGCCGCCATGTCAGACTCCCCAAAGTCGACCATTAGGCGAGGCACTATCAGGTTTCTAGTAGCAACATGTGCCCGTTATCATGTGAACCTTGATAGAAAACCTGGGGTAGTATTTGCTGCGAGCCAAGACGAGCCAAGCCCGCAGATATCGACCTGCGCGTCTAGAACGTACAATTACAACCACTCGCAGCCTGCATATGCCAGACATTGCTGATCAGGATAGGCAGGAAGATTGCCTATCCTATCTTTGCGATCAGAACCCGGATTGCGAGATGCTGGCATAGTATCGCTTGATATCAATAGTCTCAACTGCGCTTAGGCTACAACACCTGCCCGCGGCCGGCGATGGCCTCTGCTGACAACTCCTTCACACCCTCTTGCCTTGGCACGCGCACGGTGGTTTGCTACCTCGGAATCGTCGTCGCCAACGCCATTCGGCGAATTGCTGGGCATCCTCGTTATCTCTTCGTTTGCGGAAGGCGATTATGCAGTTGTGGTGTGTCTCGGCCGTAGTAAACTTGGAAATGCAATGATACTACGTCTTAAGTTCAGATATCGCCTGCCCCAGTTACATTGTCCCGGCTTCCAAGGGCAGTGATAGGGTCAGTTCACGCGAATATGTCGATCTCCTTCCTCATTTCTTCCCTGGCGCAGCTCATGAGTCTTGGTGTCCTTGAAAGCAGATGGCGCTATTGTGCATTCGTTCTCTCCAAACGGAAGGAGAGTAGACAGTTGATATCGTAAATACCTTGTTGAAGATTGAAGATCACTATAAAAGAGATGCCGGAAGCCATGAAGGTGGTCTCAATATTCTCATCCTCAGTTAACATCTCAACGCGACGACGTCCCTGAAAAGATCCAGACCAGTTCAGCCCAACTTGATACTAGTTCAGTTACTCATAGATCCTCATCAAGATGAAGACTGCTGCTATTCTGTCTCTGTTGCCTCTGGCACTGGCTTTTCGGGCCCAGAAGCGCACAGGCGAACCCGCTCCTATTCTGAAGCCCCGGGACGTCGAGGCCCTTCTCGAAAACAAGTACATTGTCAAGATGAAGGACGATGCCTCTCAGGAATCCATCGACTATGCCAACGAGCTTTTCGAGGGTGAAGCGTACCAGAAGTGGGACGCTGATAAGCAGTTCAAGGGATTCGCGGCCCAAATCACTGGCGAGTCTCTTGACGCCATTGCGGAGTTGGAAGATGTAAGTGAGAGAGACTTTGGACCAGCCCCTACCTTGGGCACAGCAGCTAATGTTGACTCGTTTCCGGTAGGTTGAGTACATTGAGCAGGATGCCATCATCAAGATCGACTACATTCCTGAGGAGGTGACCACCACCGAGACAGCCAAGCGCGCCTTGACCAGCACGACTGCTGCCTCTTGGGGGCTGGGGCGTATCTCGCATAAGGCTCGGACGCTGACCCCCTACGTCTATGACACCTCCGCCGGCAGCGGAGTGTGCGCCTATGTCATCGACACCGGCATCCTCACCTCTCACTCTGTAAGGTCTTGTCCCAGGAAGGGCCTGTGTGTGGAGACTTGACAGCTGACCGAAAACCCTACTTTAGCAATTCGGCGGCCGGGCCACATTCCTCGCCAACTACGCCGACAGCAGCAACACTGACGGGAACGGGCACGGGACCCACGTCGCCGGCACCATCGGCGGGAGCACCTACGGAGTCGCCAAGGCCGTCACGCTGTACGCGGTCAAGGTGCTCGACTCCAGCGGGTCCGGCACCAACTCGGGCGTCATCTCCGGCATCAATTACGTGGCGACCGACGCCCCTAAGCGCTCCTGCTCCTCCGTGGCCAACATGTCGCTCGGCGGCTCAAAGTCCACCGCCGTGAACTCGGCCGCCGCTGCCCTCGTCCAGGCCGGCGTCTTCCTCGCCGTCGCCGCCGGCAACAGCGGTGCCAACGCGGCCAACTACTCGCCTGCTTCCGAGACGACCGCCTGCACCGTCGGCGCGACCACCAACACTGACACCCTGGCGTCCTACTCCAACTACGGCTCTGTTGTCGACATCCTCGCCCCCGGAAGCAGCATCGTCAGCTCCTACATCGGAAGCACCAGCGCTACTGTGAGTTTGATCACTGCACCAGGACTCACACAACCTTGATTGTCAGAGCACTGCTAATTTTGAAACCCACCACAGGCTACCCTCTCCGGAACCTCCATGGCTTCCCCCCACATCGCCGGCCTGGGTGCTTACTTCCTGGCCCTGCAGGGCTCCATGACCCCGGCGGCCCTGTGCACCTACATCCGCAACAACGCCAACTCTGGCGTCATCACCGGTGTCCCCTCGGGTACGCCCAACCTGCTCGCGTACAACGGTGCAGCTTAACCAGATAATCTCAGGTCCGCACATGCAAAGACTGAGTCCCAGGGACGTTTGAAATGGAAGAGAGCGTAGATCAGAGCGGAATCTAGGAGATCTCTCTTTTTTAGTTACACAGGGGGGGGGGAGGGATTCGGCGTGTAGATTGGAAGTGATGAGGTAACTAGGATAAACAGCAGTCAAAGCATGCAGGGTACAATGCGATCGCGCAATTGTTTGCCAAGACTTTCCCTTAAAGATGATGTCCTAAGCAAAAGGAATGTCCAACCTTCTGCCAGCTCCTCGTTCCCAAACAGTGGACAGGCACGGGTGGTTTTGGAAGGGAGAGGATTCCAACGCCGGGCCCCATCTGTATGAGCGAGTGCTTCGAAAGCTAGGTCTATCAGAACTACTGACTAGCAGATCTACGTGTCCCAATCACAGGTCGGGTTACTTTCAGAAATTATAATCCTAACGGCCGCCGAACTACAGTGAGTAGCAGGAATCTGAGGCTTTGATGCAGTTGGAGGTATGCTCCAATGAGTTTGCCAATGACATACACCTCCGTAAAATTCAATAGTCATGGTGAGCAAACTCGTGTTGTAGTAAGCAGCGGGTAATGGACTCCGCTGAGCTGATGAGGCATGTGGATTTCGTATTCGTGAAGGGGAACGGCAATTTAATATAGCCTTATCGTGCTCAACGAGTCAGTCACACCGACCTTGTCTCGGTGTTGCCACATTGTTCACAGTCATTGATCACCAGTAATTTGGACACGTAATTTGGTAAACGCTTTGCTACTACTGGATTGTCTGGGCCATGAAATGGAGCCACTGGGTGCCACATGCGTAGCCGGCGTTGCCTTTGACCCACGGGGGATATCCGCTGCGCTGCTGCAAGTCATTTTTGAAGAGAACATATATTGGCACAGATAGAAACGGAAGGTACACCGGTACATCTCTCGGGCTATAGCTGCAGCTACAACACTCACACGCCTAATTTGCATTGGGTGTATAGGTGCTAGGTATGTAAATTAAGCGCGTATAAAATAGGCGCAAAGGTATTAGGCGCATACGTGTTGGGCATATGGGTGTTGGGTATTTAGGTGTTGGAGATATAGGTATACGGGTGTATGGGTATTGAGTGTCTGAGTATTAGGTGTTTAGGTATTAGGTGTTTAGGTGCAAGGTGTCTGGGTATTAGGTGTATGGGTATTGGTTGTATGGGTATTGGGCGTATGGGTGTTGGACGTATGGGTGTTTGGTGTTAGGCGTGTGAATTAGGCGTGGGTGTTGACTTAGTGCTGGCGATGAACTGGTGTACCATCCATTTCTACCGGTGCGAATATCCGTTCTCTTTTTGAAAGCGCCAATGCTATCAATGATGATCAGCCTCCATTCTGGACGAGGTCATGGAGCTCTTCATTGGTCACACTAAGTCCAAATGCCTCATACAATCGGAATGTTGGGAGTGGATACACATCCATCCTACTTGCCGGCCTCAGGTTTTCGGATCTTGTCTCGAATAATAGTACCAACAATGACCGTTGGACATACGCAAATCACGGAAACACAGATTTGGAGCTTTGTGAATGAAATTTTGAAAATTGGCATGCATGCCTTTGCCAGCGTACTTCAAGAGTATGCGAAACTATATGCTAGTTACAAAGCTAAGTAAAAATTTCAGACCTTCTCCTCGCTCTTCTCAACATGGTCCGCCCGAGACGCCCCGGCCTCCTCAACCTTCTTGTCGTAGACCACGTCGAGCTCGTCGGCGTCCTTGTTGCCGTGGAGGCCGATCTTATACCAGGGCAGGGCGAAGAGGCGGTCCATGCTCTCGAGGCTGCGGCCGGCGGTCTCGGGGACGAAGAACCAGACCCAGGCGCCGCCGAGGACGGTCACGGCGCCGAAGCACCAGAACGTGCCGGCGGGGGAGATGCCGCCCGAGGAGGTGGGGAGCAGCATGTTGGGCAGGGCGCGCGAGTTGCCGTACTGGTTGGCGAAGTGGGCGGTCATGGCGATGGAGGTGGCCAGGGCGCGGATGCGCAGCGGGAACAGCTCGGCCGTGAGCAGGTACTGCATCGAGTTCCAGCCCAGGGCCCAGCCGAAGCCGGACAGGTAGATCATGAAGATGGCGCCCTTGGAGGGCCCCGTCTCGTTGGCGGTCAGCTCGTAGTCCTCGACCAGGCCGAGCTCCGGGACGCCCGTCAGGAAGCCGGCCACGTAGATCATGGCGACGGCCTGCAGGGTGATGCCGATGAGCAGCGAGCGCTTGCGGCCGACGACGTCGACCAGGAAGAGCGCGCAGCCGATGGCGGCGACGAGCTTGACGATTCCGAAGACGGCCGTGACGAGCAGGGACTCGTTGGTGCCCGTGATGCCCATGAGCGCGAACAGGTCTGGTGCGTAGAGCGTGATCGAGCCGGCTCCGCTCCACTGGCTCATGAGCTGGGCGCCGATGGCCAGGTAGAACCTGTACAGGTTGGACGGGATGAAGAGGAGCTCCTTGATCATGCCCCAGAAGGTCGTGCCCTTGGTAGCCTCCATCTCCTCGTGGTGCTGCATGGTGATGGCGGCGATCTCCTCAGCCACATAAGGGTGGTCAGGCGGAAGGTGGCGCAGCCGCGACATGTTTTGGAGAGCCTTGTCACCCTTACCCTGCTTGATGAGGAAACGAGGCGACTCGTACTGGAGGAACGTCAGGAAGAAGCTGAGGCCGGCGAAGATGATGTGCACGCTGGTAGGCACGAGCCACCGAGCGTGAGTGGTGTCGCCGATGTTGATCTGGCATCCGTAGTTGGCGAAATAGGCGAGGACGATGCCCAGGTAGACGAAGCCGGTGAATATACAGGTACAGAGACCTCGGATGGCGGCAGGAGCAATCTCTGCGATGTAGACCGGTCCTACCACTGGCGTTTGCCCTACCCCTAAGCCTGCTATGAAGCGGCCAGCGTAAATAAGACCTAAGCTTCCACCATGACCCATGAAGAGGGCTATTCCGACAATCCACAGAATGCAGAGGACACGGGTAGCCCAGATACGGCCAATGCGATCTGCTATGACGAAGGCAAACAAAGCCCCGCCAACAGAGCCAATCTGGACCATTGCCGAGACATTGGCCTTGATGTTGGCCTGTGCGACCTCGTCGTAGGAGTCATAGTGAATCGTAGCCTGGAAGTCCTTGGAGTTGAACGCCCCATTGATGAGGCCCTCGTCCACTCCTCTCGCCGCGCCCAGGAGGCCGAAAGAAAAGACCGAGAACCACAGGCGCCAGTTGAAGACCTCCTTGGGCAGCCCAAGGTTCTTCAGCCGGAAGATGTTGACGGGCTTCTTGACACCACCAGCCATTTTGACGTCTTGTCGCCCAGCCTGTCGCCGAGCTTGTGGCGTGCGAGTAGGTTAACTTGGCGGGACAGACAAGAAGACGGGGGGGGGGGGGCGGGGGGATGCTTGGGGAGCTTAGGGGTCTTGGTGGACGGCTGGGCAGACGAATCGTGGGACTGGAGGGTCTTATATTCCCTTGGCCACCCACACCCACGAAAGGAGCCGCTTCACTTGAGGGGTAGGAAAAAAAGCACACATTGTACTACGGGAACCCCTGTGCCATTTGTCAAGCCCCGTTGTGACGGGTTGGGATAAGGAATGGCCAATCCATGAAGACCAAGGATGGATGGAACCACTTCACGAGCCTCCAAGCCCGGAAACCCAAGCGGTCAACTCAGCAAAACCATGCAGATGTGGGCTACCCCGTCCCCTCCCCTCTTCCGCCGAGCAAAGTCGAGGTCTTGGACACATTCATATGTATGTCATTGCGAGGGCAGTGTGGTACTTGTGTCGCGATCGTGACCTCGAACCGTCACCTAACAGAAATGCTTCCCGGGCCCAAACTATTCAGCTAGTTGGGGAGGCCAGGCCGCACGGCTTCGCATGTACAGGCCTGTCAGCGAGGGGGTTGGCGTCGGATATTAATCCGTCGGATTACCAGAAAGGGCCAACCCTGCCGAGGTGAGCACAGCGAGAACGCGTGCAAAAACCTGGCGAAGAGATACCCACCCCGTGCCACCTCCTGCGCCGGGACGCAGGACGTGTCCATTGTCGACGCCGGAAGAGGGCGACCTCAGGCCATTTCCAAGCCTCGCCCGCGTTCACACCCCAGGCAGCTCCCTGTCGTCTCCTGTCGGGGGGCGGCACAGGCTTCGGCCCTACTTGTATGTGGCGTCTGACGATCGGTCTAGCGAAGGGGGGTTTGCGGTACTAACTGCTCTGAGTGGCTAGGAAAGGCTACCGGTAATGCAGTTGGCGGGTCTATTACCGCGAGGGCAGGATCTGGCGGGCAGCGAGTGCCGGAGATCAACCATCAGATCCCTAGCGTTGGGGGCGGGTAGTAATCAAGGAGTGGCGAGGAGCAGGCTAGAATATTTCTCGCGACATGCTCACATGCAGAACACCCTAATATTTTGGCCTAGTTCCGCACCAGACAAACAAACCTCTCGAGACATCGAGAGTTGTATATATCACGCAGCGTCGAGCAATATGCGGTCGTCCCGGCATGCTGTTCAAGAGTTGCAGTGAGGTCGAGCGCGGTTGCATTCGCGTGGCCTGCCACGCAGCAGGGCACGCAGTGGGACAGGCTGGACCCATGGGAGAGCTGGCCAGAACCGACTCGAGGTCCCCAGCAGTGGCCCCGTTCAACTGAAGTGGTGCTGTGCCAAGAGGCCCGGCTGGCCCTCATTGGCCCTCCGCGCACGCGAGGGCTTGGTCGGGCGCACCCAACTCCTCGGATCACTTGCGGGGTCCCCAGACTGCCAGATTTACCTGAGCGTCTCTGGCCACGCAGCCAAGAAAAGGCCAAGGCGGTCATCCCAACAAGGGTGGAAGCCAACTGACTGATGCCAATTTCAAAGGGGCGCGCTGTTCCCGACGGCTGGCCGAGGTTCGCTGGTGAGGACGACATCCGAGCAGCACATCGCTCGCATGATGCTTCGTGTCGCGATAAATGGCGGGATATCTTCGGCCTGGCAGTGTGCATGCAGTGCTAGCCTAGCCTGTCGCTGCTCAGCGCTACTGTCTTGGTGTGAACTGAACCGTGGTCAAACGCACTGGGCACACCGACAGGTAACAATCTTGGGCTGCCGTGGCTCATTAATAATCCAGTCGCTCCGACGGTTCGTGGGGGTAAACGCCTGCAGGGGCCTGGGGTCCAACAGGTGGGCCCAGGCAACATGAGTGGGTACTACACTCGACCAACATTAATATTGTTAGCTCGACATGAAGTGGATATACGTGGAGAAGTAGAGAACATCAACTTGCACTCAAATTCTGTGGAAAGAGAAGTCCTGCTACTTATTCTCCATAAATATCCGAGGAAAAGAGGGTATTTCAGAGGGTTAGGCAGGCAGGCGATCCAATCCAACCTGATAGCGAGGGCAAGTGGATGCTCCTGCCGAACTAACAAAATTAATGTCGGTCGAGTGTATTGTCACTTGCCTGGTTTGCCCCACGGGGAAAAAAAGCTTTCAACAGCCAAGCGAAAGAAGGTGGGAAAGAGGACTGTGAGCTTCGCTTGCCATTTCGCCGAAAAGAATGGGGACTGATTCGAGCTGATTGGAAAGTCTACCTGTCGCGTAAGAAGCTCTGCTCAGGATTACCTCACCAAAATTGCCCTCGTGCATTGACTTGCTAGGCTTGCGTGGCGGCGGAGAAGATCATGTCCAGACTGCCCGATTGCCAGAACTCCATGCCCAGGGGGGTCAAATGCAGGATGGAGCAACGCGAGCTACCATGGTCCTTCGTTCCTCTTCTCGGACGACGACTCAGGCTCGGAGACCCAAGCATTACAGCACGGCCATGTGGCCCTCGAATTTCAAGGTTCGAGCTTCTGCAACGGCCGAGTTCCGAGCTGTCGGTTGGCCGCCGGCCCGCCCCTGCTTGGGCGGCAGTCAGACATGCTGGCCGAGCCGGCGTCCCCGAATCGGCATCCGGAGAATCTAGGCGCTTCGTTTCAACAAGTGATTCGCCTGGAAATTCGGGTTAGCCAATCGACTTGTATGATTCCAACTCGAGATGCTACTGATGGACAATACATGAATCTCCCCCAATTGACTCTGTGCGAAGAACTTTGGAAGCAATGTCAATTAGCAGGGAAGACTTGGAGGAATCGAGGCTGCTTCTCACTGACTTCACTCTCTGGCTGGTGATAATCCAGAGTCCGCCGGGTCAGCTACTTATACAGCCAGCAAGGCGGGCACCAACACCTGAGCTTCAATAACCATAACTGGTCTGGTGGTCTAGTGGTATGATTCGCGCTTAGGGAACACCCTGAAGCTTCACTGCGCGAGGGTAAGTCAATTCAGATCCACTTGCAAAATTTGCAGCGTAACTAACAGTCACCAGTCCCGGGTTCAATCCCCGGCCAGACCCAACTACTCATCTTTTTTGCTATTTCTTATTCTTCGAACCTCCCAGAGTTTGGCGTGATGCTGCTATCCTTGACCTGAGATGTCGGGTAGCCTCTCGAAGGTTTCGCACCGTTGGACCGCGTTGCAGTCCGTGTTGTGCTCTGATAGCAGGTCCACTGGCCTCGAAAAACGTTACAGCTTGTACCCACAAGTGTTGGTATGCCTTCTGTGGCCAGCAGATGCAATTGTTGACAGGAACGGAGGCCCGATCGAGCTTGTGTCGACAAATGCCAACCACGTGCAGTCACATCCCGTGCGGCTAGGTTTGCGTCCTAATAACCACTGGCCTCAGCTCCAACACGACCGATGCTTACCGAGCAAAACAAGGAGGGTGGGAGGCTGGGAAGTTGAAGTTGAAATGCAATGATACTATGAAGTCGGGATTTCAGCCTCAACGGTGGCACCAAAGCCGTCTCTTTTGTAGCCACTAGAGTTCGTTCGTACGCAATTCAGACGATCTTGGAATCGCGTGAGCTGGGACGGGCCGGTGCCTCTAATGCAGGTGCTCGACCGTGATGACTACTGTACTCTGCGACCCAGCAGCCTGGCAGCCCAACAAAGCGCCCGGAGATAAGTCGCAGACGCGAAAGATTTGAGATGGGGTTATGTTTAATGCGCACAGACGTGCGGCCCCCAATGACAGCTTCTCACGAGGGGAACATGCACAGGTGATTGGGCTGTGACGGACGCGAAGGCTTGCGCGTCCTCCTTGCCCTCCCGTGCTCGCTTGACCAGAGCCGTAACCTTTCTTGGCACACCCCCGATCACATCTGCCATAGCGCCTCGGAGATGCACCGCATCGGGACAGGAAATGGCCTCTGCGCACATGCTATACCGCTATATCCTGTTAGAAAACTGGTACGCCTGCCAGAGTTACAACTTTTATATTGACTAGGCGTTAGACATCGCGGGGACATCGGTCGTTTTCAGCCTCCAACGTGGTCAAGTGAGTGTTCTCATTCGCAGGTGACCTGCAAGGCCCCTGGTCTGGATCCCGACTAGCACCGCGATAGTTCCCGCCAGCGTAATGAAAGATGATGTATGGTGCAGCGGCACGCACGGCACTCGTCGCGCTGTGTGGTTGCGATCAAGCACAGGATACTCGGTCAATGGATGGGGGATTCATGATGCTGGCTGTGGTAGCATCGACAGCCATGCACAAGGCCTTACTTAAAGCACTGCTTGTCCTCACACAAACTCGTCCATGACCATGTGGATCTGCCAGTCCATCATCGGTGTTCTCACATCCAACAGGACAGCAAGTCGCTCGATCACCAACGGCAGGGAAACAGCAAGATGACTCTTCGTCCACTGCTAACGGCCGCGCTCGCGGCGACAACGGCCCTCTGCAAGCCCACCATCCTCAAAAGTCGTGCCGTCATTGACCATGATGCGGTCGTTGGTTTTGCCGAGGCCGTGCCGGACAATAGCGAAGGGGACCTGATGTTGGCGTACAAGCCATATCTCAAGGTCTTCAACGGCTGCGTTCCCTTCCCTGCGGTGGATGCGGATGGAAACACCTCGTGAGTGCTGAAGCTCCAGAAATATCAAGTATCCTAGGAAAAGTATTGACAATTTCTGTGTCAGTGGTGGACTTAGCCCAACAGGAGACTCAAATGCCGGTTGTTCCTCCAGCACTGGCCAGGTATACGCGCGAGCTTCCGTGTACGAGGAGTACTTTGCAATCATGTACAGCTGGTGAGTCCTGAAAAGCTATGCAGTAAATGTCACCGATTATCCAGACTTATACGTCCCTACCAGGTACATGCCAAAAGATGAGCCATCCGACGGGCTCGGGCACCGGCACGACTGGGAGAACGCCGTTGTCTTCCTCTCGGGGAACTCATCGGACGCCACGTTCGTAGCCATGGTCGTGAGCGAGCACGGGGGCTACGTGAGCGGGACCGCCACCTTTGACGGCACCCACCCCTACGTCGGATATATCAGCTACTGGCCCGTGGACCACACCCTGATCTTCACCACCACCGAGGGTGGCACGCAGCCGCTGATCGCCTGGGAAGAGCTGACGGAGGCGGCTCGCGAGGCGCTCGATACGACCGATTTTGGCGATGCGACTGCTTCTTTCAAGGATTCCAACTTTCAGTCATACCTGGCTGATGCATATTCCACGGCATTCTGATTGTCTACGGGGGCACAACACCGCAGCTGCGTGTAATCGCCGGGTGCTTCTTGTTATGGAGGACTACTGGTGAAATTCTGAGCCCCCTACTAAGCAGGCCAGCAATTGGGTGAGTTCTCGAAAATGCAATGGGAAGTTTGCGGTTTCTTGTTATGAACAAATTCTTGTTGTAAACAAGTCACTGCTTGCATGCGCGGCTCAGGGCAAGACTACTGCACTATGCCAGTCCGAGCATCATGTTGTTCGACCTCGTCATGACTTAATTATTTGGATTCCGGCCTGTATCTACTTTATATATAACAACAATTCATGTATATCTGTATAATGAAAATAGTTTCGGTCCACACAAGCCCGTGGCCCCTTTCTATTCTTGCGTCGATGGCCATTTTCAGCCACTCGCTGTTGATGTGACCACTACAGTCCTTCATGATCAGCTGATATGTCAGCGTGAGTCAATCGAGCTCGTTGCGGATAGTAGGCGAAGCCTTACATCCTTCAGCCACTGCTACATGTGCAGCCTTGTCGAAGTGCCGGGTCTGTTGAAGGGTAAGGTGCACAGATTGCTCCTCCTCTGCAGACCTCCGCAGATGCGCCGCAATTGGTCTTGGTGCATGGTCCAGTGTATTGTGCTGAGGCGGCAAGGGCCAGAGAGAAGAAGGCGAATAGTTGAGTGGACCTCATTTTGAATGTTGAAGGGGCTGGGCGCTTTTCCCGTGAGGCGGCGTTGGGTTTTGTTTTGTTTGGCCTCGATTTACCAGGCGAGGAAGACAAAAAGGATTCACCGTGGGGAAAACCCCAACTCAGATGGAGCCTTGACGGATGGTCTGACAATATTGGCCAATTGATTTCTCCGGTTTGCAGGTTGGAGTTTTAAGTGGGCTATAGCCGTTCCCAATCAGACTACGCCGGGCATAGGAGCTATAAGTACCTCAACGTTCAACGACTCACGGATAAAAGAAAACGCTGCACAGCGGCAGAGATGCCCATCACAGACACCACCATGTCATTTCTCGCATTGGCAAGCAGGCTATGGTCTCACTTGTATCGAATGACGACATCAGATCTCTGAGCCAAGCCGGCCAAGCAAACGGACCCGAGGCCCGAGAGACTATTTAGTCGCATCCCCAGGTCCCAACCCCCGACTACTTCTCACAGCTCCCTCACCTCAAATGTCAAAGCGTGCATGATGTCTTTTCAGCTGAAGCTCACTAGGCTGTAAAGCTTTGCCTGACGGTTCCGCCTGGGCAGCCTGGGCAGGTGTTGCCTCCCGCCTTGGTCATGCCGGTAAATCACTCAACCAGGTCTTGATTGGTGTGGTTGCAGTCCGAGGTTTGCGGTTTTTACAACGTCAGGAAACAATGCCAGGTTCACCTGCATGTTTGATTGTTTCACAGTCGGGTGCACAGTCAGCGCTCATCTATTCTCGGTCAACACGGTGTTCGTGGTCTCGGGCCAAGGCGCATGGCTGACACAATTCAACCGCAGCCGGCGGTGTGTATGCTATGACCTCAACGGATAATAGCGTCGCTGCGTGATATATTCCTATGTAGGCACGACCAATCGCGGAAGATAAGTACTCATTTCTTCTGACCTGTGATACCATACCCGAACCATCCAGGCGAACCGCTGTCCTGATCTGTAACCTTCATCGCGGAGTCTTCGGATGTCAACCCAGCAGCCAATGCCTGAGGGCGGTGAGGCGGAAAGATCGTCTGAATGCATCACATCGAGCTGCGAGTTGTGAAAGCATCAAGGTCCCTCAAACCGTCCTCGAGAACACTTAGCTTCTCCTGCAGCTCGTGACGATTCCGTATGGTGCTGTCGTCCTCGGATCCGAGCCTGTCTATCTGCTCATCCTCGAGACCCCAGACCACCTCGGGGGAAAACCTGTGGCAAGAGTCGATTAGTCTTATCTCGAAGTTGACCTCAAAGCAAATAGATGTGCGGTTCTCGAGCTCATTGGAAGATTGAATGTTTGTTTCGGTTGTATTTGAAAGGTTATGAAAAGAAATACGAAGGGCTTTGGACAGAAATGGCCACTTACACGTCAGGCAATTTCTGGACGAGGCATGTCTCCACAGCGTTGACACTAATGTCATCAACGAACTTGCTCAGCGCGACCTAGATAAAACGATGTTAGTCTCAAGATAAGTCGTTCTTTGAGTAAGCCACTTGCCTTGTAGTAGGCTGCAGCGACATCTGCCGCGAGAGATGCAGCGTACTCTTTCGGATTGGGTGCTGTCGCTGCCAGCAACGACCGCAAAAGGGTGCGCAAATAAACGTCGCATTCGCCCGCGTCCACAGTCTCTGTGTCCCATCCACAGCTCTCGAAAGATGCCCGATCAAACTTGCGCTTGTGACGATCCCCTTGGATTTTCTGGACTGCCTCCGTCAGGTATTCGTTGTACGTGATTGGATGAATTGAGAGGTGAGGCTGCAAGAGCTCGGCAACAGTATCCTTCAGGTTCTTGCGTAGGAGATACAAAGAGGGTTGAATCATTCCCTTCATCAAACGAGTCTTTGTGTTCACATCGCAGATCTCGGACAGGAGCTTGTTGAAAGTAATCGCCGCGGCCTCGTGGATGCGTTCAACGAGGTTTTGAGAGATGGCTTGCCATGGCTTGCACTGCCGACTGAACAAGTCACTCACGACCATGGGGTTCTACTTCGATGTTAGCACGATTATCGTCCACCTCGTAGTTCGATTAGATGACATCGTCTACTTACATATGTGCCTGGCAGCTCCCTACCTCGACACTTCTCCATCAAGGATTTGACAGTGCGCAAATAGTCGCTGCGGTAGACGAAATTGGAGACCCTCTGAGGATCCAGGTCATCCTCGACCACCTCGAGCGCATGGCCATCTGCAGTCATTTTCTCCGAGTACTTGGTGAGGGTCTTCTGCACATTCGCCCGTAAACGGCGCTCGAAAGCATCCTGTTGGCCAGGGTAGGACTCGAAAAATTGGTCAGCGTAAACCCCATCGACGGCAGCTTGCATCAGCTTGGTGAGGCGACTGCTGATGCTCATCAGGTACTTCTGCTTCTCCTTCCTGCTGTCTCTCGCGGAACCGAGCTGCGCCAACTTCACCTGGCAGTCGCGAATGCCCTTCTGGACGTCAGTTTTGACTCCTGGAAGCCCTTGACGAATTTGGTTCCACAGGATCTCGCGCAGCCGCTTCTGCAGGTTTTCAGCGCCAAGCTGTTCTGGCTCCAGGATGCTCCATGCCGAGTCTCTGAAGAATGCCGCCTCTCTCTCTGCCCTCTGCTCAGGCGTGTCATCGAGCGTGTCGAATCCCTTATTGCGTAGCACGTGCCAACCCAGTGTCAACACGACATTTCGATTCTGCGCAAGCTCGATGTAGTATTTCTCTGTGTCTGAGCCTTTGTCGACCTTGTCGGGCTTCGTCAGCAGACCGAGAGTTCTGGTTCCGTTTGGATCGATGTCTCGAGCGAGTTTGGTGACAGGTTGGTTTGCGAATGCATTATCAGCAGCAACAACTGCTAGAATAATGCTACGACGCTGCTTCATGTAGGTCGTCACTAGCTCGTGGACGATCGTGGAGTCTGCATCTGTTTGATTCTTGTCGGAGGCGCCAAACAAGCCAGGAAGATCCACAATCGTCAAGTTCGGCTGGTCAGGCGAGACAAGCTCAATCCGTAGTATGTCGGTGCTGAAGACTTTGGCCCCATCTCCTGTAAGCCCCATGGCAACCTTGGCTGACTCGATGATTTTGCCGACATTGTCACGATCGGTCGTCGTTGGGGCGAAAGCCGCCAAGTCGATTTTCTCTTTCTCCGTGCGCCCAGCTGCTGGGTGGATATGGACGCTGATCTCGGTCTTGTCTCCTCGACGAAGTATCAGCTCAGTTGCAAAACGTGTGCACAGCCCCTCAGCAGTAGGAAAAGATATTCCCGAAAGTGCCTCAAGGGTTGCACTCTTTCCGGAAGACTGGCTGCCGCACACAATGATCTGAGGGAGATCGACGTAGTGGCTTACTCCGCGAGAGCGAAGTTTGTCGACAATGTCCAGGACATCGCGATGGTTCTCAGACTGGATGAAGCTCGCAGTATTCGGGAAGACGAAGTTTCGTGGGACCAGCGCCATGGTGAAGGCCCCGATGGCGGTGGTTACGTGGTTGGTGAGTGTAGAAATGGAGTCCCAAATATTTCAAGTCCAGCTAGAGGTTGCAGACGGAGGAGGATGTACTGGGACCAGACTTGTAGGGAGCTGGGCCATCAGGCAAACAGTGCCTGGGTTGCGATTTCCGAAAAGAGAGAGAGAGAGAGAAGGAAGTGGCCAAATGGCCCGTGATCTCCGCTATAAATACTGGTTGGAGTGGTATGTGACTGGAGGGCCCAGTGAATGCCATGTTCACCCCACCACATCACTGCCTATCTGATGCCTGAGAAATGTTGACATCCCCGGTCTTTGTTTGAAGCAGATCAGGACCACGTTTACTTGCTTGACATACAATTTACGTTTACTGCCTATCTCAAGGCAGCAAAGCTGCCGACAACGCTCTCGTTGCACCTTGCATCGGTCAGGTAACTTCGAAGATATAATGAGGCCATTTAAAGCCTTGCATAGCGAATTTGACTGCAATTGTCTACAACCTACATTGTCTCTTGTCCCACTAGGACAATCATTGTCGTTCCAGCTTAGTAGAGGAACTCAAAGAATACAAATAGTCTACAATAAGGCCATTATCTTAAACAAATTACACGATTTGATTGATAGTCATCTCTGGAATTCAGACCTGTTCTTGACGAGGAAGTCAAAAAGACAATGTCTGTTTAAAACTGCAGCCTGGCGAAAATTTGGCGCATGCAACTGATGGCTTAAACAGGCGAACTTTATACCAGACCGTCTTTGAGCGGTCGAGACGCCAATTGAAGCGGTACGACAACTATGTCTATGGAAGGGAAGAGAGATAGAGATGAGAGCTCAGACTTGCCGAGCCAGGTAGCAAAATTTGGGGCCCAACCTCAAGAATGATATATCAGGCATCATAGGGCTAATACATGACAACCAAAGTGGTAATGAATAAGCAATAATCTTAGTGTGGGCTCTAAGATTCAATTATGTACTAGACCTTTGGTAACGGTCTATGAGAAGCTGACGCGTGGATATGTGTATGAGGATTACGTTCAAAACAACTGGACTCTGCCACCTACGGAAAATCCTCCTGGCCAAATTTTCCGATCAATAGACTCCAGAACAATCCGTCTTCTGGTCCTTGGCACCTTCAACGCAATTGGTGGAGACATCCAAAATCTCTTTGGCGAGCAATTCCTTACACGCCGGGCCCAGGGGTTTGCTGAAGAAGTTGTTCGAAACGTTGAAGAGCTGCAGGGTAGGGATCTGGCAGAGAATTTCCGGCACCTGACCAGCTAGTTGGTTGTCACTGAGATCCAGTAGAGTCAGGTTCTTGATGGACGCGAGTTCGGCCGGGAGGGGCGATGAGATCTGATTGCCAGATAAGACCACCTCCTCCAGATTCTTGGCGCCACCGATGGTAGTGGGAATGCGTCCCTGAAACTTGTTGTTGGCGAGAGTCAGGTATCGGGCCGGCGTTGACCCAATGGTGTCTGGGATCAGTCCCGAGAAGGCGTTGTCATTGAGAAAGAGCACGTCGAGATCCATCTCGAAGATCTCGGCGGGTAGCTCGCCGCTGAACTGGTTGAACCTCAGGTCCACAAAAGTCAGATTTGTAGCGGTCAAGACCCCAGACGGGAATGGGCCAGAGAGTTTGTTGTTGCTAAGGTCCAACTCGTACAACCAGTGTAGGCTCGAAAGGTCGTCAGGAATCTGTCCGATAAAGCCGTTGGAGTTGGCGTGGAAGAATGTGATGTCGGTGAGTTTGTCGAGAAAGCCGCCGAGCGTCAGCCGATCACCCGCTAACAGTGCGCCATTGAGGTCAACCCCAGCCAGTGCCCGTTGCCCGGTGAATGGGTTGTCGGTGCAAGTGAAGCCCTCGAATTGGCAAACGTCGGTGCCATTCCAGTTCTTGACGATGCCGTTTGGGTCTACCGTGACTTTCTTGGCGAAATTTAGGACCGTCGTGTAATCCCGTGCCAAGTTTGACACCCCATCTCCGAGTGCCTGGGGGCGGGCGAGGACCAATGGGAGAAGCGTAGCAAGTTTAGTGAACGAACGCATCTTGACGAGATGACTGTGAAAACAATTACAGCGACAGAATATGGTTGGGTTGGTTAACACAGTGCAGTTTGTAAGGGCAGTGATGATGCTACAAAAGTACTTATATACTTTTCCTACACGACGCTTTTCTCGACACCGGTCATCGCCGTGCTCCCAGGATGACTCGTGAAGTGGCAGCCATGGAGTTACTGCGGACCCAGTAATTACACTGCAGGAAAATAAGGTTCTCTAACCACAGACTTTCTAAGACATACCAGAGAAAGGGAAGCTTAATTTTACGTCAAAACGATTATCACAGCCGCAACAAGTCTCAGTAACTTCGGGGATGGAGTTGCTATGGCATGGAATGGAAAGATTCGCAGCTCGGATGTTCGTCTTGTGATCTGCGCAAGCAAGTGGCCACAGCACTTTGCGCCCATGAGGAGAGACCATGCACAAGGGTGGAACACCGGAAAAGAAAAGAGAAAAGGCCTTGTGGGCCACAAAATTTAGACATTGTGGATGCTCTTGAAAGCAGAATTTGGCTAGTTCTACTAGTTGTATATCATACGTCCTTTGACGCTTGCTTCATCTCTTCTTGTCTATTCATGACTCAAGGCGTATTTGTTCAGTAAAATGATCGCAGATCATCTGAGCCTATTTCTAGTAGATTGTGGTTAAGGCAGTGGGCAAACCACATGCGTTGAACGTGTGAGCATTGTGTACCTAGGCAACGGGTCGCATTCATAGGCCACCTTGGTCCTCCGTCTTTCCCATTGACGGGTGTGTTCTGTAGCCCGAATACCGATAGACAAAAGCGCCAAGGTCTCCTACACCGCCATCAGACTATGTGATCAATTTAACTCAACAGCCACGAATGTATGATCAATCCGTATTGAATAAACAACAAAAATTTCTAGAAAAGCTCGTACATATAGTTCCCTACCTTCATAATAGCAGACGAAATTAAATTCCAGTGATATAACCAAACAGTGAGCACAGCCAGCGAGGACTTCACAGCCTCCACACAGCTACTCTCTAATTCCATGATATGGGCATAGAAGCCAGGAGCGACCGTAGGCCTAGCCTTCTTCCCTGCTTTCCTGGCACACTCGTTCTTTTGTAGACTTATTGCCCTGCACTTTGCGGAATTTAAATTGGAGGCGTGCAACCCCCGCCCGCTCATGTATGATGCGTGCCTTAGCACAGATTCGCTTGAAAAGGTCAAGCTTAAAGACTCTCCATTATATACAATGGGAAATTGTATTGATTGGGAACCATTCCGTTCTTTAGTACTCTCCGTGTCCGGCTGAGCCCGCGTTATCCTTGAGGCCAAGAAAGCAAGTTCGGTGGCTTGATGCATCTGATATACGCCCGCCGACCTAGATTCGCATTTGTGTGACCTTCGATGTGTACCTCTTTCCAACTAGTTCGGAGATTCAGCCTTTAGTCGATTTAGAAATCAGGCACGCTGGGTAGGCAAGAAGGAAGATGAACAGCATGCACCACTTCTGATCTCTGTTCCATTGGAGGCCAGGCCTACTACAAACCCATGCGGGAAACTCGTCACAACAGAAACAAAATTGACAAAAGCATGAGGAGTACTCGGTCCTCTCTTTTTCAACGCAACCCAGCCACCCAACAAGCAATCCAAAAGCTTCGGGGAGAGCAAGCGCCTAATTGTGGAACGCATTCTGTGGGCCTGGAACACTGGGTGATCGGGATCGCGAAGATCTAGAACCCTTAGTACACAAAACTCTTCGCAACATGCTTCTGGACCACGAGGTAAAAGCTCGTGTAGATTGCCGACGTAGCACAATGCGCACTTCACTTGCTGTAACTGATTGCCCGTTTCGGATTCCCCAGTTCAGCTCGCGTGGTCGAGCTTTCAGCTGAGCAGGTCCCCGCCTGTCCCGTCCGCCTTGGTTTGATTGGCTGGGTCGAGCCACCGTAACCGACTCCTTGCAGATCCCCCACATCCAGGGGTCAGACACCAGCTGAAGGCGTCCCCAATCCGCCCAATGGCGGTGTGCATCGGCGTTCTAGATGCCTATTGTGGCGCCGGAGATCGCCCTGGCCTTCCCTTTGCTAGATTGATTTATGCTAGTTTAATTCCTGCTGTAGAGCCTCATCCCTTCAATGTCCGCCGCCATCGTGTGACGGTCACTCAGCAATTGCCGTATTGGGGACCTACTACTACAGGTATATAGAGTGTGAATCTGGCCGCAGGCTTACGTTTATTTGTTTTGCAAATGTCGTGTAATAAATAGAGCAATGAGATCAAGTCCACGACATCAAAACAAATAGAGGCTTTCACTACCGTACCTGCTGCATTTATACGATCATCATTCTAGGGAGAAAAAGCAATTGTCCCCAATGGCAGACACTGATCCACTACCGGCGTATGAATCCCACGACTCAGCTGTCCTTCCCGCCAAGCAAGAATTATTGCGGGACGAGCAACCCTCGAGCCGGTCCGTCGATCATATAGAGCAGCCGGTTGCAGTTCACAAGGGTCCGACTGGCACGCGATTTTCAGAATTTGATATATTTCGACATGGTTGGTCAAAGCTATGGACTGCAGAGCAAAGCGGAATGCTGACTGCGTACATATCCAGCCATCGCAGAACCGGACCAAACACGGCTCATCGAGAAGTTGAGGGCACTACACTCCCCTGAATACGCCGCTTCATTTTCAACGTCTCCTCTGGACATCGAATATCTCGCCCAACAATGTCTGGGCTGGATCCTCAACGAAGACGTCCCGCACCATGAGACAAATCTTGTATCCCGGCTCACCAGCCACGCCTTGGCACAAGCTCTCGAAGGCAGCTTGGACCCTGCAACGATCTCGACATTTCAGGACTTCATCCTCGCTACAACGCTCGCATACACGGCATGGCGCGACCAAAGGATCCCGTCACAGCGGCTGTCAGTCCACGACCTGCACCGAGCAAGCTACCTAGCCGGCTCGTCACTTCTCCAAAAGCTCGACCAGCATCTTCACTCAGACACGCTTGACAAAGCCCCAAGACCAACGCTTCAGGCACTATTCCTCGTCCTGTTCGGCACAACACTAGGAGTGGCCTACTCGACACAGGTGGGCGGCCGGCCCACCGCAGACTCGACGGACCTGATCGGCAAGGTCCTCACGGAAAGCCCCACCCCCTACATCACCATGAAGGAGCGCCTCTGCCACCTCCTCGCCGACAAGCTGGCCCTCCTCACCGGGCTCCTCTGGGAAACGCTCGACACCGCGGCCACGCGCGGGTGTGTCCTCGATGGGTGTCTTATGGGTCGGTGGAACCGATCCGGTCAGTGGGTCTGGGGCAACCTCATGCCTCACTACACATGGCCACCGAGTGACCACTCGTTGGACTGGCTTGTGCACCGCCCCGGGGGCACGTTCCATCCTACGCCGCGGGCCGCCGTGATGAGGTGCCCCGAGGTCTTGAGCCCGCTGATGCCGAGCATGGACTCGTCGGACAGGGGGAAACGGAGGTCCATGTTGGTGGTCGGTCCAAGTTCGCATGGGCAGCATATGTACGCTCGGATGAGGACGCATACTGGATCTGATGGGCCGTCCCTTTTCGTCTAGGTTGGACGACTGGGAAAGGAAAATATGAAAGGCAGGGGAAAATGGGACGGTACCGTGGACCTCACTGAAAATGTAAATATAAGGCGAGAAGGACCCCGTTTCAAACTTCTCACGATGGAAAATAGCGGTATATTGCAGCACTTGTATACTTTCCATACATCGTCTATCCCTTACTGTCCACCGCTTGCACCTGTGACGTCCCGCCTCTTGCAAATAAGCTTGCGAGGCGAGCCCCGAGTCGGGAGTTTATCTTGTTCTTCAGCCTGGTGAGAGTGACCTCAGGCCCTTCATCCGCAGCGACGAACCTCCGGACGAGGAGGTTGAACATGCCCCCAAAGGCCAGGGCTATAGCCGTCGAAGTGAAGATAATCACATTGTATGGCATGCTGAAATCCGGGGTCGGGAGGTTGAGCAGTAGTGCAGTAGTCCGGAGGTTTGAGGTCGACTTGTCACTACTCAGAATGGTGATAACTGCGCCGGCCACGTCAAACCCTCTGTTCGCATCGGGCGGGTATTCTGTGTACCGCAGAATAGATTTCTCGAAGTCATAAGTCAAGAAGACTGTGGACTGGGGCGGGATGCGAAGCTTCACTTCAAGTTGTGTCCCTCGTTGCCGGTCGAGTGCCGGCCTGTAAAAGATGTCCTGGATGACCTCCTGCTGCTTGCCGCTGGGAGGGTCAAGAATCCGAGCCTCCAAGGTGTGCAGGTATATTCGCATGAACCACGGCAGGGACTCCATATAAACGAACTCAACGTCGTCCGTGTCGCTAGGGTTTGTGAGGATGGTCTGGACGCCTCCATGTTCTTGACCGTGCCCGGTAAGACTGCGTTCGGCATAGAGTGGAGGAATATCCGGTTGAACATATTCCTCGGTGGTGATCTGAGCATTTTCGCCTTCTCTCTCAATCGGGGGCAAGATGAGGTCGATCGTGGTCTGTGGGTTCGCATTATAGCAGCGCTTCCGGTCATTCTCTTTTCTGAACTCGCTGACACCTTCGGTGACCCAGACAGGTCGACTTTCTGGCACTTCCAAGCACACAGGGGCCACCTCGGCATCAGCCAAGGGGCATGTTCCCTGGATAGGCCTGCCAAACACTTGCGAGATGGTCCAGTCCTGGCCTATGCTGTACTCCACGGGGAAGCAAGTATCATCTGAGTGATATTCCTTGGAGGTGTTGCACTTGAGTTCGTGACTGGGAACGGGACGCGGGATGGGATTATCTGTGGTGCTGTTAGTGACAAATGTAAAATGACATGCAAGACCGACGACGAACCTCTGGGCCTCTTGGATCGATCGATGTCAAGAACCATGTCAATGGACTGCTCGATCTCCAGCACACACTCGCCGCCCTCAGGGCATACCGGCCGCACATCAATGGCCATGGTCTGCCAAGAAGAATCAAACACTTTGTGTCCGTCGAGCAGACTCGCAATACCGGCCTTCCCCTTGCACGGAAGCAGCTTCAGGAAAGGCGTCAGGTTTTCTGTGCACACCACTTCCCGTGGAAGTGTCCCGTGTAGCAGGTGTAGGTTTGATGCCACTGCGTCAGAGTGGTCTCCTTCGAGCTGGAATGACATGCTCGGCCGTATGGTCCGCGTGCCGTCGATGAAGTTGAGCGAGGCGCAGAATAGGCCTGACAGGGCGTTCGTGAGGGTCAACCACTTGTTGTCGGCTCTGTGGGCAGTACATTAGCTGTTGATTCCGGTTTCGATTTATGGAACTGATTTAGCCATACTCCTCTTCTGTGTCCGCATCCAGCCATGCCCACAGCTCAACACCTGTCCCCCCTTCTCTCGTGCCGCCCCATGGCCGGACACCCCAGCTCTCGGCATCCCATCTTCCTAGACTGAAGCGCAGGTGGAGCTCTTTCGTGCCCGAGTACTCCAATATCTGGGCGAGAGAGCGTGGGAAGAATCGAAAGTTGTGTGCCTCGAACTGGGAGAGGGTTGTGTTGGATCGGAAATTGAAGCTCGCAAGGAGGGCGGACAAGGGCAGCGGCTTCAGGACGAGCTGTTCATGGTAGTCGGACGCAGCGATGGGTATCACAAGAGAAATAACAAGAAAAAGGAAGGAGGTGAAGTGCCGCATCATTGTTATGGCCCGTCCATCAGAAGCTGGGGTGCGACTCCTGGTTGAACTCACTTAGGTATTCACAAGTCCCACGCTGTGGAGAGTTGGTGGTGTTGACAGCTAGCTCCCCCGGGACCTGGGCCAGCAAGGGGTGCTGACAGGCAGGTGACGCAGGGTCGGAAGCGTTGGACCCCTGCTGTCATAGGTGCTATGGGACACCTAGGCTGAATAAGGTTGGGCCTACGTTCAGTGAATGCTGAGATGCCTGCCGGCGCAAGAAATTCTGCCGAGCTTCCAAGCGCCAGCTGATCGCATCGCCCGCGTTCGTCCTTGTTGCCTTGCGACAAGAACGAGTAGACTACTCGACTTCGCAAATTCAAACATCATACCTTCCGTGGCCAGCACATACCCGTGCTCAGTGGATTACTGAGGGTATTGGCCAGGATAGATCATAGCAGCCCATCATGGCAGCAGAGCAAAGGAAGCTGCTTGGTATGAACGCCCCTCCCCCTTCCGACCTCGCACGGCTTCAAACGAGACTGACAGTACTACAGAGCAGCTTATGGGCGGTGGAATGGCAGCTAGGTCCTCCCAGATCTCCCTGACCGACCCCAAAGCCTGCCGCTCCTACATCGCCGGCACCTGCCCACACGACCTCTTCACAAATACGAAGCAGGACCTCGGCCCCTGCCCAAAAGTCCACTCCGAGGCCCTCAAGGCCGAGTACGAGGCGCTGCCCGAGCCCGAACGGAAGCGCTACGGCTTCGAGCACGACTACATGCGGGACCTGCAGAAGTACATCGACGAGTGCAACCGGCGCATCGACGTGGCCCAGCGGCGGCTGGAGAAGACGCCCGACGAGATCCGCCAGACCAACGTGCTGCTCAAGTCCATCTCCGACTTCTCCGCGACGATTAACAACGGCCTGCTGGAGGTGGAGATCCTCGGCGAGCTGGGCGAGGTCGGCCGCGCCTACGACGAGTTCTTCAGGGTCCGCCAGGCCCAGCAGCAGAAGGCCGAGCGCGAGAAGGAGCTCAAGGCCCTCAGCGACACCTCGGGCCCCTCGGGCCACCAGAAGCTGCAGGTCTGCGACGTCTGCGGCGCGTACCTCTCGCGGTTGGACAACGACCGCCGGCTGGCGGATCACTTCTACGGGAAGATGCATCTCGGGTACGCGCAGATGCGTAAGACGTTCGACAGCTTCCCCAAGGAGATGAGAGGAAGGCCGAGGCCGATGCCCATGGGCGACGGCGGTGATATGGAGATGGGAGGCGTGCCGACTGGACCGGGAGGCGGTGGGGACTGGGGCCGTGGCCCAAGAGGCCCGAGGGGTGGCGGAGGCGGGTACAGAGGCCGGGGAAGAGGCTATCGTGGCGGTTGGTAGGACGATGACCTCGAGGAGCTTGAATTCCCCGACTAGCTCTAAAGCCCGAGGCGGACGTGGCCTGCGGCTTCGAGTTCGTGGTGCTAGCCGACGGGGAGACAAACATCTCCGAGGATACGCCGCATCCAGAAGCTCCAGCGCGGGTCCTTTCACGGCATACAACGAGACTATCAGAAATATGCACCAGGGCTTACGTCGTCGCAGTCTGGCTGACTGACGAGCAGGACTGCTGAGGAGGTGGAAAAGCTGCTGGTGGACGCGATAAAGCATTGAGCGCCAAGGACATGCTTTGTCTAGTGCGCGGCGTTGCGCTTGCTCCGGTGTTGGAGGCGTTATGGATCTGTACGGACGGGGAAAATCGATACTTGCTTTTGCCTTGCATAATTTGATACCAACAAGACAGCAGGGACTATGCTCCCTCATCAGGCCGTCAACAAAGTCCAGTCAATGGGCATCATCTCCAGTGCGCTCCACTTTTGAGAATGAAACTGTCCCGGACGGGCGTGATCCACGAGAACTTGGAGCAAAGGGAAAGAGAGCAAATTTATGCAGGACCAAAGCACCCTTCACGAGCACGAATGTCATGAAAAACGGTCGAGGATAGACTCATATTCAGCTATCCTCGACGTTAAGTACCATCTTCTTGTCAATAATTCCGCTTTTGCACGCTCTAGTTGCTCTAGTATCCCAAATTCATTTCTTCATAATTTCTGCGGCTCCTGCAGTCCCTAGGGAATAGACCAAAAATCCGCTTCGCCCACAATGCACCTCTGAACATGAGGGTAGGATCGCATGGCTTTCCTTGTGACCCAAACCTCCAAGGCTGTGCTTTGTATAGGGCATTGTCATTGACTGACTTTTGAGCATTTGGGGCGGAAAACTTTGTAATGGGCTCTGAACTCAGGCGTCTCTACCGCCACTACGTCCGAGCAGGGTCGGAGAAGCTTCCCAGCGGAGCGAATTGACAATGCCTGCAGAGTGGACCATCCCGCTGCTGCACGTGCCGCCTAGGATTTGTTCGCGGCGGCAGTCTTCGCATCAATCGCGGCCATTTCGTCATCCCATTGTCCAAGCGGCGACGTCGGCGAGTTGAGGTCTGTCTTTGCGACAGAGGAAACCTTCGTGTTGGACGCCGGAGCGGATGGTAAAGCAGGGAATTCGTCGGGCGTGAGCGCGGGCTCCTTCTTCGCTGCATGCGACGCGCCCTGGGGCGGCGGCGTGCCGGAATAGTCGCCACGGCCTCCTCGCCCTCTTCCGCCCCTGCCGCCTCTCCCTCCCCGACCAGCCATGAAATCCGTGTCTGAAGTTGAGTCGGCGAAGCGGCTACCGGACAGACCACCGCCCCTGCCGCTCGACGACCCACGAATGCCTCCATTCGCGCCCCTGAAGTTGGACGTTCCCCGTCTTCGGTCCTCCTCCAGCAGCCTCTCCTCCTTGCCCTCGTCCCAGTTGCTCTCCCGGGCGCCCAAGGCATTGAGTTTCCTCTGCCTGTTCTTCTCGCGCTCGTCGTCCAGCTGCCTCTTGTCGCTGGCCTCTCTCCTCCGGCGCTCGGCCTCTTCTTGCCGGCGCTTGCGCTGTTCTGCGGTCGCCTTCTCCATGGCCATGGCGTGGGACTGCTCGTCCTCCTCCACCTTCTTGAACCGGCGCGTCTTCTCCTCGTTCAGGATGCGCATCTTCTCCATCTTTTCAGCCAGCTCGGCCTCGGTGAGCTTGGTACGTGGGTTTGCGCCGGACCCGGTGCGGGCGTCTGAGCCCTGGTTGGATTTGTGTTGCCGGCTGTCGTGTCTGGTCGAGGAGGGCGGCGCAGGGCTCGACGGGCTGGGAGACGCTCCGGCGTGGTTGTTGCTATTATGGTTCGGGTTGTTGGCGCGGTGGTTGCGCGGCGCGCGTGGCGCGGAGGCGGGCGGTTGTTGGGCATGCCGTGACTGCATCAGGCCCGACTTCTGCGGGGCCGCTGTCGCATTGGAAGCTGTCGTGCTGGACGCCGTTGCCGCGGGAGCTGCTGTGTCTGGGGTCGTTGCTTCAGGAGCGGGCGCATGGTGCGCTGCACCAGTGCCTACAGACGACGGTGCAGTCGAGGAAGTTTGGCTCGCAGGTGCGGGAGCATCATTGGCGACGGGGACTGGCACTGGCGCAGGGTCGGGGTAGACTTGAGCTTCCTCTTCGGCTACGGGCTCAAACTCGTCGGCGAACAAGTCGTCGTCGGTTCTGCCCCCAAATTGGTCGTCCATGTTTGCTGTTTGCTTTTCCTTGCTCGCAGGATCGGGTAGAGGGGCAAACACGCAAGGAAGGACGGGCCAGGCTACTTGAGCAATGCCTGTAAGAATAGCGCGGAATGAGCGAGCGCACCCAATGGATATGGTGATGCTATGAATTGCCAAGAATAGAAGGGAATGCGTCTCAAATGGCCAAGAGCTTGAGAAGGTGGTGTGGGAGTGTTTCGCCGTGCTTCGTTTCTAGATCCTATCCCATTTCCATTCCGACTAGAGCACCCATGTCTCGAATCCGCGGGGATGCTGAGTCAGCGAATTGCGCTTGCACCCTTGCCACCAAGTCGAATAGCAGAAGGACTCACCTGTACGGGGCTACACACAGTATAGTGCCATTGATCTATGTCTTCTTCTGACACTCGTCATATATTATTGCTCTTGGTCTCCTGACTCTCGGGCCACCATTATTCTGCGACTTAAAATTCTGTCAAGCTCGTATTGACACCTCCCATCATCCAGATGATATGCGTGGTAACAATCATGCGCAGCACCAGACAAGTTTCGGAGCAATCGCTCCTAAATGCCTGGACGTCCCAGATACCGGCTGCGTTATCTGCTGCAGGTGACAGCTAGCAATCTAATTCTCAGGCTTCCGAGACACGCGGAACTGAAGAGGCTTGGCCCTGGGCAACATAGGAGAATGGTTGCTTCTAAGGCTGTCCGGCATTCAGCCTCACTTGTGCCTTGATTTAACATGGCTATTCAACTCATTACATTCCTGTGTGCTACGTACGGGCTGCAGAATGTACAGATATTTCATCGCCTCTTTTTACAAATCTTATCTGGGATGCAGGATAGTTCAGACTTTGTGAACTGAGCATCTCAATATGATGTTAATACGGGCTCTGAACAACTTCAGCCAATATCAATGTGTAGTGTCATATCAATGAGTTCAATGCCTTGAATTACCTACTGATGAGAGTCATTGTCATCGAGCCGCAAATTAGCAATGTCTGCACTAGGAGCGGTGAGGTTTGCTTTTGCCACGAGGAGTTGCGAGAGGAGGACAGGCCAGGTTCAAACGAGTGTATACAGGATCACAAAAATCCGGTGACATGGTCTGGTGGGGTTAGTCATAGTTCAAACCGTCTCACAAAACAAACGACAGAGATTGCTAACGACACACTCGGTCTGGGAGTAATATCGATTAAGAGTAGTGCCACCGCCAGGGTTATCACTCTCATTAGCTAGATAAAATATCGGTATATTCACTTGGCCGCATCAATCAGTCCGTGAAAACTGGTTTCCTGGTGCCCAAATAATTGGCATCCTACGCCCAGAGTCCACCATTCACGCCTGTCCCTGTAAGCGTGGCAACGGCTCCTGTTGCTCAGTTTCGTTGCATGTGCTGTGACGAGACTGGCCGGCCTTTACGGTAGCAGGACGATACTTATTTTGTACCTGTCTTCCACAGGCTCCCTCTCTGCTTGGTGACTTCCATGGATCGTATCTCTTCAGCAATCCTCCTTCTCTGGCCGTTGCTCAACACTGCCCGGGAGCTCGAGTTCAAGGCGTTTGAGGTTCTCGGCAAACAACTTCGAGCCTCGATTGCATTCGTAGGCAGCCTCTAGTCTCATCAATTGGTGGCGATGGCCGTTGATGCTGTCGAAAATAATTCCGAGCTCCTTTTGCTGTCGACTTCAAAGGTGCTTCGTTGTTGAATCCTCATTGACTTGTTGTTGACTGGTAGTCTCTCGCGTCTCGCGTGTCTCGCGCGCTTTCTGAGGTAATGGCATGATCTTGAGCCACGTTGTCTCTGGCTGCGACCAAAATGCTGCCGGACATTATTACCATGGAATTGCTATAGAATCTGTTAACACGGCTGCCCGGGTATTTGACTGGGATGCACCAAACTTACCTTCAATATCCATCTCCAAAACTTTCCATTCACACTTCCTTCACACAGTTCCCTTCCAAAGCCTGGGCCGAAGGTATCTCAAAAACTTCTCAGTCGGCTCCTGCATGCCAGGCAGGCTGATCCAGTTCTCGACCAGCACGGCCATCTCCTCGCGGGCGTCCGTGTCCTGGGGCGCGCCCTCGACGATGGTCCGCAGCATGACCGTCTCGATCATGAGCTCGAAGTTGGCCTGCTCGCCCGTCTCCGGGTAGAGCAGCGCCTGCGTCTCGCGGAAGTTCTCCTTGGCCGCGACGGCGAGCTGCTTGCGCACCAGGGCGTGCAGGCTGCGGGCGGCCGTCATGTCGTTCTCCACCTTGCCCGTGACGATCCGCTGGATCAGCTTGAAGGTGTTCTTGAAGGCGATGGGCCAGAAGAAGGGCGTCTCCAGGTCCTCGACCATGGGCGTGTCTCTGATGATCGGGAGTGGTTCCATCGTCACGCACGAGTCGCTCGTCAGACAGGGATTAATTAGGTCAAGCGGTCGCTCAGTCGATCCAGAGGCGTGTGATAGACGTAGCCGTTGACCGTTTGTAGATCGCTTCAGGTTGATTATTAGTTCTTAAGGATTAAAAATTCATAAAATCGAAAATCGGCTTGGCTTTGTTTGTATAGCCTGTGCTGCATGCCATAACAGGATTTCAATGATGCTCCATTGGGTGAAGATGCCGTTTTTTATTCACTGGCGAGGACGGGTGCAGCCGCGGCCTCCAGTATAGGGGGCTTTCATTTTCCACAGCTCATATAAGCCTTCACTTGCCATTGTTTGATTGTGCTCGTGCCCGTTCATTATTTAGGATAATGGTTGCCCGAGATGGAAACTGGGGCTGAAACGCTCGGGCTGACCGCTGATCTTTATTGAAATTGCGCCGGCGAGGGGGAGCTTCCCCAGTGGGGATCGTGGAATGCTAACCCGATAAGCTCTTGACGCAATTTGAACCAATTCTCGCCCTGATCCACAAACCGACGAACCGGGGAAATGACCACTTGACGGCTTTGTTCTCAGCACTGACTTCCCCGATGCGGACGGGGTTGCGACACCAGAAGCGGGTACCTCGGGTACCCGACTTCCTTTGACCATGACTCCCGAGACACTGCTACACCCGCCCGGCACCAGCATTTGATCATGACACAATTGACCTGTTTGCTCTATTTCGTATCCCATAAACTGAAGTAGGGAACGTGTTCTTGCGATATCCTTAAGCCATCGCCATCGCTACTAATGATGATACTCGAGCGGGTCAAGGAGGCCTCAATAGGTGGGGATGAAGTGATATTCCTCCCCGGGACGAACTCTGGAGACCGTAACCAGACGAGCAAAATTGGGCGGGCAAATTACATGTGGTTGAAAGTGCAGTCCTCAACCAGGTATCAGGCAGTCACATCCATGTTAGCTGCTGCCCCAGATCTACTGTCGAACTCCGGGGTGTGTGTTCGACCGGGCTGTTGCATGAGCCTGGTAGCCAGAACACCGGTTTCACGTATTACCATCATCTTGCTGCCATTTAACCACGTAACATCGCGTGGGTTGACTGGAACATACCCCCTATCATGCCATCAACATTCCAAGTATTTCTTACAAGTACCCTAGGCTGATTCAAATCGGAGACGCACTACGGACAAGCGTACCATTACAGCATTTTAATTTATCAAGTTTGTATCAATGCGTCTAGTAACATGCAGTTATCTAGCCTTGGATGCTGAACCCATGGTATATGCTCCTCGCCCTGCGAGGCTATTGCACCCGATGGTGCCTTCTCGGTAATGGCGGTCCCCCAGCGCCAAAGTAATGCAGTATTCGCTTTTCGCTCTGCTGCCCGCGCGAAGCTTCTCTTGCTCAAAATGTGTAGCACGGCTACGACATAAAACTCGAGCCCAGAAATGGTGCTTAGTGACGCCGAAGACCTTGATCAAGTTCGATGGAGTCCTCTTTGAGGCTGTGTCGGGTCATTGGAATGACGGCTTCTGCTTGGGTAGCGATATCCCCATCCATACGAGCCGCGAAGGGGAAGCCTAACTTCGATAGCATCGAGACCAAGGCACCCGCGATTTCGCTGCTTGTGAACCCGGAGAATCGTCATCCCAGACTGTACGGCCTGGTGTCGCTCCTCATTATGTACACCTCTCCAATGAGGATTACAGAGCCTATTATCATGGATATGGCGATGATGGGGAAGTTGACGCGGGCGAATTCGAGCTGCCGAACCTTGATGTGCTTCCTGGCCAGGATATCACGCCACAGCATGCCGGCCAACGACGCGCTGAAGGCGGTGCTGAAGGCACCGTAGTTGACACCCAGTGCCATGGCATACACGGTGGCCCAGAACGTCCGATCGGAGATGGGGATACCGTTCTTGTTGTGAATTTCCGCCCACGCCTGGATCACCCGAGACAGAAGGATGGTCGTGCCGATGTTGGTGCCCGCGAACTGATGCGATTCAGCAAATGCTCAGAAGGCATTACAGGGGGACTTTCTCCCACGTAAGGGGAGGAACTCACATTGCATAAGATCACAGACAGAAACCCCATACCACCAATCGCGCCGATGACTCCCGTCTTATTCACCCAGTGGTCCCACCCGTATGCGAACACCGGCACCCAGCCCTTGGTGACGAGCGCTTCTACCAGCACGAACATGGCGAAGGCGAATGGCACAAGGGCAAAGGGCAGGAGAGACAGCACGGCTGTAGCAGTGGGGAAGGTCTCCTGGCACCAGCTGTGGGCGCCGTCCGAGGCGCATGCAAGTGTGCGGGGGTGTGCCTCATATGTCGGAACAGCGGCCCTGTTCCTCTTCTCACTCGCCGGCTCAGCGCTGCCATTCTGTCCCATGCCTGAGCCATTGTTGCGTGGGTCAGACTTCTCGTTGATCTCGCCAGGTCGGGCGGCCGTCGGCGAAATTTCTGCTCCGTCGTCACCGCGATTGCTATCTCGGGATGGGGCCTTCTCAGAGTTCAATGCCGCCGAGTTCGTGTCCTGGCTCGAGCTCAGGCGTCGGTGCTGGCCCGTACCGATGGCGGCTACCTCCTGCTCCCTCAGTCCTCGCTCGGCACGCGCGGTCTCGGCCTCCTCCCGGCCTTTCCTTGCTATCTCGCGGGTCTCGGCGCGGTGAATCCATCCATAAGAGACGTCCCAGCAGAACATGACGGTGGCAGCTGGAAGTGTGACCCAGAAGACGGGGTGCTCACCCGAGCTTGAACTCACCGCGTTCAAGACGAGCACCGTGATGAGCGTGGCAGCCATGATGACCGCGCCGACCGTGGCGCTTGCCTTATCAAGGTATGGGTTCAGAATCTCTTCCAGTTCGAGCCGTTTCTTGTCCTCGTCCTCCTGCTCCTCAGGGTTGCCTCGGGCGTGGGGGATATTCGGATTGACTGGTTTCTTCGCGCGATGCTCTTCGGGCAGCCCGTGCATCGTTATTACTTTTGGCACCAGGCTGTCCTTTCGGAATACGATGTATAAAAGACAGGGGAACAGCAGAATGGCTGTGAAGATAACCGGGACGATCATGTTGGCCGTATACTCCACAAACTTGATCTGGAACGCACCGGCAAGCACGAGATTGGTTGGGTTCGAGGAGACGAGAATGGCAGACGCGACATTAGCGATAGCGAACTGGGTATGGATCCAAGCCCTCGGGTGCTCGATGTTGCTCGACACGCGGGTCATGTAGGCCAAAAAGGGCGTTCCAGAGAGAATGATGGGATCGTTTCCAATGAAGGAGCCGAGGGCGAAAAAGAAGGTGTAGAGGTAGACGAACAACTTGTGCCCGGCCTTGCCACCCCATTGCAGGACCTTGAACGCCAAATATCTGATAAGACCTGAGGCGTCGATAGAGATCGCGATGTATGCCAGAGTGATGAAGAAGACCATGATATCGACGGGGTTGATGTGGTGGGCGCCGATGGTCCCTGCGGCCACCTCCTCGCGCCCGATGGCGAGTATGGCAAGCAGAAACAGGTCTGCTATGATAGGCGCGGTAAGGAAGTTGATGGGGAGAAGCAGCCGAGTAAAGGCCTTGGGCTTCCCCATAGCATAGCCCTGCAGTCCATGTTGGGAGTCCTGTGGCGAGATGACGCGCAGGCGCCGCAGAAGACGAGAGATGCCCTCAACGAGCACTCTGGGCAGGTAGACAGGGACGTCGAAAGGGAAAAGCACAGCAAGATCTGGATGAAGTGGTCAGTCAGTCCAATCTCATGAGCCCCAGCACGATGTCGTATTTTGGGGGCGGGGGACACTGCGCGCACTTGTTGCGACGAAGGCGATGAGAGTGACGATTGAACGCCACTCCTTGATGTCATTGACGTCGAGACTGATGGCGGATTCCGACATGATGGCGTCTTGGGCCTGGAGAGTGCAGGTCGCACTTGGACAGGGTCGAGGGCATCAGGAATGGGCGTGGACGTGGACGAGGGCAGTTGAGGCTTTTGATTGAATTGTGGTGAAGTCGGTTTACCTAGGTGAAGGCCCCAAGGCTCTAATCCCTGCCTGCAGTGGCAGAAGAGGATCCCGTCTAGCTGCAGTGGCAGATCGGCCCGCAGGCAGGCGGCGGTGAAAAGCCACATGGTGAACCAAGTGGCTGCCGAGCGTCTGCTGCAGAATTGCCAAGCTGGTGTGCCGTGCCGCTCATGAATCGCTCGAGATCAAAGCCCGGTGTAGACGATGCCAAGGCCCAAGATTCTCTAGATGCAAGGCCCTCTGCTTTGGCCTAGCCGGCGCACGCGCAGCGACGACTTGGGACCACTTGACCTGGTCGGGCGCAGGCATGCCGGGCCCGATGCATGCCTGCGCCCGATGGCGGCGGAAACCGGACAATTGCTTCTCGTTTCAGCGGCTGCTCCCGCACGGCACCCGCCTCGGACTGTACACGTAGGGATGCCCAGCCGCCGAGATGCAGTTAAAACGTTGTAGGTGAAGGCTGTTCTAGCCGTTGGCCATGCGGCCGACGGGCCCTGTTGCTCAAGGCCGTCGGCGATCCACACCGCCCCGGATCTTGGCATCGCAGCGCGGTAGACCGGCGCTTCTCCCGGCCCATGCCTGCGGGTGTCTTGCATTATGCAGCACGGTATCACCATGTACAGAGAAAATCATAATTGTTGCAGCGAGTCGCAATATGCCACCTGGGCGCTTATGCGCGCTACAGCGCCAGGCTCGTCGGGCCATATTTGGCATGCATTTGAATCCTACTCATAGTCCCTCTCGCCGAGCATCCACTTATAGCGTGTAAGATCGAGGTATGACAATGGAAACCGTGAAACCTAAATCCCCTGTCTCTTGCTTGAAGAGGCTCAAGTCTATCTAATTCAGACGCTCCGTGTTTGCGGCACTGAGTTCATGCATGCATCCGATGTCCCAGAACTCATGAAGATGGCGAACTTGACCATTCCATCCCGCACCGTGACCACGCCTAGAACAGCTCCTCCACGTCCTCCCACAGAAGAGGCACCCTCACCTCCCTGCACATGTCCATCACAGCGTTGTCCGAGTACTTCAGATTGCGCATCAAGGTGTACGGGACGAAAAGGTCGGTGTCCTCGCCCTCTGGGCGCGAGGCCGAATCGTTGCCGTTGGCCCAATGCGTCAGCCGGTTTCTGGCGAGATACACCGCAGCACGAAGGTTGTGTTCACGGCCCCGAGACATCTTGAACTTGTCGTGGAGCTGCATAGAAAGGCCCTTGGCCTTGGCGAGAGACTCGGTCGAGGCGTCGAGTTTGACGTATTGCTGGACTTGTCTGGGAAGGAGTCGATGGTCCTCGTCGTAGAAGGCAAATGTTGCCACTCCTGTTTCCATTGCCTCCATGCAGCACACGTAGACAGGCTTCTTGGCCTCGCGGGCACTCGAGTGTGCCTCCGTTGTCCTCTCCAGCGCCGTCTTCGTGATCTTATGCGCGGTGGCCGGGTGCCGACGGATCTTCTTGGTGCCGGAAGTGGCTCTGGCGGCGGCTTGGTCTTTGCGGCCAGCCACGGCCGTTGTCTTAAGCGGGATCACTTCACCGGTCGACGTGGCCCCGATGTTCTTGACGAAGAGGCCGACTTGTGCCGCAACATCATTAATGTTGGGCTGGATGTTGTCTTTGTCACACATTTGGTGCTCCTCTCCAGTGATCCATCCTCCAGCAAACACCGCTTTCAGAAGCTGACTGACGTCGTATGCGGTGACTATGGTGTCGTAGTTCGTGCCTTTGCAATTAATTTTCTTCGCCCTGTACACCAGGTCGCGGAGGTTTGCTGCCACGTCAAATGTGACTTCCTCCATGCTTCGGAGGGGCATCCGGCCTGGGAGCAGCGCGAGAGGCGGGCCCGACATTCTGTCGCCCTTGTCAGCATGATATTACACGATTGGATGCTCGCTTTTCCATACCTTGGTATTGCGCCGCTGGGGCGTGGGGAGGTCGGAGGTTGCGAATTGTGAAGTGTAAGGAAGAAAAGTTAACTAAGCGGCAGGCTCAGGGTTAAATAGTTTTTGGGAGCTTCCGTGTTCGGTTCTCATTGAGAGTTATTGCGTATTGAAAACAATGGTATCTTGCTTTTTTGATACCACTGGAAATTTCCCATTGCCAGATATCGGATGAAATGTAGAACTTTACGTTGAGTGACTCGCAGTAGCAGTTTTGTTGCCATTGTACATACAGCAACAATAGTAGGGTGCCCTGCCCACCAGCAAAAAGATAGGTCGAACAAACAAATAACCAAGTATTTTCGGCTGCGAATCCTTAACTTAAATTTTGGTCTTACAAATGGTGAGCAAACAGCCAATCCACACTTATTTGCCACTGGAGTCTCATAGGGCTGCGACGATCTAAAGCCAATTCTTTCGTTTTCGTCACAGTGCGCTGCTCAAGGTGACCATGACGATGGTTTCGGTGCCAATCTCATCAGTATGACCCATGACTTGCAGACCTTGACCTGAGAACATCAGCAATGCCGTCAACAGAACCAATGTTGACCACAGTTCAAAACCGCCTCACACAAAAGTAATTACGGGAAGGCTGCGATTATGCCCTAGAGCCAATTGCAACCATACTGCGTGCTCTTCTTCAAGTTTTTCCTTCTGCTTCCTTCCTCCATCCTGCGCCGAATTTCCAGGTGACAACCACACCACAGAGCGCGACTCCCTGCACAATGGCGCAGATTGTGAATGCCAGTCCAGCCCCAACACTGTTGACCATTGGCATGATAAAACTCGTGCCACCAGCGGCGAATAGACATCGGGCGAGATTGAGGCTTGCGCTGGCTGCGGCGCTGCGGTCAGAGTAAACATCGACGAGATAAGTCATGATGATGGACTGCGTGGAGACGGCCGTCCATCCAGTAACGAATGTCGTGATGATGGGAACGGCGATGTGGACTCGCGGTGCGTAGTGGACGGACCACCCAAAGGCAATGATGGATATGCATTGCACTATGGAGAATGCAGGGACAAGGCGGAGGCGCGCCCGTTCAAGGGGAAACTCCTCTCTAGCGATTGCCTTAGACTGCGCTTGGTCTGCGCCCAGCTCCGCCTCTGTTTGGTTGTCTTGGCCTCGTGGCTCGACTTGACGCGCCGGTAGTCCATATCAAGAATCCACCCTGTGATGAGGGTGCCCACCATTGAGCCGACACCATTGGCAGTGAAAGTCAATCCTACTTGGGTCTCGTTCAGACCATAGCGTTCTGTGAAGAGGGTTGACAGTGCGGTGATGCTCATCTGCCAGACGGCGTAGTAAATAGCCAGAAAGACGATGATTGGGGCCGCGAGCTTGCTGAAGAGGATCCGGAATGGGCCGGTCACGTCGACCTGCTTTTTGGGTGGTGGAGGGCTCACTGCGCCTAGATTCCATGGTACCTTGGTGAGATTTTGGTAGGACCGCAACGGAGACTTCGCCATAAACCCTTCTGGCATGCCACCTCCATTGCCAACTACCGATCTCAAGGTCTCAGGCAGGAGCACAATCAGCGCAGCCAGAAACACGGCACCGTAGATGGTTAGGAATAGGAAGATCGACCTCCACCCAAGTGATCCTGCCAGGGCACCTCCAATGACCGGACCAACAGCAACAGGCACGAGCAGACCGGCTTGGAAGATGCCCATGAAGCCTCCCCGTTCAGCTCGCGTTGTGATGTCGCCTATCACGCCAGAGCCTATCGCGATGGTGCTTGCGCTACCAGTGCTCTGCAGACATCTCAGGACTAGGAGTGTCGCATAATTCCTCGCCTCGGCCAGGCCGATACATGCTCCAATGAAGACGACAAACGTGCAGCAATATGCCGTTCGGCGACCCCTGACGTCGGACACAGGTCCCCAAAGGCTCGGGGCTAAGCCCTGGAAGAGGAGGTACGATGTGACCGTGAGGTTGACAAGCTCTATGGAGACGTTGAGATCCTGGGCAATAGTAGGCAGTGCTGGGAAGTAGATGTTCGAGGCGAAGCCAGAAACTGTCATCAGGGATCAGCATGCGAGCGAAGACATCTTTGCGACACGGCAAAAAGCACTCCTGTCAGATCTTGTTGGGCACAAACGTACAGGTTGCTGCCAAAGACACTATGACAACTATCAAGGCTTTCTGACGCCTATCAAAAATGCTGTAAGGATTTTCAGCAGCCTGTGGTCCTGATATTGGCGATGGTGGCCCTGAGCCAACTTTGTTGCTGGCGCCTTCTGGAGACTGGTTCGCAGACGCCATGGGTCCTTGTGTCAGCGTTTGTGTCTATGCAACACTCTTCTTAAGGCTTTTCTGGTGAGGTGGGATTTTGTTTTCGTGGGAGATGAGGCTATGGTGAATTCTATTGTGGGAAACGCGCCTGGGCATGAGTGGGCCATCAGCGAATGAAGTACTTCGTGCCTAGGTACGCACTCAACTGAAAGGTGGTGATCTGTATCAGGACATATATGCAGAGGCAGCTTTATACGGAAGTCTTTACAAGTGGGTCTGACTGTTTGGACCGCGGAGTTGAGAGGAAGCCCACGGAGCTGAGAGAAAGTGCCACCGCACCTTTGAAGTTGCCCCAATCATCAGAGCTTCTACGTGCAGTAGTTACCCAGCGCTGAAAACCAAAGTTGAGAAGCCTGAAAAGGGGCCAATGACACGGGAATCTGGTGTAGTCTAGTCAATCAGATGATCAAAAGGTCGATACGGGCTCCTGCGTGACAAGGCAGCCGCAAATGACTATGGATTTAGTACAAAAACCCATGATAATTAGTGATCAGTTTCTCTGGATATGCGATTATTATGCGCGATTACCATATAGAAAGCAAAGGAATGTGTCTCCATTTGCTTTTCTTTGCCAATTCCTCGATGATCCTTGACCATATTTGATTTCAGTTAATCTAGTCGGTGACCGGAGGCACTTCCGCACTTCTAGCTACAAGTAATACCACGAGAGTGGCACTGCAACGTATTAAGATACATTAAGTTGGATACAGACACTTATAATTGATCAAGTCTTCCGAACTGTGTGAAAAGAGGTATGGATCACGAGCTGTGAGAGGAGCTGGAAACAGCAAAGAGCATGGTCCCAAATGCATCAACTTCGTCCAACCATTTATCCGCCCTCTTTCGACGCTCCCCGAGACCAGACTCATCTAGCCATGAAGGGGCTGGCCAGAGCTCATCAATGCGCAATCCACCTTCGGCCCAATCCACCAAATGAGTGTTGTATGCCGTCTCCCAGTCCCGCTGTGCCTTGGCCTCCCACAGATCTTTACCTGCGGGTGCGGGCAAGCCCTGGAGCTCAGTTCCGAAGAACGTCGGCAGGTCCTCCAGGGTAGCCAACACGCTGTCAAAGAGATACATCGTGTAAAGAGTCCGTCGCTTCGCCTCGGCGACGATCCAGCTCTCCCACCTGGGCCGAGCCCACTTCTGCTCCGCCACGCAGACGAGCCCCTGCCGGCTGCACAGCGACGCGAGTCCCTGAAGATCCATCATGGCCCGTCGCAGGGACGGGCCGACGAGGTGGCCGAGCCTGAAAAACAATACCATCAGGTAGAGCAGGTATGCTTGGAACGCGGAGAGCAGAGTAATACCATCGTCCATCGATGCGTGCGTCTCGTAGAGGCTGCTCATCTCCCTCTGGATCACGCCCATAGCAGTTATATCACTGCCTGGAAGCAACCTCTCGCAGATGCGGACCAAGCTGAGGCAGGTAGACAACGGTGGCCTGGCCAGCGGTGGCTGCATCTGCGCGGGATGGATGAACGGCGGGACACCCCTTCCGCGGACGGCTGTGGAGGCGTATGACCCGAGGATCTTAGGGATGAAGGCCTTAATGTGGTCTGGGTAATTTTTGACCTGTTGTCCCGGCACGGGCACATACTGACTCAGCCAGCGGCTTTCAATAGAGTCTGGGTCTATGGGGCAAACAAGTTCGAGATCTATACGACCGGAAATACTTTCTGGACCCGAAAGCTGACCATTTGAGGCTGCCAATGCTGCAGATAGGGGCGTTGGTGTCGCCGGTAATTCTGAGGAGACCACCGTGGGACTGGTGCCATCATCTGGCCCTGCAATGGCAAGTATTGGTGCTCCAGGAGTTACTTGCGCTTCTCTGTTGGTATTATGACCCAGATACCCGGGTGGCGGCCCAGACAATGGGACTAGACTGCCGACGGGGTTGATGACAATGCCGTCCCGGCTCTGTCGAGTGCTGTCGGCAGAAGCGGCCGGAGTTCGGGCCCGGTCGCGAGGATAAGTGCAGTCGAGGTCGCGTTGTGCACATCTGCCACAGCGTTTTGGATGGCGATCGCACTTGGCTTTGGCAGTGAAACAGTGCTGACAGGCTTTCTGCCGGGAATTCGCATACCGTTTGGTCTTCATGGTGGTGGCGACGGTCTCGTGGACGGAGATGACGAGTGGTGGGAAAGTGAGACGAGGGTGGAAGCATGTGAACATTTGGCAAGCGCGCTGCTCGCTAAGCCTAAGAGGTACCTACCAAGGCACTACTGTTACCGAGGCAGGTACTGGGGGTCGCCCAGAGCGCTCGTTCTGTCATGACTTATCTTTCTACTCAAATACCATGGTTTCTGTAAGATTATACAACTCAGTGAACTGGTGTGAAATGTCGTTGTATTGCCGCATTCTGAGCTCCGGCCGGATGCACTGTCCCGTCTATGAATCCCGGAGCCAAGTAGCTGGTCAGGTCCGTGAGGTCCGTCAACTCCGGCCGGCCCCACCCTTTCTGACGCGGAGCCTCCGCGACATCACTTTAAAAGAGGAGGGGTGCGGCAACTGAGAAGGAATAAGTTGTTCTACTGACTTGAGAGGAAAATTGGAAAATTCATCAACTTGAAAGCACAAACGTCGCATGCTGAACTGCGCAGACCAAACTGACCCACAAACCATATCCTCTCTCTACCACGTCAGATCTCAACAAACATCGGCTGGGATCATCTTGTTTGTTCAGCATCGTCATGGCATCAGAAGAAACAAATTATACCCAAGGGTATTCGAAAGCCACTCTTTCAAGTCACGCCTCCCGGACAATTGAGTCCGACGCCAGCTTCTTGATTCCTCACCTGCGAGCCACAGACCACATATTAGACGTGGGTTGTGGTCCAGGGACCATCACCGTCGGGTTCGGAGCCATTGCTACACAAGGCTCAGTCATCGGTGTCGATATCTCAGAGCAGGTCCTCGAACAAGCCCGAGAGACAGTCAGCAGAGGGAGGATGAAATCGCAGGACACTGTCCCTTCCCTACCGCCCATCACATTTCAGAAAGCAGACCTCCTCGGCGGACTGCCCTTCCCCGACAACACCTTTGACGTCGTCTTCAACTCGCAGCTCTTTCCCCACCTCCCCACCCACGAAATGCGAGTCCGGGCGCTGAGCGAGATGCGCCGCGTCCTGAAAACCGGGGGTATCATGGCCTCGCGCGACGCCGCTGAGCTGCACTTTTATCCTCGGTCGTACGACCTCGACAGGGTGTGGGCTGGCAATTTGGCCAAGGGCTATGGACACGGCAGACCAGGTGCTTGCTTCCCCGGCGGCGACATGCCCGCGCTGTTCCGAGAGGTGGGCTTCGATGCGGCGGCGGGAAAGACCAAGGTCGGGGCTGGGACGACCGTCCACGCGGGCAAGGAGGCGCGGGACTGGTACGTGGCTGCGAGCCTGGGCAAGCTGCAGCCGGAAGACCCGTTCAGAGAGGGCTGGCATCGTGTTGGGATCACGGACGAGGAGGTCGAGGAGGCACGAGAGGCTTTGGAGAAATGGGGCAAAGATGATGATGCCTGGTATGTCGCGCTTCAAGCCGAAATGTTAGGGTGGAAGTAGACATTCGCAGACAGCATCTGGCGAGGAACCTATGTTATCCATGTCTTCCTGTTCGAAGTTGTTAACATCTTGGACACATAAACTGTCACCTCGTGCTGTTGGCTGATACTGCTTGTGTTCGAAATTGTGTTATTCTGACTTTGATGTGCTGTTGCGCCTTTCTCCTTTCCCCAGGAACCTGTGCACCTTGTCCCAGACCAACTATTCAACGAACATAATTCGGACTGTCCTGATAATCATTAACCGAATATTGAGCTTCGCCGTCGAGACGCTAAAATTCAAAATGTAGGAACTGCCCATTCTTCTTGAATGACGGCAGCAACGAGATAAGTGGTGTCCAGCCCCCAAATATAGGAGGATATCGCTTCCCAAACCAACCCGTACCCATAAACTCATGACCAAATACCCTGTGCCTTAGAACCAGGCGGCTGTCCAACTTCCTGATTTCGTTCGCGTCATCGATTCCCCATCTCACGCGGGCCTCGCTATTGCGGAAAGCTTCCAAAAGTGATGTGAAGACCACACAAACAGACCCAAACGTATCGCACACGATATTTCCGTGTGTGAAATGGCCAAGGAGTCGCTGTATTAATTGTATACCCTTCTCGGGTTCCAAATAGTAAAGAAGCCCTTCCATGATAATCAATGTCGGGCGGTCGTTCGGTATATCGCGGAGCCAAGCGTCGTCGTCGTCCGCAACGTTTGCCGTCAAAAGAGTGTAATGGTCGCTGTCGGCATCCGGCATGAGTCGTTTCCTCAATCCCGTCACCCTGGGCCGGTCCACGTCGATCCATTTCACTTCCTTCCCGAGTCTGAGGCGCTCATATCTGCTGTCCAGGCCGCATGCAAGTTGTAACACGAGGACGTCCTCATATTGGTGCCGGTCCAGGAAATCTTGTGCCCAGTTGTCGATCTGCTTTGACCTGCCGCAAATGTATTGTATATACGACGGATCCAGCTGGAAGAGGCTTCGTGACAGATCGAAGTTGATTTTGTTCATTAATGCAGAGGCATAGTGGTCTCTGAGGATCGAGTTCTCGGATGAGGCGTCTCTCACTCGTAGGTACCACACCATAAGAAGCGTTTCCTCTTCCGGATCCAATTGGATTTCGCTTTCTTTGCCGTCGGTTGTGGACTGGCTGCTTGTTCTGGTGGCCAAGGAGGCTTGGCCTCTGCTGAGAGGCGTCACGATCGTTGGTGAAGGTGCCTCTGAGAAGGTACTCGGGGTGAGCGGTATATCCATTGTGGACAGCGTGCAGACACTCAAAAGCAACTTTAGGGCGGGACAACAGCCTCATGTGGCATGATGGGTTGAAGATAGCAGAAGGAAACAAGGCAAAGAGTAGGATTCAAAGCCGTGGGTCCCGATTATGGTTCAAAAGTGATGAATGTCTTGCCCTTGATCGTAACCTAGGTAGCATGCCGTTCTAATGTCTGGTTGCCAACCCCGATGGAGCCCTGCCGGCTCCACAAGCACGTCGACCCCTTTTTGGACCCAGTTAGTCATTCTTGCCAGATTCTGCTCCTGCTGTCTGCTTTTAGATGGGCCATTCCCTCGGGAAGACCTCGCTTCGATACGTTTTATTGCAGCCGAGCCCAAGAAGGTGGACAGCCGGATCAGCCTGGCTGGGGCAGGCCAGTTCCAGTGTAGAGGATGTCCGTCCGCCGGGAATATTAGGGCCACACAGAGATCAGCACCCACTCATCCCATAATTCTGTCATATGCAACTAGGTCCCACAGCACCTGCATGGCGCCGTGCTCCGCAGGTTGGGCGTCGATCCGAAAGCGTGCTAAACCGTTACGGTTCAGCCCCGGTCCCTCGGCCTCGCGTCACGGCAGGGTATGGATGAAGTCCTCACGTCCCCTGCCAGACTCGCTAGGACACTGTTCTGCGCGAATGATGGAAAGACGAACGGCCACGAAAGCCATCTGTAATCTTTCAAGGCTCGTAATGGCCGAAAGAGTTGCTCATCTGCCGGGTGCCATCTCCCAAGGCCCAAGTTATTGCCGGACTGTCCCCGAAACCAGATATAGGTCGTGTGTGGGTCTTGCGGTTAATCTTACCTGACAGCACCGTCTTGTTGTATGTATGGGCAGCAAGATCTGGATCGCCACCTGCATTTGCAAATTGGCCCAAGCTGTCATGCGATGGAGTTGCTCCATGATGTAGTGTAGGACCGTGATGCACCTGACCAGACTCGCCTGGTATCGTACCTCACGACGTATCCCTTACTTCATGCCGTTGGCTGCACGCCAAATGACATTTTCCTTCCGGCCTTCCCGAGCTGGCCTTCACGTCTAGATTTGCCGCTGACGTCCCACCGGATCCGGGCTCGCAAACGATGCCGGCAGACCGTGCATGCATTTTCAGCTCATGATCTAATCTGCAAAGTGGATTCGCAATGGCGTGGCCTTGGGCTTGGTTCACAGATAGCCTGCGCAGTGGCAGCGTGGATGACTACTGGATATGATCTGAAGGAGTTGCCAAGAACCTGGCAAGTGGCCCATATGGATCCTGGGATTCTACCAAAGGGTCCACTACTGGGACGCCTGGCTTTTGACCGACCCACTCTAAAGCCCCGGGCAGCTCTCGCGAGTTGCGAAGATCGGCGGTTCGGGAGGTGGGATGATCTTCCAAATTGATTGGCAGGACTGGAAAGCTGATGGTCATGAACTTCATGTGAATGGTGGACCTCGTTGGCTTGCCACGCCCTTGCATTCATTGGCCTGACAACTTCATTTTGATTTGGATTCAAACTCTGGAACTGCGAAGGCAATTCAAATTGTTTGAATTTTATTGGTGTGTAGATGTTAGCTATGGGACCCGGAGTTCAAAGTGATCTGCTTTTTTCCTACATGCGTGACTGAACGAACGAAAAAGTCCCCTGAGAAGGCTGACCACTACGGCGGCATAGCGTCTAATACCGGTCTCGCAGAATTGATTCGCCATTAGCAAGCCTTTAGCCCTCGATTTGCAGATATTTCTCAGAATAACAATGACAAATGTACACAGAGCGACTTACGCCGCATTAGTCTCTAACTTATCTTTACTGCAGACTTAGGTGGAGTATCATGCAAGGAACATGTTGGTAGTACATGGGGACTCAAACTCGTGGAACCTGCGGATCCAAGTTGACACACTGGCCAGTATGTTTGTGATGGAATAATCCTCACCTGTCATAATGGGGGCAAAACGATTGCTCATGCGAACTGCGATGTTACGAGAATTAGAGCACAGTCTAAAACCTATATCGTCATGCACGCTAAGGAATTCTAGCCGTCCGGAACAGTTATCGCACATACGCATTTAACAAAATATGAGATGTCAGCAGTTTCAATTTGAAGTACATGTGCTGGGTTTGTTGGTTTCCAAATTCAACTACACACTGGCATTGCACCGGTCGGGACGAGCTTCTACCAGGTGCCGCTTCCGTTTCACCGAATGGCGTAAGGGTTCTACGGCTTCTCATCGTCTCCATCGTCCTCATCATCCCCGTCGTCCTCATCGTCTCCATCGTCCTCATCGTCTCCATCGTCCTCGTCATCCCCATCGTCCTCGTCATCCCCATCGTCCTCGTCATCCCCATCGTCCTCGTCATCCCCATCGTCCTCGTCATCCCCATCGTCCTCGTCGTCTCCATCATCGCTATCATCACCATCGTCGCTATCGTCCCCGTCGTCCCCATCATCGCAGTCCTCGTCTCCCGGAAGTGTGGCGTTCCTGGCAGCCAGTCCAGAATTGTCGAGTGGCACTGCCAGGGCAGGGACAGCGAAAGCCATTAAGGCTTGGCCCTACATATTATTTGATTAGTCTTGGTGAGAAGCATGGAGCTGCGGAGGCCGTTCTTACAGCAACGTAACGGGAGAGCCCAGCATTTCCGGCGGTTGAGACCTGGAAACCACTTCCGGCCGTCAAAGCGGCCAGGCCGAAGGCGAAGAGCTGAACGAGAGAGTACATTTTGAGGTTTTTGAGGTGTTTGTTTTATTCGACTAATAACGTTGAAAGAGAGACAGTAGTCGAGACTTTGGCAAGCGAATGAATGTAGAAGGTCTTAGTAAGAGAAGCTTCAGTGATGGTGTCGAACAAAGGAATGTCGAATACTTTCGAGAGAACAGAACCCTTTTTATTTCTTCCACCACGCCAGCAGCATGAGTACGACATGTGGGGAGAATTCATGGGGCCGGAGACCAAAAGCCTAGTCAGGGGCAGACTGCGGCAGTGTAACCGTACCATTTGGAGCTGAAAAGGAGGTCATGGCGAAGACTGAATGAAGGGACGCTGTGATTTGTGTTCGCATGCATTAGCTTGTTGGAGAGCCCGAACGACTGTGATGGGTCAGCTCACGCAAAGCACAGGGTGCCGAGGGCTGAAATCCCGAGGCCACCAGAGTAACCGCGGATGAGCTGCAAGTCAGAGGGGGTCCAGATCCGTCCGCGACGCCACGACGGCGTCGGCTCCCCCTGGTCTACCAATGGTGTGCTGATGAAATTATTAGCTGCCGCCGCCCAAGTTCTAGTCCTGCGCTGTTGACGAGCCACGTTCGAAGCGATAGGACCCAAAGTGCTGCGCACGGCTTGCCGCTAGGTTGTTCGCGAAACGCGCGCCTGGGGAACGGATGACAGATGTTTTAGCGTGAGCTTGATCGCGGAATATTATTAGACTTTGACCAGGGGTCCAAGCTAGCGACTGAACGGGATTACTGGCCGGTGTCACTTTACGGCACAGCCCAAGAGTCTCTTCAACATCACCACAACAGTCTCAAATGCCATCTGTAATTACAAGACACATCGGGCTGCTCACAGCTTTTCCCGTCAAGAGAATGCACCATAGTGTCTCGTTCAATACACGTATTGTTTTATAAGTGAAGCTATGGAGGGTATGGGAAGATACTTGGAACTGCACTGCATTGCTGGGTCGGCACCATCTCTGTGCATAACTAAGCACAGGTGCTTGACGGGCAATCCCCTCAATCCCGAAATATCCTCGGCATCAGCCGAAAGGTCCAAGAGACAGCGAAAAGGCAATCCATTTTACGAGCCCACTTCCGCAATGTCGTTAAGTAAGGAGTGGTCTGGATGTCTGAGGAATGGCGTGTGAGCTGTGCTTGCGTGACGTCACGAAGAAGAATGACGTTGAGGATGCAGACAGATGACCACAGACTCAGCATTCTACAACCTCTTCCAAATTCAGAAGAAGGTTGAAACTCGAGATTCATTCCAGCTCAGAGACCGGAATTTTACGATCAGGCATTTCGCAATGAAGGAGTATTCGGCGCAAGAGTGGCTCCCATCCGCATCCGGGCTTGGCGAGAGCCCGTTGTACCGCGCCAGTGACCAGACATTTTTCTTCGTCGACATCAAGAACCGACTTGTGCACGAGATACCGGAATCGGAGGGATGGAGGCAACGGAAGACTTACGAGTTCGATCAGCCCATCACGAGACTGGAGGTTGTTGCAAACCGCACGGACGTCCTTGCTGTGCAGACGAGATTCGGCCTCGCCCTGCTATCACTGCAAACTGGGACCCTGAAAGATATCGCAACCCTCCAGCACAGCGACAAGGGCCTGGACTCAAAGGTGCGAATGAATGACGGTGCAGTAGATTCGAAGGGGCGATGGTGGGCAGGATCCATGGCGTTAGACGAGGAGGATCCGATCGGCCGGCTGTGGTGCATGGACGAAGGTCCCGGCGAGGCCAGGACGGCATCTGTGCGGGAGCTGGACAATCTCCTGGAGACGCCCGTGCCAAACGGGCCCGTCTTCTCACCAGACGACAAGATCATGTACGCGAGCGAGACTCCCCAAGGAAAGATATTCCACTATGATTACGATACGAAGGATGGTACCGTTTCAAACAAGCGACTTTTTGTCCAAATAGAGAATGGCGGGATGCCGGATGGCATGGCTGTCGACGTGGAGGGACACGTCTGGGTGGCGGCCAACTCTCAGGGGAAGCTAGTGCGGTACTCCCCAGGCGGCGAGGCTGTGGCAACGTGCGCGGTGCCCGGGGCGAAGATGACCTCGTGTCCTGCTTTCGGCGGAGAGGACCTCAAGACCCTGTTCATCACGTCCATTGCGGCTGGAGGATCTACGGGCCATGTTTACAAGGTCAAGGTCGATGTACCGGGGATCCGCCGTCACGAATACGAGGCCTAGCCGGCCGATGTGCTAGACTAAATGAATGAATCATGTTGGGCTATTCCAAAGTATTCCTCATCGAGGCTCCTGCTAGTCTCTCGTGCCTATACCATGTGTTCACGAGGCGACATTCTGATGCGGCGGAGTACAAGAAAACCTCTCTCTAGTAGATAAATGTCCACATGTGCTGCCCTCCCATTGCTTTACTGCGGACTAGAATTCATCTAATACGAGTAAAACGGTTGCCTTTTCTGGATTGACTTGTTTGAAAATCACATTCTTTTGCTCAAACTTGCCTGGAAATCAGGATGACGAAGCCTCCTGGGCATGGTCTATATGCGGTTGAGATGAATCCCTACGCCTTCGCCGACGCCATCTTTGCCCTTGTTTCATTTGTAGCAGCATGAGTGGCCCACAGAGAGCACCTATCAATCCAAAGAAAGTGAATGTCCATCCAACTCCGAGTCGGTCAATCATGAGCTGCAATACAGCAAGGGCTGTGGCCGCAAAAGCGCAGCGCACAATATTGGCAGAAGCCGCGGCAGTTGACGATCTAGTTGGGTTCAAATCGGTGAGAAGAGTCCCAAAAGCCTATTACTGGTCAGAATAACAGAGGCATTGCCACAGAAAAGGAATTCGTGAGGGGGAGGTGCGGCTTAATTGGACGGCTTACGGAAAAGAGTCCGGTAGTGGCAAAGCCTATGACTGTTTGGAAAATCAAAGGAGCTGATACGTGCTGTTCACATCTTTAGCAAATCAGACAGGACAGTAGCGGCGGTAAAGCTAACCACACGGTAAGCCATGGCCCATCCGTATCCTATCGTGGCCAATGTGTTCAGGCCTACCAGGTACAGTGCTGTCTTGAGCCTCGCCCTCTCGATCGGAAACCCCTCGACGCTATTGCTGGGGTCTGCCGCTGGACGGGGCTCGAGACTTTTCGACAGCCGAGCGTAGTCATAATCTAGGACCTTGCCCCAAACCAGCAGACTGATCAAGCAAGCGACGCCGAACGGAATGTACACCAATCCGGAAGCAATCTCACCGTAGTGGTATACTTCGATGAAGAGTGAAGATAGCGATGCCTGGGCACAGCAATATATCATGTAGTATATGCCATTGCACACCACGACTATTGCTACGTCTTTGAGTAGCAACAGTTTGAGGGACGCCAGCGGATTCGGTAAAGAAAGTTTTCGTCGGTCTCCATGACTCTGTGAATCTGATCGTGGCTTTCGCCATTCTGACATGGAAGACAGGAAGGTGCGGTTGATTCCATGGGCGGGAATGCTGCCATTACCAACAAGGCATCGCGCGGTTTCTGGCAGAGTGAACAGAATCATAAGGAGGCAGACACCACCAAGTATGCAAAGAAACCAAAATATCCAGTGCCAGCCTAAGCTTGCAGCGAGGGCACCGCCGAGGATAGGGCCGAGAGGAGGTGCCACGTTTGGACTGTGGATGTTAATTATCAGCGAAAGCAACGTCTTTCTGGCCCGTATGCTCTTACCCAACAAGCATTGTCCCAACGTAAGAGCCCCGATCGGCTGGAGTCGTAATATCACTGAGAACGCCATACCCGAGGGATATCGTGCCTATCCAGTCTTAGTAACTCAGACGCCCCATATGCCTTCCGGCTCAATAGGATGGAAACAACTCACCGGAGCTACCAGCGCTTTGCAACATCCTGAGGACCAGCAAAGCAGGGTAGCTATTCTGAAGAGCCAGCCCAATATTGGCCCCCAAGTAGGTTCCCAGCGCCAGAATATATACCGGGCGTCGTCCTAGTGTATCCGCCGCATTGCCGAGCAAGGCTGGGGCAACTCCCGAGACGACCATGTAGGTGGTAATGGCGAGATTGATGAGCCCGACCGAGACATCAAGGCCGTCTGAAATCACAGTGATGGCGGGGTAGAAGATGAATGAGCTCATGGGTGAGAACATTCCCGCGAATGCAGACAAAAACACGATCCATCTTTTCTCCCAAACGGTGTAGACAGTAAACGGGTGGTCATGCGTGATTTGCGGGCCAACAACGGGCTGCGCTGACCCTTGGACGTTCTTTTCCTCCATCGAAATCTCATCAATACATTCCGCATGTCGCCATGTGGACCAAGGCGTCGTTGATGTCTTCCAGGTCGCTCTTGAGGGTCTTGTGGAAAATTTCCTTGAACGCCGAGATCTGCTCGTGGCAAAACAAGCCGAGAAGTTCGACAAACGCAATCTGGCTGCCGGACAGGACCAGCACGTTGGTGGCGGGTGGACAGGGTTGGGCTTTGGATGTTTCTCCGCAGCCCGGCTGCAGGACCTGACAAAAGTCGCTCCAAAGACACCGAGGGTGCTCCATTCTGGCCATTTCTCAGAAATGGCCATCCCAAAGACGGCCCATTGCAGAACGACGTGCTGGGGTTAGGATCATTTCAAAACACCAACAGACTTACCGGGATGCGAAGCCTTCTGAAGCCGCTCGATGTTGGCTCTGTGCAATCAGCGTAATTGGCTGGTTATGCGCTGACGATGCTATTTATAGCTGCCGTGCCTCAGGAACACAGAAGGCTTCACAGCAAGACGTAGGCCGCCTGTTGCCTCTGCGCAACTTCATTTTTAGTGGGCTAACCTTCCCCGCACATCAAGTGATACATCCCAGCCTCGCAAGCTACCAAACATCCACTATGGCGGACTTGCGTCAACAAGAGAATTTGAAGAGCCAGCTCAGCGCTCTCAGCACCTCGCTCGGGGGCAATTTGCCTCTCGATGACGCTATTCGAGACGGTAGGTTTTCCAAGCAACATATGACTTCGTCAGTAGTCTGCGGTGCTAACAGACTTTGGTCGCAGCTCTCCCTCAAGGAACAAAAGTAACCTTGGTCCATAGCCATGGCATGTCAGCTTGGTCGTTCACAATTAAAATCGAAGCCGTCGACAAAGAAGGGAAACCTGTGGCGTATTTTTCCAAAGTCAGTCATCTCGATTCGCACCATCCCCTATGAACACTGGGTTTGATTTCATGGCTGATCAGTACACATCTAGTATGCCGCTGGTGACCTTGGAAGATACCAGATTGAGGGTGAATACACAGCTATGAAAGAGCTATACAGATTGGCTCCAGAGTTTGTAGCGAAGCCAATCGCTTGGGGCGAGCTAAAGAGCATCGTCCCCGCAAGTTATTTCCTGTTGATGGATTCCAAAGATTTTGTCGTGGGCCTCCCTAACCCAGCGAAACTGGGAAAAAGACTGGCAGAAATGCACAAGAAGAGCGAGTCACCCACGGGAATGTTTGGCTTCGGGATTCAAACCTTCGATGGGGCTCGATTGCAGTCTGTGGCTTGGGATCCCAGCTGGACATCATTTTTCTCAAAGCTACTTGCGGAGGCATACCGGCAGGACACGGAGACGAACGGAGTTTGGCCGGAACTGGAGGTGGTGTTCGAACGCGTGCAGTCGCATCTAATTCCACGCCTTATAGGTGCATTGGAGGCCGATGGCAACTCAGTCAATCCCTGCCTGATACACGGAGACTTGTGGGAGGGCAACATAGGGACAGACGCGCACACTGGAGACCCAATCATCTTCGATTGCGCGGCTTACTATGCGCACAACGAAATGGAGCTGGGCATATGGCGAGCCGAGAGGCATGAACTCAGGGACAAGGTCTATCGCCGTGAGTATATGCGCAACTTCGAGCCCAGCGAGCCGGAGGAAGAATGGGACGATAGAAACCGCCTCTACAGCGCCAAGACGAACTTCATGTTCTCCGCGTGTTATGCCGGTTCTCCTTCAAGACAACTGTGAGTCGAACATGCTAAATTTCGATCCTTCAACGATTTACCGAGATGAAATTCTGACAATTTAGGGCCCTCGATGACTTTGTATATCTCATACAAAAGTATGTGCCATGGGACGAAGGCTCTGAGGAATGGAACAAGATCCGCGGGCTTGTCAAACGGGAATACAGCTTTTGAGGCTAGTGTATTCTAATACAAACATTGGGCGTTACATATTAGACAAATTTCAATACAGATGTCCTCTGATAATGTTCAGATTTATGGTCACAATTTGACTTGTATTTCGGTCTTCTTTGGTGGGTGCAGCGCATGTCCGCCCAAAAGTCGTTCTTCGCCAAGATGCTAAAAACCGAACTGCGATTGCAGCAGCTTATGTTCGGTGCTTACAAGTGTCTTTTGGACCCCGATGGTCCCCTCAATGTCTAACCAAGTTCAGAAACATGCAGGGGGCCTGGTGCTGCCGTAACGCCAGCCACATGTACGACCACATGGCGGGGTTGGTTGTTGTCTGTTGGTACCGTATCTGTTTGAAATGCCTGCTTCGCCTCGTGTTGATCTCTTCCACTGGACTACTTCGACTCGAGCTGAGAATACTGGCGGGTATCGTCCGTCGCAATGGCAAGTCAGGCGTGGAATAATTCGAGACTGGTGTCCTTTTTAGCAAACAAGCACATTGGGCATCTCGGACTTTGCCAAAAATCTACTCTATGATATGTTGTATGGAAGGGACCAGAGTGGGAAGAGCTTTGAGCTAGGGCAGGTGAGTCAATCGTTATGAAACTTGGCCAGAATGCCTCAGTTGGGCAGACAAGACTTTCTGAGTGTTGAGGCTGAATGATAGCTTAGGTGCCCATAGTCTTTGTGACGCATTCCATGGGTGGTCTTGTTTTCAAAAGAGTGGGGTTCGACTATAGAGCTCGAACTACGCTATTGATTCCTTGCTAATTCCTTGAACTTCTATGTACCAGGCTTTTCTTGATGGCCAGCTAGATGACCGTTACGCCTCCATCATTGATGCAGTCAAGGCTATCCTGTTCCTGTCCACACCTCACAAAGGCGCGGATCTTGCAGGTTTCCTGCAAAAAGTCTTGTCAACAGCTCCTAATAGTACCCCTAAGCAATATGTCGCAGACCTTGTCAAGCAGGGCCCGTTTTTGTGAATGGTCAACGAGCAATTCCGGCACTGCGCCCCGAACTTGCAGATATTTTCCTTCTATGAGACCCTTCAGACGCCGCTCGGGTTTACCTCTGCAGTGCGTATCAAACCATGGATGTGAAATCCGTGTGTGTTTCTCACAAATTTGCAGATGATACTTGATCAGGAATCAGCCAAGCTGGGTTATCCCGGAGAAGTGTCCCGATCCCTGAATGCGGATCACCACGGTGTTTGCAAGTTTCATAATGCATCTGAGATGACAGCAATTACAGAGTAATCTTGTCAGCTCTGAAGTCATTAGTGTCTACCTACTTGCCCACGGGTAAGTACAAGTCTGAGCCCCGGTCATTCTCTTGACCACAGGTTGTACCTAACATCGGCTGCCTTTTTGCAGGTCTCCAAACTCCCATCGCGGAACTCGAAAAATTGCAAGAGTTCCTCAGTGTCGCAGACTCAGTGGACGTAGACCTGAATCTCTTTTCGCGCCGAAGAGCGGAGTCAACGTGCACATGGATTCTAGAAAGACCTCAAATACATTCATGGATCACGTCACTATCATCGTCACAGCTAGTATGGCTCCATGGGCGGCCTGGTCGTGGGAAATCGGTGCTCTCTTCCTTCTTGGTACAACATCTTCGTGAAGAAGGTTGTCAAGTGCAGCACTTCTTTTTCAGAAGCGGCGACGAGAGCAAACGTTCAGTTTCCGCACTGCTCAGGTCTATTGCATATCAAATTGCTGCTCAGGTTCCAGCTTTCCGGCGCTCGTTGCTCTCACTTGCAGGCGGTGGATATAAAATTAGGGAAGCTGATTGGAGATCGACATGGACGAAGATATTCGTTGGCACTTTGTTCCAACTGGAATTCCTGGCGCCGCAATATTGGATCATCGATGCTTTGGACGAATCTGGCTCCCCCAGCATGTCTTTGATATGCTTGCAGACATCTCAGGGTCTTCTTCACAGATAAATTGTCTTGTCACAAGTCGTTGGAGTCCTGTCCTTTAATCAGCCTTTGATAGGGTGCAGTATAGGGTTACATCCTCGGCATTATCATTGAACCAAGAGCTGACCGATATAAAAAAGTATTCAGAGGAAGAACTGAGGTATCTAGGATGGAATTCCTCTGTCAAGGAGGAAGTCATGGCGAAAATCATTAAGCACTCGAACGATAATTTCTTATGGGTATATTTGGTGTTGGTAGAGATCAAGGACTGCAATACCGAAGACGACGTGCGGGAAAGGCTCGAGGAGCTTCCACCAGGCATGGAAGAACTGTACCAACGTATGGAGGAAACGATTCGTCGCATTCGTCGACCTTCCGACAGAGGTCTTGCCCGCCAGCTTCTTCTGTGGGCCATGTACGCCCGACGATCCATCGATATCGACGAACTTTCGGCGTTGCTCGAACCAGAATTTGGTCAATTACTTGACATCACGAGCACTATCAGTAGACTGTGCGGACAGTTCATTGCTGTGGAGGGCCAGGACAGAATCGCCCTGTTACATCAGTCAGCTCGGGAGTACCTGATGCAGACCAGAACTTTGCCCTTCTCCCTCGGATCTTTCGAGGCTCATATCGAGCTATTTGAGAAGTCCATGAGCGCTTTTATGAAGAGGGAGATTCGGTCGAGACTGCAACCCAATGAGCTGAAGTGCTTGGAGTATCGAGCTACTTCATGGCCCCATCACCTCGAGGCCATCAGGCAGCCAGAGGATTCCGATCAACAGCTAGATCTCCTCGTCACATTCTTTACACAGTCATATGCTCTGATATGGATCCAGGTACTGGCTGTTATGGGTCAGCTCAAGGTGCTCATTGAGGCTTCGCACGCGGTGAGCACTTTTGTGCATCGCAAGTGCCGCATCGATGTCACTCGCGCAGCTGCCTCTCGGAGATTCGAAGATTTAGAACTTCTTGACAGTTGGTCTCACGACTTACTGAAAATACCAGGCAAGTTCGGCAGTAGCCTAACACAAGATCCGTCGTCGATTTTCACGTCAGTTGCCTCGTTCTCGCCATTGAGGTCGGCTGTCTATCGGTACTTCTCTAAGATTGCCGCACCATCAGTGTCTGTTCGTGGTCTTCCAGACGATCGGGACGATTGTCTTGCAAGAGTTACCTTGGGAGCTGGTTCCCGAGCAACCTTGATAGCATCGTCAGGCCGATACGTGGCTGTTGCGGATGACACCGGAACGGTAGTGTTGTGGGACTGTACGACTTTTCAGCAGACTCGTCGTCTTGAGCATCGAGAGCGGATTTCAGCCATGTCTTTCAATTCCCGAGGAGACCAGATTGCGACATATGGGACCACCAGCACCATAATTTGGTCTCCGCACTCAGGCAAACCTGTTCGAAATTTGGCCAACCTTCGGGAAATCAATGCGCTCTGCCTGAACTATGTGGAGAATGATACGATACTTCTTGTGGGATCAGATCTACGATGTATACTGGAGCATAGGCTCGAACGTCGGGACGTTCTGTGGACAGCTTTGGACCCCTCGCTGCTCAGTGATGTTGACAGCCTCCAGGGAACACAGCTCAACTCACCCTCGGCACTGGCTATAAGTCCGGATGGCAGCAAGGTGGCGGCCGCTTATAGAAGATTCCCCTTGACAATCTGGTCCATTAACCCGCCCAAGATCATCAAGAGGTTCACTCGAGAACGAATACCAGGCCGACCTGGTGTCCCGCTGCCTTTCGCCAGCAAGATATCCTGGCACCCAGATAGTGGAGAGATCCTCGGGTTGTTCCTAGATGGCTACTCATTCAGATTTTCTATTCTTGACGACCGGCTTGAGGAACATCCACCAGATCCTGCAAAAATGCCGGCCGATATACATTGCAGTCCTGATGGTTTGATATACGCAGTTCGAGGAACTAGTGGAACGATCAAACTCTACGATTATCACAGCGCAACCCTGCTTTACCAGCTGACTTCGAGGGGTGACTCTGTGAGCTCTTTCTGTTTTAGCCAGGACGGTCGTCGTTTCTTCCAGCTCCGAGGTAATCATTGCACTGTGTGGGAGCCCAACAGTCTCATCAGGCTATCCGCCGTCGATGATCATGCTGTCAATAGCCAATCATCTCCTGAGGAAAGTATAGAACCATCAAACTTTGCTTCTGAGGCTTTGACGGACGACAAGCCTCCGATCATGGTGGTCAGCGAGTCCCCAAAATCGTCTCTCGTTTGTCTTGGAGATGAAGATGGCCTCATCGAGCTTTTCGATCACGAAACCATGCAGAAACTCGAAGTTGGAAGGACCGCCACTGAATTGGGTATCGAACACGTGGCGTGGAGTATTAATGGCAATCGTCTCTGCTACTCGGAAGTCAGTGGGCGACTCACCCTCATCGAGATCTCGAGCTCCAAGGGAAGCTGGCAGTACCGCAGGATCAAGCGCTTCAAGCCCAAGGTGGAAGGGGACGGTATCCTTCAAATACTTCTTTCACCTGACGATGAATCGATTCTTGTCGTGTCTCCATCGTCAGCTCGACGCTGGTCTCTTGCATCAGCAGATGTACTGGCAACGAACGAGTTGGATGCATGTGCTCTTCCCGCCCAATGGGTAAAACACCCGGCTTCAGAGCAACACATCATTTCCATTAACCCTCAATCTGTTCGAGTGTACCAGTGGTCCGACTTGAAGGAGATATCATCCATTCTGATGCCCCAAATAGCGTTCCAGAGACGGCCAACAATGATCGAAGTGGACCCACCGTCCCCGAGCCACAAAACCCCCAGCACGATCATTTTCAAAGTCGAGGAAGAGATAGACCTGGTCGTTTCGACTCACCTTAGTGGCCATGTACTCATCCGAACCTCAAGGCTGAGCTCATCATCTACTCTAGTACCTAGGTTGCAGGTCCTAAGCACTTCAGACACCGCGAAATTCCCAGAACTTGATTCCAGTTGCGATCTGGTCTTCCTCGATATACCTTCCGCAGTCGCAGAGCTCACCGAAATACCTCTCAACATTCTTCCAAATGAGCGCTTCGTATTCATTGATCGGTCGTTCCGTGTCTGCACATGGCCTCTGCGATCAAAGCGAGATGCCGAGGATATCAAACGTCATTTCTTCATTCCCAGAGACTGGGTGCCAGAACAGAATCTGAAACTCCTTCAAGTTACCCGCCACGGTTCAATTTTGTGTCCTCGAAGCGAGGGTTTCGTTATCATTGATAGCTCTATGGCATCTGAGTGGTAGTCCTTGATTCCTCTCCCAGTACGCAAAAATTCGAGCTTCGCTCTCTGGACACAGTGGAGTATTGAAAAGGATAGCTTCAATATTGGATGTTTTTCAAAAAGTTATGATACTAGATTTCAGGGAGCCCAAGTTGACCAGTTTTGACACGTTGTGCCGTATTGGATGCCAGCCCTATTTGCAGTCCAACTAGATTCTTGAATTTGAAGCCATGTGTCACATGTTCCTATCCAGGGACTTCATTGTAGTTGATTAATGTCCTGCCTATACAAGGAACATGCAATATGCTCCCACTAGATGCGAGTATGTGAGAGTCACGACAATTTTTTCACCCCGTAAGTGCTTGTTTGTTGAATGATGAAGTCGTGCTGTCGATTTAATGATTACAAAGCACGGTAGTCAGCCTTTGGCGACCTGATGTAGGGAGGGCTTTGCGGAGACATGTTAGTACAAAATCGACACCACCACGCTCAGGGTTATCCGAGGCGTCGGGGATAGGGCCAATAGGATGATATCATTTACCTGACGAGATTCTTGCCTGCAACAATAGCAGCCGTTCCTGCAGCAAACACACCCAGCATATTGCTCCAACTCTCGTTGCCGTAAGCCCTCTGACCTACTGCCAGAGCCACAAGATCATATACCAGACATCCTCCGAATATCCAGTCGCTGCAAGAGGCGAGGCCAGCAAAACCCAGGCCGGTGAGGACTTTGACAGCGGTCGAGGGCTGTTGATGGACAAAGTACGCCACAGAACCGTTGTGCAACAAATCCAGAACACCGATTCCGGCGAAGGTCTTGCTCACAATATGTGTCAAGACAGAGTTGGTAGAATTCAAGTTCATCGGCGGAAGTCGGCCGAAGATGTAATACAGCTGTGCGAGGGAGTTGATGACCACGAAAATGTTGCTCGTCTTGAGGTCCGATGCGTTCCAGAAGACCATCCAGCTCGCAATGCACAGGTTCCCCACGGCATAGAATGGGCTGAAGTCGACCATGGTGTTGACGGCCCCGTCCTCGAGTGCGGACTGGTCATTGGACCGCCACAGGCGCCACAGCCAGGCAAGCTGGAACAGCTGTTGTGGGAAGAAGAAGCCTGCGATGAAGAAGGGCTGGGGAGACCAGAAGGACAGATTGGCGTCGTGGACGTCCTTCATGTTTGGTGTGCTAAGCATGCCATACTGCTGAGCAGCAAAGTCGATCTATCCCGCATTTTTGGTTAGAATCTTCACAAGGCAGAAAATCAGGTAAGAGAAGTCACTTACGACGAAGGAAATAGGCGCGAGGTAGCGCGCGGTGGAGAGTGAAACGCCCATGGTGATAGATATGCCAATTGTCGACTGATTTCGTGATTGTGTGCTTTTGGTGAAGTTGTACTGCGTACGGTTGTTCGATAAATATTGGTAGTAGATGTAATCAGTAGAGGCGCGATTTCCGAAGAACGATGCACCTGACGCTTTGCAATTGCGAACGACGTGGCTATAAGGTCTGCTTAATGATGATGTGAATCTGATTGACGGCTGTGAAAGTTAGATGGGAACACGACAAAGCCGATGGCGTTGAAACTGTTGCGTCATGGACTTTGCCCGCAAACTGTAAAGCGTCAGCCCTACCACATGCATCCGAACTAAGGATTCAGTTGCGTCGGGGCCGTCGGTGCAACTGTCCATGCCGAAGTGCGATGGACCCGAAATTGATAGTCGGGACTGCGACAGTGGAAAATCATTGTTGTATAATTGCAATTGTTTTCTTGCCTGCGCATCTCAGTGATGCTCGTCTTCCGGCACAGTGATGCCGCAGCCAATTGGTCAACCCCAAACTTGCAAAGTTGGCCGAATCCCATGTTAGTGACCCAATTTCGACTCAAATCTCGTTCGGAGCCTTCATTCTGATAGCTATAGTACGTGAACATGTACAGTCAGGCTTCACAGACTGCAGGTTATAATAGAGAGGTGAGCGACTCGCTCCCGATCTGGAATAAGTGGTTGACATCAGGATGATGGAGATAACTTGGGGATTCAACCAAGTAAGATTCTCATTAAGTGCCTTGGAAGTAGTAAATCGCCAAAGATCACCTCTATCGGGTGGGATTTGCCAATATCACAATGAGATCCAGCTTTCGCGGTCGCACTGTGTCTTCTGAGCGGGACCCGTGACACGACGATAAATGTAGAGACATGAACAGCTTCTTGTACCTGTCACTATTGCATCGGCAGCACCCTCACGATGTCAGCAATGGTTTTGCGGCATGACATTCAGATTAACTGCAGGTAAACGACCCAGGAAAGGGCTGACAAAGGATCAGTGATATGAATTGGTCGTACATGTTCACTCTGTCTTCGAGAACAACCTCTAATGAAAAACCCGTCTTTCTTGAAAAACGATTAAATGACATCTATCACAGAAAAGACATTAGCTATGCCGACAGTCATTTGCTATAAACGGACAGCTTGCGAGTACCAAGATGAGTATCAATATGCTCGGTTTCACAGTCCTTGAGTGCGATCTGCCTACCAGGGGGGAGGGGGGTTTCTGACGGGGTCACGCAATGCACTCATGTTTTAACATTTAATTGAAATTTTATAATTTCAGCGAAATGCTAGTAAAAGATTATTAAAATATTATTAAAAGCAAATTATATTAAGGCTTTAAATTATATTAATATTAACTTTATATTAATATTAATTTTATATTAATTAATATTATTATAATTTTATATTAAAAGCTTTAATTTAAACTTATTAATTTTAAACTTAATTTTATTTTTAAATATTTTTATAATTTTATAAACTCTTTTATAATAAATAATTAAGCTAATAAAGAGTAAATAAGTAGTTAAGTTAAGAATAAGGGAAAACCTAGTTATTTTTTTAACCCTTTATTAAGAGTTAACATTATATCATAATATATTAAAAATAACTACATATTAGTGATAAGTAAATAATGCAATATACATAAAAAAACATACTGTCAGAATGTTGATAGCATGTCATTATTATGTTGCTTTCCTTTCGACTTGCTTGCAGCACCTAAACAAAAACCCCCCCTCCCCCTGGTAGGTGATGGTCGATGCAGCTTGATAACGCGCGTTTGATTACCCTCCGTGCAGGCCCTGCGTGCAAGCCAGTCTTTCGGAATGATCAAACGGCGAATCATCATATGAGTATCCCAAAGCTGTGCGGGGCCCGACCGGACTTGAATCTGTAGCATAATGATTCCTTACTTGTGGGACAAATTTGCGGCCAAGTTATGCAGTGTCTCAAAAGAAGAACTCTCAGTCCAATGCGGAGCTCATCTCTAGGACACCAGGACAAAGCCACCAAGCACAGCACGGGTGATGTAACTATCCAGAAGTAAATGTGGCTCAGGGGTGAAGTCGGCTGACGGTTTTCAAAAGATCAACCGCCACCAGATACCAAGCAGACACCTTCTGTTAGCACGCGAAGGTCGAACAGGGAAAGATACGGAGGCTCATAAAAATTGCGGAAATGATGTTGCCAGGGATTGAGGCTTAGGCCCAGTACGGTCAATGAGAGCATGTGATCTCAATGGCCTTTCTTATAGCGGCGGCTGCAGGCTCAGCTGTCAAAAGAAAAAAAGAAAATGCAGCCTTGGCCGGTTTGAGACGCGTTCGATCCCAACAGCACGGTGACGCTACTGCGTGGTGGTTACATTACCAGCAGCCGGCGTTCTTGGTCCTGCATTTGATGGCGAGTCGGACCTATGTCGGAGGTGCCGTTATCTTGAAGATCTAGCCGGTTGTCATCAACAAAGGTCATATCTTGCTCTGCAAATCCTTGGAATGGCGCTGATATCTACACTTTCATAAGAAGAGGCACTGTAATCTTAAAAGGTGCCAAGAGATAAGGAATCCTTGCCGAGAACGCCCTGGGAGCCGGGTATAGGATGGGGGACTTAGCTTGCCCCAAGCCGCCGGTTTGGCTGGTCGCCAGCCGCAGTTCCCGACTACTTTAGCTTCACAATGATAAGAGATACAACGCCGGTCCCTCAGGGTTTCTTGGCCAGGGTCTGAGGGCGTGATTGATATGAGGTCCGATTCTAGGATGGAAGAACGGATGCCGTTCCTTATAATGTCCATGTCCCCTGGCTTGTCCAGACTCATGGTGTAGCACGGTCCAATGTAACCAGAAGTCATATCCAAAGGACAGTACGACACCATGAGCGAAGCTGTAAGTACCTATCTATTCCTACCAAGGCTTTCTGGATCGAATTTGTCAACAAATGTTAATATTGACTTCCCCTTGACAGCCGAGTTACAATGAATCAATGCCCACCGGCGGCAACCCACTCGAGATGGACGTGAACGCCCAGTACGTGGGCTTCGAGTACAACTACACGTACCTGATCTTCTGCGGTTTTATCGTGTGGCTCATCATACCCGGAATCGGTCTTCTTTACGGAGGCCTCGCCCGCCGAAAGTCTGCCCTCGCCCTTCTATTCCAGTCCCTGATGGTCGGGGCTGTCACCACCTTCCAATGGATGTTCTGGGGCTTCTCCCTGGCCTACAGCCGCACGGCGGGCCCCTTCATCGGTGACTTGGCCAACTTTGGGCTGCGCGACGTTGTGGCAGCCCCGTCGATTGGCAACCCTACCATCCCGGATATCGCGTTCTGCCTCTACCAGCTCCTGTTCTGCGCCTGTACAGTGCAGATTGTGGTTGGTGGTGCCTTTGAGCGTGGACGTATCATCCCGTCTCTCGTCTTCGGGTTCTTCTGGGCTACGATCGTGTACTGCCCCATTGCTTGCTGGACGTGGAACCCCAACGGCTGGCTGTACAACCTGCCTTCTCTGGATTTCGCTGGTGGCGGCCCTGTGCACATCGCCTCTGGGTGGGCGGCATTGGCTTATGCCCTGGCCCTTGGCAAGAGAAAGACAAGCGCGGACGACAAATCCCACGGCAAGCCGCACAACACGACTCTCGTCTTTCTCGGTACTGTGTTCATCTGGTTCGGGTGGTTCGGCTTCAACGGCGGCTCAGCACTCAATGCTAGTGTCCGGGCAATGTACGCTGCCTTCAACACCAACACTGCCGCGTCAACGGGAGCCATTGGGTGGGTCATCGTGGACTACATCAGGCACAAGAGACGCTTCAGCGTCGTTGGCGCTTGCGAGGGTGCCATTGCTGGCCTTGTCGGCATCACGCCAGCAGCAGGCTACGTCAGCGTGTGGCTTGCCGCTGTGATTGGTTTCCTCACGGCCGTCGTGTGCGCACTGATGTCAGATGTGAACCTGTGGCTGCATATTGACGAGGGCATGGACGTCTTTAAGCTGCACGGGATTGGCGGCATGTGTGGCTCCTTTTTCACTGGCATCTTCGCTACGTCTTCCGGTTCGTTGACCCTCACATTCATACTTGACAGATGTTCTATCAGGAGCCGCAATACTAATTTTGAAACTTATAGTCTCTGCCCTAGATGGCGTGACTCTCGCGTCCGGAGGTATCGATGGAAATGGAATCCAAGTTGGTAAACAGTTTGCAGAGATCTGCGCCATCTCCGCGTATTCTTTTGTGGTTTCCTTTGCCCTGCTCATGATCATGAAGTATATCCCTGGCCTACACCTTCGTGTTTCAGATGAGGCCGAAGAGCGAGGGTTGGACTTGGACCAGTTCTTCGACGAGCAGATTGGTGACTGGAGCTACCTAGACATGGTCCAGAAACACCAGAATACCACAATCCTGGGCCAGGTTGCGCGAGGAAGTGACTCATCCTCCACAAGGGAGGGAATGACGGAAGAGAGGAAGGGAGTCAGTGTTGATGGAGTCAAGGCGGCTTGATTCGTTATTTGTCATTGGTGGGAAGAAGATCGACATTTTGGTTCGGAGTCGTTCTAGGCAAATCTTGCAGCACGTCCTGAAGCTCCATGTGCTGACACATGTTTCTTTCTGTGCTGCTTTTGGGCTGTATTTTAAATCCTTTTGTCATAATATTTACCATACCAGAATAGGCTTCACAACCTCCCCGTTTCCCATGACCTTGACAGCTTCTCCGAAATCTTCGAATTTGTAGAACTTGACCAACTTCTCCACGGGGAAGATCCCCTCCTTCCACCACCTGATCATCTGCGGGATGTACTCCTTCGTCCTGCTGTGTCCCTGGACGGCGCCGAAGTACTGTTTACCACTGACCATGAAGCTCTGCATGTGGAGCGTCAAGTTCGCATTCGGCATCCCGGTTCCAACCTGTATGATCTTGGCCATGTACCGCGTGTACTCTACTTGAGCAGCAACAAGTGGGGGGTAGGCGCTTGTGTCGATCGAGACAGTCGCGCCCAGCCCATCAGCCGCCTCCTTGACGGCAGCCACAAGCTCCTCGGTCGACATCTTGGATGTGTTGAAGACGTGCGTGGCACCGAGCGACTTGGCAAGCTCCAGGCGCGCCTCCACCCTGTCAATGCCGATGATCGTCTTGCACTTCTGGTTCTTCGCTGCCATCACAGCGGCCAGCCCGACACCGCCCATGCCGACTATAGCGATCGCATCGTCAGGCCCAGCTTTCGCCACGGAGATGACTGTGCCGCTGCCTGTTTGCAGGCCACAGCCAAAAGGCGCCAGGAGCTTGAGATCCTCCCGCTCCAGACCCAGACCGCTCACGTTCACGACGGACTTGTCGCTGACGATGGCGTGTTTCGCGAAACTTGACTGCCCGAAGAAGCGGCCGCCAATGGAGCCTCCCTTCGCGTCGTGGAACACTGGCTCGCCCATGAAATTGATTTCGAAGAAGTCGACGCAATGCGACGGAGGGCCCGTCTTACAGACATGGCAGTTGCCGCAGTAAGAGAAAGAGAGCAGCACCGGATCTCCTGGCTTGACCTGAATATGGTGAAATGTGTGAGAAAACGACCTCGTTGACTGGGCAGAACAATCATCCACGTACAGTGCTCACATCCTTGCCGACTCGCTTCACATAACCAGATCCTGACTCAGATATCAGTTCAGCAGTTCCAACGTGTGCTGGCAGCAAGCGGGAGAGCGCTTACCCTCATGCCCAAGGACTCTAGGGTAGAAGACCGCTGGCACTCCTTTGTCGTCCGGTGTGTCGCCACAATGCAAGTCTGTGTGACAGATACCGCTTGCCACTATCTCGACAGCGACCTCGTCATTCTTCAACTCTCGCAGCTTTACCTCCTCGATGGCCCAGCCCCCTTGGGAGAATGGTCCTCGAGATACAAGCGCCTTCGACTCCATAGGTGTGATCCAATGAATCAATCGCTGGAAATTCGGCGGCTGTAAACCTCGAAAGAATGGAGTGTCGATAATACTTTGAGGGATGTCGTTGCAATGCGAAAAGGTCACCAACCGAGATCGCTATCGCCCAGCCACCCGCCCGGCATTGTGTGTGTGGGGAAAACACGACCTCGGGAAGATTCAAGCTTCTTCGGGTAAGGTTCAGGGTAGCGCACAAGGGTCCCAAGTTCCAGGGAACTGCTTGGCCGGCAAACATCTTCCTCTCGGAAAACTCCGAGGACATCGGACGACCTCATGTTAGATAACCCATTACGGAATGACCTGCTATTGAATGCAACTCCATTGTTTGTATGAAGACATGTCCAGAACCTGTCTGTCAACAGATTTGAGCACCTGACAGCTTTTCGGGTCTACAGGCAACACAGGCAGACATGATATGAAGACCCACCCAAACACACGACACACGCACATAGACACGTATCTTGAGGGAATTTGACTTAATTTCTGCACTGTCTTGGAAAACGTAAATTTTTTTGGGACTTCTGGGAAGGAGACAAATTGCAGACTTTATTTTCTTGAATTCATGGTCACGAACATCGGAGTGGAGTTACTGGCGCTGTCTATTCATCCTAGTCCACCTCAGGATGGTTCAAGTATCCAGTCGTGGAATCGAAAATCGGTGGCAGCCGAGACCTCGTTGATCACAATGAACTTGTTATCCTACAACTGAACAGTCAGGTGGCCCGGCTTATTCTTGATCGACATTATCGCCCACGTCCAGTAGCAACGGCAGCACTGGCCGAAGCCTAGAAGTGGAAGGTCCAGGCCAATGAACTCACTTCTGTCTACTGTCCACTCAAAGTCCCAAAATAGGTCAGCACGCAGATTAGCAAACGTCATTTGGACCTAATAGCGTCGTCCGTTCATGATATTCACTTGGGTCAGCCTCCAGACTGGGTTCGTCGGCAAGTATCTCTCCGGCGTATCGTGCAATCATGTATGACAGCATACCTACGAGCAAAATTGCCCAACTAACAAGTATGGCTTTTATTATCACAAATATGTTTGCGGTACGCTTGAGGTCATCTGCGTGACTACCGATGGGTGGATCCGTGGGGCTGGCCGAGCTTGAGACGCTGCTTTCACAATTGCCATTATGCGATGAGCCTTCTGGTGAGACTGTGTCGTGAGGCCTGGGAGCTATCCTGGTCGTTGTCTCGAAAGTCCGAACACCGGCCCAGTGGAGTGGGACTTGCTGGGCTGATGTCCATGTTATGGCCTGTCTTCCCATGTCATCATCTTCATTAATGTGCTCATCTGATACGTGGACCCCGTGGATTTCAGTGACTCTGTACTCAACATCTTGATCATCCAAACCTGTTATGCTCGTTACGATGCTCGTGGGCGATGATGAAAGTGCTGTATTAGGGAAGGTGGCGTTAATGGAGCTCGGCAATTGGGAGCAGACCCCAGAGCCCGATAATATGAGCAGTGGGAGGACAGCTATCCAGATTGTGAACAGAAGAACCGAAGGAACAGAATACAGACCGGGTCTGGGGACTGGAAGACCCAATCTGAAGTTTTGGAAAGGCATTTTCTGGAAACGTTTGTTGCAATATCTCAGAGGAGGATACACTGATGTGATTTTGGACGTACAGGTGTAGATTGCGAGGCTATGGCAGGAATCGAGATGCTGAAATACACGTCTCAAAATCATGGGGAGACTGATGTTGTCTTTTAAAGGCTGAAAAGTTTCAGGTATACCATTGACTGCTTCGGACAGCTCATGAAATAGGCAAGCTCATGAATCATGAATCAACCTCGGTCATTTGGCTTCAGTAGCTAGAGGTTATGGAATGAGTCGAACTGTAGAAGTTTGCCTTGTGATTTCAAGACGGTCTATGGCGCCGTTAGAAGCGGTTCTTGCTAGCCTCGTCTGTGTGGCTGTCACAAGGCTGTCACTATTTTCTGGGCCACAAGCCACAGATAATCGTGTTCAAAACTACTGTTATCGGCATTATATTTTTTAGCGCTAGGTGTTTAAGCGTGTATCACTGTATGAAGGGAATGGATGCATACTACTTAAGAAGCATATGTGTACAGATTAAAAACGAGATCACTTTGTGATTTCAAACGAGTCCATTGGCAAGCACTTTAAGAGAGTGTGCTTAGGCTGGACGAAGAAAATGGCATAACCACTGTTTCGTCAAACAGTGTCAAGTCTCCAAGAGCTTCACGAGTATATTAGATGAGAAAGTCCCCTCGTTGTTCTAGTGAATGAACATATCGGATCAGCACCTCATGTATAAGCATTGTGATGAATGTTTCGCCCAAAGTAGGGTTTTCTATAGTAAAGAACCCACTTGATAGATCCTGCACCTCGCGAGCCTAGGAAGATGGAAAAGTGAAGAGATGTGGGACCTGCAGTCCTGATTGTCATACCTGCCGTAACATTACCTATATTATCTATTGAGGTGAACTTTTTGATCAGACGAGCTGAGGAGGGTAACCCGGGATAATGCCAGAAATTAAGGCGCAACTATTCGATTTTCCAGCTGCGTGAGCTCTCGGAAGCACCCAAATCGTTCCTTCCCGTGGCTTTAGTTGTTACCCCTCTTGGCACCATACCTCCTTCTTCTCGAAAAACACATCTTCCCGTCAAACGCATAAAAGAAAGGCGCTACCGATCAAGTTACATTTCCCATCTTCTGCCGACCTGATCCAGCTCCACTAATTCCCTCTCTGCCTTCTTGCCCACTCTCGCCGCCCCACAATCGTCTTCCATCTCCCTCCGTAACCATCTCCTTTACTCAAGCAAGTCATTCTTCTTAACTCCAGTATACGTGCCATTCATTTTCCAGACCAGTCTTGCCTGAATCTACCCCAAAACTGTGTCTCAGTGCGCAGCTGCCACTCGGTACCATGGATGACAGCACGATCAATGTTAACCCTGTTGGAATATTCTAAATATCTAGGCTATTATTAATACGGGATATCCTTTTCCCCATACGTTTGCCACTGTATGGAGGATAATAACTATAAATAGGGGCCTTTCCTCCCGTTAAATAAACGTTAGCTAGCCTAATAAACTAAGCATCCAACGCTATTATTTCTTACAAGTTATAAGGCCCGGAGCTTACCCAAAGCGGCAACGCTAACCCAATATGGAAAACGGCTAACCCAATACGGAAAACGCACATTACATAACACCCCTAATCGCCACCACTTTTCAAACCTTTTAAATAAAATAAGCTTTATATTTAAAGACATACCTTTTAATTAATTACCTGATTAAGCTAATTAATAAGCCCTTAATTAATTAAATCGCCCCGTTTAACATTATAAATTAACCTTATCTCTTAACCCAAAGCTTATACATAAAAACCATACTTTATTTACCTAAATATTTAATCATTTCTCCACCAATACTTAACCTACCTATATAATTTATATATTATTTAAAAGCCCTTATTAAGAATAATAAGAGCATTTCTTTAAATTTTAAAAACTATACTAAATTAATACCAAAAACGCGAATTTTAATAAAACCATAATAATCCTTAAAACTCCCTTAAAAACACTTAACTATATCTTAACCATCTTTAATTTATAATACCTTAAAAATACACTATTTAAAAGCCCTTCTTTTTTTCTTTATAACTATATTATTTTAATACCTATATCTTTATTCTTTAACTCATTAAACTTATTCAAAATTCACTATATTTTTCTCTTTATTTTCTTAATTATCTTAATAAATACTTTTGTAATGGGCTTGGGCTATTGCCCAAGCCGTAATGCATGCCCATGCCAAGCCCATACTGCACCCAACCCTCTCATATAATAAAGCATACACTTAAAAGATAAATCTAAAGTTAAGCCCTTTTAAGGCCTAACTTACTTCTTAAATATTGCAATTTATAACTCCTTTTAAGTACCTTTTAACAAATATTTAAGGCTAACTTATAATATTAAATTATAATCTTTAAATTATATTAAGAAAAATACTTATATTATAAAGATAAATAACCTTATACTTAAGATATTAACCTTTTTATAAAATATATAATTAAAAATTCCTTAACTTATTTTAATATTAAGCTATAAAAATGCTTAAAAAGCACCTTAACCTTCTTAGCTATTTATAATAACGCTTATTAATGTTAATAATAATATTACTATATCTCTCCTTATAATAATACTTTATTAATTTATAAAGCTTAAAGTATATATAAATCTTTTTAATTTACTTTTAATTTAATATAAATTGCTTTTAATTAAGCCCTTATTTAATAATAGCTAAAATAGCTTTTTAACTTAAAAGATTATAATATAATATAAGCTATAAATTAATATAAACTTTATTAAAAGTCCTTAAAAATATTAAATCTTTTTATAAAGTTAGCTATTTATTAAAATATAATTATATATTATAGCATTTTATAAGCAAGGCAAACCTTAAAATAGCTTTAATATAAATAAATTCTTTAAATATTTAAAGTATTGCTATAAAAACTTATATTAATAAGTAATTATTTTAATTAAGCTTAAAATATTTTAAATATAAAATTATAATAACTTTACTTAATTTTATATTTAATTTAAATAATTAATAATATAAGCTAAAAACCTTAAATAATTAAATAAAATAAAGTTAAATTACTTTTATAATTAGCTTTCTTTATAACTTTATAATAAAGCTATTAAGGCATTAATTTTATATATAAATTATAATAAAATAATAAATATATATTGCTAAATTACTTATAAGTTAAAGGCATAAAATTTTAAGCATTAATAATATATAGGCCTAACCTTATATTCCTTAAAGCCCTTAACTTAAGGGTAATAAGTAATAAATTAAAATATAGTAATAATAAATATAGCTATAATAAGTATAATAAAGGGCTAAAGCACTAAAAATAAAGAATTGCAAGGGCATTAAGGCGCTTCTTCTTTCCAACTAGCTAATAATTAAGCTAAGGTACCCTAAATTTCTA